TAAAATGAAATTGGAACCAGTGTCAGAATACAAAACATCCCCAACATCTTTTTCAAAATTTAATATCCCCAACAATGAACGAAGATGAGGAGTACAAAATTTAATTTTCAGCGGGAATTTAATAAGGTTATTTATTTCATCAAGTTCAAAAAGTTTATCAGGTTTTGATTTAAAATTTTCTTCATACCAAACGATAAATGATTCATTTAAATAACTTAAAATTGTGTTAATATCCCATTTCGTTATCACATTATTTATATACATATCATACGTTTTTTCAAGGTCATCTTTAATAAATGATATATAATCTGAAGGGTCTAAAAGAATGGGATTAAATTTACCACTCACAGAAACGAGAGTAACATTATAAATTCCACTAACTGTTAAATTTAATTCACAACTATTATTCGAAATAATATTGATAATTGACATTTTTATTACGATTAAAAATATGGTAAAGCGTTATTTTCCAGTGATAAATAAAACTAGAATAAGATTACCTCAAGAATTCATAAATTCAACGAATAAGAAATTCATTCATGTTATAAATTTCAGTGTTTTCAGAAAATATGAGTCAATGTCATATTCATCATCGGGTTATATTTCACTTCATTCAAATTTAGTTCAATCAAACCCATATAATGACCATTTCATAAGATTTTCAGATGGTATTAAAAATGTAATTGATAGATTAAAATATGAACAGATTGACAATATCGAATTTTTGGAATTTTGGTTTAAATATCCTGATGGAAAAAAGATTGAAGTTAAAGATAAAGCTGATACTATAACAAAAACAATTACAATGACCGATCCAGATAGTGGGGAACAAAAAGAAATAAAACAAACGATAGAAACTGGTGAAAGGTCAATTATTATTGATTATGATTCAAAGGATTATTATTCAATAATGTTAATGCTTGAATATTAAATGGCCTTAACAAAGAATTTTTCAAGAGATATTTTATATTCATCAACTATTTTATTATAAATATCATTATATGTTAAATGAAGTTCAGTTGTTGTTCCGTTCTTTGATATCTTAATTGTGCTAATATCCTTTATAGGATTTATTTTTGCAACTGTTCCGCAGCATGAAACCTCATCATCTATGAAAAATTGAATCTTAACGTCTGAATCTTGAACATCACAAAGAATGGCGATAATGTGAATTAATGATTCATAAGGTAAAATAATTAAACCGGATTGATCAATTAAATTTATTATTGAATCATAATTATCAGTTATTATATCACGGTAAATTTTCATTAATTCAGAATTAATGTCTATTTTATATGGCGCATTGCGACTGGAATCGTATATTCCTGGGTTCTCGATGTTTGATGAAAGAGGTGGGGGGTATGTTGGATATGTGGGGATTTCAACAGGTTCTTTACCGGGTTCAGATAAAATGATTGGGTCTCCATTCTCATGGTTTTCTTCATTCTCCTCATTCTTCGGTAAGTCACGAGTTAATAAATTTGGTTGAGTTGCTGACCTTGTTAATTCAGGGCTAACATTAACTTTAACATTTTGAATAATTCGTGATTTATCATCATTTACGTTATAACCAACCGTAATCTCTGCTTTTGCGTTAGTGTTCTTTTGACTTGTGAAACGTCTTCTCATTTATAATTGAATAAAAAAGAAAAATATATTTAAAGTTTTATTTAGTTGTTACGGTAATATCCCAAGGTTCATCATTGTTTGCTTATACTTTCTTTGTAACTGCACCAATTATGTTATTGATATTGCTTTGAGTTTCTTCCAGTCTTATTTTATCATTTACAATATCTTTAATCATTTCATTACATGCATTCTTAAAACCATCTGATTTTTCTAATTTACGTCTATCACTTTCTTTAATTAAATCAAAGTTATAACCTTGTTGAGAATAAAGTGGTTTCTTTATCAATTCCTTGAACGCTTCTGCAAGTGAAGATGAAGAAATTCTTGCCACTTGAATTGGTTTAAATTCTGCTTTCATTGCTTCTTTCTGTTCATTGAACACTGGATCGAATAAAGCAACTTTAAAGAATTTCTTAGCTGGAATTTCAGGTCTCAAATTTGCATATTGACCATCAAACTGATTAACATATTGTGGTAATCCATCCGGTCCTTCTTCAATAGCGTTTAATTCTTCATTGAAATATGAATATGGATTATGACGGTATGAATTAATTGGACCATGTTCACCTTCTCCAATGTATTGTTTAACAGCTTTTCCATTTTCATCAAATTGCATAGGATAACATTCATTATATGCTTTACGTTTAGGATAATCAGATACAGTTAATTTGTAACCATTTATGACTTTAATATTACCTCGACCATCAGTAACGAAAACTTCATTTATACCATCAGGTTTTCCATTTGGACCTGTAATGTCTGCTTCATGTGCTTCCCAATTTGGACCATGACGTTTGGCATATGCTTGAGCTTCTGGTAATGTTTAAAAACATAAGAGAAATAGGTGAAGATACGTATCAAGTGATGCTTAAAGATAGATTTTATAGATGTGATACATGTTTACAAGAGGCATTCTTCACTTTAGATAACGCAAAATACTGGTATTTGGTTTTCATTTATGATTTTATGTATAAATGCATGAATGTTAATTGTTTTCATTTCATTGAAGGTGATACTGATTCATCTTATTGGGCAATCGCTGGCGACCCAAATCTTCCTAACACTCAAGCATTTCAAGCAATTGTTACTGATAAACAATTTTATGATAAAAATATTTTCAAATTCGCACCATTTGATCACTTAATGGATCATATGGTTACGATCCTTTTGAAGACCAGCAACAATATGAACTAATTCTTTCATTCCGTCTGGAACTTTCATAGTTCTATTATACGCACCCCCCTTTTTGTTTGTCCCTTGTTTTAATGGAACTTGTAAAAGATTTGCTATTTCTGTCATGTTTAATTATAAATAAAAAATAAAAATTAATTATAAAAAGTTAATCAAATTTAACACATCCTTTATTTAAATCAACTATTATTTTTCCATGTTCACCTAATTGTTGATATTGTGTGTAAAGTTCATTAATGCTCATTGGTAAATTCACTTGATAAAGCATAACGTTCAACTGTTGACGACTAAAACCACTGAAAATGAAAAGTGTTGATAGATTTGATTTAATGTTTGTGCTTAATGCTTTGAAGTATTGAACAGCCATGAAGAATAAACACTGAATGTGTCGACATTGAGTTAATAACTGATTAAAATATGATTTCTCATTTGTTATTAGTTTTGATTTCACCGCATCATCTAGAAAAATGAGTGAATGCAAAAATTCTCTATCAAAATTTGAAATAGAAAGTGTTTCAAATAATTCATCCCGTTGTTTATCAATAATTTTATCCTCTAATCCTTGCTTCTTGATTGTATTATATAATTCTTTATACATTAAAAAGTTTTTTAAATAATCTTCTGCTTCTTCTTGTGATAAATAAATAATTGGAATTTTGATTAAATGCTTTAAAGATTCAAATGTATCATCTGAAGGTGAACCTGAACGGTTGATATAAATTAACACATGTGAATGGGGGGAAGTGTTAGCAATAATGATAATTTGTTTTAATATCGTTAATGTTTTACCTTTATTCTGTTTACCAATTGCTGCAGTGATTGAATTTAAGTAACATTCAGAATATGGAATTTTCATTAATTTTTCCTTAGATAGAGCATTTCTATTATCACTCAATGCTTCATTAATCATATCATCTACGTATGTATTATATACTCCCGCTAATTCTTCAGAATTTAAATCCATTTAATCAAAAATAAATTTATAATTTTATACATTTCTATTCATCAATATTTCATCATATGAACTTCTATACTGTGGTGGTGTACCTGTTGGATGATATTTCAAACCTTCATCCGGTGTCCATGTCCAATATGTAGTCCTAGTAAACCAAACCTGAGGAGGATTTGTCACCTTTGAACAGTAAGTGTCATTTACACCCTGAATGATTGGATAAGCTTTCACTTGTACTGTAACTTGTGAGTTGAAAGTTTCTAATCCATCAAAGAATATACCCGCTCCATCACGTTGAACTGGAATAGTGCATAAGAATGAAGTTTGGTCTTTCCATGTTCTAGCTAATGGTGTGCCATTATCATCATTCAGTGGTCTAGTTAATGAGTCCTCGTATTCTTCCGTGCATTCATTCACTCCATCTAAATCAGAAGCTTGAAGCATACGTGTAAAGAATATGTCGCCCACTGTGGTCATCGCTTGATCGGGAAAGTTTCTGGAATCTATAGTGACCTGAAGACCTCGAAGCATTGGATTTTCTAAAACCGTTCTTTGCATTGCATTCTTCGGAAATGCTAACACAACATCTGTAACATTATGAAGAGCGTATGAGAAATCTGAACTGATACCTTCAGGAGTGATGCAACCTCCATTTAGTGAACGAACGTCAATATGTTGAGCTGGAATCATGAATGGATCTTCCTTACTGAATAAACGTGGTATTGCTTTAACTGATTCTTCAATTAAACCGTATCCTGGTGTAATGCATTTATCCTCTAAAACTTCCATCTTTGTGCATGAAATAATAACGTCTTCAACTGTTGCGTCAGCAGATGTAGCGGCTAAGCTTGTAATTAATTTGGTAGAAAGTCCGATTTGTTGGAATTTGCGATCATATTTATAAACATGATTCATAATCTTTTCATAATTTTCATCAGTTATCTTTTCATAAACATAATTTTGTAAATCAGCAACTCTTAACGGGTCAACCTGACAAAATACTAAAGTATCCCTGAAAACATAATATTTAAGAATGATTTCACCAAATGATTTAGGATAATCATCGAACGCCTGAAATGCTAACAAATCATTTACCGGAATAATCATATCAAAAGTGACATCAACTTCTTCATTTGCTTTCTTGAAAACTTCTGAAGGGTCAATATATTTACCACATACTGAGTTATCATATTTTTGAACATTATTATATAACGAATGAACAAACTTTTTAACTTTCCTTTCTGATTTTGGTTATATATGTTGCAAATGCGAAAGATTCACGGGCGCAATCCATCTGAAGATAACCGGCATCACCTCTTTCGGTTTCTACTTCTAATTGTTTAAAGCTTTGATTTGATGATTTGTAACCAACGAATAAACGCATGCATTTAAAAGCGGCATCACATGTGAAAGCTTTATTTGAAACTAGAGTTGCTTTAACTTTGCGTTTAATATATGTGTCACCTAATTGGTTCACATCATGAGCCGGATTTGTAATTCTTAAATGAGTTTGTTTATCATCAAAATATGGAGCATCAGAGTCATAGCATGAACTTTCAAGTTCTCTATAATATCTTCTTCCGTCATTCTTTGCAAATATTTCATTTATCTTTTCGAATGAATGAAACACATTTCCATTAATTGGTTTAGTGTTTGGCACCAAATAGTTAGTCGTCATTTATTATTAAATAAAAAATCAAAATTAAAAGATGAAAATGAATTTTTAATTTTAATGAAATAATCAACTATGGCTGCAGGATTCTTTAAGAAACTGTGGGATAAAGTAAAAAGAGGAGCGCATAAAGTTTGGGAAACAGTGAAGAAAGGAGCAAATTGGATATTTAAGAATAAAGAAGCAATTAGTGACATTGCTGAATCAATAACACCAAAAGCTGCCCCAATAAGAGAAATATTAAATAAAGGAGAAAAAGTTTATCAAAGACTACAACCAATACTAAGATAAAAATAATATTTATTTATTTTTCCACTATTTACCCCCTATTTTATTAAGTATTCCTTCAGCAATTCCACCAATTGCGTTACCTGCTTGTGCTCCCATCGCCGGATTACCTGCTTTAGTACCTAATACTCCACCTATGATAGTTCCTGCCGTTTTCGCTACTGGTGCCAAAAAGTTTGCAACAGGTTTAATAACCTTTTTATAAACCCAACCTGCAGCTTTCTTAATTCCATCCCATAATTTTTTAAAGAATCCTGCCGCCATTTCTGATTTAATATTAATTAAAAAATATATTTCATCACTTATATTCTAATTTTTATTTAATGATAAATGAAACCGATTTTAAAAATAAATGAAACAGAGGAGGAAGAAATAAATGAAAGTGAAAATGTTCAACAAAAAATAAACGTTGTTAAACCAATTACTGAAATAAAAATTTTTTCATCTGTTGATGAATTTAATGACTATTATGCTAATAATAAAAAATTATTTGAAGAATTGACAACATGTAAATTGAATAAAATGTTTAAAGTTGATGGATTCAAAATTTCAAAAATAAAAGGAGTGGTTAGTTTGAAATCTATTCCTCAATCAAGAATCACCTCATTAATGAAAATTGATGATTTAACAAAAAGAATAGAAATTATTGAAGAGCGAATAAATCAAATTATTGATTTCATAAATCATGACTCGTTGAGCCCGGGTCCTTAAAGCCCAAGGCACAAAGTGCCCAGGACTTAAAGTCCATCACTGAGTTCAAGGTTATATTCATCAAATATTTTCATTATTAAATGCAACTTCTGCTAGTTTATTTATTTTTTCAATACGATCATTTGAAAGTCTATCGTTTAATTTTTTCTGAAGTTTTTCATTTTCTAGTTCTGAAACTTTATTTGGATGATATTTAAACCCGTTAAATTCTTTTTCCTCAGTTTTGATCATTAATTTACAAAGAACTTTTGTGGTTGAAATTCGTTTAAACCATTTATCATTAATATTTGTTATATATTCAATATCTGGAATTAATTCCCAAATTTTTGCATTTTCAATTAATTTATTATCAAATGCAAAAGCAATAGGTTTAATATTAAACTTACCTTTATAATATAAACTTTCTACATAATCATCGAAATAAACATCTACTTGTTTAACATTTTCAAGAATTGGTGAAAGAGCATCCATTAATTGATTGACGGTTACGAATCTTGATCCACTCATTTTCATACAAATTAAAAAAATAAATTATTCAAAAATGTAAGACATGAATTTTTAAAGTTTATTTTTTTATTTTTTTTTATTTTTTTTATTTCATTATGTATGGGTTTAGTGTAAATGTCTTACAATTTTGAAAATTTTTTAAATCTTGATTTATTCAAAAACGTAAGAATAAAAACCGTAAGAATCAGAGGGGGGCACAAACTTGCCCAGTGAGGTGAAGTGAAAAGTGACAGGTTTACATGTCAGAAACGTAAAGTGTCGGATTTGAAACAAAAAATGGATTAATTTATTATTATATGATAGAGAGATTTGGTAAGTTACTATCAAATTTGTAAGTAAGGGGGAAAAAAAGTAAGAAAGAAAAAAAATTTTTAAAAAATAAAAAGCCACTCGCTTCGCTCGCGGGAGACAAAAAGAACAAATTCGAAAAAAAGATTGTATGAAATTACGAAACTAAGCCACTCGCTTCGCTCGCGGCTTAAGAAAAGAACAGATTCGAAAAAAGATTGTATGAAATTTTAATTCTTTATTTTTTAGGATTGTTAGCTTTGTAAGATTTCTTTCTCACAAGAGAAAACAAGTATAAGGTTTAAGCTGTATGTATTAAAGTTATAAATATTTGATTTTAAAAAAAATCAAGATTTTAAACTTTAAAGGTATTAATTATAATTATCTTTCTTTAGCTTTGCATGCTGTATGCTACTTTTGGAAACTGCTCTATTGTATTAGAATGTTTTTAAATTTTGCACCTAAAAATGCGTAATATTAAAAATTAAGGTATTAATTATGATTATCTTTCTTTAGCTTTACATGCTGTATGCTACTTTTGGAAACTGCTCTATTGTATTAGAATGTTTTTAAATTTTGCACCTAAAAATGCGTAATATTAAAAATTAAGGTATTAATTATGATTATCTTTCTTTAGCTTTACATGCTGTATGCTACTTTTGTCTTTGAGACATTCCATGATTTAAGTTAAGAAGCTTTAAAAAAAAATGCAAAAAAAAATTGAATACTTTACTGGCTGGGCAAATTTGTCGCCGCCCCTAAGAATCATACATTTTTTACTTCATATGTTAAAAAAAATGATACAAAATCGCTCGATATTGTATGAATTCTTACGTTTACAAAAAAAGTCACAAAACCCGCATTATATACTACTTTTCCTTAGACATAAAATTTTCCATTTTTGCTTCTTTAATTTTACAAATAAAAAGATAAAAATATTGGAACCCTATATCAAATTGTACTTTTGTTATCAAATTTTTAATTTTCACTCAAACAAATACTGTGAAGCGCGAAGTATCTTCAAGTATTACATCGATTCATATAATGCGTTGTATCAGCTGAAAATAGAAAATGAAGAAATATTAAACAGAATTTACAAAATGATCGCAACAGAATTGATCGATTCAAAGAAATACCCTCCTAAAAATATTATAAGAGATATTTTAAATATTATTCCGTATAATAATCGCTATACAAAGTCATATTTATATCTTGCCAAACTCATTTATGATAATTATCATGTCAAAGAGGTCAAGTCTAGGCGAATTAATATAGACATCCTGTTTTATAAAGAATATGGAATTAACTCAGATAAGAATGGCTATTTTGGAGAAATTAACTCAGAAAATCTCAATATTCATGCAGATGATACAATTTACAGAGCAATTATGTATAATGACCTAGAAAAATTCATCTTTTTTACGGAGCGAGAAGAATTTGATAAAGATCAAAAACTTATGAGTGATTTATATCCATATGAAATAAAAAGATATTTATCTTCTTACAAAGGATATTCATTGCTTGAATTATGTTGTTATCACGGAGCAGTTGATTGTTTCAAGTTATTGAGAACGAAATTTAACTCAGAAATAACTGAAACATGTCTAAAATTTTCCTTTTTACGTGGAAATCCAGAGATCATGAGTGAATGTTTGAAATATAAAAAACCAGACTATCAATGCATGGAATATGCAATTATTTCACACAACATTGATTTTGTTACATTCTTGATTAATGAATACAAAATAGAGATCGATTTAGGCTACTCTGGAATTTACAATAATCTCGAATCATTTTTAGTTTATTTCGATCAAACAAATGATATTAACAAATGCTTTGTTTATTCAACATTGTTTGATTTTCCATCCCTTTCCGAATATTTCTTTTCACATGGTGCTGAAATCAATACAAAATTTAAATATGGAGAAACTGCTCTTCATGCTGCAATATATAGAAATAATAAAGAAATGTCTGATTTTCTTATTTCACATGGTGCAAATATCAATGAAAAAGATAGAGATGAGCAAACCGCTATTCATTATTCAGCGACAAATAATAATAAAGAAATAGCCGAACTTCTTCTTTCACATGGTGCAAATATCAATGAAAAAGACAAAAATGGGACAACCGCTCTTCATTATGCAGCAAAAAATAATAGAAAAGAAATAGTCGAACTTCTTATTTCACATGGTGCAAATGTCAATGAAAAAGAAAAAAATGGAAGAACCGCTCTTCATTATGCAGCAAAAAATAACAGAAAAGAAATAGTCGAACTTCTTATTTTACAAGGTGCGGATATCAATGAAAAAGATAATCTTGGAAAAACAGCTCTTCATTATTCAGCGACAAATAATAATAAAGAAATAGCCGAACTTCTTCTTTCACATGGTGCAAATATCAATGAAAAAGATGGAGGTGAGCAAACCGCTCTTCATTATGCAGTATATTTTAATAGCAAAGAAATCTCTGTACTTCTTATTTCACGTGGTGCAAATATCAATGAAAAAGATAATCTCGGAAAAACAGCTCTTCATTTTGCTGCAGAATATAATTGTAAAGAAACAGCCGAACTTCTTATTTCAGGTGGTGCAAATATCAATGAAAAAGATAATGATGAACAAACCGCTCTTCATATTGCAGTAAGTAAGGATTACAAAGAAATATCCGAACTTCTTCTTTCACATGGTGCAAATATCAATGAAAAAGATATTCCAGGATAGATAAGTAGTCAAGAAATAGCCGAACTTCTTCTTTCACATGGTGCAAATATCAATGAAAAAGACAAAAATGGGACAACCGCTCTTCATTATGCAGCAAAAAATAATAGAAAAGAAATAGTCGAACTTCTTATTTCACGTGGTGCAAATATCAATGAAAAAGATAATGATGAACAAACCGCTCTTCATATTGCAGTAAGTAAGGATTACAAAGAAATATCCGAACTTCTTCTTTCACATGGTGCAAATATCAATGAAAAAGATATTCCAGGATAGATAAGTAGTCAAGAAATAGCCGAACTTCTTCTTTCACATGGTGCAAATATCAATGAAAAAGACAAAAATGGGACAACCGCTCTTCATTATGCAGCAAAAAATAATAGAAAAGAAATAGTCGAACTTCTTATTTCACATGGTGCAAATGTCAATGAAAAAGAAAAAAATGGAAGAACCGCTCTTCATTATGCAGCAAAAAATAACAGAAAAGAAATAGTCGAACTTCTTATTTTACAAGGTGCGGATATCAATGAAAAAGATAATCTTGGAAAAACAGCTCTTCATTATTCAGCGACAAATAATAATAAAGAAATAGCCGAACTTCTTCTTTCACATGGTGCAAATATCAATGAAAAAGACAAAAATGGGACAACCGCTCTTCATTATGCAGCAAAAAATAATAGAAAAGAAATAGTCGAACTTCTTATTTCACATGGTGCAAATGTCAATGAAAAAGAAAAAAATGGAAGAACCGCTCTTCATTATGCAGCAAAAAATAACAGAAAAGAAATAGTCGAACTTCTTATTTTACAAGGTGCGGATATCAATGAAAAAGATAATCTTGGAAAAACAGCTCTTCATTATTCAGCGACAAATAATAATAAAGAAATAGCCGAACTTCTTCTTTCACATGGTGCAAATATCAATGAAAAAGATGGAGGTGAGCAAACCGCTCTTCATTATGCAGTATATTTTAATAGCAAAGAAATCTCTGTACTTCTTATTTCACGTGGTGCAAATATCAATGAAAAAGATAATCTCGGAAAAACAGCTCTTCATTTTGCTGCAGAATATAATTGTAAAGAAACAGCCGAACTTCTTATTTCAGGTGGTGCAAATATCAATGAAAAAGATAATCTTGGAAAAATAACTCTTCATTATGCAGTATTATACATTAATAAAGAAATAGTCGAATTTCTTATTTCACGTGGTGCAAATATCAATGAAAAAGATAATGATGAACAAACCGCTCTTCATATTGCAGTAAGTAAGGATTACAAAGAAATATCCGAACTTCTTCTTTCACATGGTGCAAATATCAATGAAAAAGATATTCCAGGATAGATAAGTAGTCAAGAAATAGTCAAACTTCTTAATTCACACGGTACGTCTAGAAACTCCACTCTTGATAAAACAGAAGATAAATAAATAAAAATTATAAAATTGCAAATACCAATCCGATTACTCTGATTTTCTATTATTATCCACCTTTAGTAATACAATTTAAATTATTTTTAATGTTGTCACACTACATAAACTGAGGGCTTTTAATTCTGCCAAATTAAACTCTTTTTGAATATTATATTGTTGATGATTATGTTATTAATGAAGAGAGTCAACAACACTACCAAAATCTCAAGCTATAATAGTATTAGTAAACATCAATTTTTATAGTTACTATTCATGAAATCTCGGGACAAAAATGAACACTTTTCTCTTAATTTCTCTGAGGATTTGAACCTGTAATATATTTTTTTGTGATTTTTTTTAAATTCCATTCTGATATTAAATTATAAGCTTTAAAAAGTCAATAATTCATTAAATATACATATCATCAGCTTTCAATGAATAAAAAACAAGAGTTTATTAAATAAACAAAAAACAATTAAAAATAATATTTGTTATTTCCTATAATTTCGTTTAAAAATATGATAACTTGTATGAGAATCGGTCGTACTTGTAGTTGTTGATGTATATGAATCTTCTTCTTCATTCAAATTTGAAGAATCATCATCTTTTGTGCTATCTTTAGAGTCATATCTGTCTGGAGCGAACATAAGTGGACTGCAGTACATGTAGTCAACATCAGTAACAAAATCTTCCTCTTCATCATGCTTTTTATCCCTTTTTATCTTTCTTTCTTTAAATGATTTTGATTCTTCAAGTTTTTCTTTCTCTCGCTTGAGTTCTTCGAAAATATAAGTATAAGTATGACCAGTTTCTTCTTCCTCTTCATGAACATCGAAAAATGTCATCGTATGGAAAACTTCTCCGTTCGCAAAAACAAAATTTCTTTCTTTGACACTTTTTTCTCCATCATCTGAAAAATCATTCGTTATGAAGTCACAAGGAATTGATTCTGCATTGGGGATGTTCTTGTGCAATGGATGGAATCTTACCGGATTCAAAACTAACTGCTTTGGTCGAGTATCAACAAATCTTTTCTTCATAAACTTAGAATTCGTTGGTGGACAGTCCAAAATAACTCTGTGCTCATATACAGCTCTTTCTTTGAACTTAATACGATCTTCTGTGAAATCTGGTTTCTCTAATTTGTCTTTTTTAGGAGGTAATTTGAAATTCTCGATATCATCTTCGTTGGAAGACAAATCGTATTCATCACCTGACTTAAAGTATGAATCTGAGTCTACATAAGTGTAATCGTCTTCTTCTTCAGAATAATCATTTGATAATTGATAACTTTCTTCTTTTTCTGATGATTTTTTGGTGGATTCTTCTTGAATATTCTTGCTTTCTGAAGTTTTTGTTCCAGTGGTCTTTTGTTTGGAAGAAATTTGGCTTTCTTTGGAATTACTCAGATTTACTGAATTATTTTGGGTTTCTTTGGATTGGCTGTGACTTTCTTTGGATATACTATGGCTTTCTTTAGATTTTGTTTGGCTTTCCTTTGAAATTGATTTTGATTTTGTCGATTGAGATTCCAGAGATTGAATTGAAGAGTTATTATTGCTAGGAATATTTTCTGACTTCTGCTTTTGACTTTCTGATGAAATTTCAGGTTTAATTTCGGAATTATTTTTCTCTTCTTGATGAGAAGCTGTTGGAGTTTCTGTATTTGTCATACTCTGCAATCCTCTAACTGGTCTCACTCGTTTTCTTTGAGGAGATATCGGTGCTTCTTCAATTTGTGGATTTTCTGTTTTAGAAGTGGAAATATCAGTACTAATAGATTGTCCATTTGTATTTTTCCTTCTAACACGCTTCCTTCTTGGTGATTTGGACTGTTCTTCAACAGCTTCTTGTTCAATATTATTATTTTCTTGAATTTTAGGCGATTCTGGCTGATTTGTTGGAACTTTTCGAACTTTTTTGATAATCTTTTTCTTCCTTTTTGGTGTTTCTTCAATTTCATCTGGTGGTGGAGGTAATTTTGAAGTTGATATGTCTAAAATTTCATCTTCGCTCGATTGGTTTTGACCTTTCATACTTTCCTTGAAACTGTCAGCAATAATTTCTGTTAAATGAGGATCTAATGGTGGAGCTGGCTGAATATTAATTTCATTGTCATCAGAAATTCTTACTGGGCTCTGAATTTCTACCTCTTTGACTTCCTTTTTTACTGGTACCATAATTTTCTTTTTAATTCTAACTTTTCCGGATTTACCAGTTTTTTCTGTATTTTTTTCTGTGTTTGTAGTATTTTCATTGTTTTTGGTATTATTATTGGTTGGCTCCTTTGGTGGAGGGTCTATCTTTTCTAACGGGTTCATATTTGACTCAATATTAAAATGATATTGATTTGTAACTTTTAAAGCAACTTGGGATGACATTAAAAGACCTGTAGCCATATCATCTGTCTTTCCTTTCAAGATATAACGGACAATTTTATATTCGTCGTTTTCTTTGCCACCGACACTATCATCATTAGTAATTGTTGAAACAACTGATCGCGTAAGCTGTGTGAGTACTTCGTTAGCAATAATAACATCTGATTTTGATTTAACTTTCGAGTATTCATCACAAAATATTGCAGTTAGTGGTGCTTGCAATTTTAATGGAGGATATGCCATTATAGTAGGATTTACTCTCGCAATTATCCATCCTTCTACTAAAAGATTTTGAATTTTACTAAACTCTTTGTTTACAATAATTTTTTCTTTGCTTTCGATTTCTGTTCCATCGATAAATTTAATTGATGGATCGAATGCAACGATACACATTAGTCTGTATTGCTTAAATCGTGAAAATTGGGTACCTCGTAAAGTGATTGATTGTAAATGTGGCAAAGAAGGCAAAAATTCAAGTGAAGAAATGTTAGTTGCTGTTAAATCTATCGAAACTAGATGTCTTAAAGTTGACAAAGTTTTGAATGAATTGATTGGATTAAAACTAAAGTTTAAACTCTTGAAATCCTTTATTTTCTTAGTCCCTGGAAACTTAACTAAGTTCATATTGGAAAAGTTTCCATTTTCATCTATTCTAATCTCATCATCTTTACTCATTTTGAAATCAAAAACGGCTTCAGTTTTTTTATTTATTTTTGAGGAATTTGGAGAGCTTCAACTTAATGAATCTTATGCAAAATCCTTAAATTTTCATCGAGTATGTTAATTGTTTTATATTACTGAGTTCTTGGACCTCTATTTTCACTTGAAATGCACAATTTCAATTTCATTCTCTGTTCATATCTATCGGCGCATCACGCCGATATTATTGAAAAACAAATCTTTGATAAAAATCAGAGTTCTTATTCATCAGCCAGGGAATATCCATAAAAATAGGTGACGAGTATATTAATATCTCATTTCAGCTGAAATACTTTTTTAATGATTTGACCAAAGACATTCATCACCGGAATTGTTCGTAAAACAAAAGGAGAATATCTGATGATAGAATTTAAGATTCAAAGGTGGAACAGTCCATCATCATAAAAGAATTTTGAAAAATTTCCTCCAATATCATGATTTAAAAAAGTTTCGAGCGTAAATTTATACAGAAATAAATATCCTATTTAATATTTTTTGGTTAATAGTGTATTAGGTTGTTTTATCTACAAATAGATTAACATCCGCAGCCCGTTGAGTTATTTTCTTCGGCTTCCTGGTTATTTCCATTGATAACCTGGAGGCCAACCTTGCCAGATCTATGGGTGGCTGACTTCTTTTGTGGGATTTCTAATAAGGTCTTGGCTAATGCCTGGAAAAGCATATCAATACCTTCACCTGTCTTAGCGGAGACTTCGAAGATTTGGCATCCGACCTTGTTAGCGAAATCAAGGCCTTGCTGTGGCGTAATAACTCTTTGTGAGACCATATCTATTTTATTTGCTGCAATGATAAGTTTGATATTCTCACCGCGTGTATTGACGAGTTCATTCTTCCATTGCATCATTCTTTCAAAGCTTGTTGAATCAATTACTGAATAAACAAGAAGAGCTGCTTGGGCATCTTTGTAATAAATAGGAGCAAGAGAGTGATATTCCTCTTGTCCAGCAGTATCCCAAAGCTGAATATCAACATTTTTTCCTTGGCAAATTACAGTCTTTTGGAAGAATGCGGCTGCAATTGTCGAGCGTCTCTGGGGATCGAATGTGTTTGATTGCCACTTATTACCAATTGATGATTTGCCAACACGGCCTTCTCCAAGAAGAACAACTTTATAGCTCATCGATCAAAGAAACAAAAGTAAAAAAAATTTTTTTTTGAACGGCAATATCTGTTTCTTACAATTTTCATCGAAAAATTAGAACTATAATACATGCACAATTTAATGATAATTTTCTGATTTAAATTTTTTGAACCTGATTTTTTTTTTCGAAAATGTTGGATAAAACATTGTCGATTTCTGTCTAAATGTCTGTAGTACTTATGAACTATTCATTTTTCTGCTATTCCGACATTTTTGCCAAAAATTTCGAAGCTCATCTAATTCAATTTGAGAAGAATTCAGTCAGATAATATTATCCTGATTGTGTGTGAATGACCTACATAGGATAATGCGTAGATCTAATCGAATAATATAGCCCTATTATTAATTTTTTTAGAATTTTTCAATAACATCATAACCACTGTCAAGAACATTAAATGGGTATTTGAATCAGTACTTAGACGCTAATCAATATTCCTCAATATTCATTTAACTTTTGTGATAAATTATAATACTATGGTGTTTATCAATGGCTATTAAAAGACAACATGTGTATAGTATTTTTCCAGAATGTCAATCAAATGTGAAGGTTTAAAAAAATTGGGATTTTATTTGTAGGATTGAACAAGCAAATCATAATACATGACATGAAAATACACATCTCATCACATTTTTGCATCTGTATTGAAATATTATGCTTTCTTCAAGAAAATTTTTATTGTAATTTGGCGTTACAATCTCGATGTAAATAATCATGATCTTTTTAAATAAAATCACAACTCTATAGTTTAATCATTCTATACAATATATATATATAAAAATAATAATTATTCTGCAACTTGATTTGCATCAACAGCTGCAGGTCCTTCAATTCCAGGTATATGAGAAACTTGTTGTTCTGCAATTTCCTTCAATTGTTCTGCCTCAAGTAACCTTAATTCAGGATCAGTTGCAGTGAAAACTTTACTTTCAACCAAAATATCTCTAATTGTTGTTCTGAAAACAGCAGGATCTTCAACAACTCTCATCAACTGTTGCACAGCTTCCAATGTCATAGACACATCAATGTTCGGGAAGACATTTCCATCTACAAGCCATGCAGTCAAAATTTCAGCCGAAATATCCGGAATTTGGCAAATATTGATGATAATTGATCTCAATGTCGAAACCTGTTCTTCGAAAACAACTTTATGAGTTGCATCAGTCAATGTTGAGAACGCGTGTAAGAAAATCGACTGGAAAACTTCAACAGTATCATGAGATTTCGGATATTTCGTGACAATTTCTGACATTGCTTTGAAAGAAGGTGCAGAAGAGTCATAACCAGGATGATCTTCACCTCTTTGTACAATATCAATCAATGTCAATATATCAATGAAATTACTAAGAGTTTCCAAGTCAACTGTTGACACGAAAAGGGAAATCATCTTAAACAAAGCCGGTCTTATTTGTGGGTACGAATTATAGTTATTTCTTTGACCAAGCATTGGATAAGTTGCTTCAACCAATTTACAAAACATATCAATAACTTGATTTCCTAATGCATCTTGTATATCAGTACAAACCAAACTCATTATATCTAATACTTCAGGGACTCTTAAATCCATAAGAATAAATCCAGGTCTCATTTGTTTTTCTTCTTGCGTCTGATCATTTTCCATCAAATACTCAATTTCATCATGTGTCATTATATAATCAGTAACAATATTTTCCAACAAATTCATCAGCATCGAACTGATCATGTCTTTGACGTCAACAGGAGATTTACTGTAAATAGGAAGTATTTGCAGATAAATCTGTAAAACACATGATTTAAGTCTAATAAAACTTGTCATCCACATTCTATTTCCTGTTTCTTTCATGCAGTTTAATGCTGTTTGTGTTGCTGTTGAATAAATTCCATTTAATATTCCTGACATATTATTTAATGTAGGAACATACAACAAAGGATTATTCATTGCAATAAATCGATGACAATCAAGAGAAAATTGAACATTTTCTACATTATCGCCATCTAAATAACTCGAACCAACAGAAAGATTGACATTTAATGAATCAGTCAATCTTTTAATGACATTTATTCCAATGTTTTGGTTCTTTGCTCCGTTGGCTATATTGGAAATTGTATCATAAATAGAAGCTCTTAAACTCAAGTTTTCTAAAGGATTCATGATATCATGGATATGATCAATAATCTCAAAGATAAATGGAGTTTGTTCTTTGTCATTGCAAAAGTAAATTTTCGCTTTCTTTCCAATGGTGTTGAATGTTTGAACAGCCATTTCTTTGATACCAGGAACATCTTGTCCCATGAAATCAAACAACTTGAAAATAATCTTATGGAATAACTCCATGTTCAAAGTAATAAACCTTGGATATTGCGAACAAATATACATAATTCCTGCAGCAATAATTGCACGAGTATTTTCATCTCTCGTGCTGTCACAAAGAGAAATAAGAGGTAATAAAATAGTTGATATAAAATCTCTCTCTTTTTCTTTCTTCATCGTTCCAGAAATGGCTCCAATTGACCAATAAAGTGAATTGAATTTCGTTGAGTCAAAATTTGACGAAATTTGATTGTTCATTTCCGTCAAAGCCAAAATTGTGTCTTCTATGTCTATATGAGAAATAATGACCAAGTTCTGGCGAACAACTTGAAACAAGGATGCTTCTAATGTCTCCTTTTGTGTATCTCGAGTAATTCCGCCCATAGAATCAACAACAATCAAAACTTCGGGAGGCCGAGGCATTTTTTGCATCAAAAGACGACTGACGTGCGGTAAAACTTCATTGTAGATCTGTTTGAAGCCTTCTACCATCGGATTCTTCTTGTCTGAGTACCTGTGGAGCACGGAATTCCAGTAATCATTAGATGTTCGAAAAACTTCGATGTCATCAACATTTAACGCGGAACAAAACCATTGCGCAATCAAACTGATAGGCTGAGCAAGCTCTTCTACTTCGACAATGCTGGGATACTTGCTGGGGAAGAGTTTAAGGGCTTCTGCAATGATTTTGATGCCGGAATCAGGATCAATTACTTCAAAGTCGTCGTTTGGAGGTAGAACTTGCATAACTGTCTCGGTAACTGTGGAGAATACTTGAGGGACAAGCTGTAAAAGGATTTCTGGGAGTTCGTCCACTCCAAAAATTGAATCAATTGTATCTAAGATAAAAGGCATGAAATTAGGGGATTGTAAGTATCCTTGGCATATCATATTGAAGAAATCTGCTTCACCGAGTGTTTCTAATGAAATAAAATTGATAAAATATTTATAACTTGAAAAAACTCTGGAAAGAATCAATTCTTCGCCTGTACTCTGTATTAATTGGAGTGTATATGAAAAGATCTGTTGAGCATGGCTTTGAATAAATAGCTTTCCCGTATTTCTTTGCACAGATGTTAACCAAACTTTTTCATCTTCGAAAACTTCTTCGAAAAATATGATAAGAATCTGTAGGTTGTTGTATAGATGAAACTCTGTCGTAGTAAGATTGAGTAGTGGTGTGAAATACGTTTCATCTGGAAGATGTATAATTATAAGCGAAGCAAATGCTAAGTTCATTGCCGATTTGATACCTGGACTGACTTCTGCTGCTGCATATGCATCAATGTATTGTATAATCGAATTAGTCAAACTTTCTTTTTCTTGATCTTGGAGAAGATTCCATTTATATTTGATAATATTGTTGATTGTCTGGAGTAAAAGCATTTTTGTATATTCATCTGCGTCGGCTGACATCACATCATCGAAAATACTGTATAAATCTGGTCTCTCTTTGACTTGTAATAAAATATCATTAGCTTTCTGATTGCCACTCCTAGCCTGAATACAAAGATTGTTAAGAAGTTCGACATCTATTTCAATTTCTTGATTTAAAAGATCGTCGAACATAAAGATTTTGCTCTCTAGTCACTTTTCCATGAAGCAAATTTTGATACCACTTTTGGCGGCAAGATGAATGGGTTTCTATATATAAACATATAAGCATGAAAAGAGGATCGATTTTTGTCAACAATTAAACAATTTAACAGAAAGGCAGAAATTTGAAATTTCATTTCAAATTTCTCAAGCTTGCATTCTAGGCACTTACGTGTCCAGAATGCTAAAAGGGGCATAGCGCCGATGCATAAATATAAAATTTAATATGTAATAAAATTTCATTAAAAATCTAAGAGTTATTACATACTGCTGTATTACATCAATATATTTAACCCCTAAATCCATAAAACTCAAAAGAGATGACAGTTTTATGAAAAAAAAATCTCAATGAAAAAGAAAACAATGGAAAAACCATACTTCATAAGATAGCATATTATAATAGTAAAGAAACTGCCGAAGTTCTTCTTTCACATGGTGCAAACATCAATGAAAAAGATAAATATGGAAAAACTGCTCTTCATATTGCATCTGACAGAAACATTAAAGAAACAGCTGAAATTCTTATCTCACATGGTGCAAGCATCAATGAAAAAGATAAATATGGAAAAACTGCTCTTCATATTGCATCTGTCAGAAACAGTAAAGAAACAGCTGAAATTCTTATCTCACATGGTGCAAATATCAATGAAAAAACTAAAAATGGAAACACCGCTCTTCATATTTCTGCAATAAATAATAGTAACGAAACTGTTGAAATTCTTATTTCACATGGTGCTAATATCAATGAAAAAACTAAAAATGGAAACACCGCTCTTCATATAGCAGCATGGAATAATAATAAAGAAATACTCGAACTTATTCTTTTACATGGCGCAAATATCAATGAAAAAGATAAAGATGGAGAAACCGCTCTTCATTTTTCATTAAATAACAACCATACAGAAATAACAAGAGTTCTTCTTTCACATGGTGCAAATATCGATGAAATATCTCAAACCTCGAATTTAGATCCTCCAAATTCTCCTAATAACAATATTTGAATTCTTTACTTCTCAAAAATCAATGGTTTTCGAAAAATCTTTAGTAGTGTGAACTAAACCACTATATGAATGTGATAGTATACTCATAATTATCCAAACATGAAATTGTATGAAAAATATAACCATCGTAAATAATAATAATAATGATTTATTTAATATTTTTTGAGAAATGCAAAACATCAAATTTGAAAATTTTTTTGATTTTGGATCTTCATAAAAGAGCTTCCAAATTAGCAACCCTAGATGATGAGCATAAAGTTTATTTTTCGATTTTTGAATTCAAATAAATTTCAATTGAGGTGAAACATTCTCATACACTCATGTAATATACAATATGCTATTGATGATATAGTATCGCAGCCAATTTCATTTTATTCAATATATTAATAAAAAATAAAAACAATTTGATATGTTTAAAAACACTAAATAGTATAAGATACATTACGACTCTTGAGTTTCCGTTTCTAACAATGGAGAATCAATAACAACAGGCTTCTGGAAGATTTCTTTAGCAGATCTATCAATTGCAAGCGTTCCAAGGTTATTTGCAATAAGTAATTGACACATATCAGCCTTTTCTTGAGGAGTTTTACCAGCAAACTCAGAAGAAGGAATAGTTTTCAAGAATGTGATGTGAATATGGCCAAAAGGAATGCAGAGTGCAAGCCAAAGCCATTCTAAGAATGTGTCTACTACCCAATTGTATGTAACTCCACCAAAAGCGAATATCCATGAGTATCTTATCGTAATAGGTTGAATAGGTTCATCTGTAAGGAATGATCCGGTACGAAATCTAAAGACTATATAGCCATTGGAGATTTTACCTTCAGGAGCAATACTTGCTGGGTATTTAGTATGATCTTCCATAACGGAGCGAATTACTGCAGAATTTCCTTGCGATTTAGAACGGTCTATGAATGCAGCACCATTTGCTTCTGCAATTTGTCCTAAGCATGGAATGGATCTAATTCCACTCATTGCAATGATTGTAAATGGTCTAAAAATGAATGTAAGTAGTCCGTCTAATAGCGAAAGATGATTAAAGACGAAAGCTCGAGCATCAAAATCAGGTTTTCCTTCTACCGAAATGTACCAAATTCCAAAAAGAAAAGCAGCTGCACGAATGAATTTTTGAGATGCGTATGTACCATAAGGCTCAAGGATCTTTAAGGCCCACGGAATTTTATAAAAAACATGGCACGGGGTCATAATAATCATATACAAGAAAACAAGAACAAATAACAAAAGGAATCGGAGCCAACCTAATCCAAAGATGAAGAGTAACAATTGAACAAATCGCTGTCCTGCCGTGAATGTAGGTTCCGCATATGCGGCGTGAAATTGCTCGTCTGTAACTGTAGATAAGCTTGTTTGATGTTTTAGTTGGTCATTGCTATGAGGAACACAATCTGAAAAACCCATGTTATACTAGATTTTTTGATGATAAAAATTGAATTGTTACAGATTGAATTGGATCATGGCGGTTTTTTGATATGGGCGTAAAACTATAGTAATTATTGATTTCCATGGAAGATCATTTTTTACAAGGTTTATCTTTGAATTGAAAATAATCGTCTTATGTATGATTCCCTATCTAATCATCATTGAAGTTCTGTCAAACAATAATACCAGAGGATGCGAGGCCTTGAAGGTTACATGACATGTGGTAGAAACAAACTAACAAATTTATTAAAATTATCTTCGAATTTGGGCCTCAATACTTAAAACTATCTTTAAAACAGACTTGATCAGGAAATAAAAGAGATTAATTTGATTAAAAACTATAGCTTATTATTTATTCACATAAATAAAATAATATTACAAACAAAAACAAGATTATAAGTCTGGTTGTGCACCAAGCATATATGTCTCTGAATACCCTTCATTTGTACCCATTTTAAGCTTCATTAAACCGTTTTGACCCCAAATTGGTCCAAAAGCATTTTGGACTATCCAATATTCAGTTCCATTATCAAATTTTCCCCATCCATGGACTTCTATTGTATGATTTGATTGATCATCGTAAGTTGAACTGTCAATTGTAGAAGTATACAGGCCATCTTTGTACCAAATAAATTTGTAGTCGCTAACAATAGAGGCACTGAGTGGCCCTTCTAAGTAAATTGCTTTTTTGATATTTTCAATTCCGACGTAGTGCTTTGTGCTTCGTTTTTTGGCATAATAAAGATTTATTGCTTTGCCGTTCACGCATTTCTTGCAAACTTCTTGATTATAACCTCGGATTCCTCTCCAAGGTTGACACTCTAATTCTGGTACACCATGTTGCTCTAAGTAGTAAAAAACTGCTTTTTCGTTGCCTCCATTACAGCCTAAATTAAATAAATCGCATGAAATTATATATTGGGCCGAAAATTGAATTCTTCTGCGTAATGCACGACAATAACGATGAGCTAATGACTTTAATGCCGAGTATACATAACAACATCCACAGTGTTGGATAAGCGGACCAAAATCACATTCCGGATATTCTTCGAGGAAATTATAATATTCTGGTAACTCCACTGATATATTACTTAAATCAGCTAGCTGTGTATGGTATGGATTCCTTATTGAAAGTAAAAATGAAAGAAAAAACATCAAAAGGAATGGAAAAGTGACATTATGTTATTTGAAATGAAAATCATCAGTCGTATAAGCTAAAGGTAAACCATAATTTGTTAACGATTTTTATTTCCCAAAAATATATCAAAATTAGGAAATACTTCTCTTTGTTTTGCAATAAGAAGAAGAAGGGAAAAAAATTGCACAGATGAAAACTTCATTTAGTTTTGAAGATTACAAAAAGTTACTAAATGCATGCCAGTGCAAGATGATATGAGCCTATTCATAGGTTGACAAAATCTAGCACATTTATGTCAGAATGATACAGATTTCGATTATATTTCATGCCAGACGTATGGAAATTGGAATTATTGCAAAAAATACCACTATCGAATTTCCAATGAAAAGCCAAATATCTTTTTTCCCCAACTTCACAAAGACAGATATCGTCATTTTTTCTGGGATTACTGATCGCATATTACATTAGCCAAAAATCGAAACTCAATTAAACGTTAATTATATGATATAAATAAGCAATAGATCTAATTTGATGATAAATGCATGATAAAAATACATTCAAAAAAATTGCAAAAAGCAAAAAACGAGTTTTTATATGTAAAAAAAGGGTTAAAATCTTGGCTAAGGGTTTTAATGGGGAAATGGCTATAGCCTGCGGTTTTTTAGCCATGCGAAATCCTTACATGAATATATCAAGATTGCATCATATATAAATACATATCAACATCTTAAGATGCGCTTATTTTATGGGAAAACTGTCCATTCATGTTTATTCTTGTAATGAAAAGAATATATGTTTATTCATTTAGAAGTAATTAAATATTAGAAATCAATGACATCATTCATGGCTATATATTGTTTTTCAGCTAAATCAACTTTGACGAGTTCGTGTATAGAAGATTGGAATGTAACGTAAGAACAGAAAACAATCTGTGATGATGTGAATTCGTCATCCCAATTGAAATTCCTGAAATCTGGGAAAATTTTTTCGTAAACTTCTTGAGGACTAGATGTGGCAAGTAGAACAGAGTTTTTTTTTGAGGATTCTCCTGAATTCCGAAAGATATCTAAGCACCGTTTTGAAACAATTTTGGTATTTGATTTGATCATTTCTATTATGATTTGCGGAATATGTTCGTCTTGTACTTGGTAGACAATCAACGTTGTCGAACCTTCACTTTTAGTTTTTATTACCAAAGCTTTGATTTTATCTCTAATGGTAATATCGGAAATAAAATCTATTGGAATTTTAGAGATCATTTCTAAATCATCTTCATCCTGTAAATACATGATATCGAATGTGGACTTTGTTAGAGGATCAGTAAGTTTATTTAATGGCTTACTATAATCATCAGGCCATTCACCGACTATTCCAGTTCCTTCAACTGAGAATTTACAAAAATGGCATGGATCTATTATGACACCTCCTTTGGAAACATCAAGTGGAGGAACCTTCTTCATATTTAAGAAGAGTGATCCAAGATAAACAAAATATATCATCGAATATTTTGTTATAATGTTCCGATCAATTTTTTTACTTTCTGTCCTATAACGCATGTTTGTTGAGAATATCGAATCTTTAAATTCTTCAGCAAGGGATTCTATTCTTGAGTCATTTCCGCGTGCTAATTTCAGTACGAGTTGAATATCAACAATTTTTGATTCTAATTGATGGTCCATATCTATAAATCTATTCTTATGTTCATGTACGACGGCCATTTCATTAAACTCCGAAAGGAGAGTGATAAGATTTTCCTTTGTATCCAAAACAAAAAAGCACTTTGTTAAATTCATTACTATAATAATCTTTTTGGTTTTGTCAGCCTCTTTCACATAATCTAAAAACACAAGTTCGTTTGTAGAGAGAGTACCTGCGGATAATTTTCTGAAATTTTCGGCATCAACGAAGTCTACAGAAATTGGATCTTTGTCTTTAAATATTTGTACTGTTGCGCTATCTCCAACTTTAAATTCTTCAAGCTTAGTTTTGTCTATGTAGTTTTTTTGAAGAAAATCAAAGTCAAAATTATAACTTTTTGGTTCCATTTTGATTGGTTTTGGCTCTGGGGGATTTTTAGCTTTTTTACCTTTATTTTTTGGAGGTTTATTAGGTGTATTCGTTTGGGATGTTTGTTCTTTAGATGTATTCTTTTTGGATGTTTTTTCTTTAGATGTATTCTTTTTGGATGCTTTTTCTTTAGATGAATTAAGTAAATTCGTAACAATTTTGATTGTTGCACCCAAATCAGCTTCTAATGATTTCATCTGATCGGCGAGTGTCTTCATGTCTTGCTCACTAATCTGGTAGGTCATGATATACAAATGAAATCACTTCACTTTACTTGAAAATTAGTCAAAGTCGATTTTTTTTACTTATGGTTAAGTAAAATCGAGGAAAACGTTGAAATTTAAAGAAAATGTGACACCAAAAATTTTTTATTTCGGAAGTCTTCTTCCCAATTTGCTCAGTCTGTGATTTGAAAAAATGTGTCAGATTTTCATTGAATTCCAATGTTTTCCTCGATTTTACCATAACTATACTCTAACTTGTGAAATTGATTTTTTTCTTTTATTTAGTTTAAGGGTCCACTGTAAAAATTGAAAGTCTCTCAAAATTGAGAGGCGATTTGCAAATAATCGTTATCGTCTTTTTTCGAAAATCCACTTTTCCTAGTGTTCTGATTAATATTTTGTGAATGTAACAATAAAGTATATGTTTTAGTAAGATGATAATACATTCTATCACTTCAAATCACATAAAAATTGCAAAATCAACGAGTTTTATAAGAACATGATTTTTTCGAATTTTTTCGCTTCTGGATGCGTGTTTTGAAAAATAGATATTTTCGAATTTTGATTTTAATTTAAGTATAAATTTTATATTAGGAATTTTTTGACCTATTTCCAATCATTAATTCCTAAGTTTTTCTAGGAATTTAATTGAGAAGAAATTAGGAAATTCGCTTTAATGTCATTACATCCTAATATTGTGATGCATGTAGTTTATATTTATTGAGGCTAATGCCGGAATATCGTGCATTTTATAAAAAATTCAAAGAATTGACAATTGGATAGCACAAATTTAATTCTCTAGACAAAGTATTATTGTTTATATATTCAAAGCATTATCCTTCGTTTTGAAATGTTGGCCAAAAATTTTCGTGTTATTTTTTGTGTTTCAGCATAAATTATGTATTGACTTATGAAAGATAAGCATTTTATTCATTATCATAAAGATATACCAAAACAAATTGATAAAATTTTAAAAAATGTGTATTTTAGTGGGTATTATTCTGGCCAATGCCCATTTTTAAACGATTTAATATTGACCATATCAATAGCTGACTCAATGTAAAAATTTAGATATTATTTTTTTCATTATTCAAACTTTGATAAATTTTAGTATAATGAATGATTTTGTTTCGTGTATGATACAGAAATGAAAAGCTTGATTAATATCATTTTGCATTTTTTCAAGAATGTTAGAGTACATCTACATTAAAAAATCGGATTCGAATTGCGATACTGCATCAAATTGTTGCACATCTGATAAGGATCTCAAAAGAGTAAAGTTAATTTTTTTGTGTTTTTTTAAGTTTTGGGCCTTAGTAAAAACACCATCTTGAGCAATATTTTTGGGGCGACGATAGGCCTTATTTGGCCTTACAGTGGACCTTTAAGCAAACTAATGCATTGGAGGACTTTTAGCTCTTTCGAATGGTATTTCGTGCCATTTTAAAGCTCAGCAGTCTAATATTTATCATTGACAATATTGCTCAATTTGATCTTTTGCAATTAACAATTTAGATTCAGCTTACTCAACATGAAGATTAGCAAGCCGTTTTACAATTAATTAATACATTGCAGATCCAAAGAAAAATTTCTTTTGGTTCTTGCAATAAAGAGGAATCATTTAAACTATGAAACACTTTTTGATTTCCAAAAGAGAGTGTCACTACTATAAATATTTACCATGACATTAGAAGGTATATATTCCCGCTCTCTCAATATTTGAATGGTATTTGAAAAATTGAGTGGCGATCAATAATTTCGAATAAAATTTGTTCATTATGTTTTCCGAAATCAAAGATTATAAAAATATATTTGTCCAGATTGATCTTTTGATCGAAAAAAATGAAGATTTCTGATTTTGATTTCTGTCATTCAGTAATGGTTTTTTCTCTTTTAGTTTTCTTTGCTTTGAGCTCCACCAATTTTTTACTTGATGGAATGCAAGAACAGTACAAGCCTGATGATGAACATGTTGAAGTAACAGGCCACAAATCTCAAAAGAAAATCAATCCAAAAGATAAAAAAAATTATTTACCTCCAGCATTCCCTGAAAAAAATTTAGAAGAAGAGTTATTAAAGAGGAAGCGCACGGATCTAAATGATATTTTTGACGAATTTTCCGTTGTACCGGAAAATCCAGAAATTCAATCCAATTCACAGAGTTCAATCAAATTATATGACTTGTCTACACATACAAAGCTCATTTCCATCTCACCATTTCGATTAATTGCCGGGAAAAAAGAAGATGTATATTTCGAGTTACGTCCTGTATCATTTAAAGTTGGGTATGGAAAGTTTGGTGAACGAATTGTAAATTGTTCATTGAATTCAGAATCAAAAATGACGTGTCCTTCACCTCATTTGAAACCAGGCGAAATTAAAGTTTCATTTTCAAGGGATAGGAGAACATGGACAAATACAGTCCCTGCGTTTGTTTATCGAACGAATTATGCATTTCAGATGATATTATCGATTTCTATTTACGCATTTGGCATAGGAGGCCTAATTTTGGCTTTCCTTGTTTTAACAGGTCGATTCCAACTTAATTTATCGAATAAGAAACCAGCTGCATTATTGAATAATCCAGCAAGCTTCAATGTTGTTTAATTGCCAACAACACCACGAAAGTATCATGCAACTTTCATTTATACATGTTTTTATTATATAAAGATGAGTTTTTCTAATAAGATTTTTAATTTTATAAGATTTCATACATTTTCTTTGGCTAGAATGTACAAGATCATATAAATGCTTCCAAAAGACATAAATATCTGCTTTCGAAAGCAAAATCCAAATTGTTAGAGCGTATATTTATTGTAAATATCATAATGAATTATTATATAGGTGATATATATATATAAAATGAAAAAGATTATCGAACTGAGTTTTGAGGCTAAGTCTTAATGGGTCTATTGCAATAATTATTGAGAAGATTATTCATAAATTCTTCTAATATCAAACATAATTACTACAACAAGACCATCAGAATAGTTGTTTGTGGTTTGTCCATACAAATATATGCTTTATGCTTATATGATTTTAGTTATTATGTCACTTTTTTAGCAATATGATTTATGAATTTTTATAAAGAGGATAGTGATTTTCAAAAAGTAAAAGATAGCAATGCAGAGCTGGAAGCTGGGAAAGTCAAAGTAGAGCAAGATTATATAAATTTCTTGATGTCGAATCCAAAAACAATAATAATGAACCTTCAACAGTATGGTAATGATATCCCTGACTTAGGATTTGATTTCTTTAACTTTTGTTTAACTTTATTGGAGGATGCAAAAGTAGGAATTCCAATTTGGGAATTTTTATTACAAAATTCGAAAAACAACTTAAGCAATATATCCTCGCTGAACTTGTTAGAAGTATTTATGGATAAACTTCCTGAATCTTTGTGTTGCATCGATTTATTACTTTCGATTGACGAAAACGAGCTGCGCGCATTCACAGAAAAGAAAATGTTCGACTATATAGTATGCAATTATGCGAATATCAATCCATTTGTAGTTTCTAGCTTATTTTGTAAAGTTTCGAGACAAATCTTTGAAACGGATTTGGAAGATGAAAAACTAAGGAACTTTTTGAATTTTTTGGCTGATACGAATCTCCCAGAAGTGAATTATACCCTGCTGAAAGGAATTAAAAATTTGGCAAAAATTTCTCACTACAATGGTCTATTTTTGTCTCATATCATCATAGGTCATTTCTCATTATATTGTGAAGATTCCAAAATACTGAAAATTGCTTTAAGTTCTTTATCTGATTCTCTTTCTGTTGATACACAGGAAATTCCCAACTTTTCTGAGTTCTGGATCCTTGCTTTAGACATTTTGCATTCTGATGATGAAGAAATGATATCCTCAATTTGCAATTTTTTTGAATCTTCAATAATTGAATTTTCAAAGACAATTTATCCTAATCAGGACATAGTCAATAGATTTTTGGAGTTATCAAACTCAGGAAACTTCCAAATTAAGAGGAGATCTTTGATGATTTTAGTAGAATTGTGTAAAATTGGAAATATCGATGAAATGAAGTATATTGTTGACAACGGAGCACTAGAAATATTTTTCGAGTATATTGAAGAAGCAAAAGATGACGAAAGAACCGAAATTCTGCAAACAATTTATAGAATTCTTTTAGATTACGATTCAATGCCAGATGAGCTCTATGTTGCAATTCATGACCAAATGGAACAGATTTGTGACTTTCTTGACCAAGATAATGATATAGAAACTGAATTATATGATTCTATTATGAAATATTAAGTCTTTTTCTATTATATTAATCAAATTTGTTGTAAATATTAGCATCTATCATAAGAATATCCGTATCATATTAGAGCTAATAGAGATATCTCGAATTTTATTTCAAATTAAGAAATATAAGAAGAAATCCTCATAAACATTGCGATAACCAATAAAAACAGCATGATTGCTGTGCTTTAAATCGAATATAGAGTAAATTTTTAAAATATTCGATCCAAATGTTGAACTTTCGACCAGAAAACATATTATAAAAAACTAAACAAACAGTGAAATTGGAAGAATAATAAAAATTATTTATTAATCTTTACCATGATTCAGATGATGTTTCAGATTCATCCTCACCTTCTTCATCGCTGTCTGAAGCAGCAACAGCATCTCTGATTGATGCAGCGCGTGCAAGAATTTCGGCAAGTGAAAGAGAATTTGGATCTGTTTCTTCGACCTTCTTAACTGGAGGTGGCAATGGCTTGGAATTATCAACTTTCTTGAGTTTGAAGCCACCACGTTTGATCAAATCGAGGTGAGTGAGTGGTGCTGCTGGAGCTTCTTTCTTTTCTTCGACTTTCTTCAGTTTAACGCCTTCCTTGAGCAAATCTGCTATAGACATTGCCGATTTCGGTGGCTTTGGAGCACCTCCTGGAGGAGGAGGTGGAAGACTTGCTGGAGGAGGCGGTGGAGGTGGAGGAGGAATATTCTTTGATGCTGGCTGAGATGAGGGCTTTGGAGCCGAGTATGCTGTAACATTTGGTGTAGAAGATTGAACTTTTGTTACTCCGCCGTTTGCAAGAGAGATAGGAACTGCACCATGCTTGGCTTGTCCTTTTGGAGGTGGTAAGCAGAGACCTAATGGACGCTGTGGTGGAGAAGCCAAAGCACTGATGAGATCTTCGGCATCTTGGTTCTGTTGGCCTTCTGGTTGCTTAGATTTACGAGAGACCAAGTTTTCGTTTTCAGCGCGCTGCTTTTCTTTGCGGGCCTTGGCCTCAGCACGTTGCCTTTCCTGCTCGGCGAGAATGTTCTCGATAAGCTCTTGCTTGTATTGAACTCTAACGAAATCTGGATTTGTAAAGTTGATCGCGAAGTTAACTTCTTTCTCTGGATCTGATGGATCGTAACCCTTTGTGATGCTTGCAAAGCTTGAAAAATCTGGTGCTGGGTTTGCATGTCCAATCATCTTCTTAGCGAATGTTGTCTCTTCGAATTTGAACTCTTTCATGGCTTCATCATCAAGATCATTGGATGTTGGAACGTATTCAGGTGATGCTGTAGGCCAATTGGCTTTTGCAACAGATCTCATACGTTCAATTGCAGATGGAACTTGTTGTTCAATATCTTTTATACGCGCTTGAAGAGTTTTTATCCTGGAAAAGACGGTGTTCGCGGAATTAGCAATATCAACAAAGACTTCCATCGCATATGAAGTAATACATTCTGCTTGCCTCAAATAACCACAAGTTCTTATGCCTGCAAGATAATCAAGTCTCCTATCTTCTGGGCACCCTTTAAACCGCTCCATGGCGGGGGTGTGATCCAGCTCAACGATCGGACGGGCCGGAAACATTTATTTGCGTTACTTTTTGATAAAAAAGTATTGTATATACTTATCTGAATATGATCTTTATAACGAAAAAGGTCTAATCATAAAATCATGATTGACCACGATTTCTCTGAAATAAAAATCCTTGAAAAGTCAACATTAAAATCATTATTATCATTTTTATTTGTTCCAAAATCTTGCATTAATTTGAATTGAATTGAAACATTGAATTAAATTGAGAACTATTCAAAAATTCCAAATGTGACAAAATTTTCTTTATCGTTTATCCTCTTTTCTACTAACATAATACAATATTTAATTATTTATATAAATAACTTAAAACCAACCTTATTTGTAAAGAAAATTGACTACAGTTATTAATTACTCAATAATACTTTAGTGTTTATTTTTAAACGATTTGATCTAAATCTTTCTGGACGATATATATTGAATTACTTCGGTTACACTTTTGATCGATCTCCTTCTCAAAATAAAGTCAATCGTTTTTTGCTAAAAATTTACCCTTTTCCTATGTCAGAAAGGTGAGAAAAACAAAAAATCTCTGATATTGGGAATATAGATTGTTTATTTAATGAGCATTCTAAATATCATAAAAATAAGCATATTTTGTAAGCTGTCAAATTCTAGGAGAACAAAAAAAATCCATATTATATGAAAAATTAATTTGTTATTAGATGCTAATTTTATTTAACAAGAAATAAAAGAAAAATTGTAAGCCCGCCAAAAAGTGTAAACTATTCAAAAAATTTGACATTCAATGAGGATAAAAAAAGTTAAATTTAAAGCATAAAAAAGGATTTTATTCCTATAACAAACATATAAGTAGATATAATACATAATCAACATACTTGTGGTGTTTGTTCTGAGTCTTGAACTCGGCTTGGAGACTGAGAAACAGTAAATTAATCTTCCAGTCGTATCGATCTTTTTCGCTCTTCTGTACTTCTTTAGCTGGTCTTGTCTTCTACTTGCTTTTCTATCGCTTTCCTTGTGTTTCAGTCTTTCTTCAGGTCTTCCTTTTCGTAATCTGTTTCAATTTCCTTTCTGTCTTCGCTTAAGTAATGGTTTGTGAGTTGTTGAGATATTATCTTGTATATGTGTAGCCGTTTGGCATGTTCTTATTGCGCATTTATGCTTGATTTGTTGAAAGATTTGCTAATATTAGATAAAGTTTTTGTTTTTCGTGTGTTTTTTGCATCTGTGTGGTTAGTGCTTCATTGAGGTATCGATATTTCTTACTATCTTGCGTTGATGCTACTCCCAAAAAAATTCCAAATCAATAAAATGATACCAAAAATGTGAAGTGGTCAAGGCCAAAGAATAAAATTTTAAATTTTTTTAGCGGTTATTAAAAAATTTTGTAAAAAATTAGTATAAATTGATTTTTTAACCGGAAAAGTTTGACTTAAGCATAAAAGAAATCTGTTAATAGGTTTTAATTTATCTAAAACACTATTATTTAGTACAAAAAGCTAATAAGAAATTTGAAATTAAATTTAAAAAATTTAACATTGATTTACATGAAACCATATAGATTATATTTAAAACTAATACGTAATTGCAAAAAATTATATAAGGTATCCTGGATCTTTATATGGGGTTGAAATTCAGATCGAAAAAATGTAATTAAATCGGAAACGTTATAAAACAATCATATCAATAAGATGTAAAAAGAATAGGTAAATAAATGATTATATAAACAATTGTTTAATCCACTTCAAAAAGGTAATAATTACAATAATTTATAAAAATCTCGTGTCTGCTAAGTTTGAGATCTTGGAGTATTAAATATTATCGTTGGTAATATGCTTAACTCGAAGTTTTTTGATTTTGTTAATTTTAATATAAAATTTGAATCAAGAGTTTCATTTTCGAACAGCTACTACAAAAACGACCTTTTTCCATTGGAAAAGGTCATTTCTGCCGTTGCTGCTCGAAAACTCTGGTTTTGTATTTCAGAATTTCAACTACCAACATAAATCAAGATCTGATGTTAGGAATAATATTTGTTTCGGGAACAAGAGGTGTGTTGCTGATTTGAAAGGAAATTCTTGAGTTTTTGTGAAATTATCTAAATTATTTCTCCGAAGATCATTAGCTTGAAGGACAAGTAAGGACCTTAAAGAAGTCCAGCGCCTTAAGCTCATTTGACATTTAGGTGTCAGAAATGTGCGCTTTTATGGACGGGGGTATACCCAAGTCTACCAGATTTGCCAAATTTTGAGGGGAAAAAACCGAAATTCTAGGAGGCAGATTTTTTTATAGGAAAAAACGATCGACTTTACAATCTTAGCCAACAAGAATGAGATTATTTAAAAATCCGAAAGTATTCATATTAATTTACCATCCATTATCAATAAGAACTCAAAATTCTTGGATTCAAAAAGTAGATCAAATTTTGTAAAACGATGCTTGGATCTGATAATAGAATATTTTGATCAACTATACTTTTTATTAATAAATAACTATGTTTTAAGGGCACATTTCAATATAATATTTCAAATGAAGATTTGAACTCGTTTTATTGGGCCAAATCACAAAGAAAACATACAAATTCATAAAGATACAGAGTTTAATTCATACTAAACAAATAAACAATAACTTTAAAATATTATAAATCACTAACATTAAAAGGATCGATATCTGAACTCTCCGATTTTAAGTTCTTGATAGAGTTCAATGCGTTGAATACAATTCCTGTTCCAACTCTCTTTGTCTCATCAATCAGCGAATCCTCAACAAATGCACTAATAATATCCAAGTCAACTGAAGGATTGCTTTGGTCTAAGATATTATCTGGCAATGGCGGTGCTGGAGCCATCTCAAAGCTTTCATTTTCAAGAAATTCTTTGGGTGGTGTGGGTAAACTGTCACTTTTTCTGTGATGTTTATGGTGTTTCTTCTTTTTCTTCTCTTTTTGCTTTTCCATTTCGTAAAAGTCTTCTTCCAAAAGATCTATTGGTGGAGGAGGCAATGACAATCTCATTCTCGGTTGATTTCTTCTTTGCTTTGATAATTCTTTAATTCTTTCCATTGCTTCGAAAAATTCTTGACTGTATTCATCGTCGTCATTTACATCTTTCTTCTTGTTTGGATCCCACCAATCAGGAAGAATCCATTTTACATGTGGTTTTGGAGAAGATATCAAGTTCTCTTGATCGATTTCTATATTGTTGAAATCAAGATCAGAATATTCTTCCGAAAAAGTTGGTTTTTCTTCATTTGGATTCCACCAATCCGGAAGATTCCATGTTACATGTTTCTTTTCATCAATTTCTTCTAAACTATCATGCTTTTGTAGTTTTGTTGGCTTCTCTATAATCTCAAACTCTTCTTCGAAACTGTTGTTTTCTATTTCATCAATTGAATTCACGTCATCTTTGTCAAGTTTTTCAATATTGTCTAAACTATAATCATCTGTAAAAGTTGTGTGTTCTGCGTAAGGATCCCACCAATCAGGAAGAACCCATCTTATGTGAGGAATTGTAGGTGGTTTGACAATTGATCCAAGAGAAGAATCAATTGCGGTTATCATGGATTGTATAACGATATCTCCGACCATTCCTTCGAGGTACAAATCAAAATCTTCTTCAAGATATTCTTTGACAGGATCTTCTTCCTGTTTGATGGTTATTTCAGTGAATGGAAAATTGATTTTCATTGCAGATTGGATAGCAATTCTTGAGCAAATTATGGAGACAGTATCTAATATATCATTTCCTATTTCTTCACCAATATTTTTCTCTTTCTTTGGTTGAACTATTTCTTCATCAAATTTGACAGAATTTGACGGTTTTTCTGGTTCAAAGAATTCGATTTTTTCAAACATGTTAAAGACAAAAGAATCAGTAATATCGTAAATCATGTCTTCAAGATTATCATCTATCTCATCGACAACAAGTTGTGTGTCACTGTTGCTTGTAATATCCTTAAGAGTTTCAATTGATTTCTTAAGAATTACATTGTTGAAGAAATCATCAATATCTTCCATCAAATTTCCTCTTAAATGGTTCATCTTCTTTCTAAGTTTCATATCTCTCTTTGAGAATATAGAAACACTGTCTTTGTTTAAGTTCTTCAGATGATTTACTTCAACAAATTCAAGTTCATTTTCATCTAGATCGAAATCAATTTCATCTAAATCAACTTTTGGAGGTGGAATCGAAATTTTGCTGAGATTTTGTAAGAAATTGTTCTCAGAAAGCAAAATAGAAAGTTGTGGAGAAGTAAATTTGATTTCCATTGGAAAGATTTCATCTGCAAATTTGGCTGTTTCTGGTTTTGTAACTTTGGAAATTTCGAATTTTGGTTTCGAGAAAATTTCACTTGGAATAACTAAATGATCAGAAACTGTCATGGAATTAAGCAAATTAGAAAGATCTGGATCTTCTTTCTTAGGAATCGAATTCAACGAGGCTAAAGTGTCAAATTTAAGATCGAAAAGTGACAAATCCAAAATGAAATCATTTGAAAATTCTTCTGCAATTTCTTCTGTCATTTTAACATCACTTAAATTAAAATCAACTAAAGCGGATGTGCTTGTCAATTCTAAATCGTTAGAAACATCAAAATTGATATCAAAAATGTCATTTGTATCATAAATTTCTTCAAATTCTTTGATTGATGGTTTGTCAAAGGAATTGAATGGCATAATGAATTCTAATTTAGGTAGAATAAGCTTGACATCAATCATTTCTGATATCTCATCTGCAAGTTTCGTTGGGATTCGTTCTGGCCTCAAATTCGTATCAAAAATATTTAGTTTCTTTTCTAAATCATCCATTGTTAAATCTCTCGAAAGCAAAGTAACAAAATTCCTTGTTAAAATGAACTGTTCTCTTATTGTTGATGGTCTTGGCTTTCGTGGAACTAATGCATTCAATGGATAAATAGAAACTTTCTTAATTTCTTGTAAATCAGGAATTATTTCGTGATTCTCAACTTTAACTTCGTATTCTGGAATTTCTTCGAAAATAAAATGTTCTAAAATCTTTGTTTTCATTGGAGGAACAATTAATTGGTTGATACTTCTCAGGTAATTGTTAGGAATAAGTTCTTCTGGTAAATTAAATTCTCCTTGAAATAAAACTGCATTATCAAGCGGTTTTAACAAAAGTGAACTGTCAAGTTTTTGTAAATCAAAGTCAAAATCATCATAAACGGATTTAGAAGTAGAATTAATGAATTCTTGATTGATATTTGGTCGAACTGGTCCAGAAATGGTCAATTTCTTGATATCAAACAAAGGAATTGACAAAATTGGTTGATAATTCTTAGAAATTTCCAATGAATCATTGATGAATTTCTGAATCAAAGGTTTAGGTTGGAAATTGAAAAGTGATGTGAAATCAAGTTTGGAAATATCTTCATTTGCGAAGTCATAATTTACAAAAACTTCATTAGCTAATGAAAGAGGAATCATTTCTTTCCTAAAATCGAAAATATTTGTTCTAAAATGAACTAAATCATTTAATTCTTCTTGGAAATTATAATTTGTTGTTTGTTCTGGTGCTTTTTCATTTGAAAAACTATCGAAATTACTTCGATTAAATAGATTTGGAATAAATAGTTTGTCTGTAATTGATTTCGATAATTTTTGATTTTGACAAATTTCTTTAACGTCTTTTTCGATTTTGTCACTTTTCTGAATTGGAGTCAAATTTTCTAAAACAAATAATGATGAAATCATTGGAATCGAAGTGAAATCTAATTGGAAATCATCTGGGATTATGAAAGAGACATTAATTTTTGGTAATTTGCATTTCTTCATGTTTAATAAACTTGAAACGTGACAGATTTGTAAACTATTGAAATCAAAATCAAAATCAACATTTGTGTATTGATAAAAATCTTTTTCTTCTTTTCCGAAATTAGTGAAATTAACATAAGACTTCTTATCAAACAAATTAGGAATAATGAAATCGAAATTGATCATGTTGGAGATTACTTTTGATTCTTTTTCAATTTTGGCTGATTTTGGAATTGGACCTAAATTATCTAAACTAAATTTGTTTTTGCTAAGATCCAAACAAAGATCTGTATCATATTTAATGAATGAAATCTTTTGTTTTGGTTTATATGACTTTGTTAAGTGCAAAAGAGTGTTATTGATTTTAATTTCTTGTAAATCCAAATCAACATCATATTCTTCTGCATTTTGTTCATTGATCTGTTCTCTTTCGAAGTTGAATATGGAATATTTCTTTGACAAATCAGGAATGTGTAAATTAACAAAGATTTTTGACGAAATTTCTTTTGCATCTTTTTCATTTTTCTCGGATAAAACTATTGGTGAGAAATCTTTAATTGGTTTCATTGTATCTATCTCTATTTCACATCTTAAATTATCATCGTATTTAACTTCTTCAGAAAATGTCAAAGGAATTTGAGAAATTGTCAAATTTTGTAAAACTGACAAATCTACAAATTCCAAATCATCAAAACTGATTTCTGGAATTTCGTAATCAGTTGATTGATATTCGTAGAACTCTTTTTCATAATTTGGCAGGAGATTATTAGTTTTGATATTAGGAATATGCAAAATCTCCAAAATATCTTCTAAAACTTCATCTTTTTCTGAAATTTCTTCAGCTTCTTTTTCAAATTTCTCTATTTTATTGTCACTTGAAATTGACAATAAACTATTTCTATCAAAAATAATTTCTTGTAAATCTAAATCATTGATCTCATAATCTGTTGTTTCAAATGGAACCTCTTCTCTTTCATAGTTAATTAAGTTGTTTCTAGATAATGAAAGATGATTGAAATCAGGGAATTCAAAAGAAAATTCCGTTTCTTGTTCATTGATCTTTTGTAAAACAAAATTTTGTAAATTGTAATTTGGCAAAATGTCAGGAATCATTAAATCAATATTACAGATATTCTTTTGAGAGTTTATTGTATTGCCAGCTCTCTGTTTAAGATGTTCTAACCTTGGGTTGTTTGTCAAAGATAATAATGGACTTATTTTTCCTTTCAAATCTGGTGTGAAATTTGAAAGTTTTGGAACAAAAGAAACAGAATCAGCTCTATTAAGTGAAATATATGATTTCTCATAGAATTGTAATGTGTTATTTAATTCCAAGTCATCAAAATTAGTTTGGATATCTACTTGAACATTTTCTGCATCATCCAAAACATCGAAATCATCATAATCTTTTTGGAAATTCATCAAATTAAATTTGTTTTGTTCAATTTCCAAACTTAATTTTAGTTTATATTTAACATCATTTGAATCATCTAAAATAGAAGGAACTGTTTCTTTTGCAAAGCCAATTTCTTGTTGTTTTGGAACTATTATATTTGGAATTCTTGAGAAATCATAATCAAAAAGAAAATCTTCTTCAATGATTTTATCTGAATTTGTTTGAACTAATTCAATCTTCTTAAAATCTTCTAAGCAATTTATTGGTTCTGTTGGAACAACAAAATCTTCTCTAATTATAACATCATCTAAAACTTTTTTGATAAGTCTTTCTTCAACAGTTAATTCTGGTTCTGAAACTTTTGTTAAATTGAAAAGTGAATTTTTGTTTTCAATTGAAAATTCAGGATTTGTGAAATCATATTCAACACCAGATAAGTCTTTGATGAAAGAAGGATATGGCTTTTGTTCAAATTCTTTCATGTGAATATTTGACTTCACTTCACTTAACGATAGCTCATTCAAATCTATCAAATCATTTTCATCGTAATTTTGAATTTGATGTTCTTCGTGAATGAAAGTTATTGGTTTCAAGTTGACAAAATAATCTTCTCTTAAAGTGATGTCTATTTTATCTTCTATTTCTTCAACTTTCTTTTCTATCAAAGGACTAGAACGAGGTTGTAATGAACTCAAAGAGTTGTTAGTTTGTTCGAGTTCTTCTAAATCTAAATCAAATAAATAATTTGTATAAAAATAAGGAATTTTGATTTTTGGAGTAAAATTCTTCAAAAACATTATATCTAAATTAATTCCGAAATTGACATCTAGATCTAAAGATATCTGATTTTGTACATCTTTGATGTCATTTTCGTGTAAATCATTAATATTAAAATCGACATAATTCTCAATATTTTTGACACTTTTTGGAAAAATTTTTGTAAAAATAGAAGTGTCAAAATCAACGGAATTGGTCATCTCCTCCACTAAATTCTGTGGTAATGAATAGTTAATGTTCGGACGTTTTGTAAATCTTTCAATTGGATTTTCGGAAATTAAATCAGAAAACAAAGTGTCAATTTTTGGCAAAACCGTTTGACAGATTTCATATTGTTGGTCAACAAATGGAATAAACCGTTGTTTGCCGAAAATTGTAAACGGTTCGACGGTTTTGACAGTTAAATCGTTTTTGTCAATTTTCATCAAATTTTTGATGTGATTATTAACTGCCAAAAGTGACCTTCTTCTTTGTCTTTTGTTGCTTGGCATATTTGATTCAACAGACATTTTGTTTGACAAATGATTTACATTGATGAAATCATTGATAAACGAGAAATCAGGTTTCTTTAATTCCTTGATTGCAGCTAATCTTGAAATCCTGTTTAACAAACGTTTATCAAGATTTTTGATCTTTGGAAATGGTGTGATAAATTGGAGCGGTTTTTGTAAATCAAATTTGTCAAAAATATTTGTGAAATCAAAATCGATTTCTTGGCTGATGATTTGACATTTCTTTTCATTGATTTTCTGTTCAATTCTTTTATCAATACCTCTTTTAGAAACAGCAAACAAAGGCTTCAATTTATCTCTATTTGTAAAGTTTGGTATTTTTAGAGAAATTTGATTTGCGGCTGTTTTTGTGACTGTTTCAACAATTCTTTGACTTTGTTTGTCTAAAACGGTTAATTTATCGTTGACAAACCGCAAAGAAACATTTGGTTTCGGAATTGATACGAAATTAGGTAAAATATCAAATTTGATTGGTAATTTTTTGACACGTAAACTTGCTTGAGGAAAAACAACGAAATTTTTGATAAGTTTACGTGGCAAATTTCGCCATAATCTGAAATATTTTGTTTTGATTTGTTTTCTGATTTTTCTTTCTTCGTTTGCTTTTCTGAACCAATTTTGGATAGTTCTGGCTGCATTTTCAACAATTGTTTGGTAAATTTTATCATATTTTTCTTCAAACATGATTTTAGCTACTTCATGACATTTCTGACTCATAATTGTCTTCTCTTTCCATAGTAAGAAGTAGTTATTTCTCTTTTGAACTAATTTTTCACGTTCTCTTTCGCAATCTAATTCATCTTTGGCTTCAAGAAGCATTTTTTGACGATTGAAGAGTGTATTCTTTCTTACCATCTGATTGAATTGGTCTTCTAATAAACTCCTCTTCATTTGATGTTGAACTTCTTTATGGAATTGTATTTTTGATAAAATTTCCCTGTACTGTCGCCATTTTCTGAGTAATTTCAACCTAGTTGCTGCTGCTTGTACCTGGTGCTTTCTTTCGAAGTATAGCATATCATCTGTAAATTGTTCCCAAAAAATTCTCGATTTTTCTTTGATACAAGTGTGAATTAGATTGTTTCTTGTCAGTAATTGTGCCAAGTCTATCCAATTGTTCTGTAAGTCTAATCTTTCTCGTTGATACTTGAATTCTTCTAATCTTTCGAATTTTGTATATTTATCAACTAAAGATTTCCATTTGTCCGACTGCTCATGATTTCGATCTATTGCTGTTTGTGATTTCTCTTTCCATTCTGTGAAATGATCAAGAAGCAAATTTTTATTTTGTAATAACGATAATCCTTCGATTATATTATCGCATTTTGCTTGTTTTGTAATTAGATTTGTTAGATTCTGCCATTTTTTCTGTAATACTTTCTTATTTTCTTTCTTTTGGTGATCTAATATTACGTTGCATTGCTTCTTGAACTGTTTCTGTAAGAGATTTCTTGTAAACATCTTCCACATGTATGTTGCATGCCATTTTTTGAATGAAATTCTAATGGTCCGTTCTTGCAAAATATCAAATAAGAGTGCTAATCTAAAGGATTTTCTGTATGTTTCGATTCTATTTGTCCTGATATTGTCTTTTGCAAGTTTAATCCATTTTTGGCGCATTTTTGTCTTGTTAATTATCTTTTTCATGCGGAAAAAGTTTGAAGTAACGTCGAAAACATCTATTTCATATTCACTACCAGAGTGGAGGAGTGAACTATCCGTGCTTATATCACTGGATGAACCTCCTCTGAAAAAACATCAATGATAAAACTTCAAAAAATCTTGAAGTGACCGTTTAATTTACTAAAATCAAAATTATCATATGCCTTGTTATCAATGAAATATGATACACCATATTGAATTCTTTGAATTTTCATATATAAACCTTGTTTGAATGCATCAAATCCTTCTAAATATTATATACTAATGGACATTTCGCAAAGTTCCATATTAAACATGTGAATGTATATGTGTTCCTCCATAGTTCTATCTGTTTCGTTGAAAGAGAGGATAAAGAATTTTAAATTTGAAAAATCATGAAAAAGGAAAGAAAATTTCTCGCTTGTGAATTGATATGTGTTTTATTTTTAGCAAACCAATTAATTTTATTAACATTTTTTTTAACAGATGGATTATGACGAATTAAAAAATTCTTTAGATGAATCAACATTTCAAAAATTGATTACAATTGCCAGATGGGGAACAAATGAAAGTCCTCTTTTTGCATCAGTTGTAGAATATAAAGGCAAAACTCAACCGGTAACAGCAACAGGTTATTTGCTCATTACTGTTGGAGCTATCTATATATTCAAGAAAAGGCTATTTGGATCCGCTGCAATTAGACATCACATATCTTTACTAAATATAATCAACGTTGACCATCAAGGTGACAGAATTACGATATACATTAAAGATAATGAAACAAAAGCAACTGATGACGAAGTTAAAATTCCATATAATACCATGAGAAAATCTGATTATATTACAGAAACCGAAACAGGAGAAAAAACAATACCTTTTGATCAGCATTACTCAGTCACTCTCAAAAGTAGGCAATTTATTAAGAGAATTTTCTTAACTTTATACTTCCTTTGCGAAAGTGCATTAAATAAAGTCGATACTATTATGCATCCTCAATTCAGATCACAACAAATCAAATTACCACCAGTTAACTCACCAATATTTAAAGGAATGCTTGAAAAACGCGCAATTTTATTTTCTCATTATTCTTTTCCAGATGGAAAGAACCTCGAAGCTGCAGAATACTTTGCCACAAAATGGAAGGATAATCAAAACTTCATCATTTCCAAAGGATTTCATCCTGCAGGATATTATCGACCTTTTGCAAACGCTTTAGGCTACGAAACAAAGCTCAAATCAGTTTGTTTTGATGATGCGCACTTCAAGGAGTTCCCAGACTTCGTAAATATCCTTGCTCGAACTTCACTTTTTATAAGTACGATTGCTTTTGCAAATTACAACAGTAACTTCAATCTTGAGTTCAATCTTAAAGATCTCAATGATATAAATATCCTTAATTGGTCAATTATTAACTCAGACCTCAAAGTTCTTGAACATTTCGTAGATTCATGTGTTTCACAAGAATTTTCACCTCACAGACTTTGTTTTGGCCGTTCAACACTTAATAAACAGAATGCTGATAAGTTCTTCCAAACAATTTCCAAGATAAAGAACCTTCACGCCGTGAAAATGTTTGAATTAAATTTTGTTGTTCCTCAATTCGACATTTTACAAAATTTCATCAGAACAATGACATCTTTGGTCGATATAGAGATATCCCATTCGAGTTACGATGGTGGCCAGTTGTTGTATACCATCTGCGAAGTCGAATCAAACATAATGAACATCAATTTGACGGATTGCAAATTTACTGACATTCCGAAATTCAAATTGCCGAAAAACATATGTTCATTCGACTTCTCGAACTCTCATTTCCATGGTTCATCTCTTAGAGATTTGATACAAAACTGCGTTGACTCGAAATCGGATTCTAAATTCGCGTTAAGATTCAAAAACATAAGAATTTCTGAATCTGACATGTCACTTTTGCGAACATTAAAAATCACTGGAAATGACAATTTATGTGAATTTGATTTCAGTGGTAATTTCATTCCTAAAGGCGCGTTCACTGAATTGATTGATTTCTTAGATTCCCAGAAATCCATGAGATTTTTGAACCTCGAAGGAATAACAAGTGATGCAATGTCAAGAGTTATTCCAAAGATTGCAAGATACGTTAAGAACTCTGGTGTAGAAGCATTGTTTATCAATGGACGTATAGCTCCAAGAGAATTCTCTTCATTAATGATGACATTACTTGAAAAGAATTCTCTCAAACGCTTCCATTGCACGAATTCTGGTGCTGGAAACATGACAATTAAATTATTGACAGAAATTGTCAAAGTTTATCCATTGGAAGAAATCGCTTGTGATGGCATGAAACCAGACAAAACAACAGAAGATTGTATATCAGATTTATGGTTTGCAATTGCCAGATCTAAAACAATTAAGAGATGCGATACTCCTAAACAAGATGTTCCTTCAATTACAAAGAAGAAAAACGCAGAACCATGGCAACCTTATGTTAGTTATCCTTACAGGATTAATCCAAGTGACCAAAACTTTGAGATTCTCAATAGAATCAGAATTGCTTGCGGAATGAATCTTATAACAACACCACCGCTGAAAGAAGTACCTGATTTCAATGTCCAAGAAATAATAAACGAAGAAGAAGAAAAGAAAGAAGAGCTCAAAGATGAAGAAACAACAATGAATTTCATCGAAGGTGATGAATTAAATCAGAGAAATAACAACAAACCACAAAAACAGGATGCAATTAGTGATGGAGACTTGGAACTTGAAAACCAGTATTACTCTGATTTCGAGGAAGATGAGTTCTTACAAGCAAATACAAGGAGAAGAAGATCAACAGCAGTTTCTCAGAAAGTGAGCGCATCTGAAAGTAAAAGTGACATTTCTGTCAAACCAACTAAACATGATGAAATGCCTGTATTTTCTCCACCTGCTTCTAGTAGTAAGAAGACAGATGCATCACCTAAAAACTCTTCTAGCACTATGTCAAGACCTCCTCTTTCAAAGAAAGAAGAATCTTCATCTTCATCTTTATCTGACTTTGATTTTGCAGAAATCCTTAGTAAAGTCGGAGCCAAACCTGGTTCTACATCAGATTCGTCATCTGACAGCTCCGATAAGGATACTAGTACTTCTTCCCTTGATTTGTAATCTTATTTTTAAAGACTTTTTATGTATTTTTTTCTTATGTAAATTTAATCAAATATTTTTTTAAAGATAGCTTTATCAAAGCAATGATTATGAAAGAATATCTGAGAAATGACCAAGATGGCCAAAACCTAATCTCAAATCATAATTAATTGCATACTGATTTTGCTTCTATATGTAAGTGATTGATTGAGTCTGTTAAAAAGCATATCTAGATAGCCAAAAATACGTATACCGAATTTTTTATATATAGTTAGAAAAGAATCCTCTAAAGTATGATCATAACCTATCCTATTGAGCAGAAGATACAATTTTCTTCGACTTATGCATGATATAATTAGTAAACAATGTTACATTGTTGAGTTGTGCAATATTTTTATATTGAAATTGGCATTAAGAAATTGGATCATGTTGTGTATTAATTTCTAAGCGAGAATGCATCCAATCTAGTTTAAACACAATTATCTTGGGTATTGTACTTAAATTATGCGTTAAAAGAACATATTACATTGAAAAGTGAAAATTCCTCTTAAAGAAACCAGTAATACAAGTTTTCATGTAAGTTCGTCATATATTTGACTCCATATGAAGCTGAATTCCATGTAAATATTTCATTTTGTTGCGAAATTTAAAAAAGTTTAATACACGAAATAAAGTCATTTCAAGAGCCTTGTACCGATAAACTAGCCTTGTACTGCCATTTTATGGTGATGTAAAGTATTCAAAAAATTTGCAATGTAAACCATTACATGGCAGAAACTTTAAAATAAACAAAAACATGACACTTAGTACAGGGGCTTTTTGGCTGGTGAAGTCAGATAAAACGTGGCTCAGGTGCTCGTTTAAAATTAAAAATGGAATTTCTCACAGTCGAATTTCTTGGTAGACAACAAAAGTTTATCATCAATTGTCGCGCCGAAGGTATGACATATAGTCAAACTAAGCTTGCATGGGAGGAAGAATACCCAGATCTCGGAACTTTAACATCCAATCTCATTGCTACTGCACTTAAAAGAGCTGCATTAGGTCTATACTGGGAAAAAGGGAATCATGGCGGTGCAGATCCATACCTATGCGAGCGTGATCAGCTCACTTTAAAAGAAATTATCGAAGATTCTGCTTACAAAGGTGAAGCTCTAGAAGCAGCTGACATTATTGACGAGGCGTTCAAGTTGAAAGAGCTCAGAAGAGATTATGGTTACAGATTCCTTCTTGAGATTAATTGTCCTACTCTTGCAGAAGAAGTTATCAATACTCTTGGTGGTGATGATGTATCGAGACCTTATGTTAACCATATTTTACAGCAATTGCATTGCAAGCTTAAGGCATGCCAAGAGATTGAAGAATCAAGATACATGGCGTGTGAACCAAGAATTATCGAAGAATTCTACGATAAACATCGTGAAACAATCGAAAGTACTCCAGAGGAGTTGATTTTTAGTATCGATGAAACATTCATAAACAAATTTAAGAAGAAGAAAGTTGCATTACCTGAGGAGATAGAGCATATGATCACCAAAGGAATTCCAAACTTTCCGCACATTACAGCTTTATGCGGATGCTCAATGACAGGCAAATCTGTCCCACCTCTCTTTGTTCTCCCATGTATTGCAGAACTACCTAGAGAACTGAAAGTATTCCAGCGCGAAAGACATTGTTGGTTTACTTCTACGCCAAAAGGCTGGGTGAACAGAAGTGTATTCTTATTGTATTGCATTTTCTTCATCGAGTGGCTTAACTTTGAACGCCAGAGAATGCCAGAAGATATACGTGACAAGCCTGCTCTCATTGTGTGTGATGGACACTCCAGCCGCGAGAATCCTCTGGCATTGTTCCTTTTGGCAAGTGCCAACATCAAATTAATTGTTCTTCCCGCACATACAACACACATTTTACAAGTATTTGATGTTGGCATTGCCAAAAGATTAAAGTCCAAATTCACGGATTATCTGAGAGATTACATTAAGGCACCGAAGCAAGAGTTCAACAGCAATGCTGCAATGATGCGCTACGCCATTATCTACTCATTTATTAGCGCATGGCAAGAATCAGTATCATTAAGAACGGTTCAAAATGCTGCCGCCGCCTGCGGTCTTTGCCCTTGTTCTGTAGAAGCTCTCAAACATAATAAGTATGTTCGTGAATTGACTCCTGCAGAAAAAGAATTGCAAGAGAAAAGAAATTACCGTAATCGAAATCGTTTTAACATCAATGGTGAAGAATTGACGACGATGGACATGATTTGCGCAATTTCTGACAATATTAAGAAGAATCCTGCAAAATCTGTGATTTGCAGGAAGCCAGAACAAGACACCAAGGAACGTTTCTACTTTTGGATTACAAACTATCTTGATCCCAGCACTGAGTTGTTGACAAAACTCCCTAATATGCCAGGTTATAGTCCAAATGATTAGGAAACAATAAGAATTACCGAAAAAGTGACAAAACATCAAAAACAGGGAGGGGGTCTCAATTTTTATTACTTATATTATTTTACAATATTTATATAAATACTCTTTATAATATATTTTACTATAAAATTATACCTCAAATTCAAATATTTAAAATATTATTTACATAATTATCTCAAAATTATATTTTTATATATTATTTTTCATATGTATAAATCATATAATCTATATCTATGCAAATCTCATCTAAATTTTTTTGAAACAAACCGCTACCATTTTATAATGGTCCATCTTAAATTCATCATAAATTCTGGTACATGTTAGTACCAGAGTCTTCAAATCTCAAACACTCTGGTACCAACATGTACCAGACGCGAGTTTCCAATGCCCTCGTACGATTTTCTATTAAGATCTTCTTGAATGAGAAGGTCTTCATAGAAACTCGTACGAGGGCTTCTCTTTTAAATACTCTGGTACCTGCTGGTATCGGAGTCGACTTTACAGCTCTTTCCCCAATTTTGAAGCTGGGGAAAGTTTTCAAGCAATGAAAGGGAAGCTCTCGCTATGAGGTGAAAATCTAGAATTTTTACCTCATAGCGAGTAATCCTTTGTTAATTGCTTGAAAACTTTCTTCAAATTATCAAAATTTCGAGGAAAGTTTCCTTGCTTCAAAGTAGAGATGGAGCCCTTTGAGCCACTGCATATAGGTCAGTGACTCAAAATACTCCATCTCTACTAGAAATCGCCAAAATTTGGGTCGCAATCTTTGAAATGCGACGCAAGTTTTGGCAATTTCGCGAGGGACTTGCTCCATTTGGTGCATAGATTCACACTCTATGCACCAGATGGAACAATTCTTTCGCTGACAGCGGGAAACTTTGTCTGAATGTTAAACTATTCAGACAAAGTTTTCCGCTGTCAGAGAGGGAATGGAAGGGTAAGAGGTATATATTCATAATGTATACCTCTTACTCTTCCATTCCCTCAAGAAAGTTCAAAAACTTGGGTGCAATCAGTTCTGATTGCACCCAAGTTTTGAACTTTATATAAGGAATTGTTGGCTATGATGTACTGATCATGAATCAGTACATCATAGCCAACAATTCCTTCGCAAACAGTGGGAAACTTTGTCTGAATAGTTTAACATTCAGACAAAATTTCCCGCTGTCAGGGAGGGAATTAGAGGGTGGGAGATATATAGATAGACTATAAATCTCTCACCCTTTAATTCCCTCAAGAAAGTTCAAAAACTTGGGTGCAATCAGTTCTGATTGCACCCAAGTTTTTGAATTTTGTATAAGGAATTGTTGGCTATGATGTGGATAGCCGCTGCCAGACCAAATGAATTAACCGTTGTGAATAACGTTTCTGAATCTTTATTTAAAAAGATAAAATATCACGATTTTGGCTGCGTTAAAAATCAAAGAATTGATGTTTTTGTCAAAAATCTTTTAGAAGAAGTTGCACCCAATTACTTTTATCGTATTAAAAACGATTTACTTCAAACAGGTTTTATTCCTTCAATTAGAATTCGCGAGCCTCGATTGACAGATTATAAAACAAAATTGAAAAGAGAAGTTCAATCACGTTTATACCAAGTATTAAATTTTGTTCAGAATCAAGAAGCCAATTTGAATCCATTAAGATTTTTATTGGAAAATGCTGAAGAAAAACTTTCTCAAATAAATGAGAAGATACAAAATTCAATTACATATTTAAGATCGTTTGAAATTCCAAATGAATTGTTAGATACGTATATGTTAGAAATTAATGAATTTTGTTATAATTCTCCAGATTATATTTTAGAACATTTCGAAGAATTTTTAGAGGATTTCAAAGAAAAGAATAATTTAATAGACTAAAAAATTTATTATTTTTATTTATTGTGAATTTTAAATTGTCACTTTTTAAGTGTTACTCCCTATTGAAAGTGTCACTTTTTGGGTGTCACTTTTTCGGAAATTCTTATATACTCAAATGATTAGGAAAATTTTCCAATTTTCCAACAAAAATTTTCCAATTCTCCACCAAAAATTTTTAATAAAATATTATTTTACGGCATTGCCCGTCACTTTTTTCGGTACAAGGCTAATATCACGGTATAACCCCCCTGAAAAGTATATAAATTCTATTAAAATGGATTTGATCCAAAAAAATATATAAAATTTGATCATAAATCAAATCGTTTTAAATTACTTCTTTATTTAAATTATAACAATTATTTTTGGTTTTATATTTTTTTGGATCAAATCCATTTTAATAGAATTTATATACTATTCATCTATTAGTAAACACTACCGTATATTATTTTTTAAGCTATCTTATTTTTTGAAATTTTATTCAAATCTTTGGTCGCAAGAAGAATTGCATGATAAATAAAAACATTTAATCAAAGTCAATTTTATTTTTCATATTCAAATGGACTGAGTGTTAACATTTAACATTTTTTGCTAATTGTCGTCAAAAATTAGGCGTAAAGCAAAAATTAATATTTCATATGGTTTTATGATAGATAAGCATTATATTCCCACTCATTATATTCGTAAATTTTGAGGTTTATCCTTCGCTTTTAAGATCATTGAATTTGATTTTTATATAAAATAGTTATATATTAGAAAATAATATGAGTTTATGTGATATTATTTTTCAGAAGATTTTGTGTTCTTCTTCAAAATTTTATTTATTTTATTAAAAAGAATCTTTACAAAATATATATTTACTTTAATTAATATTTAAAAACGTGCTCTATCAAAAGTTCCAAAAAATCAATATTTTAGCTTTTCTGAGGTGTCACTTTTGATGAATTTCTGTTTACAACAGGCCGAATGGCGGGTACTAAGTACCCGCCATTCGGCCCCAAAAATGTCATATTATTCTATTTTTAAACGGTCATGGCGTAAAACCGTCGCATCCCTATCTCATTTTTTTGATTTTGAAAAAAATTTGGAGAGAAGATCTCTTCGTTTTTGAATTTTATCACGATGGTTTTAAAGTATATTAGACACATGTATTGATATTACTATTTTTGTATATTTTGAGAGAAAATCCCTAAAAAGTGAGAAAATCTGAGACGGTTTGAGAAAATATATAAACTATTGAAAATTTGAATTAAACTTCTAATTTGGAAAAAAAATTTGGAAAGAAGAAAATTCAAAAATCGAGATTTAGACTCAGCATCAAATGGAGAACAAAATGTTTCTTCATATGAAGGAAAAAAATTTTCTTGTGAAGAAATAGAGTTTTTAAACTTTTATTGTATGTAATGAAATAAACAAATATTAAAATTATTTTTTGATAACAAGAAAATTCCCAACAGAAAATATTTGAGACAAAGAAAAAAAGAAAATTGAAAAATATTACTCTTCTTTATATTTCATGAGATTTTAAATTTATTCTCATAAAATTGACAATTTTATACGTTTAGATGAAAATAAGTGATTTTGCTTGAAATAAAAGTTATTGTTTGCTTACAGCTATCAAATAGATTTTTGCTATTTTGATTAAAATTTGTTAATCAAATTAATAAATTTTTTCTAAATATCTTAAATATCTGGATCATTCGCTGATACAATGAATTGAACCATAAAAATAATACAAACTCAAATAAGTTTCCTGTTTTTCAATTAAAAAAATTATGCAAATTAAATTAAATGAAATTGTTTATTCAAATATAAAACAAAGATGAAGTAATTACAGTTATCATAAACTTTATGAATAACTCTGTAATTGGTTCAGATTTTCGTAAAAATATTTTTATTAATATCGATAAGAATACGTTTACCTACTATCACAACATATCGATAAACAAGAGTAGAGTGATTTTTATCATCGAAACTTTTTAAAAGCTGTAAGCTGGAAGTAAAAATCTTGTTTTTTCTGAGTCAGTTGTAGAACTATTGATGTACGAGTTATCATTGTGATGTAGAAGGATGTCAATGTACTGACTGAAGGATATGAAGTGAATTGAATTTCATTGAATTTCAATTTGATCAAAATTTGTTGAAATGATATGAATGTGTCAACATCTGTATCACTCTCTTTCACTCCTTCCCTATTCTTTCGAGAACGAAGCTAGCTCAGCTTTCGCTGAGCGAATTGACACTTTTGATGCCCTAAACGTACATATTCTCAAATTTATCGAAAAAATTATACCACCCAAACTAGTATATTCTTATTTTAAATATGATATTATCCTTAGAAATCACACTAGAATATATTTAAATCAACTTTTAAAAAAGTTCGAATCCTGCGCGTCTCACTTTTTAAATTTTCCAAATGGAAAATTATATTCTCCTAAAGTGAAAACAATTTTCCAAATTGACTTCCTTACCCTACAAATATCTATATTAGATATCAATCAAATTTTGCAAAAGACCAAACATTAGGAATTTGAATTAATAGTTTTCTTAAATTATTTCAAATAATTGAATACTTTCCAATCCGCAAAGTCATGTCACTTATATAGTATTACTTACAATTAATGTATTTATAATTAAATTTAATCTCATCTGATGTTTATATTCAATTCATTTAAGTTTAAGATTAGCATTTAGAAAGCATACATTTTGATTTTAATAATATGGTGTTCTAAAAATTAAAAGTGACAAAAAATTTTCTTTGATTTGTAAAATCTTTGAGTTTTTTTATCTATGACCAAAATATATCATTAATGAATTGATATCAAGCTTGTTTAGTCCTTTGTAGAGTATTTTTAATTAGAGCATTAACCATCTTTCAGTTTTCGGATTTGAATTTGATAGTTGTTTATATTTTAAAGATCATGATTCATTCCAGAATGTTGCATTAGTTTCTCTCTCGAAATTCGTTTGAAGTTCAATCATTATATGTTATTTCATGTTTGCAATTTACAATTATTATTCTTTCCGCGAATAATCAGAAATTATATTCAAAAATTGAATTTCGACGTATATAAAATTGTATTGAAATATTTGTCTACGAAATCCGACATAAATTAGTAGCAAAAGTGATATATAGTAAAGATCATATTTCTTATCCTTTTTCTCTCATTAATTCCTAGAATTGTTTTATTTTTTTATGGATTCAAATTGGACATTTCCCGTTACCAGTCCTCATTTCTTAACAAAAACATGGAATGCATATAATGGATCCATACCATTTATTATCTCCGATTTAGTAAAAGCTATCATTGAAAAAGGCGGAATGGATACTGAAGGTATTTTTAGAGTTAAAGATGAAAATAAAAAAATAGACGAAAGATATCTCTCTTTAGATGATGGAAAATTCAGAGTTTTCCCTGAAGAAGATTCTCCTGTTCTGTTATCCTGTGTTTTGAAAAAAGTATTGCAAACAATGTCAACAATTGATCCTCTTTTTTCCCTTGAAAAGGTTAACGAAGTTTTAAAACTTACCGATGATAAAAGCCTCCCACAGGAAAAATTAATTGAATCAATCAAAGAAATTGCGAAAGGATTAGCTCCACCACAGAGAAATACAGCCGCATACCTCATGGACTTCCTTCACCAAATTACGCTGCATCCACAAGCAAAAATGGATGCAGAAAACATGGCAATTTGTTTGGGTGTTTGTTTAGTTACAAAATGCCCACCTGATATGATAAGACGTCTCAGCCAGTTCCTACATCCTTTCATCGAATACTCAGATCAGATATGGGAAAAAGAATGGTTTTCAGAAGATAAAATTTTAACAGATCAGCAAGTGCAAGTCTATTTCCGCCCTATTGTTGAACAATATGACATCCAAATTGAAGCCGAACGTCGATCCTATAGGGTTAGATCTAAGATTCCAGTTGATCACGAATACAACGACAAAATTTTGGGAATCCAATTTCCGAGATAAATTTATCTCCTTACCTGCTTTCATATTTTTATATTTGTTTCTTGTAAGGGTTTCGTTTTGCTAAAATTGTCACTTTTATAGCATATTTGTTTTTGGATGTTTTGCGAAACCAAAAAAAAAAAAAAACTATGATATACAATGTGTGTGTAAAGAAAATACTTTATTTACTAGTTAAAAAATCATTTGGTATTGATCAAGTTATTTTTTCTGGATAAGATATTATATGGATAATTGGATAGAAAATACAATTATATAATCTTGTACCTGGTTTAATTAAGCTAATTGTCATCAGAAACTTGTAATTTTTATGAATTTCAGATTTTCTTTTCATTACTGCTTTTCTTAATAGGTCAAGTTCTTATTTACGTTATAAAGTATGATATTTACAAATATCAAGTTATCGTGTTTTTTGAGAAATTATGAGAAACAAACAAAAATGAAAAAGATAGGAATAGCAATGAATAGTGATGTGGGTATAGAAAATGTAAGAGATATGAATGCAAAGCAATCAGTATTTAGGACATTGACCATAGATTTCGAAAAAAAAATGCTGCATATTGAGCGAAAACTATGATTATATTATAAGGCTGTCATTTAAAGCATAATGAAACTATTCCCTTTTCATTTTAATCGAATAAGATAGTAAAGATTTTTGAATTAGCTAGAAACTGATGAGATGTTTTCACAAATCAGATTTTTAATCTCTATAATGCATAATTCACTCAATATCTCAATTTTGATATTGCGAGATATTTTTGCTATCGGTTTCGCAATTTTGACACAATAGCAAGAGGGTTCTATAAGCATTATTATCAACGTAGAATCTGAATATCATATCAGAAAATGTCGCAAATCTGACATTTACCCGACCAAATAGCAAAAATAATTGAATACTTTTCGCAAAAACTTTTAAAATCGATAAAAATATGAAATATAGATATTAAAGAGACTTTTTATATAATATTCATAAAGATTTTCCAAAAATATGATACCGCAAAATTAAAAAAGTGACGTCTTGAGTGGAGTCAAATGTCGAAATTGCTAGCTAAATGTTTTTTTAGCGAAATTGCGTATTGTACGTTTTTTTCGCAAAACGAAACCCTTATTTCTTGTTATTTGACTGCAAAAAGGCGTACTAAAAAGTGACATTCAATATAAACCCTTTTTTCGAAAAAAACGTATAAAGTTCTCAATTAATCACCTGTTGGAGCTCTAGAAGGTTTTAATGACTTTCCAAACCATTATCGCGCCTTCTTATATAGGGCCCTACAAGTTTAGGAAAACTATAGGTGAAGGTGCATTCTCTGTGGTTAAGTTGGCAATCAACGAGGCTACAAAACAATTCTTCGCGTGTAAGATTGTGCCACGCTCCTCATTAAACTCGAAAGAATTGGAAGATAGATTTGAAATAGAAATCAGAATAAATCAACAAATTCATCATCGCGGAGTTGTTCAAATTATCGATCTGTTATCGGACGAAATGAATTACTATATATTTATGGAGTTTTGCCCAAGCGGAGAATTGTTTAAATATATTGTCGATAGAGGTAAACTTCCAGAAAATGAAGCACAAATTATTTTACATCAGATTTTGTCTACTTTAGCTTTTGTTCATTCGTTAGGAATAGCTCATAGAGATCTCAAACCAGAAAACTTACTCTTTGATCCATACGGAAGAATCAAAATAAGCGATTTTGGCTTGTCCAGATTTGTCGGCGGAGGAGGTTTAGTTGAAACCCCTTGCGGCTCCCCATGCTATGCATCACCAGAATGTTTAAGTGGCGAGCCCTATGACGGTAGAAAGAGCGATTTATGGAGCCTTGGAGTTATTTTATATGCGATGGTTACAGGGCAACTCCCCTGGACAAAACGTACTCAAGAACAGTTATTCATTCAGATAAGAAGTGGAGACTTTATAATCCCTTCGTATTTAACTCCTGAGTGTCAGGAAATGATTTCAAGTTTAATGTCAGTAGATCCTCTAAAAAGAGTTTCTGCCGCTGATGCACTTAAACTACCATGGTTGACCTCAGTTCATCCTGATTTAACTGGGGATCAAGGACAACAATTAACGATGGTTAGTCTTAAAAAAGTCGATGAATTCTTTAATCAGGGAAGCAAAGATTTGAATTTAACTGGCGTGAAGCCAGAAGAACTCGGCCAAATGGCTTCCCAACGCCCTACAGATTATAATTTCATCGTTAAAGAAATCAAAAATTCACACAGATTACCTTCACTTACGCAACCGATTAGGCGCTCTCAATTACATCCATTAGTCCCATCCTCGGTGCTTTTTAACAAAACAAAAAAGCCTGTTTCTCGCGCGACCGTAGAAGTCGAAAAACCAGTTTCTCTACCAAAACTCGGTAAGAAACCCACTGCGAAAAACGGGATTTCCGTGCTTATATAAATTGTATTGTTTATTAATAATTTTACAAGTATTGAAATTGAAAATCACATTGAATTGAATATTCTTTCTGAATTTTCAGACTTGTGTTTTTTTAATAATTCTATTTGATTAACCAACTATGCAAAATAAATTTCGATATGAAAATTTTATTAATTTTTGAGTAATTTTGCAAATGTGTAAAATAAACGTTGAATTAATTGCATAGTATATGTTTTCTCTAAATCCACGAGTGAGGATTAATCTTTATGGAGAATTCTCACAAATTTTTGATTGGGCGAATATCTGATAAGATTAAAAATGTTTTATGAGGGGCTCATAATATGTTACACTTCATTTGAAGAATGATTTTACAAATTAACTTTGTTTTCAAAATTGAATAAAAAACAGTAATTTTCATTTATTAAAATATCGTTATAACTTTGGATTTAAAATCAAATGAATTCAACGGTTCATAAAACTGTAACTATTCAATTTTTTGCAATTTGAAAATTTAATAAAAATCTTAAAATATTTAATTTTCATCTTGATAATTCTTTACAAATTGAAGAATATTGCATAACTTCTTAGAAATTTCCCTTTATTATTTCAATTACTTAAATTCTTGAATGGTATATATATCTGCATCGGTCTATTGGAGCCAACATGAGTTCTGTTGTTTAGTATTCAGTAATTGACATTATTTTTAATTAATAGAGATAATATTCGGCTGAAAAAAAAATCATGGTTATGTTAATAAATCATGAGTCTATTTAATTCCCTTGTTATTTTTAATTTTTTTTCAATTCGAAATATATTGAAATTAAAATTGAGACTTGAATTACCTAATTTATGATACAATAATCATTGCAAATCAGTTTAAGATTATCTGGTTTAATAATAGGCAATTCTATTAAATTAAAGTCAAACTTGCTAAATTTTCAATTTAAAGATCAAAATTAAACTGTATTATTGTTGCATGCTAAGATCAGTCATAATGTAAACCTCTCAATTTTATTGTCGTGGGAAGTATCTCAATTCCTTCAAAAAAATTGAAAAACTATTTAATTTTAAAAATATAATACTTTTAATTCGTTAATTAATTGGAGATATTTTTTAAAAAATCACTTTTGATAATACTTTTGAGAACTTTAATTCAAAAAATATATTCAAAAATATCCAGGATATCAAGAGGGAATTGTTCCTTATGAGGTATATAGTTATGATGTATACCTCATAAGGAACAATTCCCTCCTTAAAACGAGAAAACTTGTTCGAAATTGTTTATCATTTCGAACAAGTTTTCTCGTTTTTAATAAGAAACTAAAGGCTATGAGGCACTGATTATATATTAGTGCCTCACAGCCTTTAGTTTCTAATAGATAGCTGGGAAACTTTCTCCAAATGATAAGTTATTCAGAGAAAGTTTCCCAGCTATCAAGAGGGAATTGTTCCTTATGAGGTATATAGTTATGATGTATACCTCATAAGGAACAATTCCCTCCTTAAAATCGTAGACATTTTTATACTTATTAATCAACCATTCAAAATCATATTCCTCTGAAAAGTTATTTTATTAAAAATTTAGAATTTTAATAAATATAGAGTTTAAATTTCATACAATACCTATATATTTTCAATAATGGAATTTGAAAACCATTCTCAAAAGTTCTCAGAAAACACTTTTTTCATTAATTTTAAGAAATCTGAGTATTAAATTAAGTGATAAATTCGTTTGACACTACTTTAATTTTTAAATTCAAAAAATTATATGTGCTTCTTAAAATGACTCAAAAAATTTTTTATTATAAAATAATATATAATATTAAAAATCCCACAACATTTTTTTACTTTACATAATCGTACTTCCTCGACGATTAATTTCCACTCAATTTCTATTGTTGACCGAACTTAGCATGCAACATTATCGTATTGATTGCATTAAGTTTTGTTTTATTTAGGTGAAATCTGTTTTATATGATAATTTTTTATGTGATCTTCAAATCTAACCTCATTTATTTCAGAAATGATATTGACAGTCCACATATAAATATTTGGAGAGTTTTCAATCAAATTAGAAAAAAAAGTTATGAACCAGTTGTGGAAATGATAACGATTACTAGTTAAACTCAGCATTTGATTAGTTTATTTTATTGCATTTGGCAGCCCATTCATGAAGACGTGTCATATTTTCAATGACAAAGTCCTTGTCTGGTTTGGCGCAATCGACATAAAATAATGGAATTTGAGGGATTTCATTTATTCCTGATACTTCAGATAAGTAGCTAGTTATTTGTGGATTGAACTGTTCAAAATGAGCATTCCTATCTGGAAAATCTTCCTCGCAAAAAGTGATTATAACGCAGATGTGAGATAAGATTGCTTTTCCAAATATTTCAATGGCTGTTTTAATAGCATTCTTGTCTCCTGTTGAAAGTTTCACTGATAGCGCGCGTTTCACAAGTCCTATCGCATTAATTCCCAATGAATTTTCTTTGATAAACTGGGAAAGACTTGATGTCTTTTCTTTCGATACCATTTCATCGTCATAACCTACAGTATCAATGGCTATTCTCTCTACGCCGTTTACAATTCTAGATTGGAACTTTGGTACAGAAGTACATACAGTTGAGTCATTACTCGTTGTAAACATATCTCCATTGAGGTAGAGATTGCAAACAGAACTGACACCAGATCCTACTTCTCCGGTTAGCATCACAGCAACATTGTTTTGGGTTTCCTTGTTTAAAAATGAATTGATGAAAAATTGAAAACGCGATCAATCGAATTTTTTCCGACTACCAGAAAATCTATTTACTGCTTTCATTTAAAAATAATAGTATATATAAGATATATATTTCATTTTTTATAATAAATGAACTGGAAAAGATTTCACATTTCGGAATATTTTGGGAGTTGAAAGTGAAGTTGTGGTTTTTTTTTGTTGACAGTTCACTTCATCTTATGATTTTGTAATATTATTCATTATTAATGGTTCTAAAATATTTATTTTGAGTAAGTATCATAGAAATTATAATAATAATTTTAGCACTTCTGGATTATAAGTTGATTTTAATTCATATTGTATTTCCAGTATAAATATATATGATTACACAATTCAAAATCTGAAATCAAAAATGGGGAAAAATATTAAATTTCCATGCAACAATATATGAATTAAGTAGCCTATCTTTAGATTCTCACACTTAATCACACTAGCTAATGATATAGCAAATTGCAATGATTTGATAATTAGAAAACGCCATTCAAGATTGTTGAACATTAGTAATTGTAAATAAAAGGGATATAATTATATTATTCATTTAGAAACCTGTAAATTGCATTGAAAAATGATCCAAAACGAATAAGTTAAAAATAAATGTCACTTTTCAAAAGCGTTAAAATGAGTGACGGAACTCTTTTTAACAAGCGCCAAATTAAAACGCTCAGAAAAGCATTTGATCTTCGTGCTAGAAAAGTTAGTGGAACACTTACAAAGGAAAAGATGAAATCTACTATCAAATCTTTAAGATTAATTCCAGCTCCATCAGAAGATGAAATTGATCAAATGTGTTGCTATGAAGAAGTCACATTTGAAGATTTTGTCATGACAATTTACATGTATATGAGAGCAGTCAGTAATTCTAACGAATTAATCAGAGCATTCCAATTCTTCGATAAAACGAAATCTGGTTTAATTTCGTTTGACACGGCGATTCAAATTCTCCAGAGCCAAGGTATTCTCTTATCTACAGTACAAAAAGAAGCAATGCGCGCTGAACTACAAGTAAGGGAAGATGGGATGGTCGACTATGTTTCGTTTGCTCATCGTGTTAGACCAAATTAATTATATTTGGATTGTTATTTCTATATTATTATTTTCGAATACTAATTTTCGAAAATATTGGATAATGTTATCTTTTAATCTTGTATGGTAAATTAGAATTGATTAAATATTGTTAATTTTCGAAATATTTTTGATAATATTTTTATAAAGTTAAGGATATTTTTAAAATACTCTAATGCAGCATTCTGATGTCAATATTTCAGTGTCATATTTTCGCCAGATTTTATAGTTTTGTTCATTTTTGATGTCTGAAGCCGATGGAAGATTTTCTAAAGTCAAAAACAAATCCAAATTCAGCGATAGAAACTCAAAAAATCCGAATTCAGGACATTTCAAGCATAATACATCTAAAACTGGAAGCCAAAATGAAAATAAATCAAGTCAAAAATCAAATCCACCAAAGAAAATGAAATCTGTTTGGATGGAATCTTCTGATTCGTCTTCAGATGATTTCGTATTACCTAAAAAAGATACAAAGCCCACAGAAACAACAGATATTCCCAAAAATGTTCATTATTCAGAGAATGTTAAAAATATTCCTGAGGTCGGCACAAGTGAAAAGTATACTCCTTACCAACCTGAAAATCAACATCCAGATCAGCAAAATTCTAAATTTGGTGATTTAATTCCACCAGCGCAATACAATCCTGATATTTATCCACCAGCTCAACCGTATATGCCTTATTACCCTCCTGCAATGCCAATATCAATGCCGCCACAAGATGATATTCCACAATGGTCGGAATGGAGTACGGATACATTAGGACCTGATTGGACTATTAGAATTGATGAGTATGCTGGGGAAACTGTTCCAAAACCCGCATTTGGCAAGAAAAATATATTTTAATTTTTATATTTTCTTTGTTTTTTGGTTTATAAATTGTTTATAATAATAAGATATGTAAGGTAAATTAGTAAATGCTTTTTAATTAATAAATGTTGAGATCGATGCCTGAAACTATGAATTTGAGGATATTCTGATTTCATTTTGTGTTCACTTGATAGCTTACAGTAGTGTACTTGACATCATTCAACATAAAAAATAAAATAGAAATATCTTGAATAAAAATGGAAAAATTCATTTGAAATAACGTTTCAATTTATATTATAGAAAACAAAATATAATTTATAACAACATAAAGTAATTAGATCGTTACATTTGAAATTTTGATGGCAATATCTGTTAACCAAGCGGATTTCCATTTAAGAATTGCTGTAGCGAACTGTATCTTGAAAGTTGCTGCAAACTGCAACACTCTGGAGTCATCAAGAAGTTCGCTAAGCAAGGCACAAGATTTCTGACATGGAGACAACGGAAGAGTGTTTTTTGAGTCAATTGGATCGAACTGTGGAATGCATGTAGCAACAATAGTACGAAGAAGTGTTTCATTTCTGCAAACTGCTTCTTTAATTTCAGGAACAGTCATAACTAAGGCGTAAATAACCTCCAACAAAATATCTCTAATGTACCTTGATGGATATGCAAATATCACTGCAAAACGGTCGATTAAAAGGTCAGCTCCCATTTGTTCAATAATTAACGTGCAATTATTAGGAAGTAATAAGAAATTTAGAGCAATTACAATCTGTTGTTTGTCTTTTTCTGGATCTGCAAGCTTGAATAGTGAACATAAAATTTCTATGAATCTTTCTGGATTTTCTACTGACTTTGAGACATCGCAAAACCTTGCAATAGAAATCAGAATATTTTGTGCAGATACTGCTAAAGGAGAAATTGGATGAAAGCTTAACCTTTGAAGAATTATCATCATTTCACTGCAACCAGCAACAATTGCAGCATTAGCGATATTAACTTTCTTTTCTTGTGAGAAAATCAAGTTGTTTATAATGGTTAATGTAAGAAGTCCCGGTTCAACACTTGGACCTTTAGTCCACTGATCGATATGCAACGTCAAAAAGCGAGCCATTGATTGAACTAATATTGGTGTTGGTTTTGGCGGAGGAGATTGTGGAGGATATGGTATTTTTGGATTTGACCAATTCAATAACGAAGATAGAGCTGATGCTGACTCAATTTCAGAGCCTCCTAATAGAGTGAGAGCTATGGAATGTATCAACTTTTCTTGTTGAGAATAAGATGTTGATTGAACTTCCACAGTTCTTCTACTCATTGAAAAAAGTGACGACACAAAAAATAAATGGAATGAATACTTAAGGCAACATACAACTTGGTTTTGTTTCGTCAATTGGAACTTATGTGTAAAATAGTGAGATGAAAGGATTTCTTTAAATTTATAACATGACCAAAAAAGAACGCATTTACTCTCCTCGTAAGATGCAGCCAAGTTCTTTAACAATCAAAGAATTCAAATCACCAAGACCAGGACTTTCTTCGATGTTTATGTTGCCTTCTCAAATAAGTTTGCCATCTACATCTGGAATACCAAGTTTCTCCTTCAAGCAAAGCCCAAGAGTCGACGAAACACCTAAGGAAGTTTATCCATTACCAAAATCACCAAGATAAGCATAATAATCATGAAAAAACAATCTATCAATGTTTATTTAAATATTTTATTTATATTTGACAATAAAATAGTGCATGATAAACGATTGATCCTCCACTGGCAATCAAAAATAATGTTTCAGCAATTTTTTTTCCTTCAAGAAAATTGAACATTTTAAGTTTAATTCTGCCTGAAGCTCAACAAAATTTGTGAAATGTCGACTTTCGGTCAATTTTTTGTTCAACATATTGTATTTCGTTGGCGCAATACTATCCAAATTGAATCTCTTCCTAAATATGTCGTGCATTTTTGGAAGACTTTATCCAGTGAATTCATGTGTACTTCACCAAGATGAATAAAATATAACTCATCACATCTAACAAACTCAAGTGCAAAAAATGGAAAAAACCAATTATTTTATATTCAATTTACTCTCTAATGAAAATCTTCTTCGAAAATACCAGAAAACTAAAGAATATCTTATATAAGAACATTATTTTTCGCACCAAGTGAAATAAGAACTTCAGCAGTTTCTTTACTATTATTCTGAGCTGCAATATGAAGAGCAGTGTTTCCATATTTATCTTTTTCATTGATATTTGCACCATGTGAAATAAGAACTTCAGCAGTTTCTTTGTTGTCTCTTTCAGCTGCAATATGAAGAGCAGTGTTTCCATATTTATCTTTTTCATTGATATTTGCACCATGTGAAATAAGAACTTCAGCAGTTTCTTTACTATAATTCTGAGCTGCAGCATGAAGTGCGGTTTGTCCATCATTATCTTTTTCATTGATATTTGCACCATGTGAAATAAGAACTTCAGCAGTTTCTTTACTATAATTCTGAGCTGCAGTATGAAGTGCGGTTTGTCCATTTTTATCTTTTTCATTGATATTTGCACCATGCGAAAGGAAGTATTCCAATAAGGATGGAATATTTAAAAGAAGTGAACAAACAAAACATTTGCCAATATCATTAGTTTGATCGAAATAAACTAAAAAAGATTCAAGATTATTATACCATCCACAGTATTTTAAATCGATCTCTATATTGTATTCATTCATCAAGAATGTAACAAAATCAATGTTATGTGACATAATTGCATATTTCATGCATTATTCATCTGGTGTTTGATATTTCAAACATTCGCTTATGATCTCTGGATTTCCACGCAAAAATGAAAATTTTAGACATGTTTGAGTTATTTCTGACTTAAATTTCGTTCTTAATAACTTGAAACAATCAACTGCTCCGTGGTAACAACATAATTCAAGCAATGAATAACCATTTCTAACAGATGGATATAAATCACTGACAAGTCTTTGATTTTCATCAAAATCTTCTCTTCCTATGAATGGGATGAATGCTTCTAAGTCATTATACATAATTGCTCTGTAAATTGTATTTTCTGTATGAATATCCAGATTTTTTGAGTTAATTTTTTCAAAATCGGCAGATTTGTCTAATTTAACTCCATATTCTTTATAAAACAGGAAGATTGAAATATGTTCAATACTCCTGACCTCTGTTACATGGTAATCATCAGATATAAGTTTGGCAAGGAATAAATATGACTTTGTATAGCGATTATTATACGGAATGATATTTAAAATGTCTTTAATAGCATTTTTTGGGAGATAATTCTTTGAATCAATCAATTCTGTTTTGATCATTTTGTAAATTGACTTTAATTCTTCTTCTTTTTCCGTTTTAAGCTGATGCAATGCAATATATGAATCGATGTAGTATTTGTAAATACATCGTAATTTGTTGTATTCGTTTGGATAAACGTCATGATCGGACATTAAAGAAGTGTTTCGACGGAATTTTGATCGAAAACGGTAAATTTTATTGCGGAAATAGAAAGGATATAGTGTAAAAATACTATCAGTGAAAATGTATAATCCCAACGTACGAATATTTATCTGAAAAAAAAAATTATCGTCTGTCAAGGGTAGATATCCGGATTATCACTTCAAATGGAATATCTCCCAAGTTTTACCAATGATATCCGGATTATTACTTTAAATGAGAATATAAAGAATCAAAATTCGACAAAATGAAGCCAACTGATCATTAACAAAACTTACCTATGTAAAATATAAGCATATATCTGCCAAAAGGTAGATATCATATAATTTATAGCAGATTCCGATTTTTTTATTATGTAAAGTGATCCAGAGAGTTTTCAACAATACATGTTATGAAGGTACTTTGGACGATAGAAATAGTTTGCTGAATTGGAATTGGAATGATGAGAGGAAATGAGATATTTACCTTAGAGATGTATTTAAGAGCATCAAATGTTGTTTAATATAATAGTTTAACTGTACTATCAAAATGTGCATGAACTAACTTCTCACTAAAATAATTATTAGATGAATTTGTTTGAGTAGTAAATATATGATACTGAAGTATAAGTAAACTTGTTTAAATTCAGAATAAATATTTAATATACAAAATTGCACGGGCTTTTTATTCATAAATTTTTAATCAAAATTATATATTATTTTTCTTATCCGAAATCTTCAAATACCATCTTCTCAAGAGCAATTTTATTATCAATCTTGTTTTGTGTTTTACGAATCTTATATATATAAACAAATCCAACAGCAAAACCAGCAACAACAGCAATTGCAGCTAATGTTATTCCTGCAATTGCTCCACCAGAAAGTTTCTTACTCGGTTTCAGTTCGCAGATATTTTCCACAGAAGTAATTTTAAGTCCGCCAAAAGTTTTACCTGAATAATAAGGCCCAACTATAATCTTTTGACATGCTTTTGCATTCTTTAGGAAATCACCCTTAACAGAAGAAAGACTGCAGTAAATGAACACTGAAATATTAGCATCAGTAAAAGAATCATCTGGAATTGATTTGATATTTCCATATATTGATACCGAAATGTTCTCTGATGATATAAAATTGCTTGGTAATGTAATGGAATAGTTATGACAATTGATTGATAAATTATTTAATTCTTCTAGGTGAGATAATGATGGTAAAGTCGCAGATTGATGGAAATCAAGTATAATGCGTTCTATGAACTGATTTTCTGAGAACAAATTAATAAAATTTAAATAGTTTGAATAAATTATTAATTTTTTTAAATAATTTACACAAAGAAATGGATTATACCCTATATAAACATCATTATTGAGATAGCTGGTGATAGATATTATATTGTAGCAGCTCGAAAAAGCATTATCTCCAATAAATTTAATATTATTATGTAAATTAATATTATTTGTTAAAGAAGTGCATGCTGCGAAGCAATGATCACCTATGTATTCCAGTGTTGATGGAAATATTAAGGTTGTCATTGAAATGCATCCTTTAAAAGAATAATTTCCTAAAACTTTAAGTCCCTCGTTAAATTCAATGCTTTCTAAGTTCAAGCAATTACTAAAGGCTTCATTCTTGATTGTAATTAGTGTTGGCGGGAATTTTAGTATTGTTATTTTTTGATTAGCAAAAAATGCACTTTCACCGATTTCCTGTAATGGTACATTTATCATATTGAGATCTAAATCATTGCATCCAGCAAAAGCATTCTCTTCAATTTTTGAACAAGATTCTCCTAAGTGAACATTTACCAAGTTATCGCAAAGGAAAAATGAATAAGGTCCTACAACTTTGACAGTGTCAGGAAATGTAATTTCTTTTAAATCTGTGCAGTTATAAAATAATTTCTCGGGAATGATTTCAATTGCTTTTGGTAAGTCAATAGAATTCAGTTTTGAGCAAAATTCGAAGCAGCCAATAGACAACTCTGTATTATCACCATTAAATTTGATAGATGTGAGATTTGTACATCTGGAAAACGCATATTCGTTAATTATTTCTAAACTTGAAGGGAATATAAGTTGAGCAATATTTGAGCATCCAGAAAACCCATATGCTCTAATGGCTTTCAGAGAATTTGAGAAGTTAATTTCGATAATATTAGTACAATTTTCGTATTGATGTTCTAGTACCTCGCCAATTTCATCGGGGATGTTTAGAGATGCATCATTTGGACAAATAGATTGCGAAAATTAGAATAGGAAATATGCCATCTATAGCAAATTGATCAAATAAAATTATTGACAAATTCCCTTATCAAAATAGAAAAATTAGATTTGACAAATTAAAAATTATACTGATAAGATGTTTTGCATGAAAAAAAGCTCTCCGATAAATATCATAAAAATTGAATGAGTTTAGTGGTTTGCTCAAAAAAATTTGACTTATTTTTTTTACAGAGAATAAATCCGATTTTTCAGAAAATTTGAAAGCTATAAATCTCTCAGAAAAAAATTGGTTGACACAATTTATTTATGAAAGTTCAATTGCAAAACAATATTACTCTAAAAGTTAGATTAAAATTCCTTTATAAAATAACAAAACATAAACAAAATTAAATAAAAAATTGTCTCTAATAGCATATTCGATTTTGTATAGCTACAGGTGTGAATGTCTATGATTTCCCCCATTTTGTTAGTCAGTTTACAAAATGTAAAGTCTTCAAATTTGAGAGTATTTTGACTAATCTTATGGTAAAAAGAAAAATCTCACTGGGCCATCCTTTTCTGGGACTTCTATTGCAGGCTTGTATGAAACGAATGGTTTGAGTCTTGGTATAGGATAATTTGTATTTTCTGGTGGTTTAATTCTTTCTTGTGATCCTATTTTCTGTTTTCTTACTCTATGCTTTTCTCTTTCTATTTGTGTCATTGTTTGGTCAACTTTTTGGCCTGTTACTGTTTTATCGTATTCTGCTCCAAGATAAAAGTCTTGTTGAGGTGCAGGATTGCCTCCCGTCATTGAGAGATCTGATTCGGATAGTATTCCAGGGCCTGTTGTCATAACAGTTGAAGATCCTTGATCGATATAAAAATTATTTCCTTCTTCGAGCAGATATATTGCATTATCTGAGTTTTCCTGATTATCTTCTCCCTGTATAACATTTCCGTTTTCGTCAATCCTTGCTGCTCCGTCGCCAACAAAGAAATCTGATGCATTAAACTTTTCATCGTTAGCTGTTTCAATTCCTCCGTTAGTTTCTTGACCATCATTCCTCAAATAAGCAAATCCATCGCGAATTGCTGGGAAAGGTAAAGGAAATAGCCATAATGGACAACACCAAGAGGGTCCAAACGATTCCATGCAGTTCACGTAGTTGTTTAGGTCGTAAGGATTAGTTGTGTCCTCTTCGAATAGTCGAGCTTTGTTGTGTAAGATTAATTTGAAAGATTTGAGAATGAAAAAGATAAAATAAATGAATGTAATTACTATCGGGATTATAGATATAAAGAATGCTAATCTAGGAACTGTTAATTTCCAACCATTTCTTTTAATTGCGATCATATCCATGATAAATATTGCGAAATAGTAGATAAATATGGTTAAAAGCCACATCTGCATGATAATAAAGTATCTTATGTTCTTTACACCAATCCAATTCGCTATCCATCCGCAATTTACATCCGCTCTTAAAACAATTCTTCTGGCTGACGAACTAACGATTGATCTATCTGGGCACTCACCACTGAGTGCAAACTCTTTTTGTTTCTCATTTGTAATGATGCCTGACCATTTCTCTTCTTGAGAATATTTTTTCCTTCTCTCTACATTCCAGAACCATGGCAAGTAGCCTGGAGAAGTGCACATTGTTAGTAAATGGCTAATAATGTAAGAGAAATGTATCACACACCCAACTATTATCAAACTCATTTGTAATACTTCTTTATAATTTTCAATTAAAGACCATAATTCGAATGCAAACAAAAGTAGAACAACTAATGTCGAAAATATTGCAGTTGTGCAGTTCATTTCCCAATCGTTACAGTAGTATGTTTTGATTTCTGGAAAATACGCAATTTTGAAGCAATGACAATCGCATTTTTGTTCCCAAGTACTAAACTTTGGTACTTGCATGACTTTATCCTTGATTTGGAGCAGCTTTCCCTCATAAAGGTAAGCCCCGCTCATAAAAAATATGCGTTAACTTTTAAAATTTTGTAAAACTTTCAATTTTCATTCTTTATTTGCGCGAAATCAGTAATATATTATTAGTTGTTGATAGGTGCAATAGCCAAAATAGAGTTTCATGGATATGTTCCACAAGTGTTTCATATTGTTTCTTCCTAAATACATAATTTTACAATGTCGAAAATTGATTAAGACCAAAGAATAGATATTTCTTGGGGAGAAGCTTCATAAACATTTTAATCCCATAAATGTTTGTGGATGATGTGTTTCAACTCATTCTAATTGCCTCTGTATTGATTGAATAACGATGATAAAAGCAATGGCATTGATGATAGACCCTTCAATGATTGCTGATGAATGTACTACAAAGCTTTCTTTCCTTTCATTCAAAGTGACCAAGCCAATAATGAATGATCATTCATTTAGTTACTTTTTTTTCACATCTACAATAGTAAACATTTCCAAAAAATGAATAAAGAAATCTGTAAAAAAAATGTTGGAATATAAATTAAAGGCTTGAATATTCTTCTTCTTCCTCTTCTGAATATGAAGAATCGTTTTGCAATTCTTCAGACTTAGAAGCGCCACATGCAATAAGATATTTTGCTGTTGGTTTTAAGTAAAAATAATGTAATGCATGATCAAGAGGGGTTTTACCTTTTGCATCTATTGCATCGATATTTGCGCCATGCGAAAGGAGAAGTGAAACTATCCGTTGACCAAAATATAGTTTTTTTGCTGCATAATGAAGAGGTGTTTTATCATTTTTATCTCTTGCGTCGATTTCTATATCATTGTTTGAAACAAGCATCTCTGCAATTGTTGTAGTATCCTCACATTCTACGGCATAATGAAGAGGTGTTTTGTCATTTACATCTCTTTCGTTGATATCTGCGCTATGTATAATTAGAATGTTGGCGCCTTCTATGCAATTTTTTATTACTGCATAATGAAGCGGAGTCATTTTCTTATCATCTTTACAATCAATATTAATTTCATTATTGTTTGATTCGACTAAAAATTTGTAAATAGCGCAATTTTGTGATTTACATGCGAAATGTAAAATATTTCTGCCTTCATTATCAACTTTATATGGAAATTCAAAATTTACTAAATTGGTATTTAAAGGACGACATATTACTAGTCATTTCATGGAAATAGATGAAATTTTGCGACATCACTGTCATGAAGAATAAAAGATTAAGTTCAATAGTGGGTTACCTTATTAATATTTTTAATAATATAGACAATTTTTATTTGTGGGAGTTTGGTGGGTATAATCTTATTCTTATCTATATACAATGTTATTGTTGTAATATAATGTAAATTAACGAAGTTGATTTTAAATTGAATAATGCAGAAAAATATCTAACAATACAATTAATTGTGTAATACAAAATATATGCCTATTGGAGTAATAAATTATGTTGCACAAATAATCCCATTCCTTTCCGGCATAACGAACAGAAAGGAAGTGATTATTAACTCTTGGAAAAAAGAAGTGAGGGAGTAGGGGTAATTTTAGCTAAAAGTGACACGCCTGTGAAAAGTGACACATCCGTGAAGGGTGTGATTACCGATCGGTAATTTCGACAGTTTAGAATTTAAAATTTTTTATGGAACTGTTGCGAGTTTCATAAAGAATTTAAGGGTGCACCCGTATGTACGTTTATTTGAGAGGAGGAGGATTACCCTCTCAATTTTGAGGGATTCGTTAGTTTATTTTCTCGATGAATATGCAATAAAATTTGATTTTTACCTTATCAATATACTTCATATAATATACACATGTTCATGTAAAAACTTTTTTCCAAAATCCTCAGGAATTAAGGGATTTTTGAATTTTAAGAATTTTTTTCGAATTTTTTCGAAAAAAAAATATTTTCAGAACAGCCTTAACGGCTAAGATTTAGGAACAATGTTAAGTATCAAAAAGAAAGGAGGTCTGATATAGACAACATATATCGTTGAAGGTTGAAAAATCTCTAATATTTGAGCCCAAAATTTCAAATTTTAATTTTTTGAAAAAAGAGGCCACCCGTATGTACGTTTATTTGAGAGGAGGAGGATTATATTTTTGAAAGGGTGAAACATTATGAATATGTTAATTATATAATAATATGTATTATTATAAAAAAGAAAAAATAAAGCACGTTAAAATTTTTCTTTCTTGATTTTTTACAAAATCTACTTAGAATTATGCAAAATATGACTAAATAATTATAAATTTCAAGTTAAATTTTAATTTTGATAAATAATTTAAATTTCAAAATATCAAGTTCAGTTCGACTATGTATGTAGTAATTCCTCAATAAAGTGCCAAAACCCTATTAAAATATATGAACATTTTCAACATTTTAATGTTTTTATTTAAAAATTTGATGGAATATGAGCTTCAAACAATTATTATGTAAATAAAAATAATTAAATATATGTATTTATTCGTATTACAACCGTAGTAAGTCGATTCTTCCTTTCTTCTACTGAGATTTGAATTTGATTTCGAATTGTAAAGAGATTCAAAGGGAAAATACTAGCGGATAAAAACTACCTCCATGAAAGGGTCATAATGGAGTCAAGTTGTATTTTTTGATATTTTTTGCTTTTCGAGCCTAAATAAGGTAGCCAAGATAATGCATAAAAATAAGGTTCTAAATTCTGAAGTTTACATGATCCTCTCGTGTGCACCCTTAATGTTGTCACACTACATAAACTGAGGGCTTTTAATTCTGCCAAATTAAACTCTTTTTGAATATTATATTGTTGATATGTTATTAATGAAGAAAAAAACTTAAATTTTTGTATAAGAAAATCTTTAATATTCCTTTTACTTGCGTGGTGGAAGGCCAGCAGCGGCAAGGTGCTCGTTGAGGATCTTGCGCTTCTCTTCGAAGGAGAGCTTCTTTGTCTGTGGCTTCTTTGGAGCGTGCTTCTGCTTCATCTCCTCAGCGTGCTTCTTCTTGTCGGCGATGACTGTAGCAGCTGGGTTCTTGCGGATGGCAGCGTGAGCATCCTTGTAGATCTTCTCAAGGTTGTCAGCTGTGATTCCGGCCTTGACGTAGCGGGAGAACTGCTTGTTGTACTTCTCTTCGGACTCCTTCTTGAGCTTGCGCATGTAGTCAGCGACAGCGCCACCGAGGATGTAGTACTGGTTGCCCTTGACGATCTTTTCAGCTGGGACGTCCTTGCGGTCCTTGCCAGCATCCTTGTCCTTCTTGTCGAACTTGCAGGCGAGGCGGCAGACGTTGTGTGGGATGAAGAGGCCACCATCGACGGCACCCTTCATGACGGCGAAGACCTTAGCGCCTGTTGTTGTACGAGCAAGACCAACATCGAGGATGACCTTGAATGGACGTCTGTTCTCTTCATCGTTGAGGTATTCCTCTGTGATCTCTGTCTTGAAGACATCAGCAAGCTTCATCTGTGTGAGGAAGCGGCGAGCAACAAGAAGACCTGTAGCATAAGCAGCTGGGTAGTTGGAAAGACCGAGCTTGATGCCGTACTTTGGAAGTTCTGTGGAGAGAGCCTGGCAGACTGTCTTATCACCTGTAAGTTCGGCAACAACGATCTGAGCGATGACCTTTGTGTTTGTGATACGAGCGACGAGGCGATACTTGGCTGCACCATACTTTGTCTTATCCTGTTGGATGAGCTGAGTACGTTGGACGTAATCAGTCTTAGCCTCACGCCGCCTGCGGAACTTTGTTTGGAAGCGGGAGAAGTAGCCAGCGTTCTTGACGAGCTTAGCAGACATCTTGCAAAAAGGACGACCAAAACCATTCAATTTTTAAAAGTTCCTTTTATTGATAAATATGAGTTTAAAATATAGTGTATTGCTTATATTCTAGACTTTGGCACCGAAATATCTAGAAATCATTTTGATGAAAATGAAAATTAGGAATATTGTGGTGTTTTTAGTAAATTTTGCAAATTCATAATGAATATGAATTATCCTTGGAATCAAAATTTTCCAAAGTTTTTACAAATCAGATTTTATTAAAGAAAAAATCCTAGAGAATAATTTGATTTTTTCAATTTATAAAAAAATTTAGTGAAAAATCAGATTTTTTAAATATACGAATGATTATTATTTTATGTATTTAAAACAAATATATCAAGAATACATGATTTATTTATGAATTGTAATGTCGAGAAAGAAATCTGATGGAAAAATCAAATTTTGTTCACTAAATATAAGATCAGAAATTAAAAATAATGATAATACCATTTTTCTCTCAAATCAATCAGCGTAAACCAATTGAATACATTTGAGATAACCAACAATTGATGATTACTTTTTGATAAGCTCAGGAAGGGATAAAACAATTGAACTTTTTGAAATAAAATTATATCAAGGGGAGGACCATAGTCATTCAAATTTATTGAAGGGGCAGAACCATTATTGATCAATTTATTTAGTCCAATGAAAAATGATATATTAAATAAACTCAATAAAATAATCAAGTTTTGGTATGTGATTTGGTGGGGACAAATCGAGTTCCTTTCAAAATTGAATCAGCTCTGAATAATACAGGACCACTTTGCTTTAATGGCTGAGAAGGTCGGTAAGTCCACACTCGTTCTTGAAATTATGCCAGCTTCTGATGAGGTCAACCTCGACGACCTCGAGAAGAAGATCCGCGAGGTCGCTATGGATGGCCTCCTTTGGGGCAAGTCCCAGCGCAAGGAAGCTTGCTTCGGCCTTTTCGCCCTCCAGATCGGTGCTGTCGTTACAGATGATGTCGATGTCCAGGGTCTTGAAGACGAACTTTCCTCCTGGGAAGACTGGATCTCATCTGAGAAGATCATCGCTTTCCAGAAGATCTAAATAAATAAACTAAAGGATTATTGATAGCCCTAAACATATTAATTTTTAATACTAACTCACAATCTTACTTTTTAAAAGATTTTTGCCTTATTCTCGTGGCAAGAAATTTATTTTGTTTGGCCATAACAAAATTTTTCCACAAGACAAAGGCTTTCTCGATTCTCATCAGAAGAGGCCCCCAAAAAATCATAATCTTTATGTCTTTGAAAAAGTCATTATCATCATTGTCTGATTTTTTTCAAGATCTAGCAATCTTCACATAGAATTTTCTTCAAAACTACACACGGTTTATACAGTTCCAGCAGAATTATTAAATTCGATGATACTCATTGTTGAAAGTTTATTCGACCAATACAAGCTTCATAAGAAAACTCAGACAATAGCTTTCGGACTAAGTGTGCAGCAAAAGTTAACTATAATTCATACATTCAATTTCAACATCCGAAATTGAATAAATACCCTACGTTCCCAACTTCTGGAAAACGGTTTTTCACCCTTATGATCAGTTTCAGACACTTTGGGAGTCTCCCAAACTTTGATATTTTGCATTATGATAGAGAAACGTGTCTAGTTTAACACACAGTTGTTTTAAAGGCAAATGATGATATCACATGAAATTATCAAATTATCAAATTTTGAAGTACCAGTCCAAAGGGTTAATTAGATCCTACACAGATGTGCGATAGTGAAACATATGTGTTCTTGATTTGAGAAGTCCTACTGATAGAGGTATGAATCTCACAGCTTTGTGTGAGCGTGTCTGACACTTGTATAGAGTGGAATATGCGCCGACATATATTATATAATAACATGTAGTTGATAATTATGAAAAAATAGAATTCGATGCGAATGATATTGAAAGTTGTTTTGTAATTTGATATTTTTCTTATATGTGTTAATTAGTAAATGGCTTGTTTGTTGTGATAGTACTGTGAAAAATGAAAGGTATTTTAAATTAAAAAATTGAGATTTTGAGATATCTCTAGAATTAAGAATTTATTATGTATTTGACTTTTATATAACTATGTGTAAAGGATCTCGATGTCTATATGCTTTAAATAAAATTAAATAAAATGAGATAAAAAATTAAAATGGACAAGAAGATATATGGAAATGTAATTTGTATTGTGTTGGTTGTTGGCAAAATGATTTTAATACAGATTTAAGGATTTGGAATGGATTTGAAATTAAATGATTTTAATTCAAGGAGTAATAAGATTTTGAACTGGTTTTTATTTTGTGAATGTAAACTCCTTCCATAGGATATGTATTAGAAAGATCAATGTCAAACTTTTTGAAAGAATTGTTTTTTTGTTGAGCGATTTTCTTATATTTAATAATATATTTAAGTTGGCGTATCTTACGCCCTTCCAAAAATATGTATTAGAAAGATAAATTTTAAACTTTTTGAAAGAATTGTTTTTTTATTGAGCGATTTTCTCATATTTAATAATATATTTAAGTTGGCGTATCTTACGCCCTTCCAAAAATATGTATTAGAAAGATGACTTATAATTTCATAAATTATTTTGTCCCGACGGTTTGAGCCGTTATCAGAATGGTTGCTTACACAATGCGTCAGCAAAATGTCGGTTGGGGTGCCCTTCTTGGCCTCCTGAGTACTCACCAAGATACCCCCAGCTCCCGCAAAACACCTCCCTTAGGTGCGCATTACCTGACGGCATTATTTTGCAATTATTTCAAATTTTTTAGATGTCTTTTGTTAAAGTTTGTTAACTAAAGACTTGAAAACAGCTTACCGCTTCAAGCTGCTCTCTTCCCGGTTCCTCTGCCGCAATCTTCTGTTTGATTGCGCGCAAAGCTCTCCTCCTTGTGAACCATGGCTGATAGAAAGAACTGAAAGACAGGATAGGAGGAACATGCCGGTTCAAGTTAACTTGCAATATGCTTCTGATTAGTGATTTTAGATGAAAGATTAGCGAAATCGCATTTAATTTGGATAGAAGGATTCAATTTTATGAAGCAGGCTCGTAGAAAATATGCAGGAATAGCACAATCTTTTGCAATCACAACGCGATTGCAAAACTTCGACAGACAAGAGTGTATTGTGCACTCTTGTCGGTCTGCATGTCTCATTCTGGGAGACATTGTCACTGCATGTCTCCCAGAATGAGACAATCTTCTGCAATCAGAATTGGTTGCAAAACTTTGACCGACAAGAGTGTATTGTGCACTCTTGTCGGTCTGCATGTCTCATTCCGGGAGACATTGTCACTGCATGTCTCCCAGAATGAGACAATCTTCCGCATCAGAATGTGGAAGTTTGACCGACAAGAGTGCACAATACACTCTTGTCGATCTAAATGTATCTTACAATCAAAGACACTTTCATACAATCTTTTCGAAGTTAAAAAAAATTTAATTATTTCTTTCTTTTGTTTATTAAATCGCCTTACTCACGTACTAATCTCTTTTAGAGACTCTATCGAGCTATCCCCACATATAAACCTGTGACAATAATACATATTTACTCTCTTCATATTCTGATCTCATGACACATTATCGCAAAAACTATAATTATACAACACATCTCATAAAGTCTCATTTTAGCCCTATCTAAGCGTTCAAAACCTATTTTCCACACGTAATCTGATTCTTCTGGCTCCGCTGATTCGATTTCTGCTGTCAGATCGTGAAAATATGCATCACATAAAGAGATAAACACAACTCAAAATTATTGCTTTTTTTTTCAAATTGTCTATTCATCCATCTTTACATATTTATTATCTCCTCCGTTTCCCCTCACAAATTCTTTTAATTTTCTGAATAATACGTATAATAAAATGAATATCTCAAAAACTAAAACACAAAATTAATGTTGGAAAATGACTAGATATAATCTGAACTTTTGAATTCATACATTTTTGGAAAAAATTGAATTTTCAAAAAAAGAGCTTATTTAGGTATGAACCTGAAGAGAAATTTTAAGGAAAATATTAAGTTGTGCAATTTGCATTTATCTCTTTATGTGATGCATATTTTCACGATCTGACAGCAGAAATCGAATCAGCGGAGCCAGAAGAATCAGATTACGTGTGGAAAATAGGTTTTGAACGCTTAGATAGGGCTAAAATGAGACTTTATGAGATGTGTTGTATAATTATAGTTTTTGCGATAATGTGTCATGAGATCAGAATATGAAGAGAGTAAATATGTATTATTGTCACAGGTTTATATGTGGGGATAGCTCGATAGAGTCTCTAAAAGAGATTAGTACGTGAGTAAGGCGATTTAATAAACAAAAGAAAGAAATAATTAAATTTTTTTTTAACTTCGAAAAGATTGTATGAAAGTGTCTTTGATTGTAAGATACATTTAGATCGACAAGAGTGTATTGTGCACTCTTGTCGGTCAAACTTGCAACACATTCTGAATGCGGAAGATTGTCTCATTCTGGGAGACATGCAGTGACAATGTCTCCCGGAATGAGACATGCAGACCGACAAGAGTGCACAATACACTCTTGTCGGTCAAAGTTTGCAACCACATTCTGATTGCGAAGATTGTCTCATTCTGGGAGACATGCAGTGACAATGTCTCCCGGAATGAGACATGCAGACCGACAAGAGTGCACAATACACTCTTGTCGGTCAAACTTCCTAATACAAAATTTGATTCCCTTATTATCTTCTTAACAAAACTTAAGATTTCAATAATACATCATGAAAACATTCATTTACTACATTCACACTGTTATTCCTTTCTATAAATTAACTCATTTAATAGAATCTTGTTTTTATATCTTATTATTTTCTCATAATACTTCTAATTCCTCTATTTCCTCTTCCACATAAAATTTAATTTTGTAATGCTATCATATACACTTAATGTTTTCAAATTTTCAGATTTAAATTTAATCTTTATTTTCATCATCATTTATAATCTTGTTCCTATATAAAGTTATAATAAATTATCGTCAGATTCTAATATTTATGATTCTTACTACTCAATTCAATATAATTATGTTAGTCACTCATATTCAGGAGAATAATTTAAAAATCTATAGCTCATATTTTGATAGTTATATATTTAGATGATATATATTGCAATTCCGGTTTCAACACGATCAAATGCCAAACCAAGACAAAATATATATGAATTTTCAAAATATCGATTTACATTAGAATCTATATCTAATTTTATCAATACACAAGTAGGGAATGTTCAATACATCTTTGAGCAACGTGAATAGCACAATTTTATAGGATTATTTGTTGATTATATAAAATATAAGCCAAATCGAATCTGCTGTATAGTACTTTAGTTTATCATTGAATGTTAAATGTGTTCAGATAAATATTTGAGTCATATATCGCATTTTCTAATTTCAAAATTTATCTCATGAAGTTAGAATTTATTTGATCATACAACATCATGTTAGTCAAACCAGAGTTCAATGGCGATTCTAAAATGAAACAAATGCTTGTTTTATCAAAATGTTAAAATATTAATCTAAAAAACTTAATATCTAACCAAACCATTCTAGAATTATTATATACAGGTATAGGCAATCTAAATGCACACGGAATTCGGAAAATTAAAAAGAATATTTATGAGATTATTAAATCTTATGTAATTCAATGAAAAGTAGATAATATGAATATCTATAGGCTATATATCAACATATGAGTTTTTGGTTTGACCAATACTATACTAATGTGATCAAATTAATCTGATTTCTTAGATTTTCATTTGAAGCATTTGCAGTAGTAGGGGTACCTTTATATATTAACATATTAAAAAATTGCGCTCCGATTCGCAGTTTCTTCATGATTTTGAGATTGCATTAGATTTCGCGATGCAGAAAAAAATCACTTTAGATTCCCGTCAAACTCTAAGTATAAGCATATCTCTATATGTAGAAACTGTCTGCGCTATTTATTTCCCGGCTCAAAAAACCACGGTGTCTGTGTGAGGAAAATACCCATTTTAGGACCCTGGGTAGGGGGTCATGAAAATTTTCCAAGAGTTGGAAATATAGGGTATCTCCATTGTACGTTTTTGACGATTTTTAACTCTTGTTATATTTATAAATAACTTACATTCGATTTTTAGTTACTTTTTTCGTATTTAATAAGAACCTTAAATAATGGGGTTTTTTGAGTCAGAGTACACTTGCGTCCATCTGACTTTCATATTTTGTTGATTCAGAGTCATACAAGCAAAAATTGGTAAAGAAGAATTGATTAATACAAATAATTTAATAAATATAGAAAGGAAAAAATGATTCTAACAAAATAATACTTACAAATTTGAATATTATAACATTACTTTTGTTGAGACTGCTTTGGCTGGTTATTATTCTCGTTTTCGGAGTATTCTGAGTAGTATTCAGACGTATATGATTGAGTTTCTTGCTTATTTTGGTCACTGCTTTGAGAAGTTTGTTGTTGAGGCTTCTGTTGCTTCTGTCCTTGATTTTGAGGGTCTTCGCTTGTATCTGAATAGTAACTGTATTCACTATCTTTTTGATCGGAATTTTTATTATTGTTATCTAATGATTTTTCTTTCTGTTGCTCCTGTTGTGAATTCTGTTGCTCTTCCTGCTGTGTCTTCTCTTCTTCCTCCTCTTCTTCTTCATCTTCGGCCATGCAGTGTTCGTAAACCTCATCAGTATCAATACAATCATCATGCATCTTCATAAGATCTAGGAATTCGTTCATTTCATTTAATCTGTCAATTTCCATTTTGATAAAAATGTTATGATGTGTTTCTGCGAGATCTCTCTGCATTTTACATTCCAAATTATCAAGAGAAAGATCGCGGAAATGATCAAGCTTGGCCATTAAGTCTGCATCATCAATTTGACAAATAATTCCAGTATCGCTTGACTTTTGTTGGTTAATTCTGTTTTGGCTTTCATTAAGTGCTTTTCTTATTTGCGCTTTGACGTCTAAGGCTACTTGTTTTTCTATTAACGATTCAACAGATTCTGAAAAAACTTCTGATAAAAGTAATTCCCCGATTTCTTTCTTCATTCTCTCGGATTCATCTTGCCCACCTTCTGCATCGTCCCTAAGTTCTTTTAATGTTGGTGTAAATTGTGCGTGTTCATTTACTAAACCTGTAAACTCAAATGGAAGACATTGCTTATTTACTTCGGCTATTTGCTTTTCGACATCTTCGATGTCCATCTTTAATTGCTGTATTTTCGATCGTAATTCTGAATGTTTTGTTGTCTCAGAAGAATCTGAACCCATATTTGCAGCCATTTTAAGAATACATTCATCCAAATCTTCAAGTTCGGCTTGGGTTTGTTTGTATTCCTTTTTGGCTTCAGCGTGTGCTTTTTTGGTTTTATTATATTCTTCCATTGCTTGTTTATAAGAAGAACGTAGAATTTCTGGTTCATTAAGACCATCACCACCTCTAAAGTAGAAAGCTGGCGATCTACACGTACCCCTTGGGTAGATTAGAGCAACTTTCCGCATAAAACGTATATGACATGTGATATAAAATGACTCAAAAAGATTTTAAGATTTCTTAGTTTTGATCATTAAAATACGTTCCCCTTAAACAATATGTTATAAAAACACGTAAAAATCCATAACTAAACATTATTTATTTTTAATTTTTCTCCCTTTCAATGTAATTGATAGAACTTTGAAGAAATTTCAGAAAAAGGAGATCAAAAAATGATGCTGAAAGCATGTGAAGAAGGACTTTGGAAAAAATAAAATCGTGATTATTTTGGTACAAATGTACTTCATTATGCATCTTCAGTAGGAAATCTGAGACTTGTTAAATCTCTCATTGAATATGGCTGTGATAAATAAATCAACAGCGAATATGGTGGTACAGCTCTATACTGGGCATCATATAATGGTCAACTTGAAGTTGTTATATATCTCATCTCAGTTAGAGCTGATAAAGAAGCAAAGAATAAAGATGGATCTACTCCACTCATTGTTGCATCAAGATATCGTCATCTTGAAGTTGTTAAATTATCGTATCTCAGTTGGAGCCGATAAAGAAGCAAAAGTTAAAAATGGAAGAACAGCACTTGATTATTCGGGAGGAGCAGTAAGAAAATATTTAGAATCAATTGCAAAAAAGTAATTTCTTAATATACCATTGTTGCAAAAGATAAAGTTATTTTTTTAATTAATTTTTATTCATTAATCTATTGTTAGAGCAGATTATTACCACGTGGTAAGTTTTTTAAGAAACTCCCAGTCAAACAAATGTGGTGCAGCGTATCTCCCAAAAATTGACATTATAACTTTTATAATTCACTCATTTCACTTTGTTGATTTATTTATATCCAAAACGATGTAAAATGGATATTAATGTTTTAAAACACAACAATTATATTGCTACAATCAACAATTATCTTAACAATTCACAGTGATATGCAAACATTTATATTAAACAACATAAATAAAACAAATAAACTTAGTAATTGACGAGTCCGTCCGGGAATTGTTTCCATTTCATTGAGATTTTTTGTGGAGGATCGTTTGAAATCATATCTGGAGATACATTCATAAATGATTTACATCTCCTTGGATCAAATATCCTACTAGATTTTGCGAAAGGCTCTAAAATTTCTTCAGATTTTTCTAATTCTTCATTTTCATCTCCGTAATCAATTTGTAATTGATTATTTTGTTCATTATCAATAGACATCTTTTGTCTCTTCGGGAACATTGTTTCAATATCTTTCTTTGCTGTTTTATAAATTTCATCTTTTTCTCCTTTGATGAAACAGTAAATTCCATCACAGCAGCTTCCTCCAACCTCTTCCCAGAGCAGTTGGTCATATAAAGAATCAACACCTTCGCCGGCGCAGACTCCTCCAAAAGATGTTTCGACAGTAAAGCTTTGAACGACATTCAGCTCTGTTCGAATGATGATTCTGCCAGCTCCTGTTCTATCTTCTGGATAGGAGAAGACACAATGTCTCCAAGAGAACTTGTTACATAATAATGAAACAATTCTTGGATAAACTTTCTCAATATGCTCAATATCAGTGCCGTCATTGGGACATCCGAACGCAAATGTACCATCAAGACGTGAATGACCATGAAAATCAATGGCTATGACGACATTTCGTTCTGATGCCAATTTTTTGAATAAATTCTTAGTATTAAGAATGACAGGATGTATAACAGCATCAGGAGATCCCCACATTCTATTCAAATCATTGCCAGAAAGTGAGGTTCTGTAAAATCCTTCAATTACTCCATCGATATTCAACATTGGAATGATCTTAATGATATGATTTTGTCGGATAAATTTTGATTCAGGGGAATCATTAAGTAAATGCTGCATAAAGCCACGCATTAAGTAGCTAGAATTTGATTCACCGGGATGAATACGAGCAGTAATAAAAATGTATGGTTTTTCTGATGATGGAATGCCACCTTCCTCTTCTAATGTGAGAATTGGACACTCACGGCCTCCAGCAGTTTCGCATAAAATTTCTGATTTCAAACTTGGGCATTGGGTGGTCCATGCGCCAATGTCACGCATTAAATCACTGTATGTGTATGGTAATGCGTAGCACATGTAAAGAATATCTTTATTGTATGGAAAATCAATGGTAAAAGCAACTGTTGAACGTTTTCCTTTGCCTTTTTGACCTGGGAATATTCCATATGAATAGTCATTTCCTGCTCTGACCCATGAAATATTTTCATTTTTAGCACGAAGATGCGAGTATAAAAAGATTTTGGCTCCACGATCAAATAGACTTTTTCCTTTGTGGAAACCACTGATGTAAAATTTATAATCACGTTCTTTTTTCGCATTTAAAATCTGAAAATAAAACCATTGACAAGATCCAGACTTGTTACGATCATATTCTAATACTAAATGATATGTATATCCACCGAGATAATAAACTTTTGATAAATTTCCGCTTTCAAAGTGAGATTCGAATCGTAAAATTATATCTAATTGATCTGTTGCAGGTGGAAGGCAATCTTCTGGATGTAATACATCATATATAAGTTTTCCTTCATTCCATATTGTAGGGTATTCACTAAGCTTGATTACATTTGCTCTTCCAGATTTTTCTGTCGAGGGCTGCCCAAAATGCAAGACATAAGTATGGTCTTTAATAGATTCCGTTGGATATTCAACAAATTCTTCGTCTTCATCATTATCATGATGAATAACCCCATTTTCATCATCAAAATCACTATCACTAGACATCGAGAATTTTGATTTATAATTTTATTCATAAACAGGGACATACATATATAAATTGGTTAGGTAAAGAAAATTTTATATTTAGAACTTCATGATTTTCATTATTCCAAGATAAATTTCAAATTATTTCAAATTTAACTCTTCAATATATCTTGAGTGTATTACAAAATGACATGAAGTAAGAAAATTAATAAGAAAATAAGTTTTTATGCAAATAAATATGTTAATATCGATCATGTTCAATAGTTAAGTAACTGTATTAGTAGGAAATTATGTACATGGTGTATATGAAATAAATTCTGCAAATTTAAAGAAGAAGGCAGCATTGTGATTGAGCATCTTTCTTTGCTTCTTTCTTTCCTGTGTCTGGCTTGATTTCTGGGTCCTTTGAAGGATTTGTCTTAACACCTTTGTTCTCTTGTGCATCTATTGAACCATCCTTGTCAGAATCACTATCACTAACGTTAATATGTACTTCTTTCTGTCCATCAACGACAATATTTGGCTCATCGGTTTCTTTTTGCTTCTTTTGCTTCTTTTCGTTTTCTGAACCTGAATCACTTACAGATAGCTCAACATCACCCTTATCACTCATTTTTTATAAGTTTGAATTTTTTTTTACAACGAGCGCAATTCAATTTTTTGTTGATTGGAGAAACGCAAAACTATTGCCTTTTCAATATGATCATACAAAGCATCAGATGTAGAAATACTAAACATACACTTATTGGCGAAAAAAATTAAAATAAAGGTGGAGATTGAATGAATTATTGTACATGTGATGGAAATTAAGCTAGTTGCATTCATTGAAACATATGCACATGGAGGATATTAAGATAATCGAAGTAAATATCTTGCTTTCTCTTATTATTCAGTTGTGATATTAAATCTTTTCTGAAATCAATATTTTATGAAAACTTCATGTTGAACATGAAATTTTCACAGAGTATGGATAGATCTATACTTCCTTAAAGAGGAATTATCATTGAAAATATGTGAGCTTGACTCAACACATTTATTTTTGTCAGATTTTTTTCCCGAAATGAATGATATAGCTTATAAGGCAAATACATTCTTGAGAGGAGGCTGGTTTACTTCACCAGAAGAATACGAGTCAATGGGATATACTCTTGGTATGCCTCCTGGCTATTACGCTCCAAATCATCCTGAAATTGATAAATTAGTTGAAAGAATTAAACCATTTGGCGGAATAATATTTCCAAATTCAATGTCCACCAAAGAAGATCCAAACTCAAAGAGAAAAGTTATGGTTTTAAACCTTCCTCCAGAAATGACACCACAAACACTTAACAATTATATCACTCAGAATCTCCTCAAGAGAAAACTTATTACTGATCCAAATCCTATTGATTTCATTGATTGGTTGCCAGATCAATTTGGTGGATACGTCACTTTTAAGAGCCAAAAGGATGCTGAAGCCGCAGTTTCTATAGGAAAATCCCTCGTATACAACCAACGTGAAATCCATATCATTTGGCCTTATTCCTTGCAAACAGAAGAATTTTCAACAATTGAAATCAACGAAAACCAAACGAAGAATACAATTTACGTTGAATTTCATAACGAACAACCAAATGAGCAAAAGATTTACCAGATATTTGAGCCGAAATACCAAGTTAGCAAAACTTTTATATCTCCTGGTTCAAATTACGCTATTGTAACACTTTCCCATGATGAAATTACCGATATGACAGTTTTTGACCTTCAAGCTACATGCGGAGATGATGTTTCAATCAGAACTACATTCGAACCACCTTCTATTGACCCCAGAACACCATCAGATCAAAAATTACGCCAGACACAACTATACGAGGGTCCTACCAAGTTAGTTTCCGTTGTTGCTCCAAATCTTTTGAATAATCCTTGTATTGCTGACATTTTGAACTCAGAAATGACTGTTTCATCGCTCATTCAGCAAGAGACAGAGGAAAACCAGATTGGAGACGAAACAGTCCTTTGTTTATACAACATTGCAAAAGATTATATTTTAATGGACCCAGAATTGACAAATGAATTCCTCAGCGACATAACAGAAGAGTGCCAGAAGTACGGAACTATCTTAGACTACAAAATTGACCCAATGGAACATCAAAACGACTACGGTGTTGTAAAAATCAGATACAAAACACCAGAAGAAGCAAAAAGAGCTCAATTAAATTTGGCAGGTAGAAGATACGAGGGAAGACTTGTTATCACCTCTGTTGAAGCAGCAGAACAAATTTAATAAAGATTTTTTTTTGTTTAACATCAAAACATAGTTTTTCCTCTTCCAATTCTATGGATATCAAACCACTTAGATAAAAGCGTTTGGCCTGTGCTTAGATAAGTCTTTCTAACAAAGATGTTAAAATAATCTATGTTACCATAAGAGAAACAAATGTTTTTCTTACTGAATTGACATCTATTCATTGTTAAGTACTTTGTAATTATTATCCTATGCATAGTAAGTAAATTTCTCATCTCCTATAAGAATATCAATGTAAATGATCATTCAGAATACAATTTTTATCACTATCGACCTTATTCAGTGTGGCACAAAAGCTGGAGATCTTTAAGCACTGTTAATAACTATGAAAATCTCGATATTCTCGGAATGTATGTCAAAGCTTAAGAAAACATTCTATAAAGCATTTTGCAAAAGAGCATTATATTTAAGAAATTATATCGTGAAGTTTCATTGTATGATCGCGGTAATTTCAAGAATTGATAGCAAAAAGATCGGCATCCTAGTAAGAGTCATTCGGGATAAGGAGAAAACAATATAATATGCTTCCGTCTGCCCTTATTTGATTTTTTTTTGAAAATTTTCTAATCGAGATTTTGAAAGAGTATGTCTGAATTTTAAATTTTTTGTAGAGAGAAGAAAAAAAGAAAAATGTTTCAAGGAGATCTTACGTTCGAAGGGTCAACATTATTAATGAATATCCTTATGTTATCAATATTTATGACAATAGTATTACTTCTTGCCCAAGAAGATAAACTTGAAATACCAATTCTCGATATAGTTCAGTCATTAATTTGCTGGGGAACATTTTACGAATGCATTATACTCAGTGCATGCTTCTGGTGCTTCAGACACATAGAACGTATGCTTAGTACCAGAATTTTAATCAATTTCTTCATATACAACGCGATTTGTTACGCACCTTTTTGGGGTTTGATCGTATATTTCAAAGGATTCAAATCACATTTCTCACTCATGTACTTCATTCCTTTCAGCTTATTTATATATACAGTCTGGCAATTACCTTCAATTCCAATTCCAGTTTCAGGAAAACTCGAAGACAAAATAGTTCTTACAATGATGTTTGTTATATTACTTGTAATAACATTTCCATATGGTTTTTGTCCTCTTCTTACCTCAATTTTAGGAAATATATTATTTGAAATTGATTTCCTCCGTCTTGCACGCTTAGTCAAGATCGAAGAATCCTCAGATGATGCAATGGTGCCACTCCGCGAGTCACCATTGAATGCAGCCAATACAGCTCCGTTAGCAAATCCAGAAGATGATTTAGATACAGATATAAACCAAGATAGCTTAAACAACTTGGTATCTATGGGATTTAATGAGACTGAGGCAAGAAATGCCCTCATTCAAGCAAACGGAAATTTAGAAGAAGCTGTAAATCATTTATTAGAAGGCCGCTAAACGAAATATTACATTGTATTGTGTTAAATATAAAAATAATTTTTATTTACTTCCACATAAGAACGCCTAAATTACCACCAAAGTAAAGGAAGATCATATTCTTTGTATATGTTATATAATGTGAGAAATCTTCACCTACTACGACATTCCAGCCTGGACCTGTTTTCTTGTCCATATCTTCTTTTAAGGCTTTGCAGCAAAGTTCTAAGTTATTTTGTGAACGTTCGATAGCTGAGGAAACTAAATCGAGAGTTTCTGTTTGAAGGTCATCACCCATATCTGTTTCGACAACGAGTGGTGTGTTCAATTGTTTGCGCCATTCTGGGATAGGCTCTTCAGTCATTTGAAAAAAATATTGGGATAACGAACTAATTTACAAAATAATCGTTATCGTTCTTGATGATTATTAAGTTTGTTTTATCAAAAAAGGCGCATTATCTTCTAATTAAGAAAGTAATAATATAATGGTGAGAACTTTTACGTCAAAGAGCATATATTAACTTTATAGAAATCACTCAATTTGGAAATATTAAAATCATTGTCTTCAAATTAAATGATTTTAAGAATCAATGTTTGATAAATAATATTTTCATGGCTTGCATGACTTGATAATATGAGTGGAAGCATATTATTTTAAAATATGAATCAATTTTTTTAAAAAGATGTGTTAAGTCAGACTTTCGTGATTATGTTAAACAATTAAAAGGAAATATAGAATAATTGAGGTATTCTATAAAGAATGATCTGCATAAATTAAAAATGTTATTAATTGATAAATAATGTTTATATTAAATAATAGGTAGCATATTGAAAATCATCAACTTCTTGTAGTTAGTATGTATTCATATATAGTTTATTCTTTTCAAACGGAAATTTTGATTAAAAACAGTTGCCAAAATATAAAATCATTACATATATGTTTTTGGCTACAGAACTTGATAGGATATTTTGTACTAATGGTTTTTGAAATTCTTAATTATCTCTTATAAATTTTTAATAATTACAATATAAAACAATAAAAATTATACCGTATAAAAGGCCTTTGCCTTTGCAATATTTTCCGGACTTGTAGAAGCTAATATCTTGACAGCTTGGCGAATAACGACTAATGCATCTGGCATTGATGATGCTAGAATCAAATTATTCTTAATATCTGTATCTCTATTAATATACATCCATCCGGCTTCTATAAATATAACCATGAAAGCTCCGTACGCGAAAAGAAAATCAAAAACAATAGATACTTGGTCTGTCTGTTTCATTTGCGTAAAGAACGATGATATATGGCTGAACGAAAATCCGTATTCTGGACACAATCTGCCAAAGATTTCCTTCAAAGTTGGATCAAATTCGTAAGCAATTTGCACAGCAAGCTGCGAAGGACCAGTTTGAACTGTTTTCTCGCCTTTTCGTGGAAAACAGTGTGGAGCATAGTGGTTAACAAATTGCCGAAATGCAAAAAACGCTAAAGGATAAGTGTACGTCTGTAAAAATACCTGCCCGAACGTGAGAAGAGGCTGGTGAAGCGGATACTGCGAGCCTGACTGTGATAAGAATCCGGCTAATAAAACAAGGAAACTACAGTACGCCTGATAGTCTGTTTTAACTGAGTCGAGCTTCTGGGCATTTGTAATCCTAGTTAGTTCACCTAGAAGTTTCTTTTGGTCTGTTGTTGATAGATAATGATAAGCTGTAATGTATTTATCTCCTTCGTGCTCATCGATTTCTCCAAGGCCAAGCAGTATATTCCACATAAGAGTTCTATATTGCATTTTCGTGCTTGGTATTTGCTTTGAAAGGAAAGAAAAATCCTCGGAATTTTTGAGCATTGTTGCTAAATCATGGCGTATTGATTTTATCATAGTTTCCCGGTCGGAATTCCCTACCTTTTGGAAGTTTGCTAAAGAAGCATAAAGATGGGAGCCTCCGTTCATTATATGATCAACAACCAAAATTTGAAAAATGAACTTGCATCTTTTGCCTGTTTACATGGCAGATTACTGTTATTTTACACTAATCTATGAGAAGCAACATTATTATATGATTACTCACTTCTATGCTATTTTACTCGCTTTTTAAAAGAAAAGAAATGAGATTATAGAAGAATATCGTTTTCAATCAAAAATACATTGTTTATATTGCTTTTATTATAGAACTAAATTAAAGGAAATTTGCAAAAATGTATAGTTTCTGGATTAATACGTTTCAATACCGATGATTATTTTAATTTTCAATAATTGCTCTTGATTAAAACTTAACAACAAAAGGAATTACTATTATTTCATATGACAGATTAAAATTAGTTAAAAAGAATAAATAATATAGATCATATTTTAATTCTTACCAAACAAAAGACGAAAACAAACAGCTACACTCAACAAAAGTTATTTTCCGTAAACAGAGCAACCAGGAGGAAGACAAAGAGATATCAATTTGTTAGGAATATCTGCAAAGAAGGGATGTTGCAAAGCTCTCATTGCAGAGATCCTCTTTGATGGATTTATCTCTAATAATTGCTTGAGGAGATCAACTAACAGATCATTATTACAATGTAAAACCTCAGCTAAATTTTGCTCTGGGAATTTCGGAAAAGTAGGCTGATATCCTGGAAGTCTAGTAAATCCAGGCCATGTTTCTTCTGTTGGTGTTCCAAAAACTCTGAAAATCTTAAAGAGTTGGTCAATTTCTGAATCACCGGGGAAAAGCGGGTTTCCTGAAATCATTTCAGCGATAATACATCCAGTTCCCCATACATCAACTGAAATATCGTAAAGTGGAGAGTTCATAAGTAATTCTACCGGTCGATACCATAAAGTAACAACTTCATGAGTGTATTGCCTTGGTGGAATAGTAAATGTTCGTGCAAGACCGAAATCACATATCTTTAGGAAACCATCTTTGTTAATCAAAAGGTTCTGTGGCTTCATATCACGATGCATAATTCTGTTGCTATGCAAATAGCAGATACCACACAAAAGTTGGAATGCATATGACTTGAGAAGTGCTGGATGAACACCAGTACGTGTTGAATCCATATATTTTCTCAAATCAAATTCCAAATACTCTGACACCATTGTTAAAGCTCCTTTTGTACTGATAACATCTTTCAAAGCTACTATATTTTGATGATTTAAGTTCCTCATCAGTGCAATTTCACGTAGCGCGGTAACAGGAATTCCTTCTTCTTCTTGTTCAAGACGCATTTGTTTAAGTGCAACTATTTCTCCAGTTCTATTATCAACGGCGCGATAAACGACACCATATGTTCCTTCGCCAAGCTTTTCTTTCTTTGTGAAATTATCAAGAGACATTTGAAGCACGTTTACAATTTGTTACTTTTTTTTATGATAAATGATATTGATGAATATTTTGTTAACAGTAATCTATTAGACTATTTATTTTTCTGATTTTTGTTTCAAAGTTAAATTGAATTAAGGGTGGCTTCCGACCAAATTGTCACTTTTAACCCAAGTGAGAAAATTTCGTAATTTATAACCAAGTTTTTTAAAATCTATATTTAATAAAGATTCTATTTTTCTTATTAAATTTCAAAAATGAGGGGGTTCGGAATCGTCCACAAATTGCCGAAGAGATTGGGACAAAGTTGCAATTCGGCACTTTTTGTAAAAAAAATGGGGTCATACTCATAATGAATAGAGACTTATAGCCAAGTCTTGATATCATGCAGGGAGAATATACATTGATAAGCAATTATATTTTATAGTAGTAGTATTCAGAAATTCTTACAATTTACAATACAATTTTCAAAAATGGATAAAGACTAATAGCCAAGTCTTGATATCATGCAGGGAGAATATACATTGATAAGCAATTATATTTTATAGTAGTAGTATTCAGAAATTCTTACAATTTACAATACAATTTTCAAAAATGGATAAAGACCAATAGCCAAGTCTTGATATCATGCAGGGAGACTCTCTACAAATACAAAAATTGATTATCATAAGGAAATACAAATTTATCAATTTTCATGTGAAAATTACATAAATTTGTTCTCCAATAAATAGCAATAATACTTTGAATGTTATATTAAGTAATATAGCTTCAGGTAAATAAGCTTACACTTCAAAAATATACTGTTTATTCATTAATTTTAAAAAAAGTCCAAATTATCTAATCTTGCTTACTCTTCCTTTAAACTTCTTTGTGCCAAATTTAATATTGCCTTCAAAGATGGAATAAGGACATTAGGTTCAATCCTTCGGCTTTCGACAATTTCCAAAATGTGTTGAATTAATTTCAAACATTCATCGTGTTTTGAAGCTCTTTGCTCAACAATCTGATTACCTGCCCTTGTAAGAATTCTTACTGCTCTATCTTCATTCAAAACATTAGCGACTTGAAACTTAATAATCGCATTTGGAATCACAACAGTGATGAGAGTTATGACGATATAAAAAAATATTTTATTATACTCATTCGAAATTAAAAATAATAAAATTTATATATATTAATTTCATTAAATCAAGGTTAAAAATCTCACCGGAAAAATAACCTCAGTGTGATAGATTTATCACCGGAAAAATTTACAATAAGGTTAATACCGAAAATATCGAAAAATCAACATTTAAGGTTAATTTAAGAGTATGCACTTTTGTCACCTACTCAATTGCCGAAAGGGTTTTTGCCAGTTTTGAATCCGCTTATTTTTATCGACCAAAATTATAATAAATATGATTTTCGATAAGTATTCTACCCAAATGATTCTTCAAAAAATTATTTTTCGGATTTTATTCCGTAAAAAAACGTTACAGAAAACGTCTATAAAATTTCGAATTTTCCCTAAAAAATTCAGTGCAGGTCGATTTAAGAGATTTTTCAAAAATAATCATATCAGTAGATAGGGTATAATATAGAGAAGCTTTATGAATAACTTAAAATCCGGGAAACTCAATATTCAACGAGAAAAACGCTTAACGAATCTCACTTTTGATGTAAACATCACAAAAAATTGAGAGGGCTTTCTGGTCGGAAGCCTCCCTTAAAAGTGCCATAAAAGTTGATGTATGCCCAATCTCAATATTAATATCTCAACAATTCTTTTAATTCTAGAAAATATTTGGGCTTTGTCATGCGTATATCTATAAAAATTGTCCGGATATATTTTATCAAAGTCAAATTCTAAATTAGATTTTGGCAAATCATATAGTATATATATTGAGTGGTATCTCTTTTAACAAAAGCTCATATTGAGCAACCTAGAATATGTGAATCTTAGTGGGAGAATAACGAATCTTAATTAGAAAAAGTACGGAAAAGTAATAAACAATTGAGAGATGGTAAATAATGAAATTCATCTTCAAGTATATCAGAAAAAGAAAGAGAAATGTCTTATTTGCGAACACTATTTTGTTACACCAAGTGAAATAACAAGTATAACTGTTTCTTCTTGATTATTTGATGTTGTTCGATAAAGAGGTGTTTCTCCATATTTCACTTTTTTATTTGAAATAAGAAATTCGACTGTCAGTAAAATTACGGAGGGATTATGAATATCAGCTAGCAGAAAGTGCGTCTTTTAAAAAGCATTCGCTAAGAAACAAATGGTATAAATAAAACTGATATTTAGTTTAAGAAAAAAATTATAATAAATTCCGAAAAATCATAGATTTCAAAAAAGTTTCAAAATATCATTATCCAAAAAAATTGAAATCAAAGAAATCTTTTCTTTCTTTTTGTTGAGTCTTCACTTTTTTTTGTTTTCCGTCTTCATACTAAAGTTACCCTTAAAAAAAGCAAATTGTATACTTTTTTTCAGAATTATCCAATTTTTTCTCTTAAGAAACAGTGTTGAAATAAGCTTCACCATCATTATCATCATTATCGAAATTGCTTTCGACAGTGTTTGGAACCATATCCTTACCGAATTCGCCGACAGGAATTCCTGGGAATATTTCTGACTGTTTGACAGACGGTTTTTGTAAAACGCAAGGAGATTCCTTCAAATCCATGATTGAACCTTCCACGAGAACGTGCTGTTCCTGGCAGTGTCTGAGCAAATTGTACCAGAGGATTGACTTTGAGAGAACTCTTGCGCATCCAACGATGATCAATCCGTACTTAGCTCTTGTCAAAGCGACATTCAATCTTCTGTAATCCTTGAGGAAACCGATTGATCCGTGTGGATTGCATCTGACGCAGGACATGATGATGTAATCTTTCTCACCACCCTGGAAGGAATCGACTGATGCGATTGCGAGTCTCTGGTAGAAAGAGCTTGGCAATGTAGCCATTGAAGCCAAGAAATTCTGGAGATAGAACTTTTGGCCGGAGTAAGGAGAGATGATACCGATTTGTTGTGGATCAACACCTGCTTTGCAGAGTTGTGTAACAATCTGGGAAACAATTGTTGCTTCGAAAGCGTTGATGTATGAAGTACCAGAGTTAGAGATTTCTTCTTCATTGTTCACGTTGTTGTAGAACATGAGTGGGAAGCTTGGTTTCGGCCAGTTGAAGACTGGTTGTTGAGGAGTTCTCTTCTCTGCAGGAATTCCGTTCATCAACTCTCCATCGTAGAATGTGTTTGAAGGGAATTCGGAAAGAACAGGATGCATTCTATACTGTGTGAGAAGTCTCTGTGGTCTCAATCCAAGCTGTACTAATCTCTGGACAATGGAATTGCCCAATCCCGCTTCAACACACTTTGGATTTGTTACAACAGGGCCAAGCTGCATGTGATCACCGACCAAACAGACTTGTTTCGATCCGTGCATTATAGGGATTAAAATTTCTGGTTCTACAGCTTGCGTTGCTTCATCGATGATGACTGTTGGGAATACTTTTGTTGCAAGTCTTGGATCAGCTGATGTAATGCATGTGCATGTGATGACATCTGCTGCATCAATAACTCTGTTCTCCAAACTCTTGCGGAGATCTTTGAATTTCTTCTCTTCGTCTTCAGAGAAATCTCTGTTCGATCTCTCAATCAACATGTCATTCAATCTCCTTGATTCAGCGCAATCAAGTGAATAAACCATGTTGTGGAGAGCGTATTTGTCATCAATTGCTTCGATGTCTGTACGCGATGTTGAAATAACACGGCAAACAGATGCATGTGTAGATGCAATTGCTTCTGTAACACGCTCAACAGCTGCATTGGATGGTGCACAGACAAGAACTGGACCGGCTTTTGCTTGAAGGAATCTTGTAACTAAAGCGGCAATTGTTGTTGTCTTGCCTGTACCTGGCGGACCTTGTATCATGCAGAATGGAGATTTGAGGGCGTATGAAACAGCGTTGACTTGGGAAAGGTTGAGTGTTGGAATTCCTTTGACAACTGGACTGCGATTTGGTTCGCCAGGAAGAGTTGGAATCGTATCTGGTAAATGGCCCATGATAACTTCCTTGATTATGTTGGCGGTTGATGTCTGTGGGGATTGTGGCATCTTGGCAATGGCGCCAATCATTCTGACAAAGGAAGTGTCGAGCCAAACAAGTTGGACGGTGAAGATTGCATCTTCTGGTGGAGTAGGCTGGCGGATGAAAAGAAGTTCGATCTCGCCAACGCCGAGAGTACGCTCAAGAGAGCCTTTGGCTTCGTATGCACCGCATTTGACAAGAAAAGTATCTCCGATATTGATTGGTCGAGATGTTTCCGAAATTGGGAAGCTAAAGGTTCCTGTAAAGCGGTTATAGCCTTCTCTCTTGAAATTGATCTTCACATTCCTGTAGATCATTGATTCTGTGACTTGTTTATCATAATCCATTTCTAGCTTAACAAGAGTGTTGTAAGTGGTCGCGTAGTCACGGATATCTTTGTATGTGGGCTTCGTCTTAGGAATGGTTGTGCTCTTTCTGATCTGTGGCAAATCAAGGATTGTTGCGTTCGGATTCTTTGGCCATGTTTCTTCGAGAAGATCCATATCGGTTGGAGTGATATCACAGAATCTGAATCCGTCCTTGGATTCGGCGTGTGATGGTGGTCTGACCAACCATTCAAGCATTTGAGTCTGCTGAACGATCAATTGACGATGTGCGAGATCAAGGGAGTAGAGGTGAAGCTGGGGATCGTTGCAGCATTCACGGCAAAGAACGAAATATTTGCCTGTTTTCTGAGATTGAACAAAACTCAAACGGAAAATGTTTGTAGAGTGGCAAAGATAGCATGTCATCGGAATTTGTGAGTATGGATTCTGCGGTGGAAGTTCAATTTCCATATGGCGTGATTTAACAAGGTGATGAATGATATGTGAGTGTAACGCTTTTCCACGGCCGTTGCAGAACCATCTGCCTATTGCTTTGTCCTTGACAAGGCATTCTGGAATATCACAAAGGCAGTAAGAGCAGCATGGACGGTCAATTACAAGCTCTTCTTGTGGCTCATCATCAATTGTCGGATCCTCTTTTGGAGTGTATCCAACAGAGCCCTTGACAGCGTTATCATTAGCTGACCATGCTCGATCATTAGCCTGCTTTTTTTCAGTCATTAGGGTGAAGCGGCCGCGACGATAGAAAATTACGAAATCATTCACCTCATCATTTATTTTATAGCGGATATAAGGTGTATAAATAAATTAGTGATAAACTCAACAAAGAAGTGATATGATTGGTCGTCAAAATTTCAAATTTCTCTGTCTTATCTTGGAAGTAATCAAATTCTTAGCACATAACGCCAGCCATCATCAACGGAATATATAGTACAATCTCATAGCTATAAATCTCATATTTTAAGGTATATTTCTTTCAAATATTAGTTGATAAAAAGTAATTGTCTTTTAATTTGAATGACATTTTCTATATCTCCTTTTTGAGATTTGTTTTGCTATTTCGTCATTAATATTTGGAATTATAAAATTTATTTTTAATGAAAATGCATTTAAAAAACTTGTTATCAATACAATTAATCCAAATAATATATATATCTTTATTAACTCTAATGTGCAGCTTGAAGCTTTGTTGATCTGACAACATTTTTCGCAATACCTGCGCGCTCGCCTTTGTAAAGACCATCGCGTGGAGCGTTCTTCTTCTTGTGTGTTGTAGAATACTCCTGCATGGCGACAGCATACTTGTGGCTGTGAGCATTTCTTGGATTTGTCCTCCTCTTCGAATTGTTTGGAATAATAACCTTGTTCTTGAGGATGGCTGTAGAGACAGGACGGAATTCGCCCTTTTCGACCTTCTGTAAGTGATCTGGGATATGTTTTTCTGGAACTTCTTCTTTTGCAGGTTCTTCTTCCTCTTCTGCAACCTCTTCTGCTTCCTCTTCCATTTCCTCTTCTTCAACTCCGCCTTCATGTAATAATTGCTGTACTTCTTCTATATAATCTAAACTTGGGTGTGTTGTGGACATATATCCTTTAGAAACTAAGTATAAATAGAAACTGCCATTCGTTAATATGCTATTAAGTAGTTGTTTTTGATATGGTTCTAAGTCATCTGATTTTATTTCTTCTGTTGTCTGAACAAGTAAGGAAATAATCTGCTTAATCTTTAATGATAACTCTTCCTTTTGCTTTTCGTTAAGTTTTTGCTCTAAAATTGCTGAGTCTTCTTTTGGTGCCTCCATTGCGTGATCTATTTCACTCAAAGAAGGTGGCTGAAATGCCTTGTAATCTTCGTTTTTAAGTGTAGAAAGATGCTTTTTCTCTTGAATTTCTGCTTCTTCAATGTAATGCTCTTCATCAGATTCTGATCCTGAATCTGCTTCGCCATATATATTTTCTTTGCCCCAGTTAGTTTCGTATTGGAATACTGGAACTTCTGAAGTAGGTTTATTAGACTCTTGCTGAAATCCTTTCTTAGATTTTTTGTTTTTCCTTGAACGCATTGATTTTAAGGCCTGCAAACAAACCTTCTCAATTTAAAATTTGCGCTTTCAGGAGACATGCAAATCAAAATTTTTTATTATTTTCCATTTTGAATATTTCATACACCCAGAAAAATACAAAACGATCATTAATATCATCTTTATCTTCCTTATTATACCTTATATAAATTTTGAAATTATTTTTTTGCAATGTATTGATGTTTAACAATCATGAATGATTAGTACATGCATGAGATATAATAATTGCAATATAGTAAAGATATAAAAATGAGTTAACGCATCAATTGAATTTGGAACAATTTTCATTTTTCGTATCACAGCATTTTTACCTCGACGGATAAACTTTAAAACGTAATTTAAGCTATCTGCCAAAGAACGATTCTCGAAAGCTGAATTTCTATTTTCTTTTATGAAATTGAATGAAAATCGATAATATTGAAACTTCATGAAGTTTTTCCTAATTTAATTATTGATCTATACAATGAGTATTAATTTTTAAAATTTGATTTTTCAATGAAACCGTTTATCCAATGAAATCAATGAGTAAACATATAGAGTTTAATATTTATTTGATGAGAAATTTATGAGATAATTTGAATATATTTTGATTCTCAATTTAATTTTATACTCATGCTTTATGAACCCCGGAAAATAAATTCTTCATCAATTCATAGAGAAGCTCTCGGCCTAGGCAAATTAGAAATGTGCAAGGGATACGAGTATGGAGAATTGATATTTTTCGCAGTAATGTTTTTAATAATTTTTATACCACACATGATAGCTATCAGAAAATTGCATCATCCACTTGTTGGCTTCATTATAAGCTGCGTACAAAATATATATTTCACTTATACGTTCATTTCGATTTTCTGCTGGGCAAAAAATGGAAAGGCTTCACCAGGATTCATACCAATTCTCGGAGCAGTACTCATTCCTGCTTCTGTTATAATGAATTACTTTATATATTATAGGCGAAATAATGGAAGAAAGCCAACACCTGTCACAAAATTCAGGCGTAAAATGTTCTTCGATTATTCACTTGGAAAAAAGCAGTTAAAAGAAGAAACAAAACTCAAGGTTATGAGTATTCCGAAAAATGAAAACCCTGACGATTTTCTTATGAATATTCTTAAAGAATCAATATATGGACCTCCAAAAATATTCCTCCGATCATATTATAGCGATAAGAAAGGAATTTTCGTTTTCGTGCCTTATCATACATGGGAACCAATATCTACCCCTATATTTGACATCAATAGATCCAAAATTATGATATTAAAATTTACGCATTACTTTCAACTCACTGAAGAATTACAAAATAAGGTGAGAATTTATGTCAATGGTGTGAAGTTTGTCCATCATGAATACTTTGGAGTAGACTTTGATGAAAGCAAGTGTTCTCTTAAAGAGGCGAATCAGGCAGGAAATTTACACCAAACAATGGTCATTTCAAACGGATCTTTGCTTATGTCATTCCTCAATAGCAAATTTGGCTTTTTCATATATATAATTAGCCATATCTTTGGTCTTTCTACATTTTTCGACGATTTATTTGGAATGCAAGTTTCCACAACAGAAATTGATACAAAGCGCTTGCTTTCAAATGACAATAGTCTCAGAAATGAAAGATATAAGGCTGATGCTAATGGAGGAGTTGATATCGAGCAACCACCAAAAGATCCAAAGCATTTAAGAGAATTTGCAAGATATTTCATAAGCATTGGAATGATAAGACCAATGACAAGAAATAATCAACAAGATCAGGATCATGAAGAAAATTCAGATAAACCAAAGAAGAAAAAGAAGAAAGACAAGAAGGAGAAGAAGGAGAATGAAGAACTACTTGGGGTCGATCAACCAGCATTTCCACCTCCATCTCAAGCTCCTGATAGTGAAGATGTTGAATTACAAGACATCTCAACTGTAAATCCATATACCAATCCATACGAAGATGACTATTGAGCGGATGGTTATATTTTATTATTATACTGTATTGTTATATTTTTTTAAAAAACTTACGCAATTTGATCTTTTTTCTCCTTCTTTTCATTTCACCAATTAAAAGTACCTAACGTACCAATGGCAGTTTTAGAGATTATAATGAAATCGAGATCAATTAAGAATGATTTATTAAGAATTGTTTTCTCATCAGAATGAACGTTTAGTATTAAGCCTTGAATAAATTATATTCGATGGGAGATACTATATTTTTAGTTATGCAGATGGGATATCTATATATCTAAGATTATTTTTAAAAAATAATGGATCAATGTATATTTGATTAGATTGTGAACGTGTATAAGTATGAAACTAAATTTGATAACAAAAATCTTTATTTATATTGTTGGAATTGGTGAAAAACAATTTATTCCTTTTTCTCTTCTGCAGGAGGGGCTGGCTCAGCAGGTTTTAACAATGAGGCACAAAACTTCGCAATATTGCATGAGCACCACTCAGACCATTTTGGAATAACAGAAAGATACAAATTTCTTCCAAGAGATTGCCAAAGAACAGCCCATTCTGCTTTCCTATAGATTGGTTTGTGAGGAGCTCCAACAAGTTTAACAATTTTGTTGTTCAATTCATCATGAGTTTCACCGGATTCTTCTCCACGATGTTTTCTATCAAGAAATACTTCATATGTAACAGGCTTTTCTGCGTTAAATGTCTTATTAACTAACTCTTGCAAGATTGGAAGAGATTCTGATGATAATGGGAAGCCTGAGTACATAATTGGATAAATTTTTGAAACTTTATTTGTAAGAGTTCCTTTTCTTTTTCTAACTTCTTCAAAGTATCTCTCAAGAAGAACAAAAGGATCATCTTGTTTTTGTGTAAATCTAATGAAAACGTTACCATTGACTTCAGATACGTAAGGAATCCATCTTTGTTGCTTTTGATTTGGCTTTTTAAGATCAGCAAGTTCTTGTTCGAGTGTTTTTTCTTCTTGTTGCTCTTCTTCGGCTTCTCCTTCTGTTAATGGATCAGCTAATTGATTCAAAACATCGATAACTTGCCTTGTTGCTTGTTGATCTCTGTTAATATCACATGTGAAAAGCCATCCTTTTGATCCTTTTGGAGGAACAGCAAGATTCTTCCTGTTACCTTTCGGCATCTAAAAAAAAATGAATTGATTTGCTAATAATCATTAAATTCACATAGCAATGTGAGATAAAAATCTCAATTTAACATACCAGTTTATCTATATAGAATTCACAAATTCCGCCGCCATTCAAAATCATCTATCGGCAACTTACCCTGAAGTTCAACATATTAACTTTATATTACTATTTTGAGTATTTTAGAGAAATATCTCTGTATAAATTAAAAATAAAAAATATAAATTGGAAACTGATAGAATTACAAGGATAGCATAGTATTTATTCTTTATCTGAATCTTCTTTTTTATAATCTCCTTTCATGTATTCCCATTGAAAGGCGTTTGTTGTATATGGAGTAGGTGTTGGAATGAGCCAATTGAGAGATAGAGGTCCTAAGACTTCTTCCAAGTACTTTAATTTAGTTTTATCCTTTCTGATCGGTATATCAAATTCTATTTCCAAAATTGTGCGGCCAGACATAATGTTAAGAATCTGTTGGGCAAAAAGAACACCAAGGAATGTAGGAGTTGTAGTAGAGCCGAATACATCAAGAATCAATTCAATTGGGAACTTATTGCATCCTTTAAATATCATAATCAGTGTAACAAAGAACCAATTGACGGTCATGAGTATTCCATGAAGTAGAAACACAACAAATGTCTTATGGTTTCGAATAGCAACGCATTTTCCGATTATTAAACAATGATGATCCATTTTTCCAAAGCATTTTCCGCAGGTAGAACAATGATGAGCTCTAAATGGTTTGATTGAATTGCATTTACTGCATCTAGTTTCGCAATCTTTCTTTTTCACGTATCTGGCTTCGTTCTTCATATCTCCTGGATCATCAACCATTAGACTAAAGAATGCTAAAAGCCACATGATAATGCTAAACGTTAAAGGAATAAAGAATAACATGATTGTGATTTTATATCCCTGAAAATACAAAGGAACATAAACGTGATTGATACCAATGATAATCATTAATGAGACGATGACAAATAATAGAAAAGGAGGAACATATCTAAATGTTTTCTTATAATTCATGACTCTAAAAAATTCTTACACTTTTTTTTTCTAAAATCTTCGATCGTTCCAAAAGTGTCAAGTTGAACAATAAAAGTGCACGTTTAGAAATAAATATATTTATTGCTTTTCGCTATGGAAAATTATACGATTGTTAAAGCACTCAATGAACATCGTATTATTGCTGATAGAAAAGCCGATGGTAAACGATTCTTCATCGAAGATATGCAAATAGCAGGAATTCCAAATCATGAAAAACAAAAAATTGTCTGGAAAATGAATTGCCTAGTTCAGAAGTCAGAATCACAAATATGCTTGCCAAGATATCATCATCCATTCATTGAAAACGGAAAACTATTCTGCGTTTACGATTATTTAGGAGATGTTACCTTAGAAACAAAGATAGTTCAAGCTCTTAAAACTAAAACAAGCTTTAAGGAAGAATTTATTTGGGAAGTAGTTACTGCTATTGCTGTTGGAATTTTGAATTTCCATACAAATAATCCACCAGCATCGCATGGAAACATATGTGCTAAAAACATATATTTCGTAGATGACCACGATATCAGGTTGGGCGGATTTTCACTCACAGAACCAGATCCAACATCACAAACACCAATCCAAGCAGATATCTATCAAATAGGATCTTTGTTATATGAAATTAGTTCATTAACAAAATTTAAACCAGAGGGAAAGCATTTCAGAGGCAATTTGGAAAAATTGCCAAGATCAATACGCAATACGATTAAGAAGTTGATTAAATTTGACTGTAATGAACAGTTAACTGTAAGTCAGATATTAGAAATCCCTGAAGTTGCTGTACACTTCCTAACACTCAAATTGAGGGCTGATATTGCCAGAAATGAAGAGGAAAAACGGAAAGTTGTTGAACTTCAGGCTGAGATTGAATTATGTAAGAAACGACTTAACATCGAGTAATTATAAAATGTTTATTTTATTTACAATTTTTTATTCAATCAAGCATCTTACAGTTGAACTGCCAAAGCCATGCATGAAGGGTTTTGCTTAATATGTTATTCCTTCATACGACTCTCCATATAAAATTTAAGATAGAACTCGAAATCTGACGCGTAAATTTCCTTTTTAATTGTCATAATTTAGAAATGCAAAACCAGCCAATTAATCCTGTCGCGTTCAAAGGAAAAAGAAAAGGTGCTCCATTAGAAGAAAGATTGAGGAGAGTTACCTATATGATTGTAGCAGCTTGTTTAATTGGCTTTTTGATTCCAACTACAAAAATATTTAGCACATTCAAGAGCGCAAACTGCACAGAAAAGAACTCATTTAGATTTGGTGTCCTGTGCACAATCATCTTCTTAATTCTTGCTGTCTACATTTATATAAGGACTTGGGGAATCCATGAAAACAGATCTGAAAGAATGATGAAAGATCATCCTATACCAGCTTTTTCAATGACATTTGCATTCTTGTTCGCTTTGTTTTCATTTTTCTTTCTTTTCCTCGATGTTATGGGTTTCTTGGGTGCCATTTTCTATTTTGCCATTTGCGTTTTCTTATATAACGCACTCATTGCATTTTCTTGCTAATACCATTGAAAAAAATCTTTTGTATTCCTCAATATTATTTTTATAAATTAAATTCTTCAATAAACTATATTTATTTTAAGATATATCTATACCTTGGAATGCATAAGACTAGATTTCAGCCTTAATGATCAAAAAATAACAATAAATTACAGAATTTATATTTAAACAAACAAAAAAAGCTCTATAAATTAATTTGGATAAGCTAGACCTTGTTTTCGTAGAAATGTAGTTAAAAGATTTCTCAGCTCTTTAACAGTTTCGGGTAATAACTCAATTAATTCGATTTTATTGGAATTATTCTTAAAAAGGTCTGGCTGCATCTGCATAATAAGGTTCTTGACCGATTCCTTATCAACTTTATCAGAAAGTAGATCCATTGCGCATTGCAACGAAACTAGCTCTTTTTCTGAAGGTAGTTGCTTTACATTAATTTTAGATGTTGATGGAGATCCAAGCTTAAACTGAGAAGGAGATTCATCCATTAATTGTCCGATTTTTGATCTTAATCTTGCAGTTTCCTCACAAAATCCTTCTGGTGTTGTAATTATCAATTTTCTGGCGAGTTTTTTGAATCTCTTCACTAGATATATTATTAAATAGGTGAGAAAATCATAATCTCCATTATATTTAGCGCAATTTTTGGCAATCAATTCTACATCTCTCACCCATTCTTTAATAGAAGTATATGATCCATTTCTAATCTTTTCTATTATTGCATTAAAGCACATTGGCTGTGTAATAATTGTATAATAATCAGCATCAACTTCAACACCAACTATTGGCATTCTAGTGAACCATTTGGATCCAGGAAAATCCATTGTTTGTTGGGTTATCTCTATCATTTCTCTGAGGGTTTGCTGATTCATTATAATTTTTGGGGATTATTATCGTGCTCCCCCTATAATATTTTATGGCAGAATAATGTTTTATATTAATGAATTTTAGGATTTATACGTCACAACTTTTGTTCTTATTTGAAATATTACCGATTAAATTGCTCTCAAAAAAGTGATAAGAAATCCTCAATCTTTTAATATTTATATATATTATCTATCATGCCATGACTTTAAAATTCGTAAAGCAAAGAAAATAAACTAAACTTCTAATGACCCAAAGGCAAAGCAGATTTGAGAGAAAATCCGAGCAATCTCTCAGAGAATCGGCTATTACACTGGCCACAAAATTAGGAGATCCAAATACATTCCCTAAGGAGATTACTTTCAACACATCGCAAACTGTTCCGATTATCACAAATACCTTCAAGATCGTCAGAGAAAAAGCCCTTAATCTTTATCAGTATGATGTTACGCTTGAACCAGAGATGATTAATGAGAAATTACGTCGTCATTTTGTTTATTCAGCAATATGTCCAAACGGAGGAAGAATGAGCGAAAGCGAAGAGTGGCGCAATATTATTTATGATGGCCGTGCTGCTATTTTCTCATCCAATTCCCAATTGGACCGTGAAGTTGACGTCAAAGCAAAAGAAGACAAAACAGTCAAAGTCATCATCAAGAAGGTCGCTGAAATTGGCGAAGATAAACCAGAACAGCTTCTTCAGATATTCAACATTGCTTTCCAGAGTGTCTATCGCTCATTTAATTTGGAATGCTCTGGAAGAAAGTGGATTGACCCAACTCAATTCACAAAAATCAGTGGAAACACCCTTACTATTTTTAGAGGCTATAGACCATCCATTTCCTACCTTTCTAATGGTCTTACATATGTACTCGAATCCACCTCCAGAATCACACGTAATGACAATCTTTACAATTTCTATAAGAACAAGAGGTCACACCAGAGGATGTTTGATACAAATGAGTTCGTAAAATTGATCCAAGAACTTGAGATCACAACAACTCACTTGAGAAAGCCAAAGAAAGTCATTATCACAGGTATCTCCCAAGAAGCAACCATCCATACCACTTTTAAGTGCAGAACCAATCCAAAATCCCAGGATGAAATTGATATCTCTTACGCTCAATACTACATGGACCATTACAACAAGGAGCTTCCAAATGATGATATCCTCTTCACAGCCAAGGCCACAACAAAGAACGGCGGCGTAATTAATTATCCAGGTTCCGTTCTCGGCATCAGCGGCATCGCAAAGTACGAACTCACCAAAAGAAACCTCAAGAACGAAATCGCCAAGTGCTCCAACTTGCCAATCGACCAAAAGTGCGCTAAATACAGAGAATTTGTTCAGCGCATTAACAGCGATCCAGAATCCTCCAAATTCCTCAAGCGCTGGGGCTTCCAGATCCAGGACACCAAGGTTCTTACAGGATTCAGGCTCGATCCACCAGTTTTAATGGATGGAAAGACAACCTACACATTAGATCCGAACCGTCCATCATATCAGGGCAAGCTCAGGAACATGAAGTTCTTACGCAAGTCAACAATCAACGGCTGCATTCTTTTCGTTTCATATCCAGGATCAGAACACGCAGGACAATTACAAAACGCATTACGTGATATCTCAAGAAACCTCGACTTCGAACTTACCAACCTTGTCCCAATTACAACAAAGGGGGCTTCGGCCGACCACTATACTCGCGTTATTGTCGATTACATCAAGGAGAACAGACAGAGTCCACCAACCTTTGTTATCTGTGTCGTCCCAGATACACAGAAGGACCGCTACGATTCAATTAAGTCTGTTCTTTCATCTGATCTCGGAATTCCCTCTCAAATCGCCATCGAAGGCTCACTTAACCCCAAGCTTTTGATGTCCGTTGCCACCAACCTCGTCATCCAGATTGGTACAAAGCTCAACGGCGCCTTAGTTAAATTGTCAAGAAAATCTATTTCCGCAGAAATGAAGGGAACCATGTTAATTGGTCTCTCCATCGCCTCAGGCAAAGGCAGAGATCCATCTTCCTACGTTTCTGGCGTCGCAACAACTGATTTCGATTTGAGCATGTACCACTCGAAGAGTTTCGGACCACACAACGAGAAGATCATTCCTGAGAACTTCATCACCGACTTCATCCAGTCCGCATTGCAAGAATACAGAAATAACACCCAAGAAGCACCACAAAGAATTATTGTTTACAGAGAAGGCGTTTCCTACGGTCAAATGCCAGATCTTAAGGAGCAGGAAGTCAATGTCATCGCTTCCAGCGTCGGCTCTATTCCTTTGACTTATATCGTCTGTCAGAAACACGCAAACATCGCAATCATGCTCAACCGTGACAACCATCCTGAAAATTGCAAGTCAGGAACTGTTGTTACAGAGGGAGTTTCGACTGCAGGCGTCGGCGAATTCTTCTTGATTTCTCATGCGGCCAATCAAGGAGTTGCAAGACCAACAAGATACACAGTCATCCACCAAACACCTCTCGAGGCATGGAACAACGAGAATTTGGTCAGATTGACTCATTACGACACAATGGTCTATCCAAACTGGCCAGGACCAATCAGAGTTCCAACTGTTTTGATGCTCGCAGCAAAACTCGCTGAATTCCACAGAGAACACTTGAATGGCGTTTCAATCTCTGAGACAATCCAGAACCTTCTCCATTATATCTAATTCTTGAATTCATTTTTCTGAATAAGATCTTTAAAAATTTTAATTTTTTTATTGAATTTAAGGAGTTATTTGTAATGTTACTTTTCACTCCAATTTTTTTCGAAATTTCATTCAAATTTTGGCTTATTTAAGGCTGTATGACACAATTACAATAGAAAAGTCAAAATCAATAAGATGTTCATTAATATTCTTATATCATTTTCGATTAGGTTTTAAAATTTTGTTCAATTAAGGCTCTATGCAAATACTGTATCAATCATAAGAGAATTCAATTTAGATGCAGTTGTTAACGCTTGTTATTTATCATAGAATCAAACAAAAAGCATAAGGCTTGAATTTATAAATACATTTATGATATTATGGATTAATACAATTAAATAAAAACAAAATTATATTAGTTAAAGAAGGGACTGTAGTTCTCCAAAATTTAACGTATAGAATTTGAACTTTTAAAAATAAGTGTATAAATTATGGCTTATATTGAAAAGAATAGCAATAACAGTCATAGAAAGCAGATTATATTCGAGTTCTCTCATTGACTGTGAGACTTTGGATGGATTTTGTCTTAGTTGGTTTGTAATTAATCAAAGAAATATATGTAAGTCATTCAGCATCCTTTCATTCAATGATAAACATTGAATGGAAATTGTCTCTGTCAGGAATAGAATAACAGGCTCCTTGGAGATCAAGGAGCACAGGTATAGAGCACGAAATAAATAAATTTATAAATAAAAAGTGTCGGTTTATAAATTCAAAAATGTCAAGCGGGCTTTTCGAATCAATTTCTCGCCCACTTGAACTTGTTTGGGACGCTTTTATAGAGGATGATCCTCAAGCCACCATTATGCTAGAGGAATTGACTGATGTAATGGACGGAATGGTCCTTCAAACAGTCGCAGATGGAAGAATCACGGTATACATACAAGAACAGAAAGTGGCATTTCCTATTTGCGATATAGTAGAATCATATTTATCATATTTCTCACATTTTGATTGTTCAATTACAATTGCAATTGATGATAATCCTCCACAAGCATATAGTATCGCATTAGAAGAGTTTCCCATACCAGAAAATCCTCGCTCAGTAGTTATTGAGTTTCTAGGATTCTTAAATGCAACTGCAACTTTTAAATTAATCGAAAATGCTTCTCAAATTAACAGAAATGTAAAATACCCGATCTTATGTCTTGGATTTCCAAGTCCTGATATCGATGAGCATGCTATTCAAGAATTTGAACAATTTACCCTTTCAAGAGAATTTCCTGTTCAGCAATATACAAAACTTGTTCAAAAAAGAACACAACTGGAATCAAGAAATAAATCATTCCGAGTTAAACTCTCTAAACCACGCAAAGATCTCCAAAAAAGAGCAAAAGACGCAATTGCTGAGATACAAAAGCGAGAAAAGCAGTTACAACTCATCAAAGAGCATGCACAAGATGAAGTTAATGAACCTCTTCCTAGTGCTCCTGAAGTAAATCCAAAATTAGAAGAAATTATTTCTAGAATTGAAGGAGAAATTAATGATATAAAGGTAAGAATCAATGACGCATATGCAATGTTAGAAGAAAAGAAGACTGAAAGACATTATACAAGAACAGAAGAACTTGAATTGTTAGAACAACTTAGAACAGAAGTAGCTGGAGATAGGAAGCAAGTGGATGATTTTGAAGCCCAAATCCATAAGAAATAATGTATTAATATTTATTTGTTTTTATATTCTAAATATTTGATATCAAATTATTTTGTTTTGAAGCTGTTATTTGATATTAATCATACAACATTAGCTGATTATTGTATGAATATCTACTTTATACTGAATAATACAAATAATTTTATCATTTCATTGAAATAATTAGAAAACTTCATCAATTCATAGTTTAAATCTTATTCAACTCATATCCATAAACTCATTTAACTTATACTAATTGATCATTTGTGAGTTTTGTGGATCAAAATTTAAGAATTTGTGAGTCGCTATGCATAAACTAAGAGCATGTTGGATGTTATTAATAAGAACATATATATCAATAGAAATGCATGATATAGAATTCACTCGGAAGGTTTCAATAATTATTTTGTTATGAGACAGATCATATATATACATATTTTAAAAAAATTATTTAATAAATAAGAAATCTTTTTTGTTTTAAAAATAATTGAAATATATTGAGCTATAATGATGTTCTTAGTACTCATGCTTTGACTGACCATCTCCACTGTATGAGTATCCACTGTCAGATTCAACTTTGACTGGAGCCATATTCTTTCTGCGGAGGCAGAGTGAGAACATGACGCAGATGCAGTCGATCATCATGATGACAGCGGCGATCATCCAGAAGGCACCACCGTTGACGAGGTTGCTGCACATGGCGTTTCTGATTGGAACGTAAAGTCCGCAGAGGCCATAGCATGTGAGATCTGACTTCAAGCCACCGATGACTGTTGCGTTGAAATCAACAACGAAAGCGTCCAAAATGTTTTGTGTGGTATATGTTGACTCGTTCATCAATGGGCCAATTGTACGAGAAAGACTAACTGTCTCTGCAACAGATTTGTTCATTTGGTCGATCTTTGGCTTGAGTTGATGATCGAGCTTATTGAAGTAGTCATCGATGTTTTGATCAAGTCGATCTTTGTTGGGGCATGATGCAACAGCTGCCTTGAGTTCGTTTCTCCTACTGATATCTTCTTCGAGAGATTCAGCGGAGTATGAACTTGTATCGATGTTGGAAGCATTGTCAAGGGATTCCAGTGAAGCACCACCTTCGACTTTTGTGAGAGTGCCTTCCAAATTTTCCTTGAATTTCTCAATTTGGTTGTCAATTCCGAATTTTTCACCAAGATGCAAGAGATTGTAAAGGGACTTCTCTGTTCCATTGCAGTAGAGGGCATCAGTGAGGGTAATGTTTTCTGGAAGGAAGTCGCCGCCGTATTTTTGGATATATGGTTCGAGCTTCGGGCAAATGCCGAAGAAAATAGGTGTAGTGATAGCGAATACGATGCAAGGAAGGCCTAAGAGTAATGTGAAGAGGTAGGCGAACATTGGGAAGCAGCCAGCGAGGCATCTGCTGCAGCAGCAGTTGAAGAAGTAGATGATGCCGAATGTAGCAATGAGGATGCTAAGGATTACAACGGCAAGGATAACAACAACTTTGATCCACTTGTTGGCTGGTTGGATGTACTTATCAGCTGTATCAAGGAAATCAGTGAAGGAAACATAGTTTGTGCCGGCAACTGCATTTGTAACATCATCCTTGAAGTTCTGGACCATGCCATCAACTTTATTTTCCATTTCTGTGACAGAATTTTCGATCTTGTTTCTAACATCCTTGATTTTATTGATGGAATTCTTCAATTTGGACATCTTAGATTTGACATCTGTAAGTTTGTTAATAACCTTGGAGTTATCAATTAAAACATTGGATTGGTGACATCCAGTCTTGAAGTTGTTGTTAAGAGTATTGGCAGATGTTTGTAATTCACCTTGTGCATATGTAACAGCTTCATTTGACTTTGTTTCAGCTTGTTGTGAAGAAGTTTCCATTTTACCTATTTTATCATCAACAGCAGCAATAAAGTCTTTGAAAACTGTAACAGCCTTTGTAACCATACCAGTAACAAGGTTTACACCATTTTCGACAACTCCTTTAATGGCGTCGATGATGTTTGTGATGAATGCGGTGAAATTCTTGTTGATCTTAGCAGCATTGCCGAATCCCTTAACAATATTTGATGCTGAAACGTAGAAGATGATAATAGCGACAACCATGATGCCAATGAAAGCGAGGTGAGGAATTGCGAGAGACCACTTGAACTTCTTGCTTTTCTCTGGTTTGAAGCAGCAGCAAGAGAAGCAGGCTGAACAGCAAAAGAACATGCAGAAAATAACGACGAAAGCAATAATTACGATAACGAATCCGATGAAATAAGCTGCGAACCCCATTGGGCTTTCAAGGTTAAATTCATCGGTAATTTTTTCTTTTGTAAAGTAAGATGCTAATTTTTCTGAAATTGGGGCGGCTGGTTTAGCAAGCTTCAAGAAAAAAGAACTGGCGCCAGCGACTGGATCTTCAACGCAATCTTTGCCTGGATCTTCGGCTTGATCCGCTGAAAGGGCTAGAGCAAAGAAAATTGCAAACATAATTTTAAATGTTAAGGGTCCACTGTAAGGCCAAATAAGGTCTATCGTCGTCCCAAAAATATTGCTCGAGATGGTGTTTTACTAAGGCCCAAAACTTAAAAAAACACAAAAAAATTAACTTTACTTTTTTGAGATCCTTATCAGATATGCATCAATTTGATGCAGTATCGCAGTTCAAATCTGATTTTTTAATGTAGATGTACTCTAACATCCTTTAAAAAATGCAAAATGATATTAATTAAGCTTTTCATTTCTGTATCATACACGAAACAAAATCGTTCATTATACTAAAATTTATCAAAGTTTGATTAATGAAAAAATAATATCTAAATTTTTACATTGAGTCGGCTATTGATATGGTTAATATTAAATCTTGTAAAAATTGGCATTATCCAGAATAATACCCACTAAAACACACAATTTTTTTAAAAAAAAATTTATCAATTGTTATGGTATATCTTTATGATAATGAATAAAATGCTTATTTTTCATAAGTAAATACATAATTTATGCTTAAACACAAAAAATAACACGAAAATTTTTGGCCAACATATCTAAACTAAGGATAATGGTTTGAATATATAAACAATAATACTTTGTCCAGGGAATTAAATTTGTGCTATCCAATTGTCAATTCTTTGAATTTTTTTTTAAATGCAAGATATCCCGGCATTAGCCTCAATAAATATATATATTATGCATCATAATATTAGTTTGTAATGGCATTAAAGCGAAATTCCTAATTTCTTCTCAATTAAATTCCTTGAAAAACATTGGAATTAATGATTGGAAATAGGTCAAAAAAATTCCTAATATAAAACTTATACTTAAGATAAAATTAAAATTCGAAAATATCTATTTTTCAAAACACGCATCCAAAAGCGAAAAAATTCGAAAAAATCATGTTCTTATAAAACTCACTGATTTTGCAATTTTTATGAGATTTGAAGTGATAGAATATATTACCATCTTATTGAAACATATGCTTCATTGTTGTATTCACATAATATTAATCAGAACACTAGGAAAAGTGGATTTTCGAAAAATGACGATAACGATTATTTGCAAATCGCCTCTCAATTTTGAGAGACTTTCAATTTTTACAGTGGACCCTTAAAAAACGGTTTTGAACTTGATAAAGATTTAATAATTACCTGAATCAGTCTACAAATAAATGTAGGAAAATAAGATATCAAAAATTGAATTCTCTCAAAAATCTCTGGATGCTGCAACGACTATTCAATTTCTATCGACTTAAAAGATAATTGATGATGGAACTATCTAACATAAGAAAACTTTTCATTTTAATGTTAACAAGAAAACTTTTTTATGTTTTGTGAAAGTATTCAGAAAAAAATCATAAAGAATTAAGTTATATAGGTATAAAATATGAAAAAGATCAATTGAACTTTCGTTACTTCTCAATTTCTGTTCTTTCAAATATTTCAATAGATTTTTACACAATTGATTTGGTCATATATAAATTCATTATATTATTTTACTTTTTGTCCCTGTAATTTTAAAAATTTTTCATTTCAATTTTTTAGTTTTCAGTAAATTCAAATTTAGAATTTCAAAATTAAATTCTGTTAACACCTCGATTAAAAATATTAAATAATTTTTTTTTGACTTTCAGTCGCACAAAATTTTAGAAAAAAACAAATGGAAATCGCATAGCTTTGAACAACAACAAAACTCATGAATGAATCTTTCAAAAATAACTTTAATTGAAAAAAAATATCCGCTAAAAATTTTTGGAATTTCAGATAAGAATTCACATCATAAATACATTATAACAAAACGTTTGAGATATCAATCTATAACCCTGTATTAAGATCAATTTTCTTTGGAAATTTTGTATTGTCATTCTTTAAGAATTGGAATATTTAAATTCGGCAGTCTTGTTTCAAACAATCCGGAAAACATTGTCAAAAATCAATAATTGTCCTTTTGAATTAAAAAATAATAATCTTTGAATATGCACCTGATATGTATTATATTTGTTGAATGACATTATTTATACCGATCAATATTAACACTTTTTCTAAATTCATACTTAAATCATATATATTTCCATAATACTATTAAAATTCATATTAGTAGACTGACAAATAAGCATCCAAGTATGACTAGTATATTTATTATATTAATCATTCAGATATATTCGAAAGCAAATGAAAAATTCTATAATATTTGACAAATAATAATTATAAGTATTAATTCACTTGCTAAAGGTTTGATACTAGAAGAACTCAAAAACTTCTTTTAGGTGATAGATATCTCCGAAAAATATCTTCGAAAATTTTTGTGGTTCTTCAAGCCTTCAACCTCTTTGTTTATGAATTGATTAAATTTATCACAAAATCTAATCATCTTCACTCTGGATTTGAAGAAAACTCTTCCAAGTTTCGAAAATAAATTTGAATACCTTGAAAATAACGTATAATTTTTTTTACAACTAGGTAACATATTAATAGAGCATCATTAGATATAGAATTATTCAAAATTTGAAAGAAAAATTCCAAAATGGATACATCTTCGCATAATTATAGGCCTCGGACTGTTGAAGATGTATTCACGACAAAGACAACATCATATAGACTCCCAAGTGAGCAAAGTATTCGACATGTAACAGTGTTAAGTCGATTTAATCCATTAGCTCATAATGATAATATCCTTTCAAACATGAGCGAGCCTTATGATATATCATACAGACGAAATAAAACTAGTCCTGAGTATGAGGTTACAGATGAATTGCCAAAAGATCAAGAGCCTACCATTGTAAATGTTATTGATCATTACAAAATACCTAAAACATCACAAAAAAGAGCATTCGCACAAGCTTTAAACGACAAGTTAAATATGTTAGAAAGCCAAAATCTGGCTGTTGACGAAAATAATATTTCAATGGTTTTAGAAAATTTAAAGAGATCTATATCATCGCATAAAAATGCAATGCGGCAATTTGTCGAGTTTAGCGATAAGTACAATCCCGAAAGGACACCTGTCTTACAAATGATATCAGATCATTACACAAAATTATCAGATAAAATTCCCGAAATATGTGATGGATATCAATCTAAACTTAAAGAAATATCAGTTGAACTTGATGATTCCAAAAGTGATCATGAATCTCTTCGAAATGAAAAAGAATCTTTAGAAGTTGCAATAGAGAAACTAAATAGATCGATTTTCAACCTGAAGCAGCAAATAGAAGATCACAGAGCTAAGTGTGCGTCAGCAGAAGCTCATCTACGTGATAGTACAAACGAAAAAATGGCAATTATCAGATTTTCTCAATCGAATAAAGAGAAACTGAACCAACTAACCCAACAAATCAGCGAGAAAGAAGACCAACTCGCTGAAACCCGTCCGATGATTGATGTTTTAACCCAAAATTTGGAATCAAATTCGAACAAAATCAAAGAAATAACAGAAGAAGTAGCTCGTCTTGACCAAGCTCTTCAAGACTGTGAAGTAGAGAACGTAAAATTAGACGAAATGGAGCGAAAAACTACCGATAAACGAAATTCGCTTGAAGTTCATGGCGAAACATCGAAAGAAGAGATTACACATCGAACGCAACTTGTCCAGGTCAATATCCTCCAACAGCTGGCCAAACAAGCACGAAAACTCCAAGAAGAGCAGGAAAGAAACATAAAAATGGCCAGACAAGGACGAATCAATTCGACAAGAGAAGCTTTCATGCAAAACAAGAGCGATTTGGCAGTTCTCCAAGAGAAAATGGGAGAAAAACTTGTGATTAAAAACCTGGAAGACCTGATGAAAGCGAGAGACATCATCCTCCAAAATAACCAATCCTTTAATTGGTCGAGCCAATCCATTGCTAACGCAAGGACGGGAAACTTCGCTCTTAAATCAATCGCTGATGACGAGGCGAAACTTTTTTCATCATACTTCATTTCGAACGTCATCAAAAATTCCGTGAAATGCATCAAAAGATCGGAGAATTCGACACAAACGGAATCAACATACGAAGACAAAAGAAAACAAATGAATTCGAGGTTGACTTCTCGAAAACCATCAAATAAAAGTTCTTCACGACAAAGCCCGATAAAAGCCAATAAATCCGGAAAGAGCTCGGACAAATTAAGTACACAGAGATTGAATCCTTCAGCCAGAGATAAGATAAACAAAGTGAATTCAATCGAAGCTTTTGAAGCAAAAAAAAATCAAAATCACGCGGAAATCGTAATCGAAGAAGATTTTGAGATGAATGACGAAGAGGAAGAAGGTTTGGATTTCATTTTCGATAACAGCAACAACCAGGCAACGATGCTGTATAGGAATGCAAGACTTGCAAAACTCCTGGACCCCGCTTACTCGAGAAGAAGACCAAAAGGAGTTGATTGGCTCATCCATTCAATTCGTCAAATTTACGACGAAAAAGTCATCGACGACCAAACAGAAGTATTGCCACTGGATAAGTATATTCTTAAATGGGCGTTCAGACAATATGGTCGTGATGATTTGATACAAAAAGGTTGTTGGGATCTCTTGATTTCTGCTTATTTCCACATGCAAAAATCTCTTGAAGTTATGATTTTTGTCAGATTTTTGGATGAAGTTTGGACTGTCGACCAACTATCTTTTTTCCTTAAAGCAAGGAGCTGGTGTGTGTGCAGATGCGTTACAATTGCAATGCAGAACGAATCCGTTGGTGAATATTTGACTGAAACATTTATGACGAAAGACCAAGTTGAAGAATTTTTCAGAAAATTCTGTCCGGATACAGAACCAGAGTTAGTTGTTGAATTAAATATCAGATGCCAGAACTGTGCAGATAGAAACAGAGGCGGCGATGATGCAGCGAATATCCCAATGTACAGAGTCCTTGAAATAGCTGTTGGAGAGAAAGAAGACAAGAAAATTCGTTCTTTACGAAAAATGCTCGCATTGTATAGACTTGTTCCAAGACTTAATGAGAAGAGATTTTCCAGTTTCGTGAAAGGAATGATACCGAACATTGATGCTAACACCATTGACTCTCTTTTCCATAGTTCTCAAGCCCAGAATTCCTATCGAAAAGACATCGAAACGACAAAATTCGAAGAAAAATTCAAAATCATGGAAGATGACAAAACAGAAGTTGATTTCTCACAGTACTCACAACAGTACAGTTTGTCAATGAACAGATGGTCGCACTTCCAACCTTTCCTTCTTAAAGTAATCGACCAAATAACTGCAACACAAACAGAACAATCAAGAATGTTGGTGAATGAAATTCGTCATAACATGTTTTTGACAATTGAAGCGAAAGTGTCTTACGACGGAGAATTGTTCTATGAATGTTACCACAAGCTGTTGCAAGTCGTATTGTTTATCTGCATGAAAAATAATTTGCCTGACGCTTTGGCTGTTCATAGACAAATTAGTGATGTGGAAAATAGAATTCAGAAGACATATGATGTTTCACAACAAACGAAAGATGATGATTAATGTTTTTATATATATGTTATTTTATTTTGTTTATTTTAAAAATAAATTTTGTTGTTTATATAATAACGTTTATTAAGGGTGCACTTACGCCCCTATGGCAGGGCTTTCAATTCAGATGTTTAAGGTTAATTTTCAAGGACACTTTACGCCAGTTGTCAAAATTTTGAATTAAAGTCAGATGGGCGTAAGTGCACCCTTAAAGTAAAAACAATTACTACAAATCATGACATACATACATAACAAAATTATTTGGACTATCATCTAGATGGGAAAGAATATTTTCAGAATATGTTGAAAATCCATATCCCTGAAATACATAATCACCTTTAAATTTGTTTATATTAATGCAATGAGAAACAATAAGAATTACCGAAAAAGTGACAAAACATCAAAAACAGGGAGGGGTCTCAATTTTTATTACTTATATTATTTTACAATATTTATATAAATACTCTTTATAATATATTTTACTATAAAATTATACCTCAAATTCAAATATTTAAAATATTATTTACATAATTATCTCAAAATTATATTTTTATATATTATTTTTCATATGTATAAATCATATAATCTATATCTATGCAAATCTCATCTAAAATTTTTTTGAAACAAACCGCTACCATTTTATAATGGTCCATCTTAAATTCATCATAAATTCTGGTACATGTTAGTACCAGAGTCTTCAAATCTCAAACACTCTGGTACCAACATGTACCAGACGCGAGTTTCCAATGCCCTCGTACGATTTTCTATTAAGATCTTCTTGAATGAGAAGGTCTTCATAGAAACTCGTACGAGGGCTTCTCTTTTAAATACTCTGGTACCTGCTGGTATCGGAGTCGACTTTACAGCCCTTTCCCCAATTTTGAAGCTGGGGAAAGTTTTCAAGCAATGAAAGGGAAGCTCTCGCTATGAGGTGAAAATCTAGAATTTTTACCTCATAGCGAGTAATCCTTTGTTAATTGCTTGAAAACTTTCTTCAAATTATCAAAATTTCGAGGAAAGTTTCCTTGCTTCAAAGTAGAGATGGAGCCCTTTGAGCCACTGCATATAGTCAGTGACTCAAAATACTCCATCTCTACTAGAAATCGCCAAAATTTGGGTCGCAATCTTTGAAATGCGACGCAAGTTTTGGCAATTTCGCGAGGGACTTGCTCCAGTTGGTGCATAGATTCACACTCTATGCACCAGATGGAACAATTCTTTCGCTGACAGCGGGAAACTTTGTCTGAATAGTTTAACATTCAGACAAAGTTTCCCGCTGTCAGAGAGGGAATGGAAGGGTAAGAGGTATATATTCATAATGTATACCTCTTACTCTTCCATTCCCTCAAGAAAGTTCAAAAACTTGGGTGCAATCAGAACTGATTGCACCCAAGTTTTTGAACTTTATATAAGGAATTGTTGGCTATGATGTACTGATCATGAATCAGTACATCATAGCCAACAATTCCTTCGCAAACAGTGGGAAACTTTGTCTGAATAGTTTAACATTCAGGCAAAATTTCCCGCTGTCAGGGAGGGAATTAGAGGGTGGGAGATATATAGATAGACTATAAATCTCTCACCCTTTAATTCCCTCAAGAAAGTTCAAAAACTTGGGTGCAATCAGTTCTGATTGCACCCAAGTTTTTGAATTTTGTATAAGGAATTGTTGGCTATGATGTGGATAGCCGCTGCCAGACCAAATGAATTAACCGTTGTGAATAACGTTTCTGAATCTTTATTTAAAAAGATAAAATATCACGATTTTGGCTGCGTTAAAAATCAAAGAATTGATGTTTTTGTCAAAAATCTTTTAGAAGAAGTTGCACCCAATTACTTTTATCGTATTAAAACGATTTACTTCAAACAGGTTTTATTCCTTCAATTAGAATTCGCGAGCCTCGATTGACAGATTATAAAACAAAATTGAAAAGAGAAGTTCAATCACGTTTATACCAAGTATTAAATTTTGTTCAGAATCAAGAAGCCAATTTGAATCCATTAAGATTTTTATTGGAAATGCTGAAGAAAAACTTTCTCAAATAAATGAGAAGATACAAAATTCAATTACATATTTAAGATCGTTTGAAATTCCAAATGAATTGTTAGATACGTATATGTTAGAAATTAATGAATTTTGTTATAATTCTCCAGATTATATTTTAGAACATTTCGAAGAATTTTTAGAGGATTTCAAAGAAAAGAATAATTTAATAGACTAAAAAATTTATTATTTTTATTTATTGTGAATTTTAAATTGTCACTTTTTAAGTGTTACTCCCTATTGAAAGTGTCACTTTTTGGGTGTCACTTTTTCGGAAATTCTTATATACTCGAATATTTTCAGAATATGTTGAAAATCCATATCCCTGAAATACATAATCACCTTTAAATTTGTTTATATTAATGCAATGAAATAACATTAAATTATTATGAGATGTTTATTCTTAAAATATAACACCTTTAATATAACAATATAAATTTTAAGCACCGTGTTTAACTAAGAAAGCGATGATATTGTTTGCTTTAATTTTGTTTGCAATACTAAGAGGGCATTCATTAATATCGAGAGAATGATATAAAACAATGATAAATATTAAGAGAAAGAGAATGGTATAAAACGTTGAGAAATATGAAATGAAAGAGAATGGTATAAAACGTTGAGAAATATGAAATGAAAGAGAATTCCATAAAACAATGATAAATATGATAAGAAAGAGAATTCTATAAAACAATGATAAATATGAAAAGAAAGAGAAATTTATAAAACAATGATAAATATGAAATGAAAGAGATTGATATAAAACAATGATAAATATGAAATGAAAGAGAATTCCATAAAACAATGATAAATATGAAATGAAACAGAATGATATAAAACAATGATAAATATGAAAAGAAAGAGAATTCAATAAAACAATGATAAATATGAAATGAAAGAGAATGTTATAAAACAATTATAAATATGAAAAGAAAGATAATGTTATAAAGCAATGATAAATATGAAATGAAAGAGAATAAGTTTCATGTTAATATCTGCACCATGTTCAACTAAGAATTGGACAATTTCAATTGAATTCGCTTTGATGGCAATAGTAAGAGGGCATTCATTAATATCAAAAGAATCTTATAAAACAGTGATAAATATTAAAAGAAAAAGAATCTTATAAAACAATGTTAAATATGAAAAGAAAGAGAATCTTATAAAACAATGATAAATATGAAAAGAAAGAGAGTGACATAAAGCAATGATAAATATTAAAAGAAAAAGAATCTTATAAAACAATGTTAAATATGAAAAGAAAGAGAATCTTATAAAACAATGATAAATATGAAAAGAAAGAGAAATTTATAAAACAATGATAAATATGAAATGAAAGAGATTGATATAAAACAATGATAAATATGAAATGAAAGAGAAATTTATAAAACAGTGATAAATATGAAAAGAAAGAGAAATTTATAAAACAGTGATAAATATGAAATGAAAGAGAATGGTATAAAACAATGATAAATATGAAAAGAAAGAGAATTCCATAAAACAATGATAAATATGAAATGAAAGAGAAATTTATAAAACAATGATAAATATGAAAAGAAAGAGAATGATATAAAACAATGATAAATATGAAATGAAAGAGAATGATATAAAACTATGACAAATATGAATATAAAGAGAGTGACATAAAGCAATGATAAATATGGAAAGAAAGAGAATGCCAAAAAACAATGTTAAATATGAATAGAAAGAGAATGGTATAAAACAATGTTAAATATAAAATGAAAGAGAATCCGATAAAACAATGTTAAACATAAAATGAAAGAGAATCTGATAAAGCAATGATAAACATGAAATGAAAGAGAATGGTATAAAACAATGATAAATATGAAAAGAAAGAGAATTCAATAAAACAATGATAAATATGAAATGAAAGAGAATGTTATAAAACAATTATAAATATGAAAAGAAAGAGAATGCCAAAAAACAATGTTAAATATGAATAGAAAGAGAATGGTATAAAACAATGTTAAATATAAAATGAAAGAGAATCCGATAAAACAATGTTAAACATAAAATGAAAGAGAATCTGATAAAGCAATGATAAACATGAAATGAAAGAGAATGGTATAAAACAATGATAAATATGAAAAGAAAGAGAATTCAATAAAACAATGATAAATATGAAATGAAAGAGAATGTTATAAAACAATTATAAATATGAAAAGAAAGATAATGTTATAAAGCAATGATAAATATGAAATGAAAGAGAATAAGTTTCATGTTAATATCTGCACCATGTTCAACTAAGAATTGGACAATTTCAATTGAATTCGCTTTGATGGCAATAGTAAGAGGGCATTCATTAATATCAAAAGAATCTTATAAAACAGTGATAAATATTAAAAGAAAAAGAATCTTATAAAACAATGTTAAATATGAAAAGAAAGAGAATCTTATAAAACAATGATAAATATGAAAAGAAAGAGAGTGACATAAAACAATGATAAATATTAAAAGAAAAAGAATCTTATAAAACAATGTTAAATATGAAAAGAAAGAGAAATTTATAAAACAATGATAAATATGAAAAGAAAGAGAAATTTATAAAACAATGATAAATATGAAATGAAAGAGATTGATATAAAACAATGATAAATATGAAATGAAAGAGAAATTTATAAAACAGTGATAAATATGAAAAGAAAGAGAAATTTATAAAACAGTGATAAATATGAAATGAAAGAGAATGGTATAAAACAATGATAAATATGAAAAGAAAGAGAATCCAATAAAACAATGATAAATATGAAAAGAAAGAGAAATTTATAAAACAATGATAAATATGAAAAGAAAGAGAAATTTATAAAACAATGATAAATATGAAATGAAAGAGATTGATATAAAACAATGATAAATATGAAATGAAAGAGAAATTTATAAAACAGTGATAAATATGAAAAGAAAGAGAAATTTATAAAACAGTGATAAATATGAAATGAAAGAGAATCCAATAAAACAATGATAAATATGAAAAGAAAGAGAATTCCATAAAACAATGATAAATATGAAATGAAAGAGAAATTTATAAAACAATGATAAATATGAAAAGAAAGAGAATGATATAAAACAATGATAAATATGAAATGAAAGAGAATGATATAAAACTATGACAAATATGAATATAAAGAGAGTGACATAAAGCAATGATAAATATGGAAAGAAAGAGAATGCCAAAAAACAATGTTAAATATGAATAGAAAGAGAATGGTATAAAACAATGTTAAATATAAAATGAAAGAGAATCCGATAAAACAATGTTAAACATAAAATGAAAGAGAATCTGATAAAGCAATGATAAACATGAAATGAAAGAGAATGGTATAAAACAATGATAAATATGAAAAGAAAGAGAATTCAATAAAACAATGATAAATATGAAATGAAAGAGAATGTTATAAAACAATTATAAATATGAAAAGAAAGAGAATGCCAAAAAACAATGTTAAATATGAATAGAAAGAGAATGGTATAAAACAATGTTAAATATAAAATGAAAGAGAATCCGATAAAACAATGTTAAACATAAAATGAAAGAGAATCTGATAAAGCAATGATAAACATGAAATGAAAGAGAATGGTATAAAACAATGATAAATATGAAAAGAAAGAGAATTCAATAAAACAATGATAAATATGAAATGAAAGAGAATGTTATAAAACAATTATAAATATGAAAAGAAAGATAATGTTATAAAGCAATGATAAATATGAAATGAAAGAGAATAAGTTTCATGTTAATATCTGCACCATGTTCAACTAAGAATTGGACAATTTCAATTGAATTCGCTTTGATGGCAATAGTAAGAGGGCATTCATTAATATCAAAAGAATCTTATAAAACAGTGATAAATATTAAAAGAAAAAGAATCTTATAAAACAATGTTAAATATGAAAAGAAAGAGAATCTTATAAAACAATGATAAATATGAAAAGAAAGAGAGTGACATAAAGCAATGATAAATATTAAAAGAAAAAGAATCTTATAAAACAATGTTAAATATGAAAAGAAAGAGAATCTTATAAAACAATGATAAATATGAAAAGAAAGAGAAATTTATAAAACAATGATAAATATGAAAAGAAAGAGAATTCCATAAAACAATGATAAATATGAAATGAAAGAGAAATTTATAAAACAATGATAAATATGAAAAGAAAGAGAATGATATAAAACAATGATAAATATGAAATGAAAGAGAATGATATAAAACTATGACAAATATGAATATAAAGAGAGTGACATAAAGCAATGATAAATATGGAAAGAAAGAGAATGCCAAAAAACAATGTTAAATATGAATAGAAAGAGAATGGTATAAAACAATGTTAAATATAAAATGAAAGAGAATCCGATAAAACAATGTTAAACATAAAATGAAAGAGAATCTGATAAAGCAATGATAAACATGAAATGAAAGAGAATGGTATAAAACAATGATAAATATGAAAAGAAAGAGAATTCAATAAAACAATGATAAATATGAAATGAAAGAGAATGTTATAAAACAATTATAAATATGAAAAGAAAGAGAATGCCAAAAAACAATGTTAAATATGAATAGAAAGAGAATGGTATAAAACAATGTTAAATATAAAATGAAAGAGAATCCGATAAAACAATGTTAAACATAAAATGAAAGAGAATCTGATAAAGCAATGATAAACATGAAATGAAAGAGAATGGTATAAAACAATGATAAATATGAAAAGAAAGAGAATTCAATAAACAATGATAAATATGAAATGAAAGAGAATGTTATAAAACAATTATAAATATGAAAAGAAAGATAATGTTATAAAGCAATGATAAATATGAAATGAAAGAGAATAAGTTTCATGTTAATATCTGCACCATGTTCAACTAAGAATTGGACAATTTCAATTGAATTCGCTTTGATGGCAATAGTAAGAGGGCATTCATTAATATCAAAAGAATCTTATAAAACAGTGATAAATATTAAAAGAAAAAGAATCTTATAAAACAATGTTAAATATGAAAAGAAAGAGAATCTTATAAAACAATGATAAATATGAAAAGAAAGAGAGTGACATAAAACAATGATAAATATTAAAAGAAAAAGAATCTTATAAAACAATGTTAAATATGAAAAGAAAGAGAAATTTATAAAACAATGATAAATATGAAAAGAAAGAGAAATTTATAAAACAATGATAAATATTAAAAGAAAAAGAATCTTATAAAACAATGTTAAATATGAAAAGAAAGAGAATCTTATAAAACAATGATAAATATGAAAAGAAAGAGAAATTTATAAAACAATGATAAATATGAAAAGAAAGAGAATTCCATAAAACAATGATAAATATGAAATGAAAGAGAAATTTATAAAACAGTGATAAATATGAAAAGAAAGAGAAATTTATAAAACAGTGATAAATATGAAATGAAAGAGAATGGTATAAAACAATGATAAATATGAAAAGAAAGAGAATTCCATAAAACAATGATAAATATGAAATGAAAGAGAATCTTATAAAACAATGATAAATATGAAAAGAAAGAGAATTCAATAAAACAATGATAAATATGAAATGAAAAAGAATCTTATAAAACAGTGATAAATATGAAATGAAAGAGAAATTTATAAAACAGTGATAAATATGAAAAGAAAGAGAAATTTATAAAACAATGATAAATATGAAGAGAAAGAGAGTGATATAAAGTAATGATAAATATGAAATGAAAGAGATTATAAATTTTGTTGATATCTGCTCCATTAGAAAATAAATAAGATGCAATATCATAATTTCCGAAATACATACTTTCTGCTATTGAATCAAATGTTTGTCCAAAATTGGATTTAAGGTACTCGGCAATTTCATAGTTTCGATAATCCAATGCTGTATTAATCATGCTATCAAATAATTTACCGTCTTCTATCATTTGCATTAAAATGCTTTGATTTCCGCCTTGAACAGCATATTTTTCGGAGTATTTTGTGTATTGAGCTCCTAAATTTTTCAAGTAAATGAAACACAATTCTGATCCATATCTAATTGCACAGTCAAGTGGTGCGATATCATTAGTCTCCTGATTAGTATCAAGATTTGGGAATTTACTCTTAAGATCATCAACTTTATCCCATGCAATATAGTATAAAGGAGAATCTGTTGAATACAAATTCAGAATTTCTTCTTCTTTCATTTTAGGTTCAAAGTTTTCAAATTCTAAACCTTTATAGTGTAGAAGCATAGCCAATTTCTCATTTTTCGGTTTGATTTGGCATGGAAATTCGTTTAATATCTTTTCGTAAAGTTCTGTAAATAATTTAATATCTTTATCACGAATTTTTGAAAAAATATCAATCAAGTGAAGTGTCATTTGGATAGGTATTTTGTTAGATTTAATAAATTCTATAATTTGTGATGATGTTTGTAAAATATTATTGGAATTGACACTCCAAATAATTTTTGATGCTTGATCTGGGTATTCGAATACTTTAATTGGCTTAAAGTCACTGTAGTTGCCACAATTTTTGTTTTTTGGCTGCTCGGAACTTGACATACTTTGTGAAATTTCGGATGAGACACTTTTTGTTTTAAGAGTTTGAAAAGGTATCGATATTGAATAAATTTGGAGAGTTCTTATTGCATCATTCTCATTATATTACATTTTTCTGTAAAATATTATGAATTTTCAATTAAAGAGGCCAAAAATTGAAAATTTAGAACATACTCCATCATATCTTGTAAATTGATTGAACCCCAATCTCCGACATTTTTTTACTTATTTTCTGAAGTTTACAAGAAAAATTGAGAGGGTATGGAAGAAAACTGTGGTAATATTATTGAATGAAATAGAATTTACAATTTTTCGCGTGACTTTTTCCCTCAATTTTTGAAAAAGTCAACGCGAAAAATTTGAATCTTTTGATATTCAAAATTATCGGAATCGAATTTTACAAATTTCCGAAAATTAGAATTTTAATTCAACTCTATTTTGAGCCTGTGTTTTTTTGCAAATTTGCAAACTTTAGAAAATTGAGTTTGGACCCAGCTCAAAATTATATGTTGATTAAAATACACTTTTCCGAGGGAAATACTTCGGATCTGAATGTTGAAGTAATACAGAATCTCATAAGTTGCTAAAAGCTGGATTTATTCGGATAATACAAGATAAATGCAAATTTCATGAAAAAGACCTCTTTTTATAAACTTGCCTGAAAATTAACTTATTTATATATGAGGTATTTTAAAGGTTAAGAGAAAGTTTAGATAAGTATGCTATTTAGGTACTCTCAAGTTAAGGGAAATTGAGAGTATCAGTTCACTTGAGAGTGCCTCCTTAAATTACCAAAATTTCAACATTCACAATTACACTAGTTAATATCAAAAAAATTGTGAGAGTTTCTCAATTTTGGGCATTTGTTTTTACAAGATCTTTTAAATCAATAAAAGTATTAAATATACGTTTTCATAACCAAAGATCTCATTATTTAATAAAAAACTTAACACTGCCTGAATTTTCACAAAAAAATAGCGTTTTATTGTTCATATCATTTTTAATAGCGTTCACTCTGTAATATGAGTAGCAATAGATTTCAAGAACCCATAGAACTTACCAAAGATGTGAATGGGATTATGCCACAACTATTCAGAATAAAATCAAATAATGAAGAAACAATTGATCGGATTTATCAAGAGATTCAAAACAAGTTGATTCAAACCAAAGTATATTCACCATCAATGATTATAGAAGCCGTTCAAATGGCAGCTGCGTTCAACAATAAGTATTTCCGTTCATACTTGAAAATCTTCAAAAAAGTGTATGAAGAATACCATCCAGCAATATATACGCCACCATCACCTGCCATGTTGTACTTTTTATATATGGATTATGGTGTTTTGGCATTTGGGATAACATTACAAACCATCCAAAAACTTGAATTAAAAGGATTTGTTTTGGATGTTCATCCAGAAAATACAATTTACAGAGCAATTATGAATGATGATATACAATCATTTATCGCTTTTACTGAGAGAGCAGGATTTGATGAAAATCAGAGGTTCTATAATGATTTTTATGAATATTCAAGTAGAGGATATACATTGCTTGAATTGTGTTGTTATCATGGAGCTGTTAATTGTTTCAAACTGTTAAGAACGAAATTTAATTCAATAATATCTGAAAAATGCCTTCAAATGTCATTTTTGGGTGGAAATCAAGAAATAATGAGTGAGTGCATGAAACAAGTAAAACCTAACAAAGAATGCATGCGATATGCAATCATGTCGCACAATAATGATTTTGTTTCTTTCTTGGCTGAGGAATGCAACATCGAAATTGTTGCTAATGAATGCTATTTATTCTATAATCTTCAAGCACTGTTTATATTGCTTGATCGTACAAAAGATATCGGATCATGCTTGGTGAAGTCGGCCTACTTTAATATTCCATCACTTTGCGAATATTTCCTTCAGCATGGAGCAAATGTCAATGCTATGGAGTCTGATAAATTCGGCATGACTGCTATTCATGTGGCTACACAATTCTTTAATTTTGAAACAGCCAATTTTCTTCTTGCTAATGGCAGTGACATTAATATAAAATCAAAGATAGGGCTTAATCCTCTTCATATTGCAGCTGGAAAATGTGGAAAAGAAGTACTTGAATTTCTTATTTCCCATGGAAGTGACATCAAAGCAAAAACGCGCGAAGGAAATCTTGCAATTCATATGGCAGCAATAAGTAATCAAGTGAAAAATACAGAATATTTTTTAGATCATGGTTTTGATATAAATGAAAGAAATAATGAAGGAGTTACACCTCTTCATATTGCAGTTAAATACCATAGTAATGACGTCGCTGACTTTTTAATACAACGTGGTGCAAATATTAATTCAAAAGATTTATTTGATGGCACTCCCCTTCATTTCGCTGCACGTTGTAAGAACAGAGAAATGGTGGAAGTTTTAGTTTTGCTTGGTGCTGACATTAATGCACGAGATAATCACCAAAGAACCCCTCTTCATTGCGCAGGAGAAAGTACTGATACTGGTGCTGCTGAAGTTCTTATTGCCCAAGGTTCTGATATCAATGCAATAGATGATGTTGGTTTTACAGTCCTTCATTATGCAGCAGAAATTAACTGTGTCAAAACAGCAATTTTTTTCATTTCTCATGGTGCAAATGTTGATGCAATGGCATTTGCCAATGAAACTCCCCTGATTGTAGCAGCCGCAAAAAACAGTACCAGAGTCGCAGAGATTCTTATTTTAAATGGTGCAAATATTAATCATAAGGGTATTTATGGTGATAATGCCCTTCATATTTGTGCAAAATACGGTAGTTTAAATGTTGCCGCGATTCTTGTTAAACATGGAATTGATATCAAAGCAAAAAATTTTGGTGGAATAACACCACTTGAAGTTGCACAAAGGAGTCGTAATTTTGGAATGGTAATATATCTCAATATGCTGTACAAAGCTTATGGAAATCTCCCAAATATATAGAATCGAAAGTTTTATTAATATTCTTAATGACTAAATAAAATATATTTTCTTTGAAATTCATGAATTTAATGTTAGCCAAAATATATGATGGGGTATCAAGCTCATCCTGTGCGTAACAATTTCAAAAAATGTGAAATAAACTTTTTGAATCAACATCTTATAATAAAAAATTGCTCAAGATATTAAATCATTGCCAAACTGTGTTCATACTTCAGCATATCATTCAAATAGCATTCGTGAATAATTATGCAATATCGCTTCATAGACACTGTACAACTTGGAGATATTTTGAAGAATTTGAAGCATCGCTTACATACTTATGTTTGTGTTGATGATATAGCGAGAAGAACAGGAATCAACACTGTACGTTAAAAATAGGAGAAATTGCCGTTTAAAAATAAATAAAAATGGAGGATCTTCAGCCGAGAGTTTTCTCTTTGAAAAAAGATAAACCAACATGCGCAAGATTTATGTATAACGATACATACGTTGCTGTTGGAACTGAAAATGGAAGAATTTTAATTCTTCCTTTAACTAATCCCAACAAGAGAACAGATCAAGACAGTGGCCCCATAAATGCTACAATGAAGAAACTTCGGGGACATAAAAAATCTATTACATCAATGGATATTCAATTCGCAAAAAATATTTTAGTAACAGGCAGTGAAGATACAACAGTTGCAATTTGGAAAGGGAAAGATGCTACAGTTATTCGTCCAAATGATGGTATTATCAAATTCGTTTCTGTTTCACAAGCTAACGATCTTGTACTTATAGCAGGAGAAGATGGTTGTCCATCTGTTTGGAACATTGAAACTGGAGATGCAGTTGTTTTAATGAAACAATTTCCATCAAGAGTTACTGCAGCAGCTATGGCTCCAAATGGAAAATTATTTGCCGTTTCTACAGAAGAAAATGGATGCCAATTGTTTGACACAAATAGTGGACGCCCAATTTCACAGATTCCAACCCCAGAAGTTGTTTCTGCAATTTCATTTTCAGATGAATCCGGCTTGATTGCTCTTGGTTGCATTGATGGCCAAATAACTGTATATGATTACAAGCATCACACTATTGTTGTAGAGAAAGAAGTCCACTATAGTAAAATTAATTCAATTGCTTTGCATCCGTTTGACCCAATCTTAGTTTCTGCATCTCAAGAAGGACTTCACGTTTCTAATCCACTGAATTTAATCCCTCGCTTTTCTGTTGAAGGAGAAGAGAGAATTTTCCAAACAATTAGTTTCTCTGGTTCCGGAAATCAGTATGTTACATCAGCAACAGACAAGAAGCTTTATTTATTTGAAACACCAACAAATGAAGAAATGAATCCACCTGAAAATGTCTCGGATAATGAAGTAGAAGAAGAGCAGCCAGCAGTAGAAGTAATGACACCTCAAGTTAGTTATAGTACAAACTTTCATCTTAGTATTGCTAATGAAGAAGATGAACAAGAAGCAAATCTATCCCAGCCGCCTGAAGATGCAAATGTTAAATTAATGAAGATTGTTATAGAAAAACTCTTTGGTTTGCAAGAGATTCTTGATGATATGACAAAGCGTATTCAAGTTATTGATCAACAGATTGCTCGCATTCAAAATTTCCAAAAGCAACGCGAAAATGAGTAATTGTAAATATTGTATTTTGTTTTCTAATAAATGAAATGACTTGTTTTTCTATCTATGTTAACTTCGAACTCAAATTTATATTGAATCTGAAATCGATGCATTCACCATTAGTATTAAAATAGATAAATAAAATTGATATGGATTATTACAAAAAAAATAACAATATGGTTGTTTATAAAACAAACAAAATAGGAAACAAATTTTATGGGCAAGATCCATAAAATGTGCAAAGCTCAAATGGGTGTAAATTTGAAGCTAAATGGGATATCATGCTGCTCACGACATCCTCTGTAAATATTGAGCAATGATCTTTGATAGATGCAACTTCTTTGCATTTGTTTCTAATAATTTCTCCTGTTTTTGGAGTTGCAATAGTTCCTGTACCTTGCTCGATAACAAATCCGACAACCATTTCGCAAATCGTGCAATCCAAAACCGATAATGGTTCAGGATGTGTTTTTCTTGGTTTTCTGATGATTTTGTGTTTAATGTCCTTTGTATTTCTTTTAGTTTCTTTGGAAAATTGGCAAGAATCTTCCAATTTTGTATCCAAAATGTGATCAAACCAATTATTGACGAATATTTTGCACATGCCTTTATTAAGCTTATCATACTTTTGGCAATTTTCTGAAATAAACTCTTTGATTTCATATTTATTAAATTTCTTTTCTTTTAATAAGGTTGCATTTGATTTGATTGCATTACATAAGCTATATGGTTTGTCGCTTTTAAAGTAATCCAAAATAGGAGTTTTTGATTCAAAACTTAATGAAAAAACAAAAAATATCATTTGGCAGTCCCAAAAATAAATAAAGCATTCCCCCTAATTAAAATGATTTTATTGCAAGATTGCTAATTTAAAAATAAACAGATCGGTTATTCTATATGCATGTTATTTCTTCAATAAAATGCTCAGAGACAAAAATTTTTGTATTTCAAAACTATGGAGGGGAATGCTCCATTCTTTGTCTCAAAGAATGAAATCCGCTCTACAAGAGAAATGCTAAGTAATGGTTTAAGACCAGATGGAAGAGATCCTAATGAGCCAAGACGTCTTACTGTTGATTTTTCAGATGGAGCTGCAATTGTAAAACTTGGTTCAACAATTGTTTCATGCCGTGTTATCAAAAATCAAGTTCTCGCAGACGAAAATCATCCAAATCAAGGATTTTTCTCAATTGGACTTTCTTCAACTCACAAAATTGATTCATATTTCCGTGCTGAAACACTTAATGCTGTACGTGATATGTTCAAAATGAATAACGCATTAGATCTTGAGTCATTAGTTATCCAAATTGGTAAACTTGTTTGGGAATTAAAATGTGAGATCGTTATTCTAGAAAATGACGGTGGTTTATTCGAAGCTATGACATTGGCAGTCGGTTGCGGTCTTCTTGCAACAAAATTGCCATCAACTCGCGGAGATAGATCATTAACTCTTCATCATTTACCAATTCCGATTACATTCGCTCTTATAGATCAAAGAACAAGATTTGTAGATCCTACAGTACTTGAAGCACTTGCATGCGATGGATTTTTAACCATTTGTGCAAATGCTCAAGGTGAAATTTGTTCAATCCGTAAAAATGGAGGTGTTACTCTTCCATCTACAGTAATGGACAACTGTATTGACATTGCAGTTGATCTATCCAAGAAATGGCACTTAGATATCATGAATTGTATGGGAGACAAAGCTCCTCCATTACTCAAGGCTATCGTCAGTTACGATAATAAGCCACCTGAACCTCCTAAACCGTCTGAAACCGTTGAACAAGAGGTTATCAAAGAAATGCGAAAGGAGAACCCTGAAGTCAAACAAGAATCAGAACACGAGCAAGAAGAAAACGATGATGACGACGTTAGTGGCATGATTGGCGTTTTTAATTTCTAATTTTATATTTTATATTTATATTTTATAGAATTTTGTAATAAACTTACTATTTATATTAAATACAACTTGTCTTTCGTTGCAATCAAAAGAAAATTTAAAATAATTATTTTTATAACAAAATATTTGTATTATCAATAAGATTAATGACATATATACCTCATAAATACAAGGTTTTTGTAACAGATAAGTCTATAAACTTTATTAGAAAATAATAACAAAAAATAAACAAGAAAATGTATTACAACAATATAAGAACGAGATTCATTTTGCTAATTGATTAGTTTTCTGCTGATTCTAAATTGGAGTCTCTATGAAATTCAGAGGCAGGAATTTGAATGTCTTCGTGTATTTCTGGCTGTTGTGCTTGTGATTCTAAAACGCCTGGTATGATCTCCATTTCAATGACTTGATCATCATTTGGATCAAGAACATCAACGGATATTTCGTTACGATCACCGCCTTCATCCAAAAACTTCTGAATTCTTTCGTTATCTTCTTTAAGCATTTTGGCAAATGCAGCTGCTTTATCAAGAAGTGCTGAGCGTGCTACAGGAAATGGTTTGCTCATACTTAGATTTTAGATTCTGAGAGACATGTGATATGAATATATGCATTCTTTATTGAGTAGTTTACAAAATAATCGTTAGTGAAGTTCCTCTCTTCACATTTCAATGGCAGAAAATCCTTCTCCTTCGATACTTATTGACAAAAATGTTTCGAAGGAGCTTAGTACCAGGATCGGTATCGAAAATCTTGTCACTAAATATGATGTTGCTGATATCAAAAAAGATATACCACAAGTCAAGCGATTTGCATTTGATAATTTTAGTCCATCAATACAAGATATTGTTTCTAATGATGAAGATCGAACTATTTCAGCTGGAATTGACTATATTTTTGGAGAACCATTTTTTATTGGCGAAACTTATTCAATTGAAGGCTACAGTAATACAGGAAAAACGAGACTAGTTGTTAAGGTAGCAACAGAAATTGCCAAATCATCAAAAGTTTTGTTTATTGATGCAGATGGAAACTTATCTTCACCAATATTAGCCAATATTGCTTCTTCTATGAATGTTAATATTGACTATCCAGTATACAGAGATCCAAGAATACCTCCTACATCAGTTTCCGCTTTAACAATTGTAAATTGTTTAAATCACCCTGATATCATCAATTATATCAACGAATACCTGCAGCACTCTACTCCAGAACTAATAGTAATCGATAGTCTCCTCTCTGTCTTCCAAAATGTTGTTGGAAAAGGCGCTCCTGGTTCTGCACAATTGGAAGAACTTTCTTTGGAACTTAAATCACTAGCAAAAAGTAAAGGATGCGTTGTTATTGTTACAAATAGCATTAAATCCCCTCAGGGAACTCCAGTTACGTATTTAGGTCCTCAATACGCTTCATTGTGGCATAACAGACTGATTCTGGCTACAAAGAACAATGTCGTTGCAGAGTCAAAGTTAATTTGTTCACCTCGACTCCCTTTGGTCGAAAAACAGTTCTATTTAGAAGATATGAAATTATGTGAGACATCTGATTAATAAAAATGTTTGTTTATTGTTTTTATTTTATTATTAGTTTAAAATATTTCAAAATTATATCTAATTTATAAGAATATTTTTCATAATCACGTTTGGCACTCAAAAATCGATAAAATTGAGATTTTTCCAAATAAAATAAAGTATAGTCACTCTACTACTTGATACTTTGTATATCATTCTTATTGACATGTTAAAGAAAAGTACAGTTACATGAAATCATTGTTTTATATATTGGCTTTACTACGTCACTTCAGCAAACACAAAGCAAAAGGATATCCCAATTCTTAATTGAAGTAGGAGATTTTTGAGTGTAAATAAATAATATAAAGAAACTATGGGTCTAGATATTCAGCCATGCTTGAATAAATACGAAGATTATACCAGTGTCAGAATCAAAGGAAAATTCATGATCATTATTCATTTGTAAAAATGTAGAGATAAAAAGAATCAGCTGTTCAAATAATATGAATTTAAAAACAAATCAAAACAAAATAAATACAGTAAATTTCTTAGAAAACGGAGTGAGTAATTGCAGATGCATTCGAAGTAAATAATTTTCTGAATGCATCTGTTCTGATGTTTCTTTTAGCGAACTCTCCACAGCAAGGAATGATAAAGGATCTCATTTCATATTCAATAATAAACTTCTGAACTTCTTGGTCACTTTCGTTGTCTTCGCTAAATCTTTGATCAACAAATTTCTTCATGGTATCTAATGATCTCGCAAGGTATGAGTATCTACTTATTGCACATACCAAAGAACTAATATCTGAATCGAAAAGTACATCAAATGTTTCGCATTTATCAAATCTCACGAAAGCTTTATATATGATATCTTTGTCGATATTAAAAGGAGGTTCAGAACACAAACTTTCAGCACAAAATACTACAGTTGAAGGTGAAATATCACAGTACAAAGATAGCAAGTACAGTAAAATGCATAGCATATCAGGCTTCTCTATATCCATTGTCTTCATAATTGCTGCTGCAAATTGGCAATGATCTAAACACAATCGATAATTTCTGAACAAATTATTGTTGTGTTTCGATCTGATTACTTCAAAATACTGAGAAATTACAGTATCATTAAAGAAGGCCGTAAGTCCCAACGCCTGGAATATTGATTGTGTTTCGGATACTAAGTCTTCTAGTTTTGTTGTGAAAACGTTAAATCCATAATCTAATTTGTTATCCCTGCAAAACAAAGTGGGTCTTGAAGGACTTACATATGAAGATTCGATTGGAGAAATGAATTCTCTGATTAGTTTTCCACAATATTTTGAAGCAAATGCTGAAAAACAGCCGAAATCCATGTCCTTCACAAAGTCTAAGAATATTTTTTCAACTGTCAAATCATCGTTAGGCATATCTCGTGCGAAATTGGCCAAAACAATCAATTTTTGTATATTCGTTGATGACAAAATTGACAAGGAAATCAATGGACTACAAACTTTTGCCCATGGACCAAGAGTATTCATAATAGAAGAATTCTTTCTGATCGGTCGTACTTTCATTGGCTGTACATTTGTTAGTTTTTCAATCTTGATTTCAAGCATAGATTTCGTTGTCATTTGCGGCAATGGTTTCCATCCAATCATTGACATCTTTGACTGTATGATTGAAATTGGAGAATCCGCTTTAACTTTTATTAAACCCATTTCTAAAGGGAATATTTGCGACATCACATTCTCTTCATTCGATATTTCTTCCATTGGTTCTTGTTGTTTGAATGCTTCAACAAGACTGTATGATTCATCAATGCTAACTTCAAATCCTGATATTGAATCTGTGCATTTCAATGTCTTCAGTTTTTCATCGTAAATGAAAAATGTAATGTTTTTATGGATCGAATCAGTTATTTGATGAGTCAAGAATTTTGATAATTCAACAACATCTCCGACATCTGGGGTAGAACTCAATGTATCGAATATCTTGCTGTAAACAGAGAAAACATTCTTTGAACCTGCAGCGCTTTTTGTCAATTCATGAGTTATACCAACTGAATCGAAAATGCTGTTTACATTGAAGCAAAGTAGTTCTAAAGTAACTAAATCATCATTGGAGAATTCATCAACATTTATCTTGTTGTACAAAGCAATTGAATACGCAACATTTCCTGTAGAATTGAAAATCTGTGAGATCAAAATTGATCTTGTTGGAGTGGACAATCTGCATCTATCTGTTGCAGAATTAAACAAAACAGACAACTCTGGATTTGATATAGCCATTGACCTTTTAGTTGCTATTGCTTCTCCGACTAATCCTGATTTGGCTGGGAATGTTTCAGAATCATTACCAATTGAGAAAAACTTTCCACTACTCATTACTTTGAAACAAGTTACTGCTTCACATTTAAATTGCTGCATAATTCCTTCGCAAAGTGTCTGTTTAAGCTCTTTCAAATCACTTACTGCTGCAAGTTTAATCAATACATCTAAAGCCCTTTGTAATGCAGTTTTTGAATAATGATATTTTGCTCTCAAATTTATCAAAGGAATTGTTTCTCCAATGAATTTACTTATAACATAAGCAGTGATCAAATCTTGATTGTGGAAACCACCGAAACAATCAAAAAGTAACAAAACAGCTGATGCTGAGTCTTTCATTCCTGTTAATTCAACTTCTTCCATTTGACTTGGTTCTTCAAAACGAAACGGTTTTGACACGTTTTTACTTGATTGAAGAACTCTTGCCAAAGCTTTTTTATCGCTAATGCTGCTCATTCTTTGTGATTGTTTCATGCGGCTTTTGATGACTGGATCATTATCTTGTTGCTTGTGGGTATCTATTGGCTGTATCAGCATTGTTTGATTGAGTTTCATTAGCTCGGAATCTTCTGTATCAATTTCCAATGATGATTTTGTTGCAATTAGAGCTGAGTTTATGTTTACTGCTCGTGTAATTTTTCCGCCTGCCATCTTTTGAGAGAATTTCAATCGTTGTTTCTCTAAAACTAGTTTGCCGTCTTCGACTTGCATGAAAACTGCTCGATTTACGTTAATTAGAGATGGTAATTTTGTTTCGATGTATTCACTAAGCTCTGAGATTGTATTATGTTCTACAATTGATGAAAGTAATGATACTAACGATGCTGCTGAGTTCAGATTTTTGAAAAAAGCGTTAATAAAACTTGTTCTGCTATTTATTTCCCATTTTTCAATGTATTCGAATATGCTACGATAGTTTATCTGTTCTATGTTGTCATCGAATAAAGATGCATATACAATAGGGTAATCTCTAAAAAATAATTCAAAATCCATTGAAGGTTGAAGTGCATTTAGTATTTTTTCTGTAGTTGGTGATTCGTATATTGGAGGTACTTTCTGTGATAATGCTATATCGCATTCTTTTATAATCGATTTAGTATTGGATGACTCTGGAGCTACCTTTTCATTTGTTTGCGAATCTTTCGATGAGGAAGAGATTCTTTCTGTATAATCTTGAAATTTTTCTATTGCTTGCTTTTCTTGCTCAATTAAATCTTTAAGATTTTTAATCTCATCTTGGAATTTGCTCATCATTCGCAGTTTTTGTTTGGTCTCTCCTTTAATATACTCAACACGTTCCATATTATAAGAGTCAATGTACTTCATCTTGGTTGTTTCCATATGAAGTGCAATTGATTTATAATAGTGAGCAAATAATGATTCAATTTTTATAAAAAGTTTATCTTCCTAGTATGAATATCAATATTCTTTATCATTAATTAATTGAATAAAAATACGTTTTTTGATAATTCGATAATGATTTGAGCAGAAAAATTATCAACTAGAAGCTCTTGTTTGATGGTTAAGACATGTTCATCATATGTGTTCTCTATTGGAAGTTACGCTTAGAAAATAAAAAAGAATTTGATAAAAAATCGTAAGGCTTGAAATTCCTATGTGGATCGTTTTGAATCAGTTATGACTAAATGATCATGTGGAACATTTTAGTTAAATACATATTTTTTTGTTATATTATTATTCTCGCTATATAATTGATATATTAAATGGAAAAAATATATGATAACAAAAATAAAATGCATCTATTGATTTAAAATATAATAAAAATTATCTGTTCTTATAATAATTTTAAATCTTCAAGATTTTTAACCTCATTATTCCAAAAAAAATCGAGAATTGTAAAAATCATCTTCATTTTCTAGAAACTTGCCGAGACGTTTTCTAAAATCCGAAAAATTTGGAAAAATCAGCAAGGACAACTTCATTTCAGGTGGCCAAGGCAATAGATTTCAGTCGAAAAAGGCACGAAAATTTTAAATTTTGATATCGATTTTCATCAATCATTTAATACCGATTGCTCACAGTTAATGATATGGCACACCATTGAATTCTAATATATTTGAACACACTATAAAAAGTTTTCTAAACTTATCAAAATTTTACGCAAATTAACAATACAATTACTAAAAATACACAAGAATTATTACATCCATCTTATTGAAAGAACGGGTGATTAATATAAATGAAAATCTAACAATTTATTTACCCAATTCTAAATAAATAAATAAATCATTATTTGTGCATATCTTATATGCACCTGTAGAAGGAAAACGCCAAAACGTGTTTTTACATAAAAAAACGTGAAAAGAATCTAATAAATAAACAATTTACTTTCTTAACATCGAATTTTGCTCTTCTTGAACAATCCCTTTCGTTTGATTTTTCACAATACAGTAAAAGATATTCATTTGCAAGTAAAAAATGGATATTTAAGTAATCCTTATATATCTCGAAAAAAACGTAAGTCATTCTATGAATTCATACATGTTATTACTATACTTCAAATACTGAGCATAATGGATATAATTCTGGTCGATAGATTTGTTATCGATGAAGTATTCCTGAAAAAAAAAATCAATACTGCACGCCGATAACAATTATTGAATACTTTACATCATGTAAAGAAATTTTGTAAAGTTGACTTTACATTAACGGGGCAGCGTTTCAGATGTCGGAAGTGACTCACGTACATGTTTGCTCGCTAAGCACATCTGCTCTCTCTCGTATTCAGAAAAACATCGATAACCTCAGTAGCGATGATAAGAAAGACATTAAACACCGCTTAATGTGGCTTAAAGTTGCAATTAAATACAATATTCAAGAACAAACCCAATATATTTACAACCATTGTGGAATGAAAGGAAAAGATCCTAAATTCCGTGCAATTAGAATGGCTCCTTTCTATCATCAATGGAAGAGGCAATGTACTCGCGATGATTGGAATGATCTTCTTGTCAGATTAACACATAAGAACGCTCTTGTTAGCATTAGAGAAACAATGGGCGAGTTGCACCGCGGTAGATCAGAAATTGCAGCACGTAATTTTGCCAAAAGTTCTGTTGCTAACTTTTGCCCACTTATTAGTCTTATTTCTTCAAAGAACGACGATAACTGCGATTTAGCAATGAAAAAGCTCGATAATCTTATTTCTTACGAAAATCCAATTACTTGCCGCCCAGGATATAATAATCGCGGTATAGAGTTCTTAGCAACTGATGCTGTTCGCACACTTTCTACAGTTCCTCCAACAACAGATGAATAAACACTTAATCTATATTTTTATTTTGTGTAAATCTATAATTACTTTCTCTACATATAGTATCAGTTTTACTTACTCATTATATTTTAGAATTGAAATACAATTTCATATTTTAAAAGAAATTGGCGATATCCTATCATAATACATGGTTGCAAAGTAAAATTTAGAATTGTATGGATTTTACTATGTAATTTCATAATTTATTGTGAATATTCAAACGATAAAGTCTGTATTTCCCATTATAATATAATAAGACAGTGATAATCACAATATTATACTTCAGATAATCTTATAGAGCATTATATTCTCAGTAAAAATATATAAAAAGAAGTGATTTTTTTAAAAATAATGTTTTGTATTAGGAAAAGTTGTTTTTTAAGTATGAATTATTGCGCATAATAACTGTTTATTCGGAGTATTTGATGTAGTCTTCAAGGGTGACCTTGCCATCACCGTTACAATCGATTTCTTTGAGTAATTCCTCTGCCTGTTCAAGAGTAATGATATTTCCGCATAATTTCTGGAATTGCTGTAATTCGCTAGCATCAAGGACACCATTGTCATCAGTATCGATGGATTTGAAACGGTATTCAATTAATCTGCGCTCGTCGCCGGATTCGATGCATCCAACATAGTCAACGAACTCATCGAAAGCGAGGAGACCATTGTGGTCGTGATCAAAAACGGCATAAAGTTCGTTCAAATCTTCATCATCGAATTCTTCGCCAGCTTCTGTTAAAAAGTTCTTGAATTCGTTGATATCGAGACCTCCGTTTTTATCGTCATCATACTTGTCAAACAATTCACGGAGCTTCTGGGCATCTGATGTTGTGAGTGACATCGAGAAAGTGATGTAAAAACGACACTTTTTGTAACTGGATTAAAATCGGAAAGAATTCTAGAGGTAGGGCAACGATAGGTCAAAAAGGCTTCTCTGATAGATTTCCTTGCCTTTTGGATATGCTATAATATATAGCCTAGCATGATAGGATATGATGTCAAAAGTTATAACATAACTTAGGATCTTGAGAAAAATGAAAAACAAAAATTACATAAAAAAAGAAAAATTTTATCTAATTTGTTTTTTTGGACCGAATAAGTAATTTTATTGAATTTCAATACGACACATAGATTTTATTATTAGTAATAAATATAATGGTTTACTATTAACAAGGAACCTAAACTAATGAAAATTTGATTTCAAATATTGTATATGATTATTATAGATTACCAAAATATATTGCTATTTATGAGGATATAATATTGATTATTAGTAAATCGTATAAATTTAATAAATATACCATGAATATTGAATGAATTTCTTGATTCATAGGGTTAAAACGCGCTTTTATATGATTTAAACAGAGAATTTATGAGATGTAAATAACACAATAAAGGTTTATATTGAATATTTTCTAACAATAAATCGAAATTATAAAAAACAATACATTTATTCATTGAAACTACTTGGACAAATATGAAACAAGCATTCAGGCAATACTTTTGAGACTTCAACGCATCTGATAATTTTTATATAAATTCACCTCTTATGCTTAGAGTGGAGGTATTGAGATCGTATAAGTATAGATGAGCTCACATTCAGATATGATGTGTGAACTTCTGTTTTCACTGCAATTTTGAATCAGAATAAACTCAAAACAAGAATAAAATGATATACTCACTCTCTAAATGTGTTCGAGATTTAAAGTTGTATGAATAAAACGATTCATCTTTCGAAGCCTCCCATTTAATGAGAGACTTCGAAAGATGAATGTATTCATGTAGATGAAATACTATATATGACCTTGTGTGATACTAAAGATATCAAAATGTTCATTTTTAAGTGCAATAGAAGGGTTATCTCTCGTAAAATCTCAATTTAAGGAAGATTTAGAAAGAACTCCTTTCCTAAGTAGATAGTGTGTGGTTTCTGTCTTTTGGTTGATCAGGAACTATGAAATTAAGTCGGACAGAAAGAAGTTCTTTCCAAAACAGACTCCAAATGAGTTGTTCGAAAAGAACTTCCTTCTGTATATGGATAATTGTAGTTACCGCACTGAAGTATGTGATTGTGATGATGGAGTTCTCGATAAATCTAAAATCGGATTAAGATTAATTGAAAACTCAAGTAATTCTTTGAAATCTTGTGTTGTCTGGCACTATAATAACCAAAGAATGAGAATATTATGTTGAATGATGAGTACGTGTGCTCGGCATTCGCCGAGCGAATTGAGTTTAACGTACTATGAAAAGTGACAAATTTGGGCTTTTTTTCCTAGGGTTATGATCTCTTCCTTTCTGCTCAATACGACAGAAATGAAAGAATGAATTTGTACTCCCTAATTGATTACTACAATCTGTATCTATCTTTAACATAGAATTAGCTGCATTGTGATTTATACTCCAGAATTATTCAATTTAAGATCAACCTCGTAAATTTTAATCATATTGCACCAATACTCCTACGTTGAGATAAGAACATGATTATACATACCAAAGCCCCATATTAAAAATCAAAATTTAGCACCTCCATTATGCAACCACATTATTCGTCGCAAATAAGTATATTTACGCATATTATGATGCATATTCACACAACTCGTATACATGAAAAGTTATTAAAATCAGACAAAATTATTGCAATAAGGAAAAAAAAACAACTTTATTATATATGTTAGTAATGAATTACAAATATTTCTACAAAGAATGCTCAATACTTCATATAATCTTCGAATATTTCTTATTACAAGTTAATACATTTTGACTCGAACATGATAAACAAAAGCTGACACGCTGATTACTACATTTATGAAAATAGTACGTTTCCATTCATCTGTTTACTTGTTTTTGTTGGAATAAAATCATTTTTTTTTTCTTTCATGAAATAAGAATTTTGCTGCGAAAGCAATATCTCTAACAATAATTAATACATTACGTCAACTCTGGAATGAGTATTTATCAAATATGATATCAAAATCAAAAATTAGTTGTTTTTATGAGTAAAAACGATGTAAATTGATTATTTGACTAATTATCAAATACTTTGATTTTCCAAATTTTTTTCGAAATTGATTTTTTCATGTGAAAATTTAAATTGTTTAATTTCATTTTTGAAATTTTGAATTTTTTTTGGAATTTTGAGTTGATCAATTCAGCAGAATTGATAATGCTATTGCTTTAGGGCATACCACAAGGTGATGAATAAAAGGTGAACATTAACAAATTATTTTAAATCACAAATATCATCCTCATCAACTTTAATTCTAAAAAGAACTGTACTGAATTATGAAAATGCATGATTTACATTATTAAAATCTTTGAATGAAAATAGTACAAGATAAGTTTTTATTCATTTTTAATTAGATTTAAACGAAAAACTACTCCATATTAAAATTTAAGTCGAGAAATCGTATTTTGTTCTTATTTGTTAGCATTTTGTAGACATTCTAATCTTGAATTAATTTGTTACATGATATTATTAACAAATTTAACTGAAAAAATATGTTAATATGGAATAAACCATGATTATATAAGCTATCAATGCTATATATACATATGTAAAAGATTCATATTAACTCAATTAACAAAAATGATAGATTTTCATAAAGCTTCAATCTAGGTTCGTCCGAAAATTTTGATTTTTATATAGAAGACATAGTTTCATATACATAATTAAATTTTCAAACAAATTTGATCATACCATTTATTAAGCAGGATAGTATATTAATTACTATCAGTATAAAAATATAAAAATGATTATATTTAATTATTGCATAATTTAGTCAAAGAGTTATAAGCCTCAAGTGATCGTTATCACCTTCAATGCACGTATACTTTATTGATTCATAGATATTTAATCTATGTTTGACATGTTGTTGTCGTCATTCGTTTTGTTCCCATTCTTCCTAAGTTAGAATTAGAGAATACACCATCCACATCATCTAATTTGGTCCTCAGCGATAGATTGGTTCATTTTGGAGGAGTCCCATCAGACAGTTTTCGAGCACCAAATATCAAATTTTAATGTATACAAATCTTTAGTGATTTATCTCTTTTATGATGAGTAAAAGGTTTCTGCTCATCAACATTTGATTTCCGACATATATGATTTCTAATTGCAATTATTTACTTTCTTTTTATAATCTAACTCTGTGACTCATACCATAAATTAATTATTGGAAAGTGTCAATATGTTTGGCACAACGCATGGCGGAAGATACCAAACCATGCAGGGAATATGATACGTTTAAGATCTCCGAACTTTTTTTCCAAAAATTTTCTATCGTTGCCCTACCTCTAGAATTCTTACCGTTATTAAATCTAGATTTATTGGGAAGTCATTCGATGAAATTTACTTGCTGACGCAACGTCAAAATTTGTTTCAAGTTGATAACCGACTAATTTCATTGTTTAAATTGCATATTTAGTTCTTTTAAAAAACATGCATCCAAAGTATTTACTTTACGACTGTTATTTCGAAAGTTTCCAATGAAAATATGAGCAATTTTCGATTTTTATTGGATATTTGGGTAAAATTTCGAAGTAGTCTTGATTTTATGCAGTTTTTATCATCCGAACACCTATTAGCCCTATAAAATTTTTTTTGAAATGAATGAAGATTTAGCCCAATTTATCGATCAACTTGTAACGCGAGATGATGACATCACGCTATTTAACGCTCTTCTTGCTGATGAAGCATTGCAAGCTCAAATTTGGACAATTCTTCCTTCAATTCAAGATACGTTTAAGAAAGGGAAGCTTTTAATCATTCTTAATAGATGCATTAAGAATGCAAATCTCAATGGGGTTATTGTTCCGGTAATATTTCAGATTCAGGACTTATATTTTTTGCCTTCATATACAAACACAATCATAGAATTATTTTCACATTGTTCAGATCAAATAAAATGCGTTAACATACTTGGACTTACACAATCCATATGTCAAATTAAGAATCCAAACAAATTTCCATTTCAAATTGAATTAATTCGCGTTTTATTTGAACGAGCATCCTTATTTAATCATAATATACCAGTAAGCCAACTAAATATGTATGATAGAATCTACTCAATCGTTTTTCATATTTTAGAATTGAATAATCATCCAGAAGTCAATCATTTGATCATCAAAGCCATATGCCAGTTCTTCACTAACTTTAAGAAATACTTTAAAGACAAATTGGTTGATTTTCTCGGTTATCTTCCCAATTTAAACACAAAATTATGGAATTTATTCTGGGATTCGATCCACGACCTTCAGTCTCTTGCAAGCGAAATCTTCATACCATACCTATTCTCGCAACTAGACAATATCAAGGAGAATCCTCAAAGAGCTTTCTCAATTTTGAATGCAGCTTCATCTTGGATCGGAGATGAGCCATCCTTGATCACAGACGATCAAATTGAGGAGCTGATACCGATACATTTAATCGTTTACAATTCAATTTACGGAGAATCATCAGATGAAGAAAATTTCGACTCATCTCTTGATATTTATAGCTTAATTCGAGTATATACATCTAGAAACCCAGATAGAATACTTTCCTTAATGGAATTTACGACAGATCAGCCAGAAAGAACGAGAATTTGGTTAATTTTAAATTTATATCTTTGCGCTTTGCAAAATGGAACTTATAACTTTATATTTTACGATGTTATATCCCCACAAGCAATGATTACTCTATATAATGCAGAATTAGAGAATATTGTTCAATATTATGATTTAATTCACTTAACTCTTCACTTTTTTGAAGAATCAAGGTTGTTTTTGTATATGATGCCAATGCATAGTATAGCCTACGCGTACGAGAAGACTTTTCAGATAATTGAAGCCTTGTATCAGTCAGAAACAGATGTTTTATCGATAACACAAGATTTGTATGAGATATTAATTTGTCTATGCGATTCTAACATTCCTACGTTCCTACAAACGACATCTCAGTACTTTGATAACATAAAATTCATAGAAGATTCATCTTTTTGGAGATTCCTTTCGAATCTGATTGTACATTCGAAAATAAACGAAACTATAGCTGGAGAGCTACTTGGTTTCCTAAACCAAGTGATAGAAACAGATAATAACTTGATTGTAAATTGTTTCGACGTTTCTGTACGAGTTCTTCAACAAGTTAGGTTCTCTCCAACGGCAACTCATTTCGTACGTAACATTTACTCCATATTAAACCAAAATATTGATGAGTTGTCACCTGACTTAATAGCTTTATTCTGTAATTCTTTGTCTTTCGCATTGGAAAACGGTTTGTCACTTTTTGAAGAGGAAGTAATTAATTTTGATCAAATAAAAGAGAATACTAAGACCATGATAGACTGTGAAACCTTTGCAAATGTCAATTATGCTCGAGATAATTTGGAAATCAGGTTAATGTTGAAAGAATTCCAAGACGGAAACGAAGAAATGAAGAAACTGATAGAAGACAAGCTCGAGTCCAAGATAAACATTGACATTTCAGAGGAAAACATATCAACTTTGAAAGAATTTAAATCATTTTTCAAAGAAGATACGAATCTCTTCAGTTTAAGCCCTAATTTCGAGAATGGATCGTATTCCTATATATTATACCTCTATTCCAAGATGTGTTCCTATTTTATTCGTCATCGGAATCTTGTATCAAGCTCTGCTTTCCTTGCCGATGCCTGTAACCTGTTTAACAACACATCTCCTGCAGAATGCCTCAGCCCGCAATGCGCTCTTTCCTTTGTTGTCCAAGCTTCTGCCTTAGAAACACTTTTAAAGACATGTAACAACGATATGGAAGAATTTAACAGACTTGTTTACAAGAACAAAGCGAAAGAAGAGGAAGAATTTGTTGACGAGTCAGTTCTTTCATCGAACAATGTTCCTGAGCTCATAGAAATGGCAAGAAGCATCGCACATCATCCATTACTTGCTGAAATTGCCGCCAACGAAAGATTCATTTTCACAGAGGACATAACTATCGAAGAACCAGAAGTTTGGAATGTTTCCATTATTGCACGCGCTGTCATTGATGGAAAGGACATTTCATTGAGTCCAGAACTCCTCCAGTACGCGATGAACAAGCCTTGGAAAGCTCCTTGTGCAGCATTGTGTATTTCCGCTGTTGCAAGAGATCCAAGTTTGTTTGAAAACCCTGAAGAAGTTGTTGACTCTTTCTGCAAGGAATACCCGCATAAGAAGGCAAACATGATGGCCTTGGATGCCTTCAAACTTGTCCTTGAAAGACAATCAAACAACGAAAGAATTGTCATGAGTTGCGTAACAGCAATTGCAAGGGCATTTTTACTTGGAAGTTCCATTAATAATAGAGGTGGAGATTTCGATGATGTTGTTGAGTATTTCGAGTCAATTCCTATGAAACTGAAAATAGCAGCGTTTGGAAATTTGTCTGACGAATTCCCTGAATGCTGTCAATGGTTAATTCATTCTTTGTCTTCATAATAAATTTTGTTTTTTATTTTGTTTGTTTATAATAAATATAATATCTCTATTTTCTTAATGTTGATATTTAATAATAGAGTAAACGAAATATTTTGTAGTCAGGGAATTTGTTAACATAAAGAATCATAGCTCGGAACAGAAATCAACTATTGCGACATTTCATGAAAGTAATGGTATGATTGATTCTGGATTTATGTGAAAAACACTCTATATAAAACTTATATAAGTTTAAGTGGGAACTGTGATGTTTTTTATACCATAATAGTTTCACTTTTTGTATATGAACTCTATATTGACTCTGGCTTGAATTCTCAATTTTTTACTTTTGCAACTCAATATGGAGAATTTTTTTCAAATTATAGAACCATTTGAACGACAATAGACACCAAAACTGATATGGAAATATAGGATATCAAAGAACCTTTATAATGGTAATACTATGATGAACAAATGCTAAAATCTGACTCGGTTATAATCAAATTTTTGATCTCAGGGAAATTGAAAAAGTAAAAATTTGAGGTATTTTCAATTTTTGGCACATCAAAAGAACCTTTTATGAAAATAAAAAATATTAATCATGTGTTATCATCGATCTATATTCATAGAATCAAGTGATTTGGAGTGATTGGCAAAAAATCTTGTTTGAATATAGTCATCTGAATGAATATCTTATTACATCCAACTTTTCTATTGCTATTGTGTCATTTAATACCTATGAACTTAATTTAAGTTCATAAATTATTTTCGAAATCGTTGTGATATTTGATTTTCACATGTCTAACATAACATTTGTTTCTTCTAATGAGTTTGAAAGATATTTATATGTCAAAATGCCAATGTATCTTTTTAAAAAATTATTAATGACTGATCAAGACATTCATCCAAATAAATTCAGCGAACTGCGAAGTATCCATAAACACTACATTGATTCGTATATTGCGTTGTATCAGCTGAAAACTGAAAAAGAAGAAGAATTAAACTCAATTTACAAAATGATCAAAACAGAATTGATTGATTCAAAGGTATGTCTTCCCAAAAGTCTAATTAAAGATATTTTAAATATCATTCCGTATAATAATCGCTATAAAAGGTCATATTTATTTCTTGCCAAACTCATATGTGATGAATATCACGTGGAGGAAGTCAACCATCTCATGAAAATTTCAAACTTCTTGTTTTACAAAGAATATGGAATTAAATTAGACAAATCCAAAGATTTCAGAGAAATTAACTCAGAAAATCTCGACATTCATACAGAAAATACAGTTTACAGAGCAATTTTGTATAATGACTTAGAAAAATTCATCTTCTTTACGGAGAGAGAAGAATTTGATAAAGATCAAACACTTAAAAGCAGTTTATATCCAAGTGAAATAGTAAGATATTTATTAATATCTTCATACAAAGGATATTCATTACTTGAATTATGTTGTTACCACGGAGCAGTTGATTGTTTCAAATTATTAAGAACGAAATTTAACTCAGAAATAACTTATAAATGTTTAAAGTTATCATTTTTAGGCAGAAATCAAGAGATTCTGAGCGAATGCTTGAAATATCAAAAGCCAGATTATTATTGCATGGAATGCATGGAATATGCAATTATTTCACACAACATTGATTTTGTTACATTCTTGATGAATGAATACAGTATTCCAATTGATTTAGAAGGTTGTGGAAGATATAATAATCTTGAATCATTTTTAGTTTATTTCGATCGAACTAATGATTTTAACGAATGCTTTAATTTTTCGACGATGTTTAATATTCCATCTCTTTGCGAATATTTCCTATCAAATGGTGCAAATATCAATGAAAAAGATATAAATGGACTAACCGCACTTCATTTTGCAGCACGTTATAATAGCAATGAAACAGCTGAACTTCTTATTTCACATGGTATAAATATCAATGAAAAAGATAAAGATGGAAAAACTGCTCTTCATAATTCAGCAGAAAATAATAGTAAAGAAACAGCCGAACTTCTTATTTCACATGGTATAAATATCAATGAAAAAAATTATAGAAAAGAAACTGCTCTTCATGCTGCAGCACGCTGTAATAGTATAAAAACCGCCGAACTTCTTATTTCACATGGTATAAATATCAATGAAAAAAATAAATATGGAAAAACCGCTCTTCATTATGCAGCAGATAATTATAGTAAAGAAATCGCAGAAGTTCTTATTTCACATGGTATAAATATCAATGAAAAGGACAATGATGGAAAAACCGCACTTCATTATGCAGCAGAAAAAAATAGTAAAGAAACAGCTGAACTTCTTATTTCACATGGTATAAATATCAATGAAAAAGATAATTTTGGACAAACCGCTCTTCATAATTCAGCAGAAAATAATAGTAAAGAAACAGCCGAACTTCTTATTTCACATGGTATAAATATCAATGAAAAAGATGAAGGTGAAAAACCCGCTCTTCATATTGCAGTATTAAATAATAGTAAAGAAATCGTCGAACTTCTTATTTCACATGGTGCAAAAATATAATATTTTTATATAGGATACTATTCATTCTTTTTCTGATATTTTCAAAGATGAATTTCATTAGAAATAAATAAAAAATAATATTTATTAATTTGTAATTGATATTTGCACTGGTGGTAACAAATTCTAGAATTGAGCGGATATTTCGTGCAAGTGCATTTAAGATGATGTGAATGGGTTCTCAATAAAGTGTTGAGGAGTATAATTGACATTGTCACACAAATCAAATCGGAACATTTTTCTAGAAAAATGAAAGGTACAGTCACTCATTAACCTTAAAATTAAAAAATATCTAGGGTATTTATATGCGTCCAATCTCCCTATGTATTTTATTAAAAAAGCCTTCAATAGGGCATTGCAACAGAACATAGCCATCTATACTTTCTCAATGTATATTGATTCGGATGAACCCTCTTCGGGCTGATTATATTTTGCAATTTCAGTAAATGTCGTTAAAAACCATTCACAGTAATAAGATAGCTTCTAAGATGATTAAAACAATTAAACATATATACGCTATGTATAGTCTCTAGCCAGAGTTTCAAGCCATAATTTTGGTTGGAAGGAAGTGACTGTACCTTTGAAAAATGGAGTATTATTTATATTGTAAACAAAAAATATCAATTCTAGTTCTATATATATACAAACAGGATGTTTAATAAACAAATAAATAAACAAATTAAAAAATAATAAAAATTAGTTAACAAAATATTTCTTTTTGTCTTCCGAAGAACCAGAAACACAAGTGGTATCAACAAGAAGTCTAGGATCATCATCAACTTCGTTCCTGGAGAGAGCAATCATGGCTTCGTAAATTCTACCTGCGTGTTTGTGCAAAGCAACAAGTATTTGTATTTTGGAGTACTTCCCTTTGTAGAATTCATATATTTTCACAAGAATTTTCGCATTTTCTTCACGTGTTAAGTTTATTTGTGGATCTGGTGATTTTGGAGCGGATTCTGAGGTGTCACTTTGCACAGATTTGTTCTTTTTATGTTTTTTATCGACATATTTGTTGAGAGTTTTTTGTGCAGAAGAATTTTTTTCGATATGTTGAATTTTTGAAGGTGGAGTAGCTATTTGAGGTCTAACATGTGATAAAAGACTTTTCCTTGGTGGTATTTTCTCTTCAGAGTCGTCAACTGGAGATTCAACTTCTGGAATTTCGTCATGGTACTGTTCTACATCAGCAGCGAAGTTCTGAAGTCGTATTCTTGTTTCTTCTAATAAAAGAGAATGCATATTTTGTGGTTTTGTTGTTTCATTGCGCTGTTTTGGCTCAGGACGGTCATTTGGTGAGTCAGAAGCTTCAGAAGAGCCAGAAGAAACAACATATACCTCTTTGTTTCTCGGGATATTTAAAGAAGCTTTGTTTTTTGTTGACTTCCCTTCCCTTGCTTCCATTGTGTCACTTTTTACTTCCTTCTTTCATCTGATGAATTTAGACAGATAAATTAATAATTATCAGAATTGTATACAAAAATAATTCATAAATTCATGTTTGTTTAGAGTTAATTATTAAGTAACAAAATAATTTTCCTTAATTATCACCATTTACACAAAATATCGAGCATATCCAAAATAGGAATCACATTGAAATCGCCGAAATGATGCATTAGAAGCTCTAATCGGTGATAATTTGATAAATATCATATGAAAACTACAATCTAAAAGTATTTAATCATATAAAACAAATATAAATATAATATACTATTATAAGTGAGTAATTTTGTTTTGCCTATAGCGCTTTAATCTGAGTTCTGTATAAAGTTGCAGTGTAGACGTTTTTTCATCTGGTAAAATAGTTCTGGGAAGTGTTAAACTCAGTTGTTCAAACTGTTTTCTTAATTTCTCGGCTGCTTGATAAACATGGTTTGTTTCCCCATTGTAATATTTCGCATTGTGCCAAATTAGCTGAACATCAGCAATAAACTCTTCTGGAATTTCGTATTGTTTGTTCGAAAGCTTTTCTTGAATAACATAAAAACACATTGGAGAAGTAATATAATTGAAATATTCTGGAGCACCATCCTGTTCTGGTTCAACTGGCTTGAAGAAATAAAAAGAGGATGGATCCGACATCAATGTTTTGATAATATATTGGCATTGATTGTAGAATTTATATTTCCCTGAGTATTGCTCATCATCATACATTAGTGAAAAATGCAAGCTTTAACAATAAACATATTAAACAACAGGATAAAAATATAATGTATCGCTTTCACCTACATTTTCACAATTTAATTTGTATTGAAATAATATATAATTATCATAATATCAACAATTTCATATAAAATGATAATACTTTTCACATATAAAACATTTTCGCTCTAGTTGATGCTGATACAAGTTAATTTCAATGTCAATAACTTTATTTTTCAGCAAATTATATTAAAATATCCTCAAATTAATATCGATAAATGAAACATTACAAATGTGCATTTATTAAAGACAAAATAATATAAAACAAAATAAAATTAGACCTGGATCTCAGGTTCAACATCCAGTTTTTCTCCATCTGGCTTTGGAACCAATACATTAGATATGTCTTTATCATTAATTGGCTTTGCTTTGCATTTAATGAGCAAAAATACACTAATAATTGTGAGAATTAAAATAATACAAGACAAAACAATGATAGTTATTATGTAATACTTTGTTTGACCATCATTTTTCACTTCATCCTCTTCCTGATCCTCACTTTGAGGTGAAGAATTATTATTTGGAATAAAAACAGTTGGAGAAGGAATTGGAGTTGGTGTATAGACGTAATCCTTAGGAGAAACAACAGTTCCTTTATTGAAATCCCTCATCTTGCAAACCAACTTAGGATCTTGACAAATTATTGACAAATTTCCAATGAATTTCACTTCACCTTTTCTAGTACAATAAATTTCATCTCCGGAAGCCAAAGTCATCTTTGTAACAGTGTTATTATAAAGACAAGTAGTTCTATAACAACCAGCCATTTTCTTGAACTGACTGTTTGTGTCTAAAACTATTTCGCTGCATACAGAATCAGAACCAAATGTCATCATCGAATTTTTTGATTCTTCAACTAAAGTTTTTGACCATTGTTCGGAACACATCAACCATTCTCTCGCCTTTAGGATCTTCATGTAATCAAATGTATCTGCAGGACCGAACCAATGAGATCCGAGCGAATCATACCATTTCTTTGCCCTGCAAATCTCTCTTTCATCAGATGTTTTCTGTTTGTCGCAGTTTGGAACATATAAAGGAACTCCACACTCACTTACACCGCTGTAATCGTAGTTGCAAAGGTACTCCTTGTTCCTGTAATGCGGGCAAATGTAGTTATCAGGGAGTTGGTCGGGAGGAGTTATTGGAAAATCAGGGATTTCGGAGTCAGAAAAACTTTTTCCATCTCCCCATGGTAATGGTTCGGCCATTGACCAGTTGGCTTCGTACCATCCGGTGTCTTCTAGAAGAGAAAGAGTAATTTCGGAGATTCTTTGGGGAGGAAGACATATTCCGGCCATAATTTCGTTATAATATGTTCGACCTTTGACATGAGAACCAGCTGTACCGGATCCACCAAGGTTTTCAAGTTCTATACCTAATGGTATATCTTTTGCTAAGTATTTGCGTGCAAATCGTCGTTGGGAAACTTTAATAGCGTTTGGAGTCTGAAAAACTTTGAACGTCTTGCCTGGGTAGTTAGGATCAGCGTATTCTGCAAACATTTTGGTATAACGCTTCTTTGTTACTGGGTCAATCCACTTATAAAAAAGATTATTTGCGATTCCTAAAACATGGATTGTCTCATGCAACAAAACATCGTAGAAATATCTGACTGGGCTATCCTTTGACAAGATATTCGGAGGAATTTCTTTAGAATTAATATACATTTCGCCAGCTACAGGTCTTCCTTCTGTGGACTCATACTTAGTAGCTGTAGCTGCTGCAAGAATGTCAGATTCGCCATAAGAACGAATATACACCTTGATTTTTACATCGTAATTCTCAGATGGCGAAGTTTTTCTATTAACTGTAAGTAATTCAGAAAGATGCTGCTGTAAGTTTTCTAATGTTGCTTTAATTACTGTAATTTTATCTGTTGAAAGAAGATCAGCTTGTGTGCATTTTATTTTGCTGTAGCCATTATCTATTTCTTCTCCGATATGCTGACATTGTTTTAGATCTCTGCCCGATGATAAACTACTGAAATCGAAAAAAACACGTAATGGTTGTTTTCCAGTATCCAAAGTTTGTCTAAATGTAATATTTTCTTCTTGAAGCTGAAGATCTTTGAACAGCACATCATGCATACATCGAAAATGTCCAGCATGAGCTAGAATAAAAGAAGAAAACAGAAAAAACATTGAAAGGTTATTTTAATTATCGGCGCGAAGCATTGAATAATGAATTCTGAAATCAACAGTTCAAGTTTATAAAATAACTATTGGCATTGCAAAGTAGCATATTTGAATTCATTTGGGATAATTCTTCTGAATCCTCTCATTCATTAAGAGACTTTAGAAGAAAATTGTATAAATAATTATAAAACAATAGGTCTCTTGGAGACTAAAGAGCACTAGTATTGAGCATGAGATTAATAGCTTATAAAAAGTTTATTTTGATGTTTATGATAAAATGAGAGAAAAATCTTGTTGTCACTTTTTCAGAATTCCCAAAATTTCATAAAGATCAAGAAATGAAAATCCTTTAGTTTGTCCAACGAAACAGTTGTGTTTATCCGAGTATATCCATCTATTCGTTAAATACAATGTTATCAATGTGTTAATTCTCAATCTTCTTCATGAAATTTACGATTGCCGAATAAAAAAGAAAAAATTTGCTTCGATAAAAATTTTCAAAATTGTCAAATTTCATAAAAATTTTCGATGTCAACTGATACTTCATATCTCGATAACTATTCCCCATTTAACGATGCCGATCTAATGGATGAGCTCCCTGAGATTAAAAAGACACAACCATCTGCTGCTCCAGCTAAACATGACGATGAAATAACTCAGGAGATGTTAGATCAAATGGAACAGCGTTTAAATATTATGGAAGAAGATCTTAAGAATCAAGAACAAAGAACAGGCCCACTTGGAGGCTTTCTTCATGAACCGGAACCAAATTGGCCAAAATTCTACCCATTAGTTCATTTTGATATCAACGAAGTTGATGCATCATATCGCTCATATGTTAATGAAACATTTTTCTCTTGGGTTTGCATGCTTGTTACATATTTTCTTAATTTCATCGCAAGTCTTACTTTGCTTAGCGCTGGCGATGCTGTTAATTCTCCAGGTACAAAGATATCATTATCTGCACTTTATTTCTTCTTCATTTGCCCAATTGCTCTTGATTTAGACGCACTTTCTGTTTATCGCGCTCTTAAGACAGCACCATCCACATTAGCCTTCACAAAAATCTTCATTTGCTTGGCTCTTACATTAATATTCGAATTTGTACTTGCAGTTGGTGCACAATCCTCCGGCAGCGTCGGATTGATCACTACAATCGATCTTTTCGCCAGCAAATGCGTAGGAACAGGCATTTTCGGCATTATTGTTACTATTTGCTTCGCCGTAACAATTTTCTTCACTACAAAACTTTTGATCAGGTTATGGAAGTTCTTCAGAGGCACAGAACAGGGCGGACACATGGACCAGGATCTCAAGTTAACTGTTGCACAGTTTGTCGTAGATACTCTCAAGAACAACGACAATCAAGCTTAATTTTTTTATTTATTTATCTAAACAGACACTTTGTTATTCTTTTTCAAACATTATATGACTTTTTTTATCTTTTTTAAAAAGATATCGAGATTTTTAAAAAATATTGTAAAATATTGCTTTAAAAACATAATGACTAAGGAGAAACTCTATATATTTTCATTAGTATATGTATTTAAACTAGCCAAATTGATATCAATCCTAATAATTACTGAATTTGATTCTAAATTTTGATGATTTTGATATTAAATTACAGAGGAATCATTACAAATCAATAGCATCTCACTTAATTTCGTGCCAGAAAACAATATTCGGCTTTAACCTATAAAACTAGTTTTGTAAAGTGTCATCGGAAATTTTTATTGAATGCTTTACAATGAATTATGAAGACAAAACCAATTTTATAAGTGAAATCTGTGCATAGGGGAAACCAATATATTATGGCTGAATATCATGCGAAAAATTGAATAGAAAATTTTTGATTGAAAGGAATGACCACTTTTTTGTTGATGAGTGAACAACAAGCCCCAGAAGTCAAAACCCTTCCACCAATTTTCCTTGATATTTCACCAAATTCGAAGCCAACAGAGATGGATTCTCTTTGCATGAACTGCCTCAAGGAAGGAACAACAACAATGCTTTTAACAAAGATTCCTTTCTTCAGAGAAGTTATGATTTCTCACTTCTCATGCCCACACTGCGGCTACTCAGACAATGCTATCCAGTTCGCTGGTGAGTTCCCAGCTAAAGGCGTTACATTCAAATTAGTTGCCAAATCTCCAGAAGATTTGAACCGCCGTGTTATCAAATCTTCACATGCTACAATCAAAGTCCCCGAAATCGACTTAGAAATTCCACCACAGACACAAGCAGACACAATTAATACCGTTGAAGGCGTCTTAGAACGTGCCTACAAGGGTCTTAAGCACTCAAATCCAAACCCAACACCAGAGTTCGAAGAATTCTTAGATAACCTCGATCAATGCCGCAAAGGTCTTGTTCAATTCAACTTTATCATCGATGATCCATCAGGAAACTCCTTCCTTGAGAACCCAATCGCTCCTTCACCAGATCCACAGCTTCAAGTCGAATTCTACCGCAGAACAGCAAAGATGAACGAAGAAATCGGTCTCAAAGTCGATCCAAAGTCCGGCGACTTCCAGGTCGATGAAGTTACAACAAAGACAATCGACAAATATCAGTCCGTTTTCTCTACAGACCAACCTGTCCAAGAAATGGACACAGATTGTCCAGTTTGCTCTCATACAGGCGTTTCCCGCTCATGCACATTGTCAATCCCGTTCTTCAAGGAGATCATCATCATGGCTTTCAACTGCGATTACTGCGGATATCATAATGGTGAAGTTATGATCGGCGGCGAAACATCCAGATACGGCCGTAAGATTACACTTAAGGCCAACTGCCAGGATGACCTCAACCGCGAGGTTCTCAAGTCAGAACTCGCCGGTATCGAAATTCCAGAAGCCGAAATCAAGCTTGTTCCAGGAACTCTTGGTGGCAAATTCACTACAGTCGAAGGCCTTCTTCGCGATATTATTCAGCAGCTTTCTGCAGAGAATCCTTTCATGAGAGGAGATTCTTCAGACGCACAGGCTTCTTCCCACTTCCAAAATGTTCTTGAACAGGTCAAGTCATTCGCTGACGGAAAGAACCCATTCACTCTCATTCTTGATGACCCAATGTCAAACTCATTCATTCAGAAGTACAAGATCGACGATCCAAAGCCAATTATCGAGGATTACGAACGTACTTACGAACAGAATGAAGAACTTGGCCTCAATGATATTAAGACAGAAGAGTTTGTTACAGACGCTGATAAGAAAGAGTGAACCCATCAAAATTTCATAGAATTTAATTGCAATAAAAACTATATTCTTATTTTTGAATACAATTTTCATTTTTAATTTCATTGACCGAAATTTCTTATTTTCTCAAGAGGATCCCTCTTACTTTCTCAAATATTCTCAAAGAGTAAAAAGTAGATGTTTATATAGGGTGTCCAAAGGTGTGTTTAGCACAAACCTGAATACTGCGAATAGAAATAAACAAGTTACATATATATAAAGTTTATTTAAATATAATCACCATTGGATTCAATCACGCGTTCGCAGCGATCGATCCAGGCTTGAAAGACACGCTTTAAATCATCATGAGAAAATTGCTCAAATTGCTCTCTTACAAAATTTTCAAGATCATCTGGACTCGCAAATTCGCGTCCTTCAGCTCTCTTTTTTAGCGTGCCGAATAAATAAAAGTCAGAGGGTGCAATATCAGGTGAATAAATTGGGTTTGGAACAACTTTGACATTGTTTTCCACCAAGTAATTCATTACCTTATGACTTTTGTGAACTCTTGAATTATCAAAATGAATTGCAAACTTTTGTTTTTGTTGTTTGGATTTCTCAAACTCATCAGAATTGATAATTTGAGTAAGAACATTGTCAATTAGATACTGAGCATTCATCGTATTAGGTTTTTGAAGAATATCAATTGCGATGATGCCATTCACGCCCCAAAAAACCGACAACATCATCATTGTGTGTCAATTTTTTCTTCGGGAATGTTTGCGGATTTTCATCCTTCGGGATCCACATGATTTTGGCTTCTGTTGCATATTGAAACCAAGACTCGTCCCCGGTTACTAAAAAGCGAAACTTCTTGGATTGATACGCACCCAATATAGAGAGGAGCTCTTTCGAAGATTGGACTCTAGATTTTTTTTGAACTGAATTAAGGTTGTGCGGAACCCAACGTGTATACGCTAGTTTGTAGTTCAAATAATTGTGCAGATAATAACTGACTGTTGTACTTGGTATCTTTGTCATCTCCTCTATCCTTCTGAGTGATGCTCTTGGGTCTTCATCTAGCGCTTGAAGAATTGCTTTGATTTTTCTTTGATCCGGCGATTTTTTGTCAATTTTTATAATGGGCGCCTTTTTGTTCATGAAGTGATACATCCTAACATGATACGTTACAGTGGAATAGCTAGGAGCATCCATACCGAAGCATTTTACCAATGTCTCGTAGATTTTTTTACAGTCTTTGCATTTTTTTGCAAGAGCGAGGATGTTTTCTTTATGATTCATTAAAAAAATGAAAAAAATCCCGCCAAAATTTCCCGCGAAACCGCCTCTTGTCTCAAAATTCATTTTATATCCCGGCATGGCGCCAAAATACAACATACTCATCATATACATATATTCATATTTTTTATTATATATTTATAATCAGCATATATCTCCTTTAATAGTCTCATATAGAGCGCTGTGCTAAACGCACCTTTGGACACCCTATATTTTTTTTATTGAGAAGTTGATGGCGTCTCAAAAAAAGGGTAAAAAGACGATTAAAATTCACTCAATTTCACACTTTTTTTAGCTTTGCTTTGCTTTGTTGATTCAATAATGTTTGATATTCCAATCAAATATGTGTATATATCAGAGCTAATGATATGCTTAAATGAACAGCTATTTTTGATATAGTAAAAAATAAATATACACACGTAGTTCTATATAATTCAACAAAAAATAATTGCAAAGAAACAGCTAAATCATATATCACATGGTGCAAATATCAATAAAAAAGGAACAACAGCCCTTCATGTTGCAGTAATTAAGAATTGCAAAGAAACAGTTGGACTCCTTCATTCATATGATGCAAAAGTCTGATTATCCTACAGATGTATAAATAGTTATGAGATTAAGCGAAAATATATTGTTCTAATAGATGAGTGTGGAGATTCAATATATGTGAAGAGGGATATGTGAGAGGAAATATGTAAATTTAATAAAATATGCGATGAGAGAAAAAATAACAATGATTTATATGAAATATATGAGTATTGAAAAAGCCTGATTAGTGATTTCATGTCTGTAAAAGGAATAGATATTCTATGAGAAAGATGAAACGAATTAAAGAAGTAGAAAAAAAATTTAATTAAGATTGAAAAAAAATTGGAGTTTATGCAAATTTAAATAAGAAATATATTGCTTTTGGCATGAAGATGTCATTCTGGGAGACATTGCCTGTGCATGTATCCCAGAATGGAACAATCTTTTGCAATCAGAATGTGATTGCAAAACTTTGACCGACAAGAGTGTATTGTGCACTCTTGTCGGTCGCAGTGTCTCATTCTGGGAGACATTGCCTGTGCATGTATCCCAGAATGATAGAAAGTTCCGCATTCATAACTTGAATGTGGAACTTTGACCGACAAGAGTGTATTGTGCACTCTTGTCGGTCGCAGTGTCTCATTCTGGGAGACATTGCCTGTGCATGTATCCCAGAATGATAGAAAGTTCCGCATTCATAACTTGAATGTGGAACTTTGACCGACAAGAGTGTATTGTGCATCCACCTTTGTCAATTAACTATGTTTTATAGAGACATCCCCTCACACATATTTTTTCTAATATAATTTTACCTTTTTAATATTTATTTTTTATTTTTTGTGCTTTATATAACTTATGGTGTGTACCGAACTATCTTACAGACTCTACTGAGCTATTTCCACATATAAACATGTGACAATAACGCATACATACTCCCTTCGTATTCTGATCTCATGACATATTATCGCAAAAACTATATTTATACAACACATCTCATAAAGTCTCATTTTAGCCCTATCTAAGCGTTCAAAACCTATTTTCCCCGCGTAATCTGATTCTTCAGGCTCCGCTGATTCGATTTCTGCTGTCAGATCGTGAAAATATGCATCACATAACAAGATAAATCCAAATTACTTAACTTAATATTTTCCTTAAAATTTCGCTTCACGTTCATGCTCAAACAAAATCATTTTTGAAAAATCCAAATTTTTCAAAAAATGTATGAATTCAAAAGTTTTGATCATATCGAGTCATTACCCAATATTAATATTGTATTTTAGTTTTTGAGTTATTCATTTTATTATACGTATTATTCAGAAAATTAAATATATTTATGAAGGGAAACGGAAGATATAATAAATATTCCCATAGCGAGGAATAGGAAATTTTAAGGAAAATATTAAGTTAAGTAATTTGGGTTTATCTTGTTATGTGATGCATATTTTCACGATCTGACAGCAGAAATCGAATCAGCGGAGCCTGAAGAATCAGATTACGCGGGGAAAATAGGTTTTGAACGCTTAGATAGGGCTAAAATGAGACTTTATGAGATGTGTTGTATAAATATAGTTTTTGCGATAATATGTCATGAGATCAGAATACGAAGGGAGTATGTATGCGTTATTGTCACATGTTTATATGTGGAAATAGCTCAGTAGAGTCTGTAAGATAGTTCGGTACACACCATAAGTTATATAAAGCACAAAAAATAAAAAATAAATATTAAAAAGGTAAAATTATATTAGAAAAAATATGTGTGAGGGGATGTCTCTATAAAACATAGTTAATTGACAAAGGTGGATGCACAATACACTCTTGTCGGTCAAAGTTCCACATTCAAGTTATGAATGCGGAACTTTCTATCATTCTGGGATACATGCACAGGCAATGTCTCCCAGAATGAGACACTGCGACCGACAAGAGTGCACAATACACTCTTGTCGGTCAAAGTTCCACATTCAAGTTATGAATGCGGAACTTTCTATCATTCTGGGATACATGCACAGGCAATGTCTCCCAGAATGAGACACTGCGACCGACAAGAGTGCACAATACACTCTTGTCGGTCAAAGTTTTGCAATCACATTCTGATTGCAAAAGATTGTTCCATTCTGGGATACATGCACAGGCAATGTCTCCCAGAATGAGACACTGCGACCGACAAGAGTGCACAATACACTCTTGTCGGTCAAAGTTCCACATTCAAGTTATGAATGCGGAACTTTCTATCATTCTGGGAGACCTCGAAAAGAACCTCACATCGACTCTCTCTTTCCGGCATCTTTACCGCATAGAAAGCTGCTCGTTCGCAACTTTGTGTGCAATCTAAGAGATGATTGCGGTAAAGATGCCGGGAAGATTGACGCTGCAGCCCCAGGCCGCACTCAGATTTCATCCCGCTACACAATTGTTCATCCAACAACTGTCATAGAGGTTGAAATTTTCGACCAGAAGTGAAACATATCATTTTTAAGACTGCGGCGCGCAAGCAAGTTTGAACCTTTCAAGGGTGATCAGTCCTTTACTCATTTCAAGACCTCTTGTTGCCTGATAAAACGATACTTCCTTCCTTGTGAGCCATTAAAAACCGCTCAAACCGTCACAACTTGCTTCCTAAATTTTATTTGCGGAGTAATTATCATGCATATTTTATCGGATAATAATATCAAAAGCTAAATTTCATATTATTTTTTAAAGATATGCATTTTCTGTCTAAATTTATTTTTTCTGTTTCCAATTCACGGAATAATATTCTTACAAGCATATCATAGCTAATATATATCATTTTAATAATAATAAAACCAAAATGATGTATTCTTCATATAGTTATTTAAAATTCGTTAACTAGAATTGTATTCAGAACGAGGCAAAGTTAGGAGATACATAAAAACCAATAACTTGATAAGTGATACCTTTTTTCCTGATATATCTATATGTGTTAATGTCAAACACGATTTGGAAAAATTAATTCTTTAAATCGGCTTAAGAATAAGACCAACATCAAAGCATGGCTAATAAATTAATAAATCAATGTTTAATTACCGATTCATGCATTTTTTTCAAAATTTCAAATTTCAAATTTTTGTTTCTCCAAAATATTAATTGTTTCCACTAGATTAACAAATAAACAATAAATTGGAATAATGTAATGCCCAATCATTCATTTTAAATTTTAGATTTAAAACAATATTTTTCTCCATATTATTATAACATGAATCGCTATGATATAAGAAATATATTTTCAATATTGAAATTGAAAAATTCTAAAATTTTTGAAATTCAATTTGAGTGTGATGAGATAACATATATTTTTTAATTAAAATCTTGTGTCGCTATCATATATATAATATTTCTAAATTAAAATAGGGAAAAAAGTACTATTTAATGATGAAATTGCAAATAATATCAATATATATATATTCATGCTGATATATTTTGGGAACAGATTGGAAATCACATAAATAGGATTGTGTTAGTTTGTCATGGATATAAAACAAATTTTCGAGCTAATTGAGCGAATTTAAATCACAAACACTTATATTTTCTATTACAAGGTATATTTGTAATATATAACCAGTAAATAGCTTTCTCTAACTTTTACCAGCTTAGATGATAGCAAATTAGATACGAATTTCATGACCCCTCACCAAATTCCATTAAAACATATACAAATAAAAGTACTAAGTGGGTATCATCTAACCCTAGAATTATAGCTCCTAGGACTCATCCTAGATGGTAGTTCTGGAAAAACACCTGGTTTTTGGAGTTGCAAAAGTTAAAAATTGAGGGTAGTTCTAAAAGTAAAGGTGTAATTTTACGCGCTAAAATAAACTTTAATTAAAATCTCATTATTTCAATAGGTTTTACTTACTTATTAAATTTCAAGCATGATTTTCAATAGAAATTATTACCCAAAACGATGTTTAAAATAGATTTAATGAATAATTAAAATGAGCAATGTTTAACTCTTTAAACATATCTATATTCAGTATAAAATTTAAATACATTAATGTAGTTTCTTAAATTTCCAAACGAATATAAGGTCTCCGAGGCTTCAGATCTGGGTTGGATGAAAGTTGAAGACATATAACGATATAATAAAAGAGAGTAAAACATTCATATATCAAATAGTTAATGAAATATCTGGATTCACTCATAACTTGAAAAAGAACTTCAAAGATATGCATAACTGACAAAGCTGCTATTATGGAGAAAAATTCGTCATTATCTTTATCGTAGTGGCAGCAAAAAAAAGTACAAAAATTAAATTTGTAAATGGTAAAAGCATAGATATTATTAAAGCATTTTCAGAATATCCATCAAAAGCTGCGAAAATATTTTCACGTCGAAAATTATATAACAATTCATAACTTGAAAACAAAGCCATCAATAATCCAGTTGAAATATGATTAAACGTTTCAAAATAAATGCAATATTTTCCAAGATGTTTTATTTGATATAAAAAAATATAGAAAAGTATTGAGGAAGTTGTCTTTAAAAACGACATCATAGCAAGCAAATCACAACCATTTAAAAGAAAACCAATACTACATATAAAATGGATGTATGCCAATATTAAATATAATATTTTAGTTTTTTCTAATCTTGAATCGATAGAGTCACCAGAATTTTTGATCACATACGAATAGTTGATATATGACTTATTACAATTCCTTATTACTGGATGAATTGTTTGCGTTTTATTGAAATTTATCATCAAACTGTAAAAAGTGTTATTGTCAGGTATGAATCTGGAAGAGATTTGTTTCTTTTTATAGCATATTTTATAAAAATTTTTTTGAGAATCATAATCAACTAAGTTAATAATTGTTTCTTTTAAAAAATCCCCCGAAAGATTGATTTCTAGAGTTGTTCCATTCCATACACCAAAATCAAGTAGATATTGCATTTTGTCTGATGGCATAAGCACGCCTGAATGCAACATCCTATCTGTGGCAATATGATTAATCAGCATTTTCTTTTCTGAACTTGACAAATCGCTATTGAATAAATACTTGCTTCCTGTTTTTGCTTTTACTTTCATTATAATGTTTAGTATCATTATTTTATTTCATAACATTGATATGTCAAATTACAACATTTTTATCATAATTACAACATCTTAAACAGTAACCATATAAATATTTGATTACTAATACCTTAATTAAATAATGTTTGAGAGCTAGAAAACCTTCAACAGTCTACAAATTCTAAATTTCTTTGTAATGAATTGCAATAACTAACTTTTTCAAATGAACGAAATTCTGATAGGTGAGATTCATTAATAAGGTCTCTACTCAACATTTCACCTCTAGTTTTAAAAATAATTAACAGAGAATGTATTATGAACTTTGCTTTATTCATTGAGATAGAAGAATGTTAACCGCCCAATTAACACTCCCAAATTATAAAGTTCAAAATCTAACATTCCATCAATCTCATAGATGAATGCTCTATAATAGAAGTGTGATCACTAGAGAAACTTGGATTTTCCTTCATAAAAAAGTGTCGTTTCTCTAATTTCAAATCATGTATATTATATGAAGAGCGTTGCATTTGAACTCATTCAAACCTATTTTTTCAAATTTTCTTCAAAAATATTAATGGAAGAACCAAGATTCAACATTGGGTTACAGATTCTGATGATTCTATCAATATTTTCATCATTTAGTGCATTAATTTATTGTAGATCGCGTGATTCTGTAGTTTTGGGCTGCTTCAACTATGATAGACCGATTTCCGAAAGTAAATTTAAAGATGAACTTCACTTGATGATTATGAAATCCACAGTAAACGATAACACAAATCGTCGTGATATTGTTTTATTTGTAACAAATGCCGGTATGATTAAACTAACTCGAAATGCATTATGCTCTTTATGGATGACCAATGTACCAAAGGAAAGAATCATTGTTGTAGCAACAGATAAGATATCATACTTAAATATGCAAAAATTCGGCGCAAATACAGTATATTATCCTACAAATCAAGCAATCAATTCAATTGATCCATCAGATACAAACGAATTTGTTGATTTCATACGAGTTAAATTCAAAATTGCAAAGTTCGTAATACATAACACAACAGATTTATCATTAGCAGATTCAGACATTATCTTTTTCGCAAATCCTTTAGTTGCTTTTTCTTTTGATACAGATATTGAAGCATCAATCGATTCTCCTAATGATCCAGTCATACCAAAGAAAAGTTATTTATCTTGGGGAATTAATCTGAATTTTGCACATTATCGCTCTACTTCTGTAATGAAGAAATTCATGAATGTATGGGAAGATAGAATTGATCAACTCGAATATACAGAATCTCAAGCTCTTCTTGATATAATAAATAATCTTCCGACAGAACGTTCATTTACCGATACTCTTACTATTAATCTTGAACAATATTTCGAGCCCGATCCACACAATCCATTCCAAATCAGATACGTCAATCCTGTGTTTGGAGTTGAAGCTAGAGGACCATTGATGGGATCTTCCACATTGAAGAGAGTTTTTTGGAAGGAAGCTCGCAAACACAATATGTCCAGGCCACTCTGGTGCCATTTCGGAGGTCTTGGAACAGCTCAACAAAAAATTTCAAAAATGAAAGATTACAAACTATGGTATTTAGATGAATCAGACCATTGTTTGCCAAATCCTCCAAAAGGAGGTCGAAAATACTTTTGGTAATATATTTTATATAATACAATTGTTGTTGTTTTATAAATTGTACTGTTTATTGAAAGAGGTGTTAAAAGTGTATGATTTTTATAACATGAACTAAATTAGATTCACTGCAAACTTTGCTCTTTATATTGGAGCATTGTAGTACTAAAATCAAGAAGATTCCAAATTTTCAGATGAGGTCATTAGAAGAAATGGAACCAAATTATTGTAGATTAGGTCAATAAATTTACACCTTTCCGACGTTTTGTCAGGGGCAAAAAGCGACCCAAAAATGCTGGAAAAGTGTAATTCTCTGGTATATGATTATTTTTGCTTTTAATGCCGAACAGCATTTGAATCAAAAATAATCGAATGTCTGAGAATTTAAATTCAGCAAAGCTATTTAGGGATGGGCAAAAACACACTCAAATTAATGAGTGATTAATGAAACTAAGACTAGTAAATACTTTGTTTAACATTCATCTTTTTTCCAGACTTTGATATGATAGTGAAAATTGAGAACTTATGTAATAAATGAGGGGAAAAATTGGGCAAATAATTTCAAATCTAGTGATATCAGATACTTTCCCAGAATGTGAAAATAGGAAAGTATACTCCATTATGAATGGTAGATGAGTCCTGAATCATCAGTTCGCATGAAATTAAGGTTTTCACTCCATTATTATATTGTTAAGTTCTCTTGTCACTTTTATATCGGATTTTTTTGTACGTTACTTTAAAAATCAAGGCAATGTATGCATCTGGAAAAGTTCAATCAAGAGAATTAACTATTGGGCGATTCGCAAAAACAGAACCAATATATAAACCTCGTGAAGTCAAATTTAATGGTTCTGAACTCAGTAATTACGTTCCACGAAATCAATACGCAACCAACAATATTTATATAAATCCAGATGTTACAAAAGAAGGACAGGAGAAATTATCTCAAAAATTACATAGCGAAATTGAAAAAGAAGAAGAATTAACTCAGGCTTTCTTAACACGTGAACACCATCACAAGAAAGATCCTGCAAATGATAATGCAAAGATATTTAATGATTTCTGTGTTGATTTTATTGATAAAGCTACAACAACAAGGGAGGATGTATCAATGTCAATTAACCAAGTGCAAGATAGGCTTGCTAGATTAGAGGAAATGAGAGCCCACTTGGAAGAAATAGAACGAAGGTCTTATCGATTCGAAATGAATCTTCCTGAAGAACCAATCTCAGAAACCGACTCAGTAATTAGTACAGATTAAACTAAGAAATAGAAGAAATCGAATCATGATTCAATTTCTTTATTAGTTCTGTTATAATTTTTTATTGCTTAATAATTATGAAAATTATAAGCATTAATACAATGAAATATCTCAAAACTTAATAACTTTAGCATTTATGGCTTTGAACTTGTAATAAATATATCCTGTTTTGAATTCTCAAAAATTAATTATATAAAATGTTTTTGTTGTTAGGTTTAAATCTAAGAGGGCATAATATCATGTGTAATAAAAATTCTTGCCATAGCATTAAAGCTGAATGAGCACCATTGAAACGCCATAGTGATTTATAATATAGTATAACTTATTCCCGACCAAAAATATTAACTTTTTGTCTTAGAAAATTGGATTATAAAGCTTGAATGTAAAAAAATTGAGAGAATGTCAGAAAGTGGTAAGTACGCCCTTAAAGGAAATTTTAACAAATAAACAAAGCAGCAATAATCTTTTCATCAATGCCAATCCGTATTTTCTTCTTCGATTTTGTCTTATTCTAATACAAAGTGTTTCACATTGCTTCAATATACTCAAAATAAATTACATTTCAGTTATTATAATTCGAGATTTCGCGCTGAACATATTCGTCCCAAAGTGATGTTTGAACAGTAGATGAATTTAATTTGAAGCTAAATAAAGGATCTTTGAAATCTGCTTCATTATAAGTCTTTGGATCCACGAGTAAATTGAAGAAATTTACCCATCGACCACAATTTCTGAGATCTTTTCTACTAATTTTTGTTGAATGCACAGATACAGCATCCATCAATTGTGGGAGAATAATGTCAAAAGAATCAGCTGTGTAGCCAATTTGTTTTAATTTCTTGATTTGTGCATCGTAAAGCGCTTCCATTTCGCTAATAGATATAAAACCATCTTCATCTGAATCACAAACTCTAAACCAGAAGTTCAAGGCCCCAATTGAAGCCTTATCTTCTAAAAATGTGACAAATTTAACAAATGTAAAGAAATAAATGTTATCAGTAGTACTAGATAAGATCCTGAGGCATCGTTTCATTATATCTGAATCAATTCTTTGGCAATCATAATTTAATATTTCCTTAAATGTGATAAAATCTGCTGGTTGAGCCTGAAGCTCTTTGAACTTTGTGTAAATCACAATAAAATGTTCAAATATTGCACAATTATCAAGAGCTTTCAGAAAGAGATCGAGAGTGATATTTCTTCGCTCCAGTCGGTTATGAAGCTCTGGGTCGAAAACTATCTCGATCTTTGAACAAATGTAAATGGCGAAATCGGTCAATAAATTAATTTTAGCTTCTTTTGTTCTATATCCTTGATTTTCTAGATCAAGTGATGCAAATTTATCGCTAGTGGTAACATACCGATAGATTATTTTGAGTAAGCATTGTGTTTTACAATATTTTGAACTGAAATTTTCGGATAATATATAGAAAAATAGATCATCAATTGTTGAATTGGAGAAATTATCGGACATAAAGTTGATTGCATCTTGAAATTTTATTGTTTTTGTTTTCTTCTTGTAGGTATTTTTTGAAATTAATGCAAATAATGATATACTGACAAAATCAGGTAAGAAAAAGCATGTTTTAAATATTTCTGCAAACTGTTTTGAAGTAATCTCATTTGGATAGCCGTTTAATTTTGCGAGAGATTTGTGAATATTTGTTGTAAGAAGAGGTTTTGCAAATGGATTTGCTGATTTTTGTGATAACTTGGCTATTTCCTTTGCTTCTGCATATCGTTTTCCTGGCGTTAAAAAAAGTTGCATGAATTTCGAATAATCTGTGGATTTGGACTCAAGAAACGCTTTCAAATATGCAAAATCGGTTGATAGATCATCACTTGAAATCCAGAGTTGAAAATCAGCATCAGACGATCTTTGTTTAATCATCTGATAACTTGGAATCAAATTTTATGAATGAAAAATTGAAATACAAGTATGAAACAATCTTACATATATACAGAGTAACTGAATTATTTGCTATTCAGTAAACAAATATGAAGTTTTGAGATATTTTTGAATATCAAAAACAAATTGTTTCAAAATACTATTGCATTATGGACTAGATTTCAGACTTAATTGGGGTTTTATGTTCAATTTTTCAAAAATTAGGCAATATTGGAAAATTTTGAAAAAAAAAGAATAGTAATAGAAAGAAGTATTTACTACTATATTCAAAAACATAAATAAACAATGCTAATTGTTGTTCTTTTCTTGGATGACAACCACATCAAGAATAACTTGAGATAATTCATAGAAAAGAGATAAAATGAACAAGAATATCAAAGCTATAGCTGCGTATTCGCAATATGGAACGATATTTTGGATTTTATACGGACGGAGCATTGTAACAATGTTAAGTGTTAAACTTAATGCGAACATTGCGATGGATCCACTAATTGACAAGTAATTCTTCCATGTTTTAACTAAACGAGCAGAAATACATTCATAAACTAAAATGCATATTGTTAACAATAAAAGCGTAATGTTATGAACAAACCTATGATCAACAATTGTGAAACAGCCATAAAAAATGAATAAAATTGCATTGAAGATGGAGAAAAATCTAAGTAAGCGGTTAGTTAATTTAGAAACCCTTGAGGATAAATCTATATGCGATGTTCGAATTGTAAGCAATATGGAAAGGATGAAACCGCAAATTGGATAAAAAGTTGAAGTGAGATGAACTTGATATGAGCCAATGGATAACTCTGATGGCGACGGAATGTAGCCTATGTATCTTCCTTGTAAATAGTAGAATACACCATTTAATATGAAAAGCGCAGATAATAAAAACAAGATAAAAACAGCGACATATTCGATTTTCATTTTAATTGGTGCTGTACCTGGAGGTGTGGATCTAAGCATAACAAAAACAGAGCTCGATTCTACTTCTGAAATCAAGCTTTCCTGCAATGACATAATTTAAAAAAAAAATCATATCCAATTCAAATGTTTTTAATTTAAAAAATCTGTTAAAAATATTACATATTGTTAAAGGGTAATAATTGGAATTCATCACTTTTTGGCTTGATTGAATTTTTTCCCCCTTCCAAAAATAAAAGGAGAAAAAAAAATTATCAAAAAGAAAAGTCATGATTAGTGCTATTGCTTTAATAGATTCTACTGGAGAATTGATCGTTCTTAAAACGTATAGAAAAGATTTCAACCAATCAGCATTCGATAACTACAGATTAAGCGTTATTGCTCCTAACGAAATTACTTCGCCAATTGTTTTAATAGATGGAACGTCTTTTCTTCACCATGAAGAAAATGAGATATTTTATGTTGGATGCACTAAGCAAAATGCTGGTGCTGATGTTATTTTCGAACTTTTAAACCAAATTCCAAAAATTTTAGCAAAAGTTCTCAACGTTTCAGCCTTATCGGACAAAAATGTTCGAGATTATGTACCTGATATTGTTGAAATTTTCGATGAAATGATTGATTCTGGATATCCACAGTGCACTGAACCAGAAACATTAAAAATTCTTACAGGCCATGCTTCACCCAATTCCACGCAACTTCCTAATCCAATTACATCGATGGCTACCGGCTCCACGCCATGGCGTCTCCCTAATATTTCGCATAATAAGCCAACAGTCATTGTTGACGTTACAGAAAAGGTTTCGCTCTTCCAGACTCCTACAGGACAAACTCTTAATCATTCCATTAACGGTGTTACAACAATGAATGCTGTTCTTTCTGGAATGTCTGAATGTAAAATTGAATTTAAGGACAAGCCATCGTCATCATCTGATAAAGGTGGCCAGGGTGGTATTGATTTCGATGATATCATTTTCCACCAGTGCGTTCGTTTAAACAGATTCCAAACAAACAAAGAAATCTCATTTATCCCTCCTGACGATAAATTCGAGTTAATGAGATACAAGAGGACCGAAAATGTCCAAGCTCCGTTTGAAATCGTTCCAACAGTTAAAGATCTCGGTGGAAATAAACTCGAAATCAGCATTTCGGTTACAGCAACATACAATTCGTCGCTAAAAGCTACTCATTTTACATTACATATCCCTCTTCCACAGAATACAGCTAACGTTACCTTCGAATGCGCCGAAAAGACCCGTGCTAAGTTTGATGAACTGAAAAATGCTGCTGTCTGGACGATTAATGACTTTGTCGGCCAAGGACATTCACAAATTGTAATTATTGCACAATATCTTTCCGCATCTTACAAATCTTCACCGGCAACAAAGTTAAATAAGCCGATTTCAGCGGAATTCCATATTCCAAAGCTTTCTATGTCAGGATTGTCCATTCTCAACTTAAATGTGGATAAAGATAAACCAGATATCTATATCCGCTATGCAACTGAAGCTGGCAAGTTCCAGATTATGATGCCTTCACCTGATGAAACAGAGTAATTGAAGTTCTCGGATTTTTGTTGATAAAATATTATTCAATATTAAATCAATCGCTATAAGTCTTTCATTCAATTGTTATATGTTTAGAACCTGAACATTTTAAAAATCTTTGTTTATTATTATTCGCTTGACAAAAAAAATTGTGCTTTTTTTTTAATTAATTAATTAATTAAGGCTGCACTTACGCCCATCTGACTTTATTTCAAATTTTTGACCAGAATTGTTTGCAAGGCTGTCTACGATACAGAAATAATCGAAAGATTACTCTTCGAGGAATCCTGCAGAAAGATAGAACGTTTCCAAATGCAAGACTTGGCTTGTCCAAAAGACCATGTTGCTCATAGAAATATGCCAATGAGCTGCAAAGATGACGGTGGAAACCTCGGAAACACTGTCAACAAGGATGAGATAAAAGAATATCTTCATACTGTTGAAGTAGCAAATGAAGTCGGACTTGGAAGTTTGAGAGATACAATCTCTTATATATCGAATTTCACCAAGTAATTTAATATATTAAACTGTAATTTGAATAAATATATAAATATTGACTAACCTGATTATTCATCGATTTATCAATTGCCAATATAAATAAATTAATTTATTATTATTCGGTTTTTTTAAAAAAATCAATCTGACAGTGAAAAATTTTTAAATTTGTTGTCAATAATTTAGAATATTCCAAGATAGCGTGGTGGCAGTTTTCCTCTTTGGTGCGTGTTCAGTTTTTCCCTTAATTTATTCAATTCTTCTTTTAGAGATTCGTTATCTTGGCTAAGGTTTTTTATTTCTTCTTTTGATTTAGCCATGTTATATAATCATTATCTTTAATTGAGTTATTTAGTCTAAGCTTTCTTATCTCATCTATTGATTTTAATAATTCATCACCTTTAATTGATTCTTCTTTTCTAAGTTCTTCAATTTCTCTATGTAATGCTGTTAATTCATTTTTCATATTTGAGTTATCTAGGCTAAGATTTTTATTTGCTTGCCGCAGTTCTGTTAATTCATTATCAAGGGCCTGAATTTTATTTTCTTTTTCTTTTCTATTATCTATTAAAGTTTTGAAAAATGATATGATTGATGATTGTTCAGATGAGCTTTTGAGTAAATCATTAGCATCTCTAATTTCAATATATTCATCATTGAGATATGAAATGGTATCAATGAATACTGAATTTATATTTATCAGGGAGAATATGATATCATTTGAATTTTTATTTCTTTTTTTGAAATGCATCAATAACTGTTCTGCAAAATCTAATCCGGCCTCTACAATAGAACTTATTAGTTCATCATGATTGATTGAATCGATGTTTTCACATATGAAATCAAATATTTTTTCGCTGTATCCAATTTGTTTGGAATATTTAACGTTTATAAGTATGTTTTCTGAATTGTATTCACCGTTTTGAAATTTTTTCATAAAGAAAGACATCAATGATTCACTTTCCATTACTTTTCCAAGATTCAAAAGGTCACAAGCAATATTATCTTCGACATTCTCTGGAATTTGTAATTTAAATATCTTTTCAAGTACATCATATATATTATTTTCTGTTATGTTTGCATAGAATCTAAATTCTTTCGTTGATCGATTTAAATAAATTTCATTATGAATTGTATTGCAAATTGCCATTCCAATATAAAGATTTGTATTATACTCATGATCATTGATGTATATATTAATAGAATGAGGATCATACGATTGCAATGATTGATATACTTTACCTATGATGTTACTCATTTTGAATTTTTATCGATTATATCGGCGCGAATTGCCGATAAAATGAAGAACCTTCAGTGAATTTAAGGATCTCGTTTGGAGAAATAACAACTGGGATCTCCAAATTCCAAAATATAAGCTTCTCCAATTTTGTAAATTAAGGGACCACTGCAAAAACTGAGAGACTCAGAAAAATTGAGAGGCAATATGAGATTTATTGTTTTCGCCTCAATTATAAATACTTATTTTGCTACTCATCAGATTGATATTTTTCAATTCTCGTCAATATACACACCTTTTGGTATGATACCTTAGCACCATGTTATTTCGAATTAAAGGGAAATCTTGAAATGGGTGAGTTTTGAGATGATTTGCATTTTTCGATTTTTTTTATGTTTTCGAAGCGTGTTTTAAAAATTCACGATTTTCCGATTTTAAAAGTGGATTGATCAAAAGTTTTTATTGGCCAATATTTTGATATTAATTAAAATAAGGGTTTCGTTTTGCGAAAAAAACGTACAATACGCAATTTCGCTAAAAAACATTTAGCTAGCAATTTCGACCTTTGACTCCACTCAAGACGTCACTTTTTTAATTTTGCGGTATCATATTTTTGGAAAATCTTTATGAATATTATATAAAAAGTCTCTTTAATATCTATATTTCATATTTTTATCGATTTTTAAAGTTTTTGCGAAAAGTATTCAATTATTTTTGCTATTTGGTCGGGTAAATGTCAGATTTGCGACATTTTCTGATATGATATTCAAATTCTACGTTGATAATAATGCTTATAGAACCCTCTTGCTATTGTGTCAAAATTGCGAAACCGATAGCAAAAATATCTCGCAATATCAAAATTGAGATATTGAGTGAATTATGCATTATAGAGATTAAAAATCTGATTTGTGAAAACATCTCATCAGTTTCTAGCTAATTCAAAAATCTTTACTATCTTATTCGATTAAAATGAAAAGGGAATAGTTTCATTATGCTTTAAATGACAGCCTTATAATATAATCATAGTTTTCGCTCAATATGCAGCATTTTTTTCGAAATCTATGGTCAATATCCTAAATACTGATTGCTTTGCATTCATATCTCTTACATTTTCTATACTCACATCACTATTCATTGCTATTCCTATCTTTTTCATTTTTGTTTGTTTCTCATAATTTCTCAAAAAACATGATAACTTGATATTTGTAAATATCATACTTTATAACGTAAATAAGAACTTGACCTATTAAGAAAAGCAGTAATGAAAAGAAAATCTGAAATTCATAAAAATTACAAGTTTCTGATGACAATTAGCTTAATTAAACCAGGTACAAGATTATATAATTGTATTTTCTATCCAATTATCCATATAATATCTTATCCAGAAAAAATAACTTGATCAATACCAAATGATTTTTTAACTAGTAAATAAAGTATTTTCTTTACACACACATTGTATATCATAGTTTTTTTTTGGTTTCGCAAAACATCCCAAAACAAATATGCTATAAAAGTGACAATTTTAGCAAAACGAAACCATTAATTAAAATCTAATATCTGTGAATTTTATTGCAAATTAAATTGAGAGAAAAGTCATTATTTTCCATCATGTAAACCTCGATGTTACTTTTGCGGCCTCGCTCCGCTCGGCCGCAAAAGTAACATCGAGGTTTACATGGATGGGTTCTATATATATACAGCTTGACCGGTAGAAAAGCGGATCGATTTTTATCAATAATTGGACATTCTATTTTTAATAAAATAAACATATATTTATATGGGAAATTAGGGAGATCTGAAACTCAAAAATTATTTTTGAATTTTAATATGATAAATATAATTGTGATAATATGTACATTACAAATAAAATATTAATTCGGAACAACGATGAGATGTGATAAATTTGATTCTCTCAAAAATCGATTTTGGAGTTTTAATATTAATTTGCATCTTGAATGGATATAGGATATATAATAATTTTAAAACATCAAAAAGTGACAATTTGCGGTTAGAAAAAGTCATCAAAACACTTTTTAATGATTTGATTTAACATATGCATAGACCATCTCTTAGATATTTAACTTCAATTTCCCGAAATGAAAAGGATTTGAACAAAAACGATTATTTTACGATCATTTTTTGTAAATTTTTTTAAATTGAGACTTCTCTAAAATCTTCTAAAAAATCCAAATATCAAATAAAATAATATTATTAAAATTCCTCTCAATTTAAAAAAATTTTATAAATTGAGACTTCAATCTCTAAAATCTTCTAAAAAATCCATATATCACAAAAACTCACAATATTATTTTTATTCTCAATTTCAAAATTTTTTTTTGTACTGACTTTCTTTTTGCCTAACAGCAAGGCAGAAATTTGAAACTTCGTTTCAAATTTCTCAATCTTGCATTCTGGGCACGTAAGTGCCCAGAATGCTAAAAGGCGCGTAGCGCCGTCTCTGAATATCAAATTTATTATAATTATTAATTTATGAAATTTCAAATAAAATCGATCTGTTATAACACACTGGTGCATGCAGCTCGTCTTTACTCTTATATATTCTACAATCATAACAAAAATCTCATACAAAATAAATGAATAACAGAAATTTTGAAGTTCTAAGTGAATGAAATGGTCATATATGATGAATATAGGCAGTTGGCAGCTATTATAAATGATAAATTTCCAATTTTATTGTTAATAATTTTAATATTTAATATGAAAAGAGAATTTGAATGCTGATAATAAGGGAATTTGACAAGCATCTTGTAGGGATTCAAATACCCCTAACTTAATTTTTTCGAGTTTATTGAATTTTTAGCCTTAGTAAACATCAACTTGTTGAAGATTTTTAAAAGACGATAGGTCTTGTTTGGCCGTGCAGTGGTCCCTTAAAAAAAAATAATGAATTATGTCTGATAATTTTAGCCAACTATTCACACATAAAGCTGGAAATTGGCAACTTTGATCCAAAATATCATTGTTGATATGAAATCCAAACCTCAATAAGATAAAATATACTTTTTAAAATATGGAAAAGGGAAAAAATAGACCATAAAACAAATATGCTTATAACTGTGATAAGTTTATGTCATAAGTTTAAATTAGCCCAAATTGTTTAAGAATTGCCAAAAATTACGCATCCTTAAACATTTTCAAAGAAAAGAACGACAAAGATTTTTATCCTAGGAAAAAAATAACATATCTTTCTGTACGTTTTCTCAACAAGTTTGATTTTTTAGGATCTATGATAGAAGGAAATACAAAATATCAAATGATTCAAGCCTATAGATTAAATATAATTGATTGGATAATTTCAAATGAATTTTTTCATAAGGAATTTTGATACAGGTTGTATTCATGTAGCACATGATATAAATTATACAAAATTTCAATGTCCTTTCTTAATGGAAATGTATTGAACTTGATTACCCTCTATTTCCAGGAATTACCGTTTAAGGTTATTTTTTGCATCAAAAAAATTCAATTTTAGCATGATTGAAGTATTATTTTTAAAAAATAACAATAAAATATTAATTTATACAACAGTGTTATATATCCCTTACATTTTTGTGGCAAATGGAGAGGGTAACGGCGTCGAAATTGCATAATTTCAAATCTCCTTATCTCAACGAATACAAGAGGGATGGGACTGAAATTAGGCTATTTTAATAGGTATGAGGTATCAAACATTTTCACTGATGAAAAATTGAAAAAGCTGATTTCAGCTTTCTAATCATACCTTATATATGAGGTATCATATCAAAATACTGATATGTTATTACTTATGAGGCCACCTGAATGTTCTCACAATTTGTTTGTATAGATATAAAAATAATTATATTAAATTTAAATTAAGTCTTTTATTCCTAAAATGAATACTTTTTGACATTTTTAGAACTTTTATATTATGAAGTGAATAATACCAATTGTAGAAATGATAAGGATAAGAAATTGATTACTAAAACAATAGTATTTCAAAGTGTTATGATGTTTAATGTATTTACATAGATATGGATAAACGAAAAATATATTTTAATCGGAATAAATTGAAAAAGCTATTTCAATCTTTTGCAAGGAAAAGGCAAATGCACATGCATTTACTAAAAGAATGGAGTATTAATGATATAATCAACAAATCCTGCATTTATTTTGATAAATGTTCATTTTTTAAAATTTTGACGAGTTCAAGGTCTTGTTTCGGTTCGAATTCGTGAAAAATGAATATTTTCAAAATTTGATAAATGATATAATATAAGCATCCAAATAGAATGCATCCATTATACTTTTTATTGATTTATTTCTATTTTATTGGGATAATCAGATTTTCCTTTGAGTGTGAATGATATACTTTTGTCACAGCACCAAATCATATAAAATGTGCTGAATTTGTTTCCGCTGTTTATTTTCAATCTAATCTATTCTAATAGTAGTTTTCGTGCGTTCGAAGTTTCAACAAAAAAGTCTATGAATACTCAAAATAATTGATTTTTATATCATTAAATACTATTTTTAATGGAGAACAAAGCATATTTTAACGTCAGCCAGGAATTACCGTTTTACCAAAATTTTTGTTTTTGAGCAAAAATTTTATCATAAAAACACTCTTTATATCATAAAAATGCTATATTATAAAAATCAAAAATTTCAACTTGCAATCAAATCATATTAAATCTCATATCTCATATTTCCATACAAAGTCCAAAATCATAAAATTAAACATCTTTTCTATCATATCCTCTTTTAAAAAGCTTTGAAAATGTCTATATATGTCGATATATAGAAACTTTTTTAGAAGGTGGAAAAAAGTGACGGTAATTCCTGGAAATAGAGGTATTTTATGCAAAATGCCAAATTTTGTACAGTAATGTTCCTATCGTAGAACCTGCTATAACTACTTCGGACTGACTATGTGTAAATGATATTTAGCAAGTTAACTCCGATATTTCTGTAATTTTTCAAAATTTCAGTAAATAATCTCTGAGCCGATATTCATTAAAAATGATGCTGGAAGAATCCTACTGTAAAAAATATATTGCGATTGTGTAAAAAAATCCCGATCTCAAAAGAAACATTTTTTTCTATCCCGAACGTATAAAAGATTATGAAATTGAATGAACGATGAAAACAAACTTAGAAACATATTCCATCTGATATTGTACAAGCCAATTGTTCAACGGTTATCAAAATGTAAACCGCTACAGTTCGCAAAATTTTTAGCGGTAAAGAAAAAAATTGAGAACCCTAATTTCAAATCGTCCAAACATAATAAAATGATTTTAAAAGAAAATGTTAGATATTTGTTAGTATGAATTTTTAAATTTCGTATCACTTTTTCATGCTTAACATTACTGAATTTGATTTGGATGATCAGGCGATATGTCAACCGTACTGGATTCGTCGTTGCACACGGAAAAGTACGAATGAGCAACTGTTTGTTGAAAAGTTTTCCCTTTTACAGCATTATACTTCGGAAATTTTACGTTTCCTTTCGACTATAATCAAATTGCAAAAGATAAAAATCGAAAATTTCATCAATGTTGTTGGTTTCGGCATTGAAGGTCTCGATATTTATATATTTTACGAAAATGATGATTTGTCCGAGGTGAATTACACAAATTTAAACGATAACGAGAAAAGGAAATTATTAGACGATGTTGCTAATGCACTTTCTGTGCTAAATAAATACGAAATTCCGCATTTAGCGATTAAAAAACAGCTTATTTTTAAGGATAAGTCAAATAACTACAGAATTGGATTCATATGTCCATCACCTCATGATACAATCGATCCTGATGATGATATAAACCCACTATTCGATAATCATTTAATCTTACATGATATCTTCTTATATGGACTTCTTTCAGCAGAATTATTATACAACAATAACCGCCATGATATATTAGAAAGAATTTGGAATCTGAAAAGCCCACTTACCGTTCAAGATAATTTCATCGAAAGATGTCTTAACCTTTCAGCTGATCAGAGGCCATCGTTTAACGAGATAGCACATTTGAAAAATACTTATCCAGATGAAATACCTTACAATCCAAGCGAACTATTCGAAATTATCAAAGATATCAAACCAATTGCGGGTTCATGCTACTTGACAGGCTATGGAACCGAAAAAGATGAACAGAAAGCTAAGGATACCTTTATGTCTTCAGAAGATCCAATATCTCTTAATGATATGGCAAAATTAATTATTGAAACCGACCGCGACTTAGCTTTGAAGTATCTACTTAAATCTACTGAATACAACTTCTCAGTTGCCCTCAAGAATGCCGGTGCACTTTTCGTTCAAGACCAACATATCAAAGAAGGAATTCATTTACTGATCAGATCCGCAGATCTTGGCTTCCATGATGCTTATCTGATTCTCGCTGACACATTTGTTCGTTTTAATGGCAATTTGGCCTTTAAATACATCTCTAAAGCCGCTAAAAGAGGAGATACACGCGCTTTAGTGAACCTTGGCCTTTATTACGAACACGCCTGGGGCTGCAAACAAGATTTCCGCATGATGGCCGGTCTTTGGGTTCTTGCCGCCAAGATCGGAAGCGAACAAGCTCTTAATAACATCGGAGTTCACATTTCGAACCGCGAAACATCGATGAAACTTTGGTCGAATCTAAAAGATCCTGTTGCCTTCTTCAATATCGGAAATATCCTTCTCAAGAGAGGAGAGGAATCACGAGAGCAAGGAATGATGATGATGAAGAGCTCCGCAGAAGCTGGTTACATACCAGCAATGTTTAACATGGCCGTTCTTCTCAAAGAAGAAAATCCGGAAGAAGCTGATAGATGGTGTACAATGGCTTCTCAGGCAAAGGCCAACGAGCTTGTAATGGAGGCAAGAATGAAGGAAATTGCTTCAATTGCTGCTAGTTCATTGTGAGTTTTTTTAAAAAAATAAAATGCTTATTTTTTCTAATAGATTTATTTAATTTTATTACATTTTTATAATATTTCCTTGTGATTTTGTTACAATACTTTGTTCTTGCAGCTTCAAACGAACAAAATTTTATTCTAATCTGATACTCATTTATTTTGTTCTTATTATTGGATCTATAAGTTTAAATTTAATTATTTGGATACATAGTAACAAAATGGCGTTGTTCTCATGTACTATCGGATCATCGATAAAAAAATACGAGCTTGACACTTATTCCTTTAAATAATGTATCCATATGTCTAGGTTTAAATAAGTCCAATCTTAGAATTAGTATTTTAAAATGAGTTTATGTGTTCAAGCGTCAAATAAATGCTACCAGTGTTTCTTCTATTAGTAATCAGTCTCATAACTTTATAAAATAATGATGTATTATTTCAGAAGATAAATAAACCTGATAACTTATTTTATAAAATCATCTGCTAATATTGCTCAATAAAGATGATTGGATAGGTAACTTGGTCATGTTATTTGTTATCTTAGATTTTCTAGCCAAATCATGTCCTGGAATCATAATCAAGCTTGAATTTAATAATATTTCTTAATCAAAGTAGGATATGTTACACCTGGTACGATACTTACTCTGCATGCATTAGTCTTTCCTCAATTATAAAAAAGTGATAAATTCTCAATTTTGTTCAAAATTATTCAAAAATATTCAACATGTAAAACCCCTGATATGTATAAAATGTATTGGGAATATTTATGGTTGTAAAATCCATGATTCTGTTCATAAATTTATCAGCAAAAGTGACGAATTTAAATGCGAAAATCCTCTCTTGAGGAACGTTCGCGTGAGCTGCTGCCATTTTTCAATAATGAGTGTAATATCAAAAATACATTTTGCAAAGTGCAACGTATTATCTGGGAAATAACGATATTCCCCCACAGATTTAAAAACATATTTTCTTGCAGCCACTGCCAGAAAAAGACACAAAACCTTGGAGTATGTCTATCATGTGGGTGTATTTATTGTAAAGATGATATATTTGACCACGAATGTCGACTTCATTTTGGAGTTGATATTTCAACTCATCAATTATATAAATACGAAAACAAGCAACGCAATTTCCTGTTTCATCCAAAAATAGACCATTTAATACTAGCAGCTAAGTTTTCTGTCTTAGATAATCTACCCTTGACTTCAGAGATAAGCTACGGCTTACCAATTCTACCATTTCCACGAGATCCTCTGCCTATATATCCATACAGAGATTTCAGATCAATCGCTTCTGTGCTTCAATGTATGTTAAATGACCAAGTTTTTGCCAAGTATTTCCTGTCATATTCAGTATCAAGCAAAAACTGTACGACAGTGCAGCAAGCACTACATTTATGCCTATCGAAGATATTTCAGAATTATATGAACGAAATTCAAATTCCATTTTTAGAATTTCTTGCAGTTGTAACAAATTTACAAAGTTTTGCTGAACAAAAATGTAATATGCCAAATAAATTTTACGACCTGATAATCAAAAACCTGAAAAAGTCTACAAATCTAATCAATTTAATGGATCTTGTTGGAATCAAGATCGGCGAGCATTTTCAATGTGATGCTTGTAAATCAATTAATGAAGGAACAGATGATTTGATCATTTTAGAAGCAGAAGTACAGCCGATCTTAAATACAATCACATCTGGCTCGAGATCCAATAAAATCTGTCCGATATGTAAAGCACCTATGAACGGAATCATGAAATACATAGATTTTCCTCCAACTTTTGTTGTTTCCACTTCAGATAGGATTATTCAGCCCCTTAGCATCAGAATAGAATCTGTTGATAAGGATTATGTCCTCAAATCATTTGTTGCAAGGGAAGATGATAAATATTATTCAGTTGTTCAAAAATTCGGAAGATGGTTCAAGATAAATGAATTTGTTCAAGAAATTCCACTAGATTACGTTCAAAGTATTCATCCTATTTTGTTATTTTATTCTCAAAAGTACAATTTGTGATAAAGATAATATTGTTATTTTTAATTTAAATTTTCAATCGTATTTTAGTGAGCCAATAGCATAACTTGCACCAAAGGTAAGTCTTTTGCAAACGAATTGAGATACTAACCAAAATCTCTTATCAATTTTTTCATAATATGTTTAATATAGTTTCGGAATCTCATTTTCGTATCAGAGTTATCATAGGGAGTAGATTCCATTAGAAACAACTCACCAATGAAATTGCATATTTTTTTGATTCTCTTGTAACCATGTATATCATAAGCGTAAATCATCTTCATGACAGCATCTTAAATTTTATATATATCATGAAATCTTAACCTTAGCTGATATTGTCAACGATGAAGCAAACAAAAAAAAAGAGTAAATCGGAAATAACTATTGTAATAATACCTGCGTTTTGTATATTCGCTTCGATGGTCGCTTTACATCTTTTTTATATGCCAAAATACACCTGTTCAATCGATTTTGCACATAATTTGTCGACTTGGAGATTTAGTATTAATCAAGATATATACCTTCGAAGCGATTTGAACATAAAATACTTCAATGGAAGTCTCAACTGCAACCATTGCAACTTTACAGTCAGAAATTCTAAATCAAATAGCACACCTCGCGATTTAATTTTGGCCGGAAGCACAAAAAAAGTCGAAAATATCAATTTATTCTTGAGAACACTACGACATACAGGATGCAAGTGTACTGTTGCATTCCTTGTTGACAATGAAGCATACAAAACTTTAACATCAGAAATGATTAAAGACATCGAGCTCTGTGGCGGCCAAATCATCAACATGGGCATTCCAGAGTTCAATATGCGATTCAACTACTTTTATCTCATATATCTTTGGGATTATTACGTAGTGAAAAGAAATTATCATCGATTTGATCGAATTATGAAATGCGACATGTTCGACACATTATTCCAAGGTGATCCATTTAATGATGCTTTCAAACCTGGTAAATTCTACATGATAGAAGAGATGAAACCATTTCATAATCAATTGCAAATATATGATTATATTTTTTATGATCTTGGATTAAAACAAGGTTCTTTAGCCACTGTAGTGTGTGCAGGAATATCATTTGGTTATACTCAGCCATTTACAAGGGCTTTGGATACATTCTTTTCGTACTTTGTCTGGGATAAAGGATGGCATGATCAACACCTTTTCAATGTATTGTTTATGTCTGGTTTATTTATGAAAAATGGAGTTTCATTGGTTAGATATCGAATCTTCGAAACTGTCCGTCACATGTATGAATTTAGAAAAGATGATGAGATTGGTTATATAACAGGTATATATAATAATAAGATTTATGCTCAAGTTGTTCATCACGTTCATGTTGCTCCTAAACTTTTGGGAAGTATGCTTAAATACTGTCCAAATAATAACTCTGAACTATTGAACTACGTGACAAAATTCCGACCTGATAACTTAACAGCAACCTAGATAAAACTATGATTCATAAGATGTACCTACACTGTTCTTTTTTGATTCATAGTTTAATTTGTGACGAAGTAATGACAAAGATAAATATAATTTGTTACGAAGAAATGACTTTGTAAAATATAGTTTGTGACGAAGTAATGACAAAAATAAATATAATTTGTTACGAAGCAATGACAAAGATAAAACCAATCTGTGATTCATAAGATTAAGATGCACTCTACTTTTTGATTCACAGTTTAATTTGTGACGAAGTAATGACAAAGATAAATATAGTTTGTGACGAAGCAATGACTTTGTTTAAATATAGTTTGTGACGAAGTAATGACTTTGTATAAATATAATTTGTTACAAAGCAATGACAAAGATAAATATTGTTTGTGACTAAGTAATGACAAAGATGAAAATAATCTGGACCATTTTCACGAATTATTAGTAAACAAAAATCAGTACATTTTATATGTCCAGAAAAGTAAATGGAATCATTCTCAATAGTTAGATTTACTTGAGAATGATAATATAGCAAAACAAGCAAATAAAACCTTTGTTTGAAATAGTACTCTCATGGGAGCACTTGCATATCTCTGACATTCTCATAATTTTTTTGACACTCTCTAAACTTGTGAAGCTAATTTCACTGTAAAATAAACTAAATTTTCTTTTTTGATTTATTCTTTTTACAAATCGGAAAACGATCATTTTTTTCATATTTCATAACCGCCCAAAATTTGACTAAAAACTTAAAACGATGATAAAAATAAATTCAATTGAAATTTTATGAATCTCCCGAAATTAGAATTCCCTGATACATTTGATAAAATGATGAATGGATATGAGCAATACTACTCTATCTTTTATCATGAAATGATTCGAATGTCAAATGTTGCGCTAAACAGCTATATATCTCAATTTCTTGATCTTGTCATGGAATTGGCAAAATCATCTGACCCCAAAAATGCATATAGAGCCGCAGTCGGCATAGCATCACTTCATAAATTTGGATATAACGATTTTCAGAAGTTAATTATCATTTTAGAGCGTATAATTCCTCAAAGGGATATTGACTTAGTTAAGTTTACAAGCTGGTGTACTGGAGAACTTGTGAAACATCCAGGTACAGAGCAAGCAAAATATGTCGGACATTTGATGAATCGTATATTCGGGTGGTTGCATGCATATGGACGTAGAGAAAGATATCTTGCTGCCGCTTGGATGATTTATTATCTTACTCTTAATGCGCCAAGCTCTGTATCATCCTTTTTACCACAAATACAAGCTGCAACTTACATATTAATGACAAAACAATCATTTCGCATCATGGAAGCAACTGTTTTAGCATTAGCAGAAATTACTTCTGCAGTTGCTTCTTACAGAAGATCTGAAATTGATCATCATTTGAATTTTATACAAGAACTATGTTTAAATTTCCTTGAAATGCCAGATTCATTAAAACAAGCCCCATCATTACGATTACTTACAAAGACAGCAGAAATTTATCCGGATTATTTCATTCCAAACACGCAAGGCATCATGCAAGTGCTTTGTGAGAACCTAACTCAATGTTCTTCATTAGTCAGAATGCACGCAATTGAATTACAAACACAATTATTTATTATTGATACAACTTTAATCGATCTCTTTGGAATAGACGAGTATTTACAAGATATGCAGCTTATATTACTTGATTTCCCTACGGAATGTGCTCAATGTATCGTTAAATTGATCCGAAATCTTCCAAATTTCATTGACGAAAACAAAGACAGCGTTGTAAAGATGACAGAAGATCTAATCAATGCCGAACTATATGATGACTTGTTTGTCATCTACACAGAGCTTCTTAAAACCTCTCATCCACTTGATTTAAGTGAAGAAAACCTCAGAAAACTTGTAAACGCAGAAGTCACCGAAAGATACAAAGATTTATTTGTTTTTTACACGAAAATCAACAACAAAGATGAAGATCTTACATCATTCCTTTTAAACAAGAAGATCAATCAGTCATTAGAAGAAAAAGAAAATCTAATTGTTTTAGAAATGATCAGTGAATTGCCTTCATCAATTTTCCCAGCTGATACAAGTTTAATGACACAGATTTCGAAGTATACAACTTCCAAATCATCAAAAGTAAGGATAGAAGTAAGTCGTTCTTTATTTAATGTTCTTAAAAGTCAAACAACAATTTCTCCTCAAAATATTGTTTTGCAAGAATTGCAAAGAGCTATTTCCGATCAAGATTTATATGTTAGAGCCGCAATTATCAAATGCGTAAGTGATAATTGTCCAATGGAATTGGCTTCCTCCAATTGTCTGAATTTGTTGAGAGTGTTTCTAAATGATGATTCAACAAATGTCAGAATTAATTCAATAAAAGCTCTTGAAAAAGTGAATCATTTGAATCCAGCGAAATCAATGGCTTTTTCAAGAAGTTTCTTGATCAATTGCATCTACATATTGGAGAATATCCCTTCTATAAGACAAAGAGCGAGAACAGCGAGAATATTGTCTCATTTGATTAATTCTTGCAAAGATATTGCGAAGATGTATTTAGAAACAATTTTTAAGTTGTTTGAAAAAGAAATTTTGTATAATTTTGAGAATACTCCGAAATACGAGAATTTCATTGAAGAAAACTCTGCTTTGTCAATCAAGAAAGGTATCATTGATTCTATAAGTTTGTTGGCGCCTTTGGATAGAGATTTATTCGACAAAAATTCAGGAACAATTATTCCTGTTTTATGCGAATATTTAATTAGAAACGAAAATAGAAATTTGACATTATCTATTTTGAACTTTTTGTTTGTCATTTTGAGTCCTTTGAACTCAACAAAAGAAATCAGAACGCATTGTGCGGAAATCTTGACTTCTTGCACTAATCTTTTGTTGAGAACTAAATCGAGAATTCTCAAAATGGCAATACTAAAAGTTGTCGGAGTTATTGGATTACTCGATGTTCACATTGAAGGGGAGAACACAACAAAACAGGTACCTGACCATGTAAATGTCAATTTGGCCAGACAATTTTATCTTCCTAAAAGAGATGACGACATAATTCCTGACTCTTCTCTTTATTTGGAAAGAGGAAGACAAGAAGTTTTCTTTGCTTGTTCGATCACTTCACTTTTACTTAAAATTCTTGACAATGACGAGAACAATGAATTATTTGTTGAGACATGCGAAGTAATGGTTTTCATTCTAGAAGCAAACTTTACAAGGATGACACTTTTACCCGCTTTTGACAAATTTTACAAGAAATTATTGTCATTTATAAATGACAGTAAAAATCCTGAAGAATTAAAAGGATATTGTGAAATTCTGATCAAACTGAACATGAACAATAGAAACAACATTGTTCCTTTCATTGATGAAACCTTGAATTTGCTCATGACGAAATTTAATCAAGATGATGATTTGTTGATGGTAAAAGTTGTTTATTCCATTTGTTTCTCAACAAGAGACGCATTCGCACCTCATTGCCATGGAATACTCTGTTTGTTATTGAACACCCTCGAAAATAGAAAAACTTCTTCATCCGAAATTTGCAAATATATCATGGATATATTTACTTTTATCAGCCCTTACGCCGCCGATCAACTTTTCTTAATTGTCTCTCAAATTTGTGATGCAATTATTTTTGAGTTTACATTGGAAAGTGTCAGAATCAGTGGTTTGAACGCTTTGAAAGAGCTTGCTAATACTACAGACATGATGTACGCAATCGGTATTATTATTAGAAGCTTGAGTTTCGCTTTGTTTGACCTTGAATATGAATTAACAAGAAAAGCTGCAATTGAAACATTGATTTCTTTGACGAAAAATTATGGAAAACCGTTTTTATTTGCAGCATTTCCAATTTTGCAGCGCTTGAAAGGTGAGAACAAGACAGATCAAATACAAGAATTGGAAGATATAATAACAAAAGTCGAAGTTGATGGAAAATTCGAAGAAAAAGTTCAAAATTGTTCAACACCTAAGAAAATTTCAAAAAGTGACAATTTTGTCATCAACGAAGACTTAGTTATTATCAGAGCAGAAAATCCCAATTTCGGTGATGAAAACAATTTGTTGCAGTGGCTGATTAATTTCATAAAAGTCACTGTTTCTCAAAATCCAAGGGCATCAATAAGAAGCTGTTCAAATTTGACACAAAAAAGTGAGAAATTCTGTTTGAAGATCTTCAACATTGCTTTCTTGAGTATGTGGACTAAATTGTCCCAAAAGGCAAAGCATACAATTAAAACATCCTTCAGATCTGTCATTGATACAAAAGACAGTTATCCAATTGTTGGAAAACATATCATTTCACTTTTGATTTACATGGATAAAGTACGAAATCCAATTGATATTCCAACAGATGTTGTAATTAATGCATGTGAGAAATACAACTATTTGGCATTCGCTCTTTATTTGCAAGAGAATTTATTGTCAAATAATTCGAATTTGCCAAAAAGTGAAATGAAAATTCATGTTTCTCAATTAATTAAAACTTATTGCAGCCTAAACCAAAAAGAGAACGCGACAATGATTTTCAAGACAACACATGTAAGTCTTGGAAATTCAATTGAAACTAAAATGCGCCTTGGTTGTTACAGCGAATGCATTGAACCATTGAAGAAAAACATTGCAAAGAAAGACAGTTTTTATTCATTAATTAACTGTCTTTCGAGTCTTTCCAGATGGGAAGATATCAACAGTTACATGTCTTATTTCGTGAACCATCAAGACAGACAATTAAAATGCCAAGTTGCTCCTTATTTCGCAGAGGCATCGATGCATCTTCAAAAGTGGGATGACATCAAACAAATAAGGGATTACACCAACGAAGATTCCCTTAAGAATATTTTAGTCAACGCTTTGTTTTCTTTACATGAAAAGAATTATGAAGAAGTTGACGGTTTAATTGAAAAAGGTTTATCGTTGATTGCATCAAAACCTATTTCATTTTGGTCCCAATACCAACAGCTACAAGATGAGATTGTTTTGAACGCTCAGAAACTTGTAGAACTCCATGAATTGGCAGAGTACATCAAAGAAACTCCCGAAAACAAAGAAAAATTTGAGAACGTATGGATTCAAAGGCATCTTACTATGCCAAGAGATTTTGCTTTATGGAATGACTTGATAGAAAACAGAATAATCATCACACAGCACCACGATGAGAATACTGTCAAGTTATTCTTGTTGCCAGGTCTCCATGAAAACGCTTATTCTTCTTTGTTTAGTTCATCACAAAGTCAAGAAAATGTAAACATTTCAAAAATTTGTTTGTCAATTCAAAAGTGGCGAAATGGCGAAAAATCAGATGCGATTGAAATTTTATCCAGTCTCAAGAATAACATCAATGATAAGACAAACAAATCCATTAAAGTTGTCACAGAACTTTTGTTGGGAACATGGATTTCCGAGTTAAATGATTCACAACTAAAATTAGCTTATAATCATTTAAGTAACGCTGTTAAAATACTCAAAGGCGAAGAAATCGGAATAACTCCACAAAGGTCATTGCACAAAAAATCTTTCAACTTTATTCCTCACTCATTTACATCAGCAGCTCTTCATTTGACTCCTCAAGCAATTAGAGAATTAATGTCAAATGTTATGGGCATCGAAATCATGAGAAAATGGGCTTTAGTTTGTTCCGAATTGATTAATTTGGATCCCCATATGAAAGATGAATACGTGAAGACAGCCATTGAATGTCTAAAGACTTGTGCAAATACTGCAAGTACAACGAGTTTCCCTGATGTTGTGCAATTATTGAATTTGTTCTTTGAATACGCGAACAAATTGGATTTATTCGATCAAACGAAGGAATCAATCAAAAGCTTGGATGCCAAATATCTTTTGATGTGTTCTCCTCAATTATTAGTCCAATTAAGTCATTCTTCAAACTCTGTTTCTTGTTTTGTTAGTGATTTAGTTTTGGATTTGCTCAAAGAGCATTATCATTCTTTGATTTTCTCTGTCATAACAATGAGAGAGAGTTCAACAGAGAAAAGATCAAAAGCGGCTTCAAACATCATTGATAAGTTTAGATCAATGAAAACAGAAGAAATGAATGAAGTTGAATTAATAAGACATACATTGTTAGAATTAACAGTTACTTTGCATGAAAAAGCTGAGATTCTTCTTCAAGACATGAAGATGTATTTCGAGTTATCCAAATGGGAACAAATGAGACAAACAATGGATGAACTCGACCATTTGTATCCAATGAATCCGAAGAATGAATTGGAATGGAGTTTCAACAGAGATTTCTCGAAACTCTTCAAAGATCTCAAATCCTTGAAAGACGTAGACAAAAACAACATGTCAATCTACAATTCCATCAAAATGTGGATTGATAAATGCGCCCAATCAGTTGCTTATGTCTGGGATAAAGTTAGAACAATTGAATTGAGTACAATTTCAGAAAAAATCTGTCAAAAAACTGACTTTAAATTGGCCGTTCCAGGAACTTATAAAGTTGATCACGAGATCACAAGAATAAAGTTCTTCTTCGAGCAAGTAATGGTCTATACTTCTAAGCAGCAGCCTAAATCTATTTCTGTAATGGGAGATGATGGAAAAGTTTATCAATATTTGTTGAAAGGACACGAAGATTTGAGATTGGATGAAAGAATCATGCAGTTCTTTTCAACAGTTAATTCCCTCATTAAAACATCCTTTGCAAAGTCAACTGTCATCAAGACAATGGTTGTTATGCCGCTCTCCAAGTTGAATGGTTTAGTACAATGGGTAAATGGTGCTGATACTTTGAAATCAATTGTTGAACAGTACAGGAACTTGATTGATCCTCAAAACGAATCCGCTGTCAGAGATGATTTAGAGGAATACAAAATGGCCGGTGAACTGGGTTGTTACAATTACAATAACATGTTGACAATCCAAAAAATGGCTGTTTTGAAGAAGATTTTCGAAACAACTCCTGATACAGATATTGCTAATTTCCTTTGGCTTCAATCTAAAGACGCTGAACATTGGATGAGAATCAGAACAACATTCGCTGTTTCATGTGCAGTGAATAGTGCAATTGGATATGTAATTGGTCTTGGAGATAGACATCCAAGTAATATAATGATTGATAGAAACACAGGAAAAATGATTCACATTGATTTCGGAGATTGTTTCGAAGTTGCAATGAAAAGGAAGTTGTATCCTGAAGTTGTTCCATTCAGATTGACAAGAATGTTAGTTAAGGCAATGGGAATTGCTGGAACAGGAGGAACATTCAGGTCAACTTTCGTTGATTACATGACTGTTTTGAGAGAAAATTGGAGAGTTTTGATTTTGGTTTTGGCTGTTTTCGTTCATGAACCTTGTGTCGAATCTTCTGATGTTGCTGCTTCTGATACTGTAGCAAAGATTACGAGAATTGGTTCTTGTATTGATGGAGGAGTTCCTTCAGTGGCTCCAAACAGTGATGACGCTGATACAATCAGATTGAGAGTCAAATCAAAGTTGTTAGGAAATGATTTCGGAAACGTTTCAATGAAAGTTTCTGATCAAGCTGACCTTCTCATTGCATCAGCAACATCCATCTACAACTTGTCAAAGATGTTCAACGGATGGTGTCCATTCTGGTAACTTTCCTTTTTTATTTTTGTTTTTTTATATCAATATAAAATTTTATAGTAGTTTATGTATATTTATTTTATAATATAAATGGTGAACTCAAGAATAGATAATATTTATTATGGATTATATTATGTGCGAATATTAATATTCTATTGGTTAAACTGATATAACATTATCAAAATCTTGAAATACATCAGCATTATTCTATAAAATCTGAGAAAATATAGAAATTTGAGACATGGATATAGAAAGGTTATATGAATTAACAATAAAATTACATGTGGATATTTATATAAAAACAAAAAATATATGTTTGAACTTTTGAAGAAAAGTGAATAATTTGGCTGAAGAAGCTTTAAGAATTGATCTAGATAACTCTGCTTGAATATGTTTTATACTGATGTATAGATTTTATGAATTTGCGTGGCATGAGCTTAAGAGCTAATATTAAGAAGATTTTGTCATCTACAATGAGATCAAAGATATTCGGGAACTTGGTATTGTTATTAAATCATCTACATGTTGATATTCATATGTTAATAATAAAATCATGACTTCTTAAATATGATTTTGTAAATAAGAATAAAGTCTTTTAATCACATCATAATAAAAACGGCAAATAATGAAAAACCAATAGGAAAGTCATAATGTGATTTACAGCTGAATATACTGCATGCATGTAGTGCAGTTTTTGAAAGTCCGCTTGATATTAATGCATCAACAAATACTTTCGATTTATTTTGATATAGTACACCACATTGAAGATTTTCGCAGTTGATGAAAGCGCTTTCACCAATAAAATTAACACTAGATGGGATACTGATCTGTTTAAGACTCGTACATGATGCAAATGCAAGACGTTCAATACGAGCAACACTGTTATCGACAAAAACAACAATTTCAACAAATATACTATTAATGAATGCGCTTTCTCTTACATTTACAAGGCGTCTGTCGAAACTTATGTAGTTGTCCGTGCAGCCTGGTGCATGTAAATAGACGTTGCTGAAATTAGCATCATATATTGTACTATTCACGCATACGAAGGCATCACTCTTAAAATCGCTAATATATGAAAGTGAGGTGCATTTTTCGAAAATTGCAGGGGAATTTTTTAGAAGGGAACAACTCGATGAAATATCAACGCGTTCGAGTGATTTACAGTTACTGAAACATTGAGATGAAAGAACTTGGACACTGTCAGGTATTGATATTTGTCTAATTGATGTTCCACTAAAGCATTCGCTTCCAATCGAAATAATATTAGTTGGAATAATAATTTCTTCAATGTTTACGCATCCTTTCAAAAACATTGATGGAAGACTGTCGAAAGCAGTCAAGCTATTGTCGAAACTAATTGATCTTATGCCACAATTCATGAAGCATCCTGAGTCGACACTGACAATATTAGAAATAACTCTAAACATTGAAAGCGAAGTGCAATCAGCAAAAGAATTTATCCCAATTGAAACACTACTTGTGCATCCAATAAATGAAATTCTTGTCAATGAACTGCATCCTAAAAATGCATAGTTACTGATGGTTAATGTTTCTCCTGTAGAAGAAAAAGAGATGCTCGGTAATGAGGAAACACGAAGGAATGCGTATAAATCCATTGATTCGAATGTAGAAGGAAAAGAGAATTCAGATAAAAGTTTTGTTTCTCGAAATGCTTCAATACCGATTGTTTTTAACTTTGGGAAATGGGGAATCGATATCAAATTTGTGCATTGATAGAATGCATAGTCTTCAATTGATTCAACTTCTGAAGAACCTTCACAAGTAATAGATGTTAACTTTTCTTTTTGAACGAATGCTGACTTCTTGATTGTTTTAACTTGGCTTGGAATCACAATTGAAGTAGCTTCTGAGGATAGAAGCATAGAAATTGATGTGTTATCTTTTGCCATCATAAGCATTTGACTATCAATAATAATAGAAGAATTTCCTTTAAATGTAAAATTTATGTTGCCTGAAGAAGGAAATGCGCTTCCACCAATATCTGTAACGCTTCCTGGAATTAAAACTGTTTTAAGTGCCAAGCATCTAGAGAAAGCAGATCTACTGATGGTTGTCACATGATCTGGGATATCAATAGATGTAATACCAGAGTTTAAAAAGCAAGAATCTGGAATAATTATGAGATTTGGCGGTAATGTAATTTGTTTCAGATTTTCTGTGTGAGCAAAAGCATAACCTCCAATTGTTGCAACAGAAGGAGGGATAGTTATTGATGTGCATCTTGCACTGATAAATGCTCCTGCATTAATATTTGTGACTCTTGAATCAATTACGTAACTAGAAGTAGAATCTGCTGCAAAAGCTAAAATAGACGTATAATCTTTTGAATAAACTGCATGAAGATCATCCTCGAAGTTTTTATTGTTTTGATGTACTTTAATAGTTTTTAATGTTGGAACATCCTGCAGAAAAGTTCCAATAATTGTGGATACTGATTCAGGAACTGTAAATTCTATTAATCTCGTACTAATAAAAGCATTATTCCAAAGCTGTTGAAGTTTTGAACCTTCTTTAAACGTAATCGATGTTAATGTCTCCATATTTCCGAGACCATTATCATATATCATCAAAACAGAAGCAGGAATTACTACTGATTGGAGTTTCATTGAAGAAAATGCATATTGCATAATGTTTTGAAGTCCTTCGGGTAAAAGAAGTTCTGTGACAGAGGAGCATTTACAAAATGCATTTTCTTTGATAGTGATAAGTTTTGTGCACTGCGATAAGTCAATTCTTGTAAGTTTCGTACATGAATAAAATCCATATGATCCTATTATTTTGATTTGTGGATTAGATTCAAAAGAAAATGACTGCATTGTATCTCTGCAATACAAAAAGCAATATTCGCATTCATTTTTACCATAGATTTCAAGGCAATTCCGACTAATAATAAGGTCACGATCAGACATTTTAACATCTTTGAGGAGAGTGCCTGAATTATAATAGAATTCACTTCGGATTAATGTCATTGGAGAAAAGTTGAATTCAAATTAATTTCAAATTGCATTCTTACTTTATTGAATACCTCGGCATCCACTGGTCATTTATGGCCTGAATTTTTTTGGTAATATGCGTTTGTGTGTTCAGGATTTGTTGAATTGATGATTATTTTTTTTTGACACTTTTTGGACATCAAAACCTTTTTTTCCTTCTAGCTTTCTATTTAGTGAATAGAATCGGCTTCTCGCGTGAGATGATGTCATATCGGGAATCACCCAAACACTTGCATATCCACTCTTAATTATTTCACAAATCATATTTGTTCATGGACAAAAATCATATTTTTAAAGAGAATTCTTTCCGAATTGGATATTAAAGTAATATTGTCATGAGTAAAGACGAAATATCTTATTCATACTTAATATAAGATTATTTGAAATATAAGTTGAGCTTTTCCTTTCATATAGTACAAATATCGATCTCATAACTATAAGAATGTAGTTGAACTTCCTCTTTCACTGAAATATATTTATAAATAAACAAATGTTAAACATTATTACTTTGAAAAGTATTAAAGTCTATTAATTTTATGACATTTGTCTTTCCAAACGTTATGTTTGTAGTTTTAATTGGTGAGTGTATGATAACAAAGATTAATTCTGAAAATAATTAAACAAAATTTATACTTTATAAATAAAAACAATACAAACAAATATAAATATATATAAATATCATTACATATCTGATATACGTTGGAATTCATTAAGAAATTCTGATGCAATCTCGCAAATTGTTTCGTTTTGATTATTATAAGCATCATCTTCAGCAATCTCCATGAAATTAAGATCATTAAGCATATCAACGTAATGTTTAGCGTTTTCTGATAAATTCAATAGTTTTCCGAAGATAAAATAAATATTTTGTTTATTTTCCTCGGATTGAGAGAATTCAACCAGTTGCTCAATAAAGTATTCATCAAAAACTTGTTCTATTGTTTCGTTATCAAATAAATCCATTGCTTGAAGTATTAAACTGATAATTCCTTGTTTTGTAAGGAAATTTCCTTCAGAAAAGACCTTCTGATAGTCAATTTCTTGTAGTAGTTGCCATGTATTTGGAGCTAACTCTGATTGAGCAATAGAATGTGAAGCAAAACAAAGAATTGCGCGAGATACGACTTCTTGGTCAGTATAAGTCATCATTGGACGCAGAACATCAAATATTCCATATATTCTAAGCATAATAGCAATCGAAGAGTTGAAATTCGAGTAAATTTTGAAAAGATCTAAAATTACTGTTACAATTTTCAATTCTTCCCTTTGAAAAGCGATGATTAGTGTCTTATAGATCAATTGCAATGGTGGAGGATCGGAATTGGTCAAGTATGCTGAAACGGCATCGCAAAGTTTTGGAGCTAAAAATTTATAATCAGAAGCTATCTTAGTTATAGTAAGGAGGATATCGTATTTAAATTCTTGAGTATCATTGTTGTCTAGATTTCTTGCTAAAATAGGAGTTTGACGCCGAATTAAAGTTAAAAATTCAGAAACTTCCAAATTCTCATTCAAAAGCAAAATTGCATTGAATTTTTGGTATTCTTCGGACTCTGATATCAAATCGAAAGCTAGTTTTTGGAAAAGATTTGTCTCTTTAAGAGTTATGATAAATTCTGGATAATCAATGAGAATGTTTGTGAATAAGTTCAGTAACAAATCAATATCACTATCATCAAAGCCATCTATACTAGAAACAATGCAATTTATGAATTCTTGGCTTAAAAATAAAGATGTGAATTTGTCTGTAGCAGATTGTAGCTGTGACAATACAAATAATGCATTGTAATAATCGATTTGGTTTGATATTAAATTCAATAATTGCTGAAAATGAAGATTTGAAAAATAATTTATTGATTTTTCGGGGTATTCTGTAAGGTATGATTGTAAAATTTCAATTGAATTACTTATTTCTTCTTGATTTTGACTTGATAGCTGTTGAAGAGATAAATTTAGTTTATTTTCATTGAATTGGAATGTTTTCTCTGACTCATCTTCTTCCCTATTACTATTCATGTTATTTATAAGCTTGTTTTTGAATTTTATATCATTTTTTTCTTCAAGATCATCCATCCTAGATTAACTCAATATAAATGAAATAAAATTACATGCATAGTTAGTCTGTGTAGAGACCCAATTATTTCTTAAACAGTAGCTTTCTTTGATTCAAGAAATAATCTTAATTCTTCAATTTTTTCATAATATATGTGGTTTTGAAGTGATAACTTAATTTTACACATGTTTTATGTAGTATGAAGAAAAAATCAAAGTAATTCCGAAAGAAAATTTTATATCAAACATATTATTATTGGATAGAATGAAATATATCAATGTATTATTCTTTGAAAAGTCCTGTTATATCGAATAGCCATAGCCAAAACAATATAGCAGGGATGCAAATGATGGTCGTCCAGAAAACCATGGTTGAAGCAATTCCTTGGCCCAAACCTGTCGATTCAGCAAGTAAATAAGCTACTGCTGCTGTTGGTTGTGCTGTCATTATAACGCATTGCCTTGATAATTTTCCTGGTAATTTCAAAACGTAGCACCAAAGTACAGCCCATGCAGGTGATATTAGATGTCTTATTGCAAGGCAGGAGATGAATTTTATCCATCCGCAAGCAACAAGTGTATGATGGGAAAGAAATACTCCAAAACAGAACAAAGACATTGGAAGCACAACATCACCACCCAATTTTAAGAACTCTGCAACGAATGTTGGCATTGGAAGACCAGTTGCAGAGTAAATTAAACCTGCAGCGTTTCCAAGTAGAATTGGAGAGGTAACAATGCGAATTAGAACGTTTTTAACTTCTGGCCAACCGAATTTTTTTGGTATTTCACCATTTTGGAGTCTTTCTTGATTTTCGAATCCAATTGACCAAATTGCGCTGAGAGTGATGTATGTTGGATTTGTAAGTAGGTCGTTTGCAAGAGTCATGATGGAAACTACACTTGACTCGTTTGGATCCCAAATTGTTTGGAAAATTGGAATTCCTGAGATAACATAGTTAATGTAGCATACTGGCATCAAGCATGTAATGTACGTGTTAAGTTTATCTTTGACTGGTAGTACGAAAATGATTGTTAGCATTAATATGACGCAAACAGCAACTAAAGTGGCTACAGCTAGAGGATAGAAATTTATTTCCTTGAATTTCTTGCTTGCAAGCATGCGTGCAAGAACAGGAAGAAAACAAACACGATATACATAACGATTTAAGACTGCAGCGCCTTCTTTTGTCATGATTTTGAATTTACCGCACATATAGCCTATAAGCATGATGCTAATCATTGCCAATCCTATAGAAACTACGTTTGCATAATTAACCATTATAAAATCTTTATAAAATTTTGAGGACGAACAAATTTTTGAAGTTGCGAAAAAAGTAAGGAAATTATCAACACATGTAGTTGCTATTAATTTTTCTTCCAAATATGATCGCCACAATGATTCTTTGTTTCAGATATTTTTATTCCCATTTTATTGAAAGTTATTACCGCCACATTCCCCATCTGTTTTTGTATTTTAAGCTATTTATCATGTTGTTGATCAATGATTTTAAAGAATCAATTATCATTTCTTTGATTATCAATATTAGATGTGCACTATGAAGAAATTAAATTTAGTGTATATTATTAATTTGGTTCCATTATTTGGATTCGCCTAAACATTTGTCAATAATCTAAAAAAATCAAAAAGAACTTTCAATTTTTCTAAAATTTTTTTGAAATTTAATATTTCACAATGAAAAATGTTAAATTTCTGTTCGTTTTAGCGAATTTGAATATTTTTTGGAAATTCCAAAATCATTACAATGCAAGAATAAGATAGAGTAGGGCTTGTTTCAGCCATTTAGACACATTTCTTCAGAATTTGATATCCGATCTTCATGATTTGTCACGAATGTTTCGCAAACGAGCCACCAACTATGCTAAAATCAGTAATTAATTAAAAGCATATTCCAAAATACATTCATTACTCACCAATTGAAGGAAAGATGTTTTAGATTTAAATCTACAAGTAATTACAAGACTAAATACCAATATCATCCTAACATTCTTGATATTTAGATTATTGTAGGCATAAGTAATTAGTATTTGCTTTTGAAATGAGGTTTATTGAATCTTTATTTTTGGGAATCACTTATAATACTGCTAAAATATTACTTACCAAGATAATGAAATTATTCCATTATGCTTATTTGTCTTTAACTTCATGATTTTTTTTTGATTAGTATTTTCCCGATGAATTGATAACTTTCTCTTGATATTTTATTTTGTCTGACCATATACTTTTAAAATATATCTGTTTCTAAGTTCTTGACTATTCATCTCGTAAACTTAACTTTTTACATGTCAGAATTATTTTTGGTATATTTTTTTTGAGAAAATGAGTGCAAATCAGAGATTAATCACAAGATTAACAAATACGCTTCCACCTAACCTGAAGATTATCGACTATTTGATTCAAAGCAAGCTATCACTTGATGAACCAGCCACAAGAATGCTTCAAGACTTAATTCGAGAAGTTATTGAAGGTTTACCGAGTACAGGAAATTCTACAAAGAAGGCTATTGATCTTAAGGATATTGGCCAATTCGATATTAATAAAATATCAATTTCACAACAGCAACAACAAAAAGATTTACGTCAAATTGTAGAAAATTTAATAAAGGAACTTAAATATGATAATGCCTTATATGAACTTGAGCAAACTCGTTCAAAAGAAACTCTCAAATCTTATGATAAAGAATTCTTTGAAATCTTCTTATTTAAACTTGATTTCAGGCGCGCATTAGTATACGCTGAATCACTTAATGACCCAGAGAAAATTTTCATCACTGCTTTTGCAACAGGAAACTTTGAAAAGGCAAAATCATTATTCTCAAGTATTTCACCAATAATAAATGCTGAAAAATCTAAATACATCACAGTCTACGAACTATTCCAAATGCAGCTCATAGTTTCGTTAATTGAAGATCCTCTTTTAGCTTTTATCGAATTTTACGAGAGAAACAACATCATTCTTTCTAAATACGATTACGATCTTTTCTCAGAGATGTATACCTCCTTAAAAGTACACAATTTCATCAACGCTTTCAACCTTATAAATCAAATCCAAGTTCAAATGTGTTACTCATGCTTTTCAGCACATATTTCAGAAGAAATCGCATCTCGCATCAGATTTAACATATTCACTTCTATTCTACAGTCTTACGGAAGAGTTTCAATCAAAAAATTACATCAAATCACGAACATCGGCCATGAACAGATTATTTCATATACAAGAAGCGCAATACGCTCAGGCAAAGTCTTTGGAAAGCTTGATCTTTGCAATGAAGAGTTTTTCAACCAAAATGAAAATCCACAGTTCCTCAATCGCGAAATCTGCGACAAACTTAAGATATGTGTTCATAAGATGAATCTTTCCCATCAAATTGAGTCGGACATAGCATTAAATGCCGGTTTTGCTATTTAACTCGAGAAATGAGTTATACCAAAATATAATCAATTGTGCTTCATTGTTATTAATGTTCTAAAAGATTTATTTTTTTATTATAAAATATGAAATTTTTATTTTTTAAGAATTTTTTCTGGAATCAACTAAATTTCACTATGTATCCCAAAGATACCACCAAATGCATGAATATTATGCTCAATTTTCATATTATTTATTTCATTTTCAAAACAGTCAGTATGGATTTGGCATTCTATTTTTGCTTGGCGAAAAAACCATTTCAGCTTTACTAAACATCTATATTTATATTTATTATTTTAATTGTTCAATAATTTTTTGATGATTTTCATTCTTACTTAACCTTCATAAATAATTAGCCAATGCAATATACGTCACGTGGTTTGAAAAGCATTTTAAAGTTCATATAAATTTCGCATCAAATTTTCATGTTTTGTATTGTTATTTCTTGGAGGGTAATGCATCTCTTGTAATATTAAATAAGTAATTCTTTATTAAAAAAGTTTATTGTTGGCGGGCACCAGCGCGGCGTGTGAAAACTTCGACACCTTCCATTTCGCCAAGGCCGATAGCGGCAAGCATTTCCTTTGTTTCTGGATCGACGAGGATCTTTGGAACGTTAAGCTTGGAGGTTGTTGGCATCCAGTTATCACGCTTCTCACGCTCCTGTTCCTGGAGCTTGAAAGAGATACCACGAACTGGACCACGCTCAAGACGGCGCATAAGGTGGGTTACGTAGCCGGCGATTTTATTGCGCATGCGCTTTGATGGAATATCAGCAACAGCGTCGCAAACACGCTTGTTGTCCTGGAAATCGAAAGAAAGTTGGCCATAGAAACGTTCGATAACGAGACGAGCAGCTCTCTTTGTGGTCTTTGTACGGATACGACCCATGTTAAAAAGGGAGCCAAAACCGTTTATCGTGGCGCAGCCATCCAAAAATTAAAAAAAAATGTAAGAATTAAACTAAAATTAGATTCAGTATTATTAACCAAAATCAAATATTATCTCAAACGATGTTATTGCCATACAAAATTTCTCAAATCATTTCAAATTCAGTTTTCAAATAGCATAACACAGTGGATAGGTTTCATTTTCTAACAGATCAAAATTCCTTTCTCTGCTCGCATCATTTTGATCAATCAATTTTTTTGAAAAATATCGAATCCATAATAGATCACGATGAGTTAAAATTTCACTCCATAATGCATATTTTAACGACTAATTTTTCATATGCATTTAAAAATAGACTATTGATATATTTTAAGATTGATTCCTGAAATATTTCAGAAATACCTTATCACTCACTGGATTATCTCTTACACATTAAAAATACAGCTTTTAAAACCATAAATATATATATGAAAACCCGATAAAAGTCAATTTACAACAAAACCAAAAATAACAACATTTATTACTTCACCATAAGAGGCCAGTAAAACCTTTGAAATTATGAAGCCTTTGAACAGACTTTTCTTGAGAATTATCGATCTGTTCATTCAAAATCTGAGGTTCTATCTGGTGATGAGGCGAGAATATAGAAGACTTCAAAATACTGATATTAAAAATATTAGAAATTCCATTCGAGCTTGCAAGTTCGTGAATAGATGGGAGCGAGAAAAGACGATTTCCTGAATTTCCAGCATTTTTGTCTGACAGAGAATCGCTTGGTGCAGGATTCTGCTTAGGTGGCTCAGGCTCTGATTCTTCAGAATGATTTTTGTTAACAAGATGAAGTTGTTGAGCAAGAGCAATTCCTTTGTTCACAAGCTGTGACCACCTGTTCTTAATATTAGCTGATGATCTTTTTGGAAAGAATTGAGCAATGTGGATCCATTTTTTACCAAATAACTTCTGTTTCTCAATTAAAAGTTGATCTTCTTGAGGAGTCCACTTATCATTAGCTAATCCAGGGGCTAGATAGTTCAGATATCTCTCACGACACTGGCGTGGTGACCTTGTTCCCATTAACGAAGAAATTGTCTTCCAATCAGTAGAATAGATCTGGACCAGATTGTGTAAACGGGCATCTTCCTCAGGAGTGAAAACGTTTCGCTTCAGCTTGATCTTTTGCGTTATTCCCTCTGCCATTAAAAATATAATATCAAATACTTTCAATTAGCGGAATTGTTTTTCAAATTCAATTATTGTCAATTTTTAATCAGCAGATTTGTTGAAATCTTATTATTTAACTGAAATTTTAAATAACCTCGTTAAAAACACCGATATAAATTTGAGAGAACTCAAAGGGATGATTATTGAATGGATAAATAAATTTATTTGGTTACATGTATACATATTAAAATACAAAACATATTTCAAAATCCCGATTAAATTCAATAGTACAATTGAGAAGGCAAACCCAAATTTTAGCTAAAAGTGACAGGGAAAAAAAAACGTTTAGTATTAAAAAAAAGACCGATGAGAGCTTCGTTCGAAATATAGAGGGAACTGAGAATGCGCAACCATTCTCAGGGAATATTGGATGCTATTCCCGTTCCCTCTGTATGGAAAATTGAGGTTTTCAAAGGGAGTTAAAATAATATCAAATTTATACTAATTTACTTCAAAATACAAAAGTATTTGACAGCTAAAATTAGTTACTTTAGCAAGCCTATCAATACCCTTTACGATTATTGTTACTTTTTCGAAATAAAAGTAAAAACAAATTTATATACTAATTTACTTCAAAATACAAAGTATTTGACAGCTAAAATTAGTTACTTTAGCAAGCCTATCAATACCCTTTTACGATTATTGTTATTTTTGAAATAAAGTAAAAAAAATTTATCTAATTTACTTCAAAATACAAAAGTATTTGACAGCTAAAATTAGTTACTTTAGCAAGCCTATCAATACCTTTACGATTATTGTTACTTTTTCGAAATAAAAAGTAAAACAAATTTATACTAATTTCTTCAAAATACAAAAGTAATTGACAGCTAAAATTAGTTACTTTAGCAAGCCTATCAATACCCTTTTTACGTATTATTGTACTTTTTTCGAAATTTATAATTATATTAAATTTTATTTATCTAAAAAATTTTCTTTTTTTCTTATAAAATTATAATAATGTTATTTTTATATTAATTTATTCATAATTTTGTATTATTTTATAATTTCATTAAAATTTATACATATTTGGTCTTTTTTTCTACATATATATCTTATTCTCATTGATATATACATGATAAATAAAATTCATAAAACATTAAAAATCAAAAAATTAGATGAACCTTGGCAATTAAACTTTATTAAGGTCAGGTAAGTGGGGCCTCCAGGCGCGTTGCGCCCTCTAGCCCTGAAGATGTTTAGTATAACTTTGTCCGGACAAGTAAGGGTCTATCGTCGCTACAGGAAAAGTTACAGGCGTTCCAAGGAAGTATACTTTGAGAAGCCTTCTTCTGGGTCGAAAACATTATATAATGTTTCGCTTTTCACAAATTATATATGTTTTCATGTTTTGTCACTTTTCTGTCACTTTTCAGGAAAAACATTATATAATGTTTCGCTTTTCACAAATTATATATGTTTTCATGTTTTGTCACTTTTCTGTCACTTTTCAGGAAAAAACATTATATAATGTTTCGCTTTTCACAAATTATATATGTTTTCATGTTTTGTCACTTTTCTGTCACTTTTCAGGAAAAAACATTTTTATTATATATAAATGAATTTTACAAAACAGCCGTTACAAATCTACAAATGTTAGACACATTCGGTAGTTTCTTAAGTTCTCTCAATAGAATATCTTTACATCTAAATGTTAGACCATTCGGTAGTTTCTTAAGTTCTCTCAATAGAATATCTTTACATCTACAAATGTTAGACCATTCGGTAGTTTTCTTAAGTTCTCTCAATAGAATATCTTTACATCTACAAATGTTAGACCATCGGTAGTTTCTTAAGTTCTCTCAATAGAATATCTTTTACATCTACAAATGTTAGACCATTCGGTAGTTTCTTAAGTTCTCTCAATAGAATATTTTACATCTACTCTTATTTCCAAAGAAGGGTAACGGCTGTTTTGTAAAATTCATTTATATATAATAAAATGTTTTTCCCTGAAAAGTGACAGAAAAGTGACAAAACATGAAAACATATATAATTTGTGAAAAGCGAAACATTATATATATGTTTTTTCCTGAAAAGTGACAGAAAAGTGACAAAACATGAAAACATATATAATTTGTGAAAAGCGAAACATTATATAATGTTTTTCCTGAAAAGTGACAGAAAAGTGACAAAACATGAAAACATATATAATTTTGTGAAAAGCGAAACATTATAATAATGTTTCGACCCAGAAGAAGGCTTCTCAAAGTATACTTCCTTGGAAGCCCTGTAACTTTTCCTGTAGCGACGATAGACCCTTACTTGTCCGGACAAAGTTATACTAAACATCTTCAGGGCTAGAGGGCGCAACGCGCGCTGGAGGCCCCACTTACCTGACCTAAAGAGAACATAGAAAAATATATTGAGGGTATAGAGTTTGTGAGATGTCATTGGACAGAGTTGTATGAAAAATATAAAGACAAGGAAAATATTTTCTTTATAGTGGACCCGCCGTTCTATAACACATGGGATTTTCAATACCAAGTAGACTGAACTTTGAGAGACTCTTTAGAAACTTTAGACGTTTTACATAACTGTCCATGCTTTTTACTTTACATCCGATAAAAGTGGTTTGGAAACCGTTATGAGATGGTTAGAGGACATACATGACAAAACATTGACGAAGAAGTCTTGACAAAACATTTACGAAGAAATCATGACAAAACATGTACGATGAAATCATGACAAAACATGTACGAAGAAGTCTTGACAAAACATGTACGAAGAAGTCTTGACAAAACATGTACGAAAGTTTGACAAGTTTACGAAGAAGTTTTGAACAAGTCTTTACGAAGAAGTTTTGACAAAGTCTTTACGAAGAAGTTTTGACAAAGTCTTTACGAAGAAGTTTTGACAAAGTCTTTACGAAGAAGTTTTGACAAAGTCTTTACGAAGAAGTTTTGACAAAGTCTTTACGAAGAAGTTTTGACAAAGTCTTTACGAAGAAGTTTTGACAAAGTCTTTACGAAGAAGTTTTGACAAAGTCTTTACGAAAGAAGTTTTGACAAAGTCTTTACGATGAAGTCTTGACAAAGTCTTTACGAAGAAGAAGTCTTGACAAAACATATACGAAGAAGAAGTCATGACAAAGTCTTACGAAGAGTTTTGACAAAGTCTTTACGAAGAAGTTTTGACAAAGTCTTTACGAAGAAGTTTTGACAAAGTCTTTACGAAGAAGTTTTGACAAAGTCTTTACGAAGAAGTTTTGACCAAAGTCTTTACGAAGAAGTCTTGACAAAACATATACGAAGAAGTCTTGACAAAACATTTACGAAGAAATCATGACAAAACATGTACGATGAAATCATGACAAAACATGTACGAAGAAGTCTTGACAAAACATGTACGAAGAAGTCTTGACAAAACATATACGAAGAAGTCTTGACAAAACATATACGAAGAAGTCTTGACAAAACATATACGAAGAAGTCTTGACAAAGTCTTTACGAAGAAGTCTTGACAAAACATATACGAAGAAGTCTTGACAAAGTCTTTACGAAGAAGTTTTGACAAAACATATACGAAGAAGTCTTGACAAAGTCTTTACGAAGAAGTTTTGACAAAACATATACGATGAAATCATGACAAAACATATACGAAGAAGTCTTGACAAAACATATACGAAGAAGTCTTGACAAAACATATACGAAGAAGTCATGACAAAACATTTACGAAGAAGAAGTTTTGACAAAACATATACGATGAAGTCTTGACAAAACATATACGAAGAACAAAGTGAAAGTAGTGGCAATGAAGGAAAAAGAAGAGTTAAAAACTCAGTCAGGAAGAAAGTAAAGCTTGGTCCACGTGGGTTCTATTATGACAAATAAATCCAACTATTCTATATTTTTACCCATATGAAATGTACGCCGCTCAGAATATAACGCCAACAGTTTTGGATGCCATGAATGGAAATGTTTCCGAATGGTATAACGAATGCGACAATGCCATTAGAAGGTCAGAAATAGTTCCTGACTTACGAATTACAACTGTGTTTCTTATGGAATGTAGGTGAGTTTGGTGAAGGTTTTCAACAACAGTAGATATGTCTTGCGACAGGTTTCATATTATTTCTATTGACAACTCTTTCTTATACGTGGAACAAGCATTGAAATAAAACCTTCTGCCAAGTTGTCTGACAAGAAAGTTGCAATGATTTTCTATGTCGATACCAATATGCTCCAGAAGTTTTCATGGATATAAGATATATTCTAACTCTGACTTAGTTCAAACAGTAACATGGGCAAACTATGAATGGTTCGCTTTGAAGAAACTCAGTACAACCACAACTAGAGAACAAACAGACCAGTATGCACTATTGAGAAAATAAGAAGACTTGACCCTAAACGTTCCAGGTTTATGTTGACCTTTCTGGACAAACTGCGCAGCAGTACCAAAGTAAAACTGAAACTTAGAGTTCCTTTGTCATCTTTCCTCATCTCAGGTTTTTAAGATACTTGCCAAACTGGCAGAGAAAATTTTTATCGAACTTACTCCAAGCAAAAATAACTTAGTCATTGCACCAACGCAAGACCATTCACTCTTACAGACGTAGAGGAACAAATAAAACGTCATTCGCCGATTTTGCAAAGACAAAGTTGACTTAGACTTTGTTTCTCAAACCTCAACATCTGAAGTAAAGTATTATTTTCAATGCTTGCTGAACTGCTTGGGACCCAGTAGGTTCACATTGCGAACAGTTTGAATGCAAGAGAATGAAAGCAGACTTGCAGTCTATATGTTGGACCAGATATTTCAAATGCTTTAGCTGCCAAATATATTGCAGTTCCACTTATGTTCCCTATACACCAAATATCTGTCAAAGACTTTGCAGGTGAAGTTGGAAACCAAAATCCAGGACCGCAGGTGCAAGAACAGATATTGCTTTAACAACTGCAATGAAACATGCAGATACTATGTTTGTACTGTTCAGACGAACTATAAATGACTATTCTTGTTTCTACAACCCCGTATTA